AATAATAATAATAATAATAATAATAATAATAATAATAATTCTAGCAATAAAATTATAAACCTAAGGGAATTACAGAATCAATGATAGATAATGATGTAGAATTACCAGGTGAATCTGAGTATGTGCATTATACAGAAGAATAATTAGGAAAGAGTTTTATGCCTGAATTAAGAGAATTAAAATTAAAAACATAATAATCTCAAAATTTCAAATAACCTGAAAATGCAAAAACATCATAGTCATAGTAATTCAAGACTCTACAATCTTAAAATTTTTCAAATAATGACTTTTAGTAGCATATATAATAAAAATCATCTATCACAGATGAAAGCTGCGAATTACCCACAAATGCAATTTAGAAGTCGATTCCTCCTTAATTAAGTAGGGTTTAGGCAAGCCAAAATGTGTAAGACAATTATTAAGATGAAGAAATAGATGAATCAAATTAAAATTCAGATGAAGAAAATTATGATTAAAAAGATTTTGAACCTGAAGAAGAGGAAGTTAATGATTAAGGTATTGACAATCCTTTTGATCAGAAAGATGAATAGGATGATTAAAATGAGAATTCAGATAAAGAATAATATGATATTGAAATTCCAAATCCATAGAATTATGATTTAAATATGTTAAAGACCCAAGAATATTATGCTATGTTTGTTGAAAATATAAAGCCTTAATCAAGGCAGCAAGAACTTAAGTTCCCAACAAAATTGCTTCAATAAAATACATTAAAGTTGAATAATGATACAATATAATAATCAAGTATGTGCGAATAAAGTGAAATCATTGAAAGCTAGTTAAAATGCAACAATGAAAAATAAGGAGAAGTTGAGGAAGTTCAAATGAGTTAGGCTTAGTTTTCGGTATATTAGTAATCAATGGCAATACCAGAGGATGAAGAACCCTCGTAGCCTACTGCATCTTAGAAAGCACTCAGAAATTCAAGTAGAAAATATTAAAAACCTAAAACAGTAGATATTTTTAAGAATGAACAACCTAGGAACTCCAATCCATAATCTCAAAATTAAATTCCTCAACTATAAGAACAATCTAGATTTACGAACTAGTAAATTCCAGATTAATCAAGATGTACAAATCTATAGATGCCTGATTAATCTCGTTGCACCAATCAAAACCCTATTGCTTCTCAAACCTTTCTGTACCAACCTAGAGTTGAATTAGTTAAATCAAGATTAGAAAATCTTTTTTAACATACAAACGAATTAATGGCAGATCTACCAAAAGTTAAAGTTGAAAAAATAGTGGCTGTCGACGATGATGAAATCAAATCTTACAAAATTGAGGAGAATTCTTAATGGTAATAACAATTAGATTTGTTTGCCTACGAATAAAGCCATAGTTGAAATTAATTAAAAATATATATATTCGTTAATGCACAAAATTCACTATTCTCATCAATAATCTCCTTCTGCTACTCCAGTTTAGAGTTCTTCTCCGCTAAAGAAGACATAATTAGTACTCAAATAAACAAATAGAACAATAACTTCATAAGCAGAGAATGCAGTTTGTTACAAAAAGTAGAGTAAAACTACTATGAATGCAGAGATTGAATTGAAAAAACAATTATAAGTGCAGAATTAATAATACAAGGAGTTAGCTTTAAAATATGAGCTATCAATTTAGGAAATTCAAAAGTATTAAATGATCATTGAACGCAACAATTAAAAGAGAAATCATGAAAAATAACAACTTCTGTCTGAAATATCTATGTTAAAGAAACAATTAGAATAACGTAGTAAATCTCAGATCGACTTGCATGAGAATGGAAGTAATTAGAACTATAATCATTTATATAGTTCTTGGACATTTAGTTAATGAAGTAAACTAAAAGGCTATTCTGATGGAATTATCTGAGTATAAGGATAAGTGTAAATAACTATTAAACGAATTGGATACAAAGAATCTGTAGTTAGATTAGTAAAATATGTTATTAAATTTAAGTGTTACAAAGAAATTAATAAATACTCCCTCTTGTTAAGAATTAATTAATTAAGTTTAAGATCTTACTAAAAAGGTGAATGAACAAGAGAGCAAACTTTTATAGTATGAAATGCAATTAGATCAATAGCAGTATTGATATTGTTAAAAATTAGAGCAAATAGCAAATCAAAGTTTTTATTCAGAGGTTCTGAGTATTTCAATAAAAAGATATTAGATGCTGATAATTTTAGTTCTTCAAGTAACATACAATCGACAGTAACTATTAATTTATATTTAGATGTCAAATCAGAATGAAAACTCTTCTTAGGGATTGTCAAGTTATATTAAATTTTGAAAATAATCTGAATTCGTTTTATATTATTATTATCATGAATATATTAATGCTTTTGTTATTCGTGTTAGTGAATGTAAATAATTTTATTAAGTCAGAGCATTCCCTGAGTATTCCCTTAGAGCAATACGATTTAGATGATAGTATACATTTGCAAAAAGAAGAAACTCTAACACTTTTAGATATAGCAAATGAACTTGAGTAATATCATTTGTTTTAAGTTTTGGGTATCATGATAAAGATATTATCAAAATAGGAATTGAGGCTCAGGATAGATAAATGAAAAGGTTGGCAGTGGCGTCAATAATATCTATTTTAACAATTGCTGCATGCTGTGGATGTTCATAAATAATATAAGCATATTCAAAATCATGCAAATAGAAGCTTCCACCTCCCAAAAATTAATATAGAAGAATAGAACAAAATGCTGACTCTTTATGAGAATAATTGCATTCATATTTTATTTTATTAATTTGATCTCCTTAATTGCAAGCTGAGCAAACTAATGGAAACGCTGATCTCATATATGGGGATTTGATTTCGAATTCCTAGATTTTCAAAATTTTGTTATAATAATTTATATGTATATATATCATTCAGAATAAGGATACTAACTTATAGCACCCTTATTTTAGTAAAATCCTCTGAATGATTATTTTTCAGGAGGAAGGGCTCTCAATGCTTAATGAGAGCATGGAACCCTATTTTGAATTCCGACTTATTCGTTTGATTGTTGCCATGTCAGCCCAGATGGATTATTATTTTAATTATATCTATTGTTTATTAAATTAGGCTAAATTTCATCTAGAAATTAATTTGTTTAATTCCCATTTATATACCTGGATGGAGTAGAGTAAGTTAATTATTCTTGAAGAAATGGACGATAATTTGAATTTGTTAAAGGTTATTTTTCTTATAAAGGATTAAATCTACTAGAAATTGAACTGATTCCAAGTTATTGTCCAAGTCCCTTCCATTCGTTTTCAAATTGCTCTACTTGTTCTTCTTCAATATTCATATAATGATTAGTTGTAGTTATTTAACCATTCCAATCTCTTTCTCTTATATACTTTCTTCCTTTATCATTCATCATTCTTTCATGTGCAAACCTATCAATACCATCACTATTCTTGTATCCTTATTGCCTTTCACTTATCTATAGATATTAGAAATATATATTACAGTATGTCCATTGACTCCTCTTGCTACAGCGTTATTATCAAAATATTTTTCTTAAATTATTTTTCCATCAGGACCTAATTTTGATTATTAGACATAACAGGATGAATAAACTTGGAATACGCCATCTTATGCATTACTATTAACCTCCATTTAATTTAAATTCTTCATGTGTCTATGGAGATTCGAGAATTCCATCATTTCATTTTCTAAATTTCCAAAGTCTCTAAAAATAGATCCGAAACCTAAATTAGCCAATTAGTTATCCATTTATTGCTTTATCTTATTAGACATAGAGTCAAATTCCTAAAACATAGTAAATGGGGTTATCTATGCATTATTCTAGCCAGACTATTAAAAATCTTAACCTACACTTACATATAGTTAAACTTGGTTTGATCTGTATGGTTAACTAGTTGCTCCATATTAGTGTTACATTGCTTGTCAAATATTTTTATTATAAAAAAATTTCCAGAAATTATTTAAATAATAAACCCATAGTAACATAATGAATAGACGTAAGGAAAATTAAAAAATCCTTTATTTGAAATAGCTAGCACATAATTGGTAACTAAATGAGGAAAATAATCAACAAATTTAATGAAATTGGAGAGAATAATAATTCCTTTTTAAACTGAATATTCAGCAGTCAATATAGATTATATTTAATGTGGATAACAATTATGTTGTTCAAATGTAATGATGACACTTTGAACCTTAGAGAAAATTTATCTTTTAATGGCCTTTTTATAAAAATATAGAGAGCAAATTTTAGTTTATTTCTTCTACAGAAAATCTTCAAGCTTCAATTCTTATTTACCTTTAATGAGGCTGTTATATTAGTGCTCTTTAGTAGTTTAAGCCTTAGAATCAAACATAAAGCTTATTCAGTAAAAGCTACATAATAGATATTTTTGAAAATGAGGTTTTTAATTCTTTTCGAGCTTAATGATCATTAAAATAATATTTTCTTTTAATTGGATTTAGAGCATACTTTATTTATTTAATTTCACATTTAAGCAGGTATACTAAATTCCAATTGTTATATAATCTGCTCTAATGATCTTGACAAATAATTATTTTAATTTATTGGTTTGAATTAGTACTTATTTAATAAACCATTTTATTTATAAAACCTTATAAGGAAATCGTATTTAGTTTTTGATATTAATATCAATCATCATTATTTAGAGTTTAGCTAGTTTTAGTCCATTACAACGTTATTGCTATCTTTATTCCAGTCAACCTGTTCTTGGTTTCTATTGTGTTTTATTAATATAATATATTATTATATTTAATGTCATAAAAATTCGGCCCTCTTTAATTAAAAAAAAAAATTCAAAAAACCAATCCGACAGAAAAAAAACCTTACGTATAGTAAGAAACTGTGGAGAGTAATTAATTATCATATATACAAAAGAGCAAGAATAAGAAAATGAAAAATAAAAAAAATAGCAATTCAATCCTGTTGAAATGGCTCAGTCAGGAGGAACAGGTAAGACATAGGCAGAAATCTAATATGATTTAGTAAGGCTAAAGAGGTTAGGTGATAAAATAGAAAAAGTAAATTTATTGTTATAAACATTTAGAAAATGGAGTTAACATACAGATAAAAAATAGAAACATTTAATAAGAAAATTCAAAAAATGCCCGAACATTATGACATACCAAAGGTTGGTCCAGGTTGAAATTTAAATTGTGTTTATCTTAAATAACTAGATCACAATCCTTCGCTTAAATATCTAAATTAATATTTATTCGAGAGACATCTATCAATTACTTATATAAAATTTATAAGAACTATGTAGATGTAATTGTTTATTACTTTTACATTTTGTCTGTTTACTAATTTAGAATACTTTAAACAAAATAATGAAAGAAAGGTTCAGCTTTTTATCTAATATTATAAAATTATATTACATAACACTTGAGTTAACAAAACTTAAACGTTCAAATCTTAATAGCACTTTTATTTCTCAGTGCTATTCTGAAAATAAGAAATCAATTTTATATTATATAATTTTTTATGAATCCATAAAAATTGAGTAACTCAGAATTGGGAAATTTCGACAAATACATTGAAGATCTATATAATGGTTAATTATTAAGTGAAAATGATGTAAAACTAGTGTGCTAAAAAGTGTTAATATTTGCATTATTAATCAGGCTAAAGAAATACTAGTTGATGAACCAAACATTGTAGCAGTAAGAGCACCATTAACAATATGCGGCGATATACATGGTTAATTTCATGATCTAATCGAATTGTTTCGTATCGGAGGCAGATTACCAGTATTTTAAGAAATAATATTAAGGAAACAAATTATCTCTTCCTTGGTGATTATGTAGATCGTGGTTCCTAAAGCGTTGAAACCTTCAGTCTTATACTCTGTCTAAAAATACGATACAAAGATAGGTTGACTGTGTTGAGAGGTAATTAGTAATATTAGGATAGGTAATCATGAAAACAGAGAAATTAATAAGATTTATGGGTTTTATGATGAATGTCAAAGAAAGTACGGAAATGAGATTGTATGGAAACACTTTACAGATGTTTTTGGTTATTTACCATTGGTGGCAATAGTTGAAAACAGTGTAATTGAGTATTTCTATTATTAGATTTTCTGCACACATGGTGGTCTATCACCAGCAATAGAGTCAGTCGATCAGATCAAACAATTAAATAGAATTTAAGATATCCCTCATGATGGTGCAATATGTGATTTATTATGGAGCGATCCTGAAGAAACTAAGATGGGATGGGGTGTTTCTCCTAGAGGAGCAGGATGGACATGGGGTTAAGATATAACAGATAAATTTTTGCATCAAAATAAATTGAAATTAATTGCCAGAGCACATCAGTTAGTAATGGAAGGATTTTAGCATGTTCATCAACGGAAAACAGTTACAATATTCTCAGCCCCAAATTATTGTTATAGATGTGGCAATCAAGCTTGCATTGTAGAGGTTGATGATCAGCTAAAAATGAGTTTGTAAATTATTTCATTATAAAAGCTCATAATATGAACCTGCTCCAAGAGATAATGAACCTTAAACCACCAGAAGAGTACCAGAGTACTTTTTATGATTTAACAATTAAATATATTTTATTCAATTATTCACTGATGGTAGCATGTCATAAGTGAATCCTCCAATCCCTAACACTATCAATATAAACATTCCAGAATAAAACACTCCAGGTATTAAAAGCATGATTGCCAAAATAAAAATTGGATAAGTCTCGCCTAACCCTTTCTCTTGATATTGTATTATTCCTTATTCTGTAAATAAGATTCCTGCACTCAAGAGGAAAAACGATAAAACTATTGTTTTATAAGGCCTATTATATCTAATTCGTAGAGGAGGAGGAGATTCAGATCTCACTACTCTTTTTTTGTTAAGAGGACGTGTTTCGCTGTAATCCTTCATTTTATATTTACAATTTTTATATTATGTTTTTAATTTAATCTGTTTTTCCAATATTTCATTTTTAGAAATGCATCATTATTTAATCATAAATTAAATTATAATTACAATATTCATTCAAGAACAAATATAGAATCCTAAAAGGAATAAAATCCGAATAGATTTACATATATTTCATAAAGATATAAATGACTGCATAACTATTAAAATTAAATACTTTTAGATCGGTTGTTATTAATCACTACTTATAAAATTTAAATTCATATAGTGTTGTCTAATCATTAATCTTAAATGTGGGCTAGACTTCTTTCTCCAAACAACATTAATTGTATTCAATTGTAATAGAAAAGTTGAAAGTAAAGTCTTATTTCAAAGAGGATCGAATAATAATCTCTAATATGTAACTTAGCAAAAACCCTCTCATTATTATATCAATGATGGTCTTACTGTATAATTTTTGCTTATTAGTTGACCAATTAACAATGATATTTTTTTCTATCATCTTGATGTTTCCACTAAAGGTTTCAATCGACGATATACTTCTATTCAATTCTTTATTGACTTAAGCTTCAATCTCTTGATTTTATCCAATCAAACTAAAGCAAGTCATTTTGAGCAATTCTATAAACTGAGGAGATGATGTACTCAACATTATTAATTCTGAATATGCTTGCTCATCATTCATGTTTCTAGCAAAACCTTATTGATAGAATAATATCTAGTTTCTCAAATTTTGTTTCTTGTCTTCTGTGAACATCTTTTATCCAGGAATCACAACATCAAAGAGCATTTATTTCACTAAGCAACAAACCAATTATTTGTAATTTGTTACCAAGGGAGCAGTAGCCTTATTGATAGATAAATTGTCAATTGAAACTCTGCTTTCACTTTCGTTTTTCATTAATCTTAATATGGTTCTTCATGATTCTAAAATTTAATGTTGAATATTTAATAATTCCCTTTAATATTTTGAATTTGAAATGAATTAGCAACAATACAACGAAATGTTTACAGCATTCTAAACCAACAAGATTTTGGTAGAACAATTCGATATATACCTCAAGTAAAAAGTATTGCTATTGATTTTTATGAAGTGTGGTCATTTTTATGATGAGCATTTATTTCAATAATTGATTGAGTTATCTCTAAATAATGGAGTCATAGATCTAGAGTGTTTTATTAATTAATACAATGAGACAGTCGATACTCTATAATATCGATCAGAAATATTAAATAATAAGATTAAAGAATTAAGAATATTACATCAGCAATTGAGTGATTAGTTAAATTCGAATGCCCTGTAACAGAACTCCTTAACACTTTAAATTATGGATTGTCAAAACATTGAAACTAGAGATCCCAGCGTTTATTTATAAATCTGTTGTGGACCCAAAACATACAAGACAAGAACAATGAAAGGAGTTAGTCCATAATTCCAAGAATAATTTGAATTCCCCATAGACTCTGGTTGTTAGGATGTTATAATAACACTTTTTGATAGCGTAAGTAATTGAATCAACTCTAGATGAATGACAATATGATTGGGTACACTCAATTTTTGATTTCTGAACTGAGAGAATAAAAACTAAAAGACATTAGTGTAAATTTATAAAGATAAGATAATATGAAAATCAAAACTAAATTGCATGTGATTTTAAAATTTAATCATTCCAAAGTAAGTTTCTTCTAATTTAGGAAAGCCTATACAAATAAGAGCAATAAAAACTAAATAACGAAATAAATCAGAATACTTTAGAGGTGAAGGAAACATAATAGGCCTTAAATTGTCTTGCTAAGGTTTTCAGTGGTGGATGTATCAAAATAAGACAATTGCCTCCAATTTTGGAGATTAAAGAATTTGAATTGAAATGTTTGGACATATTAAATGATGCATTGTAAGAAAGGATATAAGATTGGGTACCGTTATTTTACAAATTAACTGGATTGGTTGTTGCATTATCAGTGATGATTAGCTTATATAGATGCTAATTTTTGGAGGTATTAACATGTCATCAATATTAGTTAACATTATTAGCAATTTTAATGTAACTATTAATTTTGAGAGATATCAACCAAAAATGGATGAGAATATTCACATATTTAAATGCTGTCTTATTCCTTTACGACTTACTCTGGATTTATTTATGTGGAGGAGTAATTATTTTAAATAATTTTAGAGTAACGGCATAACCAAAGGAGAATAACACATTAACAAATTTGTCACAGCACTAACTTATGTTGAACTTTTAGCTAAAATTCCATTCACTATTGTTTTATGGAAACATTCAGTAGAGTTTGAATAGTTTTTATCATATTTTATATGATCATAAATTCTTTTTAAAAAATTCCTTAAACTCTTATAATGACATTTAATCGTGTAAGACCCCACAAAACTTTAGAACATCTAACTATAATCTTAAAATTACTTTGAATTTCTTCCTCACTTGTGTTGTCCTTGAATTTTGAAAAGACTTTTCTTATTTTCTTTGAATCAATGTGGCCAGATTTATCAAAATCAAAAATAGCAAAAGCACTTTCTAATAATTCATCATGTTAGTCTTTATTAGACATGCATTCATTAAAAAGTTCTGAGAAATCTGAAAATTACATAGTGGTCTTATTATTAGGGAAATATCTATATTTGAATAATTCTATACTTGAGTTCAGTTACAGATACATAAGTTGGCGATTTGGGGGAACTGTCTTTTTAAGCATCTTCTAAATTTTCATTTGAATTCCCTTTTTTGGCTAATCTTCGACCTGGTTAGAAAGGCACATTAATAGATTGGGAATCCATATTTATTGTTTCTAATTCTTTTATCATTTAATTGATTTGGGCTATGTTAATATCTTCTGCTCCATCCTAAGAAAACAATTAAAAAATCTATCTTAGCTCTTATTAGTTTGTTTATTATTATTGCATTCCAATTTAAATTAATATTATAAATCAAGTTTAATTTATGATAATTTTAGATGATATTATGCGTGATTTATAACTGTTTCTACAATTGAAAATTAATTAAAAATAAATCTTTAGAAAAGTAAAATAAAATTGTATCAATAAATTATGTTCTGCATTGGGAAATTATTTCAATTAAAACCACATTAATGATAGGATTAACAGAAATCATATGTCATTGTGGAAATTAAATGCTTGATTAGTAAGATAACGAAGAATATATTTTTATAATAGATTTCATGATATATAAACAAATATCACTTATTTTATGACTTCTATTTAAGCCATTCATCATATTATTCCTTAGCATCTTTAATATTTTTGGTCATTTGTTCTTACTCTTATTGATTCAATTAAGAGAATAAGGCAGCATACAATTACTGATTATTTTATTGCAAAGTCAAGACTAATTTTTCCATTAATAAAATGGCATCATAATCTTCAAGTGGACTATCGTAGAGTTCAGCATATTCATCATCGCCTTCGTCATAATCTTCATCATCTTCATCATCATCCTATTCTAAATCTTAGATTTTTTCAATAGTTTTTTTAAGATCCTCTTCCTCTTCTGCTTAATCTTCTTAATCACAAGATTCCTCTTCTTCTCTTAAATCCAATATTTTTGTTGATAATCTCACAAATAATTTTCCAACTTCTGATGATGTTGACAATAAGAAATTAGGTATTTGAGGTAGAGAATACAATTAGCAAAGAGCGAAGATTAATCTATTGATATCCCATTCATATTTATAGAATTTTTCCATTTAGAGCATAGTTTAGAGGATCTGATCTGTTAATCCTTTACTGTTTAAGTAATTAACAGCAAGATTAGGATTATACCAGATACACATGCACAGAACTCCAATATTGACAATTTTGAATCTACTAGTTTTTTTCTCTTTCTAATAAATAATAAGTTGAAATACTTACTTGTAGATTAACTAATGTAAAGTCTATGATTTATGGGACCAGATTGTCTATTTAACCAGGGTAATTTTCAATTAATGCTATCAGAATAGTGGTAACTTAATTTTGGTCGGTTTCATCATTTCCATTGTCAGCAATAGCATAGATTTTTTAAATGAATCTAAAGATCAAGGAAATAAATGAATTTCCGAAGAAATCATTTTAGGTCAAAAATGTAGCTCCTCCTTTTTAGATGTAATTTCTGAAGGATCCCAACATCTAGGACACGAATTCACTTCCCCAATCCTTCTTGCACCCTTCTAACAACACATATTAATCCTCTGATAAACCTTAGATACTATAAACATTGGTTTCCTGAGGAATTCCCAATATAATGTAACATAAGACTGGATAATAGAACCACAAACCTGGAGTCAATTGTTTTCTTTTATAAAGCATTATATTCAAAATCTCTAGGGCTTCATTAATGAAGTCACATCCAGTTTCTGTTAAAGCAAAGTTAATAATCGGAAAGATGACTGATTCCAATTATATATAAGACTCTTATTGAAGTGGAGCATTAAGGATTCTTTTGATGGCCTCTAAACATCCTGATGCAGCCAATTCAGCTTCACCGTCATCATCAGAATCACCATCTCCTTAATTCTATTTGTTGCAATATTTTTAGAAAATAGTAGCAATATGAGCAGATAATTAATGAGCATAAGGAGTGATTTCATTTGTAAAATTCTTAACTATTTCTTCTAATGATCTTACAATCTTTTCATTATCGATCAATTCCATCAATTTAATATATATTTCTAACACCTAACTCAATTAAGGCCTTATCAAATCTTAAGCTTCCTTATGTTGAAGAATTTAACTAAATGCTATAGCTGCAGCCACTCTGACTGGTAATTCTTTATCTAATATACATTTCGATATTCCTTAAACTGCCAATTAAATGTTTTGTTTATTTTTAAATTCAATTGAGCCATATTCAGTAAATAAATGACATGCTCTCGCCCTCAAAAATCCAACTGGATTTGAGAACTCTTATAGAATGAACTTCTCTAAGATTTATTCTAAACCCCCTTAAATGGAATTTATTTTAGAGATTTAGTGAACCAAACTTTCAATACCCCATAATAATGCTTCTTTTTTGAGAAGATCTAAAGGTTGATTTGTTAATGGATCAACATTAGTGCTAAATGCAGTTTAACAATAATTAAGAAATGAAATCAACATCAAATTGCCATTTATATCTTTTTATTGACAAACCTCTTAAAGAATGTCATTTGCTGGATTCTTGATATTGTAAGTTGAAAGAGAGAAATCATCTAATCTTTTGATATATTCTTCAGGGTCATTTTTCCATAATTGATCATCTCTTGGAGTCAATTGCATTTTTGGAATAGCAATATGATATATGAGTTTGTCAAAATGAGGCTTGAGTAATTCCTTTGTATTGTCTAATTTTAAAGAGTAGAATAAATATTTGAGAGCAAACAAACAAGTTCTAGGTCCCTAGAATTAAGTGTTATCAGTTAAAATCTTATAAAATATTTCCATAAACCCTATGGCATAAGTTGATTTAATGTGTTCTGCAAACTCAGCCATATTTGATTCAACCATTTTTTTATTGGCAAATTTCTAAATGAATCTCAATATAATTCTGCTTGCCCATTTCTTATTTGTCCATATATATGTTTATTCTCTTCTGGTTTCTTCATCAGAATCTTAAGTTAAAGTTGATAACTCAGGAGGGGGAGGTGCTTATATAATTGTCTTGAAATAAAGCATCCATTTAGCTAATGTATTGTAATCTCTCATATATATTGGCATCACTAAATGAGTTGCGTGATGGAATATCTTCAAAATAACTTTTACTAATTATCCACTCTATTCATTGTAGCCTTCTAAAAACTTTTGAATGAGAGTTTCCAAAATAGGAAATGTTGAAGCAACTAATGGTTCCAATGGTTTACGATCATTTTCCAATAAAAATTAATGGACTTCGCATGCACGTCTCAATGTAAGCAACCCACTCCAAAGGTCTTCATATGAGGTGAAGTTTTGTAATTTAATTACTAATTATTGTACCAATTAAGGCCAATCATTAGGAAAGTCTATAGCTATCAATTTGTAGATCAGATCTTCATATTATGATCTTAACTTCTTGACTTGGATACACCTACATTAAATTATTAAGCTACCTTGCTAAAGCGTCAATAATAGTTGCTCGAATCATAATTTTTTCCTCTCCACTTATAACAAAGTGGCCTGGTTCTTTCTTATCGGCCCAATGCTTTTCTAAAAATGTTTTCAAGTTGACAACAGCGCTTTGTCTTAATAATTCTGGCTGTGTTTAATCATCCACTATCCTTAATAATGAAATGGCATATCTAAAAATTTGGAGGATTTTAATTACAATGGTTGTAAAGATGCTTATTTTAAAAGAGCCTCTCCATTATTTACACTTTCTTATGAAGTTCCATATGTTAACTATAAGGCATTGATTAAATATCCTAAGTCTTAGGTTTGCATTCACGAACTAATTTTTTAAAATTTATTTTAAAATTTTTTAAACTAAATTTGCGCTAAAATCAATTATATGCTTCCAAATAACTATTAAATATCATAATATCATTATCTTATGCATTAACATAATCCTCATAATAAAAGAATGGAAATAAGTCCATTTAACATTCTAGAATATTCTTAAGTCACTTGAATAATATATTTTAAATTAATAAGTATAGCTTGGAATAATTAGCCATATTCTTAAAGAATAATTCAATCAAATATATCTTTATAAATAGCTATATACCCAATAATTCAAGTCAAATTCATTGCCCACATTAATGTGTTTTATTTTTACAAAAATTTCACAAAGCTAAAGAACAGACTTTATCTCTCCTACTAGAATAGTAGCAATAAGAGTAGTTAAACTTGCAATTATTTAATAAAATGCAATAAAAATAATAAAATCTGATCTTATTTATCAGAAAAAATCTGATTTGAAAAAATTTCTAAACAAAAGTTTTGCTTTTTAAAACTTGGTGACATAAGAATGAATTAAATCTGAATATTAATCAATAGCATTTTATTTACGATAATCTTATTATATTATAATAGAATTTATTTAATACTAATTTTAGATCATTTAGTTTGATAGGTTAATGAGGAAAAATCAGAGTGCCAATAAATGAAAAAATGATAATTAAAATTCTTTAATAATTTATTTATAATTATGATGAAAAACAAAATAAGGCTTACAGCTCTAGACATAATGGCGCTAGTGACAGAACTAAAGCAAAAGCTAATAGGCACAAGGTATGTACTTAATTAATAAAAGACTTTCAAATATTTACAATATTGATGCTAAAACGTATGTTTTCAAATTTTCTCTTCAGGAATCGAAATCTTATCTTGTTATAGAGAATGGGTTGAGATTTAATCTTTCTGATACTATAGAGAAAAATAAAGTACCTTCAGGTTTCACAATGAAATTTAGAAAGTTTCTAAGGAGTAGAAGATTAGAAAGCATTGAATAAATAGGTGTTGAAAGAGTTGTTGTTTTTACTTTTGGTAGAGAAGATCATACTTACTACCTAATACTGGAATTATACTCTTAAGGAAATATCATACTAGCAGACAAAGATTATAGAATAATTTAATTAACTAGACAACATGAGTTTTCAGAAAATGTGAAGTATTAATGCTATACATTATAAGAGTTGCTCCTAATGAGATTTATCCTTTTGAATACACAGCAACAAATTATCTTGAGAAGTTTGATACTTCAATGGAAAGAATTTAAAAGGTGATAAGCGACAAACAAGGGTAAAAATTAAAGGAAGTAGTATTTAAACTTGTTCCTTGTTTACATTAAGCATTAACAGATGATATAATATAATAGTTGTAGATGAATTAGAATGAAAAGATTGTGAACCAATTTGATAGTGTAAAGAAAGTAGTGGATTATGCTATGGATTATATAAATAAATATCGTGCTTAAACTCAGTATAAAGGATATTTATGTGCAAAGGAAGCACCTAAGGATGCTGAATAGAAACCAAAATTCTTTGATTTTGCTGCTGATTAACCTGCTTATTATTAGGGAAAATATGTTGTAGAAACACCTACTTTCAATGAGGCTGTACATCAGTACTTTTTAGTTGTTGACAGACAGGAAGAAAATAAGCAGACTATTGAGGATATAGCTTGGAAGAAATTTGAAAATATTAAATAGGATTAAATGAGTAGAATTTAGAAATTACAGGCAGAACAGGATGAATATATAATGAAGGCAGGACTTATTCAAGAAAATATCAATGATGTCTAAGCAATTATAGATATTATTCAGAAAATGATTGAAAATGGTATTCCTTGGGATAAGATACAAAGAATGATTAATGATAGCAAAAAAGAAGGAAACCCACTTTCAAATATGATAGGTGGAATGAATTTGGTATTTATATTCATTTATTTGATTAGAAATAAAACAAAGTGACAATATTGTTAGGTAATAAGGATGATGAATATTCAGATTTGATTTAAATAGAAATTGATATAACTTAATCTGCTTATCAAAATGCCAGAAAGTATTTTGAAAGCAAGAAGAAAAATAGAGATAAGGAAATAAAAACAAAGGAGGCTGTAGAGTAAGCTTTGAAATAGGCTGAGAAAACTGCCTTGAAGGAAATCGAGAGAGAGAAAAATAAAATATAAAAAGTGTAAAATTAAAGAAAAAAGTATTGGTTTGAAAAATTCTTTTGGTTTATTTCATCAGATGGGTATTTGGTAATAAGTGGTAAGGATGTACAATAGAATGAAATGATTGTTAAAAGATATATGAATAAAGATGATATATACATGCATGCTGATATCTATGGATCAGCTTCAACAATAGTAAAGAATCCTAGTGAAGGTCCTATTCCAGAGGCAACAATAATGTAAGCTGCTACGGCAACTATCTGCAGATCGAAATCTTGGGATGCTAAAATAGTTGTATCTGCTTGGTGGGTTCATGCATCTTAGGTTAGTAAAAGTGCACCTACAGGTATGAATATACCAGCTGGTTCATTTATGATTTATGGAAAAAAGAATTTTATTTATCCTCCGAGATTAGAAATGGGTTGTACAATTTTATATCAGTTGGATTAGGATAGTATTAAGAGGCATGAAGAGGAAAGAAAGAAGAAATTAAGAGAGGAACAATCTTAGGTTGATGAATCTGAACAAAATGAAAGTGAAATCACTGAAAAAAATATACTTGATTCTGACAATGATGATAATGATGATAATAATGATAATAATGAAGATGATAATAAAGTAGATTTGATTGATCTAGAAAAAACTAATTCTGTTTAAACTATTTAACAAGGAGATAAGGAATATACTATTGTTGAAGTAAATCCTAATGCAAGAATGATTTAATAAAGAAATGATAAAAAATAGAAAGAAAAAGAACAATAGCAAAAATAATAAACTTAGTAATAGTAGTAACCTAAATAATAACCAAAATAATAATAATAAACAAAATAATAATAAGCTCCTAAATAATAATAGCAAAAATAAAATGTTAAAGAGGCTGAAGACCAGAGTTCTGAGGATGATAAAAAAAATTAGAAAAATCCAAAAACTTAGTAAGTCAGAGGCAAAAAAAATAAAATGAAAAAAGTGAAAGAAAAATATGCTGACTAGTCTGATGAAGAGAGAGAATTAAGATAAAAGTTAATGGGAGCAACTTATATGAAAAATGAAGCAAGACCAGAAAAAAAGAAAAAAGATAAAGATAAAAATGAGCCAAAAAAATAAGAATAGGAGTAAACATAATAGTAGGAAGGATAATAAAAGGATAAAGAATACTACAAAAAATAATAATCAAAATAAGAGTCTATTACAGTTAAATTGCTGAAGTAATAAGGTATAGAAGTTACAAAAGATGAAACAAATCCTGATCAATAATCATAAGAGCCTTTTCAATAAAACAATGAACAATAACAACAATAATAATAATAATAATAAGAACAATAATAATAATAATAATAATAATAATAATAATAATAATAATAATAATAAGAACAATAATAATAATAATAATTACAACAACAAGAGGTTTTATAATAAAAAGACCCAGAAAATGCAGATAATAAATAAGAAGAGGTAGATAGTGATGATGAAAAATAAGAAAAATAACCTGAACAAGAGGATGAGAACATCGAATATTCTGAAATGTAAAAACTTGTCTCCTATCTCTATGCTGATGGTATTAGCTTTATGCTTATTTATTAGATAAATATTTAAGTCTTATTCCTATGGTAGCCCCATATTCAGTGATAGGAAACAATAAATACAAGATTAAAATTGCACCTGGTTCTTTAAAAAAAGGAAAAGGTAATTTTTCATATCAAATTTTTCAGCTGGAAAAGAAATCTTAAATTTCTTCTAGGTCAATAAGGATATAACCAATCAAGAGAAATAACTATTGAAAATGATAACAGATGAAGAAATTGTTCAAACAATGTTGCCAGGAGTTAAATTAACAGGAGTTGGAATGCTTTAAATGAAATAAAAAGAGAAGCAATTAAAGAAATAATAACCGAAAAAAAATAAATGAGTTAAATAGAAATGTAATTAACTATGAAATTATAGTAATCATATTATCATATTTTATTAATTAAATATTCATTTATTTTCTTTTAACAATCTTCTTTCGTGAGTAAACTTCTTGACCTAATATATTTCTAATTATTTAATCAAAACTAATTCTAATAATACTAATAGCATTTTCAGAATTTATATAATTTCTACAATCATCAATAATAAAATATTTGTAAATTTCAAAATTTTCATAATATTTTCTAGCAACAATTCAAATATAACTATTATGGCTTACGTAATTAAGAAGAAAAAAGCGCCGATAAATTAAATGAAATTATTATTAATAATCTATCAATGAAAACGAATAACTAAGCTTCTAACTCAAATAACTTCAAACTTAGAATTTTCTTGAAATCCTAATCCAAGGGAGAGTCCTCATCCTTATATCCAATTTTAGATTCCTAGAAATAAGTTTTTGGTGAGGATGAGAAAAATCATAAAAAACCAGAACCATTAATTATATATGAAGATATATCTGATAGGTAAAAGTCTACTACTGCTTCATCAAGTTCTTCACATTTAAAGAAAATAACTAAGAGGATAACTTAGTCAATAGACTAAGAGGTAAGTCCAGATAATCAATTCACCTTCTACTAAATAATTGATAATTATTATCAACAACAAATAAATTTACCGATCAAGAAAGATAGATATGGTTCTCAAGAAAAAACCACAAAAAAAATTTAAAGATTATATACAGAACAAAGTGAATTTAAATCAAACTAATAAAGACCCTTAAAATTACATTTAACTTAATTCAAAGAACAATATAAATAGGAAATTACTAGTGTAAAAGAAAAGCTAATAAATTAATGCAAAAGAAAGTATAAAAAGTATCCAACTATTCTGAATTGATTTTTTAATATTTTTTTCATATTTATTTATTAAGATAAATAATCCAATAATGTTGATCTTTAAATAGTTTATTAAAACATAACTAAATAACTTTTTTGAGATCATATCACATAAGATTGGATGTGATATTAAAATAAATTGCAAATCATAAAAAAAATACTAAAAAACTGATAAGGAAATTTATTCTTAAAAATCTTAAACATAATTGAATTCAAAGTTATATCAAATGAGCTTTGTTATAGATAATAAGTAATAAAAGGCAGAAATTCATTAAGGATATCTCTTGATCATGAAAAGAAATCATATTTAATACAGCTGAAAGAAAGGAATCATGAAAATTGCTAAAAAAAATGGTAGAAAATAATGGAGTATGATAGTTTATAATCTCTAAATCAAAGAGAAAACACTGATTATTAACGGCAATTTATAAATTATTTATGCCAAACCGATTCTTCAATTATCAGGCAAATTTTAATATTTGATGTTATATAGAATATTGGCAGAGATCGAAGTAACAAAGTATATGCTTAAACCTGTTGATAGCCATTATGAAATCGAAAATCATTTGATCATAATATTTATAAGATTTATAATATCTTTATAATATATCTGAATTATCTATATCACAAATCCTCAATTGTTGGATCGCCGTCTCCTTAGGTCTGACTATCCTATTAATCTTAAAAATTTTCATCATATTATTATTATTAATTTTATTATTCTTCTTTTTCATCTTGTTAATTTTATTCTTATTGTTTTGAACCCTTTGTTGAGTCAGATTCTGCATCTTTTTTATTTTGCTTTTTCTCCTCTTTCTTCTTTTTTTCTTCATCTTTTTATTCCTAAGTCTTATATGATAATTATTATATATACTTTTCTAGGTTTAGTTATTGATTTTATTTTAGTGTACTCTTCGCTCACTTTATCCATCTTTTTCTTCAAATCTTCAATTAAAAATGCTGGATCTTAGTGCAATTCCCTCTTCTCTTGTTCTTCTAATTTTGATTTCAACCAATCTGTTGTATTTGCAAGATGTCCTAAGAATTTTACTTTTTTCTCTTCAGGAACCCAAGGCATAGTTGAATTAAGATTATTGGCTTTCTTGTGGAAATCAGTCAATTTAGTGATTGTTTCATTAATGAATTAGGGTCTAGCCTTAGCTTCATCTAATCTAACTTGGATTGGTTTTAACCTATTTAGTTTAGGAATAAAAATTACAAATTATTCAATTAAGTAAACTTAGTGTTGAATTTTTCAAAATCAGCTGTCCATGCTTCGTCACTATCAAGATATTCAGAATGTTCTTCAATTGTCTTTAAGATTTCAGCTCTTTCTGTTTCAGTTGAAGCCTTTTAGAAATATTCAGCATCTTTGACTTCTCTGACTGTATAAATAAGGGATTCCAATTTATTCTTAATTTCACTCAACTTTCTGCTATTTTCTTCAGCAGTTTCAAATTATTTAATAATTTTTTTTGATTCATCAATCTCTTATTGATTTAATCCCAAGACTACATGATGAGTAATAGTATAATTGATGGGGAAAGTATGAATAAATTTCTATTTTTTGAATTAAGGTTCTTAGTTGACTTATTCGGTAACTTTTGGTTGCTCTTCTGTTTATTAGGGTTCATCTGGTTGCTTTTCAGTTTCTTCAGAAAGATCACCTTCTTCAGAGTTTTCATTATCTTTTGTTTCAGTTTTATTTGTTGATTTATCTTTATCCTATGATGATGTTGTATTAGTAGCTGTAACATTAGGTTTGATTTCAATTAATTTAATTTCCTCAACTTTCATTTCAGCACTTTCTAACTTTATAAACTCATTTGAAGTGGATTTAAAAGTGAGTGAGATTTCAGGTTTACTGAAATTGAGTTCTGTGGCATTAGTAATATTGTTTAAATGATAGGACATTAATTTTGATTTCTAGCCATCTTTTTCCACATAGATATCTAATCTTAAATTTTTATCATAAGTGAATTCCAAAGATCTAGTACTTCCATATTTCTTCTTGTATCCAAACAATGAGAATTCTTTATGATAATCGTCATCATTATTAACTCCATTAATTTCAATAGAACTGCTGAAACTAAAACCGTCAGTCAATTAAACTGGTCTAACTTTGAATGAATGAGATAGATTAGCAGCATGGAATGCAGCACCAAATGCCATAGATTCATCCCCATTTAAATGTGTTCCAACTTCTACACTTCCAAAATAGGTAGCTAACACCTATTAGATCTTAGGAACTCTAATGCCTCCACCTATTAATTCAACGATATTGATATCCTCTTTAGTTTTGTTGCATTTTTCTAAAACGTAATTAATTGGTTCTATCAATTGTTCAAGTTTATTTTCGAATAATGATTCAAAAGTTGATCTCTAAATTGATGTAGTGTAATCTTCTCCATCAATCAAACCTTCCAAATAAACCTAAGTCTCTTTATTTGCTGATAATATTTCTTTGTATTTATTAGATGCCTTTAATAGTTTATTCATTGCTTTAGAGTTTGTAAAAATAGACTTCTTTCCTTTTCTTGATGGTTGATTATCGAATTCCTTTGCAAAGTGATTTGCTAGTAAGATATCTAAAGATTGGCCACCTGCATTTGGGATGGAATAGTCAGCTAGAACTCTTAATGTTTCAATCTTTTTCTTTTGAGCATCTACAGCCTAGAATTCAACCAAAGACACTTGAACATTATATGAACCTATGTTATAAAATAAAGCAGTGTGCTTATTCTCATCTTAACGTTCAAGGGCATAATATAGAGCAGCTGCTGTATTTTCATTGATGATTCCTAAAACTTCTAATTCTGCTAATTAAGCGGCTGATTTTAATGCACTATATAAAATATTTAATTTTAAATTACGATCTCTAACTTATGTTCCATTCACTTGGTACTGTCAATACAACATCTTTGATTTAGATCTAATGATTGAAATCCACTAACTTAGCTATAAATTTAAGAACCATTCCTGCCAATTCTTCGACCTTTACTATCATAGTGTCCTTTCCTTCTACTTATACGCCATCAACTTCAAAGGCAAATGTTCCTTCTCTCTAAAATCATATGTTTAGTATCCTTACCTCTTCAATCTCTATTTTAAAGTCTTCATAGGACTGTCTGGAAATTTCTACGATTTTTTCGTCATTCGCTAATGCTCCTAAAAATTTGTTTAAGAATGTAAATGTATTCTTAGGAGATTTGGATTTCTTGGAAACACCATCACTTTCGTACAAGCGCTCCTTATTGTAAAATGCAATCTTAAGCTTAGATTATAGATCTTACAGCATTTTCTGTTTTTCGTTTGCTTGTAGTATTCTCAATTATTGTGAAAGATTTGCCTGGACTTATTAAAACTGCTTTGATAAATTCAGATCCGAAATCAATTCCCAATACTGTACCGTTGGTAACAATAGCTAGGAGGCAAATGAGTAAGTATTTAATCATTAATAAAAATCAATAAAATATTCTAGAATAATTTTACACTCTCTTATATACACGTGTACATAGAAACTCATTTACTTTGTCTCTAAGAATAATTCTAATTATTCTTTTACCCTAAATGATGCTTATAATAATATAAAATCCTTTATCTAATATATTAATTGCTCATTTTCTTAATTGTTAATTTTTTTACATTACTTTTCTTAAAATGATTTCAATCAACTAAAACATGATTTCTATAGTCTCAATTATTTCTATGCATATAAAAATTGAAATTATATATTACATTATCAATAGAATCTATATAAATCATCTTACATCCTATGATAAAGAGGCTCTTATCTATCATCAATCTCACTTTTTTAAAATATATTTCTTTTTTCCAAAAATTGTTAAGTTTATAGATCTCTAAAATGATTTCAATTTTTCATAGCTTCACTTTAAAGAATTAAAGATAATTGCTCAAAAATATAACGTTGTACAGTCAGATTCATAATAAATTATTCTGAACATAAATATTATCTTATTGTGATAATCTTATGGCTGTTTTTTGTTTTTTAGATAATTGGTTTCTAATTCATTTTGACTGCTTTAAAATCTGTTCAAATTTTATAAATCTCAACATTTATCCCTTAAAACTTGATACCAACAATAATTCTATTTATTTTAAAATTTAATATTAAGGGAAAATATTAAAATCTTATAATCTCATCTACTTCAAAGAGTTCTACTTGTCTAAACATCTGAACAACTTCCAAATCTACATAAATGAACAAGCTTCATGAAAATTTTCAACTGTTTTCTTATTAATTTCAAGCTTCAGAGCTCTATTTATTGATGATTACAAAAAGTGCCATACTATCATTATTTTGACTCAATTCTGATTCTAATTGGAACAAGCTCTCTTAATAAACCTTCCATTAGATAATTCTTCAACATAATCAATTTTAAATTCTTTTTCTTTCTCAATCCTAATTTTTTTATTGAATTTGTTAAAGCAAGAATTATTAGCCTAGAAATAGTAGGATATTATTGTTTCTAGATCATATTTTAATACGCGATCAAAGTTAGAAAGTTAATTTCAGTAATTCAACAGCATAGTTATACCAAAACTAACTCTTAAAGAATATACATAATTTATAATTATTAAATTAATTTAATTTCAGAAAATCTAAGGTCTATTTTAATCAATTCTCTTTTTAATGACAATTTTTTCCACCATTTTTTCCCTTTAATGATAACATCTAAAGAAATGTTTATTTTCTTAAAAGTTTGCAAATATCAAATATGTTCTTCTTTTAGTATTAAAAAAATAGTTAATTTTAATTATTATTTTGAGGATCGTGGTTTTGCTCTAATTTATCTTTTTTTCTAAGATTAGTGTTCTTCACTCCAAAACAATAGAATTCCTTCCTCGAAACAAAAATCTACAAATTTTCTATATAAAAACTTTTAAATTAGATTAATATAATTATATTAATATATTGATTTTGAAAATTATATTTTTCTGAAGAGTAGAACTTAGAAAGTATTATGAAATCTAGATAATTAACAAAAAAGAAAGAGATTTATACAAATAGCATTATGTTTATACATAGATTTGCTGGCAATGATTTAATTTAAAAAAGTATCAGCTGTCAATATTATTCCAATTATTATAACAATAAAATTTAATAAATAAATAAAATTTTATACTAAAAATAGATCAGTATATTCAATAATTACGAAATCGGCGTATATATAATACCGCATTTTGTTAGCAGAGGATAATATATTAAAAATATCTTATTCCAATTACATATGCATTGCTTCAAAGTACTAAGATTTGTCTCTTTGTGGTCTAAAGTGCCACTTGGCTCATTACATCCTTCGTCTGGTATAGTCGCATAATTTGATGCCGATAGCTATTCCTAAAAAGTAAATTTAGGAGTCAACACTTATAGAGATAACTAAGGAAATCCTGTACTTCTGGAATCTGTACAAAAAGTAAAAATTTTCTTCAATTAGGCTATGTAAATAGTTAGAGAAAAAAATTTAGATAATGAATACCCTCCCATAGAAGGACTCTAACCTTTCATCTAAGCAGCAATTAAACTTGGATATGGTGAGAAGTACTACGAAAAAAATGGTAAATACATTGCTGGGTGCTAAGTACTCAGTGGAACAGGGGCTATAAGATTAGGTTTTGAACTATTGAATAAGTTCGTTACTCCAGGAACATAAGTTTTTGTTCCAAATCCAACTAAATCTCTTCACCCGACTATCGCCAAGATAGCAGGATTGTAATCTAAAGAATATCGTTATTTCAATCCAATTACCAGACAAGTAGATTTTTCAGGGCTTTTTGAAGATTTATAAATTGCCCCAAATGGATCGATTGTATTATTCCATGCTTGCTCACACAATCCAACTGGATGTGACCTTGATATAGATTAATGGAGATAATTATTGGATTTAACAAAATAAAAAGGCATTCTCCCATTTTTTGATATGACATACTAAGGATTTACAAGTGGAGATATGGACTAAGATGCTTAAGCCATTAGAATGTTTACAGAAGCAGGTGTTCCCATTATGTTAGGATAATCTTTTGATAAAAATATGGGATTGTCAGGTTAGAGAACTGGATGTCTCAGTATAGTATGTTCTAATGAAAGAGAAAAGGAAATGGTTGTCTCTTAATTAAATTTGATAGCCAGATCTCTTTGGTCTTGTCCACCAGTTCATGGAGCCAGAATAGCAGAAACTATACTCAACAATCAAAAAATATATTAATTGTGGTTGGATGAAGTCAAACATATGGCTTAAAGAATAAAAACTATGAGATAAGGCTTTACTAAAGCTTTAAAAGACTTAGGCTCTCCTCATGATTGGTCACATCTCTCAAAATAATTTGGAATGTATTCATTAACAGTAATAATTATCTATATTTTATAAGGGTATTGGACAACTCCAAATTAAGGAACTTATGGAAAAATATCACATCTATTTATTAGATAATGGAGGAATATCGATAGCCGGACTGAATGATACCAATATCAAGTACGTAGCTATGGCTTTTCATGAAGTGACTAAAAACACTAGATTGTGATAAATAAAGATTATTTATATATTAAGTCTAATGTTTATTATTTTAGTTTGTCGTTGTTAAATTGAGCTAAGAATTTCTAAAACTAAAAAACGGATTTAAAAATTTGTTTTATAATTATATTTATTTTCGTTTTTTTTGTCAACTCATAGTTTTCTTTAATTTGTTGTTACTATCATTTATCAAAATTTATGAGTTATTATGTCTGAAATATCTATCAGAGTGTTGTTTTAATAGTGAAATTATCTGATAGAATTTTATTAAGACATTTTCTAAATGTACTTGATATTGATAAATTGTTGAGCAGAAATATTCAATATTATTATTTTATTATTACTTCACTTGGAATCCGTATTTGATATTAAATCCAAGATTTGATTTGAAGACTTCATATTTCTGAATAAATGTTATTTTTGCTACATCTTTTTTTAAAATTATTATTATTAATTTCTACTTTTAGGTGGGATTATCAACCTGTCTTCAGCCATTTTTGGATTCCTCCCTAAATTAATGTTGACTAGTAATTTCCAAATATTATAAATACTTCAAATATAAAATAAAATATTCTTATTGAATCTCAAGTCAGACATTATAGAACTTCAATTTCATTCAATAATACATTTTGGATCTTTCTTTCTTTAATTGTTAAAGCCATAAATTCTAATTATATTTTATTTGATCCAGATCATCCTTATTCCCTTATAAAACTGCCTTCTGATTTATAATTTAAAAGCTTTAGATGTTGCTTATAATAAATTTACACAAATTATTCAAGGAATCTCATGAATTTTATTAAAAGTTCCAAACTGTATTCAAACGTGCAAATTTCCATAATAGCGAGTCTTTAGTTTAATTCTCTACTGAACTTAATATCTAGATGGAAGGCCCAGTTATAATGACATTAAAATAAATTAAAATGGAACATTTTAAATAATTGGAATAGGAATTCAAAACCAGATAAAGACTTATGAAAGATCTAACATAAAAATTTTCTGTTAAGTTTAAACTTTTTCAACCAACAACAGACAACAATTTAAAATATTAATATACCAATCCATTTGGAAAGTTACTTGATTATATAACAAATTGGTGAAGAATTTAGAGATATTCATTATCCATAAAAATCATTGGGTAAATTACAATTAATAATAATGTGCGCGAAAAATTTACTCAGCATCCAAATAATTTAAATTCTTGATTTGGATTACTATATAAGAATCTTTATTATCTAAATTTTAATAAAACAACCTGCTACTTTCTTTTCTTTTTATAAATTCTATTGATTTAAAGAAAACTATAATTACTAATTTAATTTCATTACATAAAAACTAATTTTCTTCAATTTGTTGTATTTCTTAAATTACTCTCTCATTTAAACTTCAATTTTACATCTATCTATGTAATTTATGATAGAACAACTTTCTTTATTATTCTACAACATTTCTAATGAAAAGTTCTCCAGATAGTTTAATCGCAGAAAGAACATGGAAATTTCTAATCAACATAAGCTTTATTTAATTCTATTCTAAAGTTGAATGTATAAGTTCACTCTCCTTTTCATTTATGACAAGATTAACGATACTTTTTTTTTAAATATCAAAAAGAGAAACTATTTATGTCTAATTAGGTTATGAAATAATTAAATCTATTATTTCAAGCTTAAGCTCCATGTGATAGTAATATTTGTCAATATTATTAAATTGTTACCAATGAATTACTGCCAATAATAATTATTTATATACAAAATGATAATAAGAAATTCACACCCATTCTACATCTTCTGTAGTTTGCCATCCAGTTATATCGACATTAGGTCTTTCGGTCATAGTTCTCATTGGAGAAAAATTTCTTTAATTACTGAGATTCAATCCTGTATTCAATCTGCTGGTATTCGAAACTTGTTTAAAAGATGATTTTAAATTGATAGAAAATGTTTTTATTGGTTTTCTTGATATTGTTAGAGGATTAAATATCTCTGGGTATTGTCTATTTTCTCTGTTCTCTTGTTTACTCCATTATTATCTAGGAAACATCATTTGATTCTTTATTTGTCTTATTAGATTGCTTCTCTATGGTAATATCAGCTGTTCTTCCATATTTATTGGATGAAATTTTCGAGTCTAGTCTTCCGAAATCGGCCTTGCATGAATATGAAGGGATTTCTTTTAATACAACGTACTAGCTTATATTTTGTTTTCAATTAATACTGGATTATGTTTATCTAAATTTATTTAGAATCATACTTACGTAAAGTAGATCGTTTAGGAATATTTAATTGAGTATCAACATGATGTTTAAGAGATTGAGGATGAATGGAATTATTTGTGTTTGATCGGATAAGTTTGTTTATTTGGCATTCTAAATAATATATATCAACTGTTGTAGTCGATTTCTTCTGTCTCTTCATTATTTAGTTTATATTAATATAAAATTATTCATTTGTTAGTTTTACTTTATTTATTTTATAAAAATTCAAATATCTTTTATTTCAACAGAAACACAATAGCTTCCATTTCCTTCTATTTTAATAAACTCAAATGAAAGTTGATTTGAAACTTTTAATATGAGTAAATTAATATTTGATATTATTATTATTATATTTGATAACCCAATAAGAAGAATTCCAATTTAGATGATTTTATAGATTAGAAGCCTTATTAGATCTAAGGAAATAGTGATTTATTATTAAGTTAATTCACCTTTTTGAAGGAAAAAGATTACTTTCTTTTTCAAAAATAATAATATTATTAATTAGATAATAAAATTGAAAGAATTCCAAATAACAAAAACTATATTAATCGTGTATAATCAATAATGATAATTATGAAAAGATATAGTTTATTTTTTAAAGATTTGAATTATTAATTAAGGTTATTGATAATTAGCAGAAACCTAGGTTTTGAAAGAAATGGAGTATTAGCATATAGATTATCAAAATATTAATTTATTTACTTTGCTTTGATTAAAAAAAATTTTCTGCAAACCCTAAATAAATTAATTTGATGAGGAGACTAAAATTTATTGTTTGATAAATTTAATTCAAAATAGTGAAAATTTAGTAATTATAAATAAATGTATTAAGTATTGATTTAAATTATAACTTTATTATTGAAATAGAGATATCTTTAATTCAAATATTGTTGTGGATGCTATATTTGCTTTTGCTAAACATTTTTCTAAATTCTTGCATATAGACTGAATTGCTCTTTCTAATATTGACAGAATCTTGTCTTTAAGTTAACTTTTAAGGAACTATAGATTGCCTATGTGTGGAGGAAATTCTTGGTTTGGACTCATCATTCAAAGTTTTGCATATATTGGCATAACTTTATTACTATTTCTGCATCTTAATTGATTAAAAAAATAATATTACTTGTTATTTCATTAAAGTTGCTAAGGATGATTAATAAGGATTGGTTGTATTGTGTGAAGATGAGGTTTTGTGTCTCAAATTAGATTAATAAGCATCATTCTCTAAGTTTATTTTTAATCTCATCTATTGCTTTAAATAGGATTCTAAATAGATATTACTCATTACTTTAAGGGTTCTATGTCAAATTGTTTGTGTTATAATCTTATTATTTTATACTTCGATAGCTTTTGGATTAAGTATTGTTTTAAGAATTCTTCACTTATTATTTTAAGAAGTAATCTAATTTGTATGATTAATGCCTTTATATAGAAACGTCTTTATGTAATTAACTTTGTTGCTGAATATTTTTGCTGAAGGTATAAATATCAAAGGCATACATACTTAGGTGGATTACTGCAAGTTGCGAATGAACGCTCTAAGGATTTACAAATAGTTTATGGTTTACTGTATGTAGTTACATTTTAGTTCAAAACTTCTATGTTGTCAAAGAAACTGTCGTTCATACTCATATTTTGAATTTAAATAAATAAAAAGAATTTTATATAACAACAAAGGCTATCCACTTTTAGGTATATTTTATTTTTAATTGGAAATAACTTAATAGAAATGTAATAAATCAAATATATACGTGACATAATCATGTTGAATACAAATCAATATTTTGTGGACTTCCAATAATTACAGAAAAGATTTTGTACATTTTATAAATATTTTGGTGATGTTGTTTTAGGGTTATCTTTTATTTAAATCGTATGTAAATTTATAAAAAAGGATAACAGATTGAATGGATTACTGTCATTACTTTTTTTCTATGTTATTCTAATAGTTTCAATGTTTATTTATATAAAACTATATTTTGATATTAAATTTAGTGTTTTAATTAATAACAACCTTTCTCACAATGATATCTCTAAGGATAAATCTATTATACTCCTGAGCAAGGGTTAACAGAAGAATTAAATCGATTTATGAACAAGTTTAATCAAAAGAATTTATATTGGAAATAATGTTTAAGGTATATTTTAAACCAAAACTACACTTTGTGTATATTTTTTTTTAGATTTTAAGAGATTAAATTAATTGATAACTTGACTATTAAGATAAGATCTTTTTAATAATTAATACAAAATAATTATTTTGTAAGGTTGATTATTTTCTAATTTTTAATTTTCTATATATATTATATGAATAAAGACACTAATACTTAGTAATATTTATTGAGATTAATAGCGATACTCTTATAAAGGTTGTGATAGTAGGAAACTGCAATGTCGGAAAATCTTGCATTTTAATGAGATATTCTGAAAACTATTTTACGTCTTAATATTACAATACGATTGGTGTAGACTTTGTATTTATCGATCTTATTTAGAGAAAACTAGGGTGATTAAAATAGGGCATTAAAATGTGAAATTGCAAATTGTATTTATTTTAAGTAAATTCAGTGGGATACAGCAGGACAGGAAAGATTTAAAGCACTAACAAATAACTATTATAGGGATGCTCATGGAGTTGTCATAGTTTATGATGTGACTGAAAGATCTACATTTGATGCAGTGGATAGCTGGATTGAGGATATAGACAAGTAATGATTTACTTAAGCCATTTAACAAAGGTATGGGAGAAAATCTGTTTAAAAATTAATAGTCGGAAATAAGGCTGATGTACCAAATAAAAGAAAAATAAGCTTATAGGAAGGGAAGGAGAAAGCAAAACAATTTAATGCATAATTTCTTGAAACATCTGCTAAAACATCTGAAAATGTGGATAAATTATTCATTTCTATTTGTGAGCAAGTCATGAATATGAAATAGTAATAGCCTTACAATCAGAATAATAATTTAGCTTAATAACAATAGAATTAATCCTAGAATAGGAATAATAGTAATGGCTGTTGCTGATGTAATTATTTAATTCTTTTGTTTTTTAATTATTTTTATGTATAAAACCAGATTAATGGGTTGATATTTTCATATATTTATTTAATTAACTTTTTATTTTGTGATGAAAATAATTGTAGATGGAATTACCGTCTGATTGTTGTTGATGCTAATGTGGCAATATCTGATATATCTATAATATTAATATTTATCAAGTTGATGAATTATGGAATCTCATTATATGAGATTAATGATTAACAATTTCTATATCTGAAAACTTATATCATTCGTAATAATAATTTATATTATTTAATGATGCACGAAGAGCAAGAAGCGGAAATAACTCCTGACTAATTGCAATAATTGAAGATGTGCAAAATCTTCAAAGACCACGTAAGCTTAGGATTCTAAAATTTAGCAAAAAGATATAAATGCTATCGATTTTTCAAAAGATGGATAATATTTGGTCTCTTGTGATGATTAGGCTCTTAACGTGTATGATGTCCATTAGGGAAAGTATATTAATTTCTAATCAATAGAAAAATGAGAACACTCTATAATAAGGTGAAGGAAATAGATCTTGTCAGATTTACACATCATAATTCATGTGTTTTATGTGTTACGAAAAAAGAGCCTTATGATATCTACTATTGGTCACTACATGACAATTAAATATTGAAAAAGTTCACTGGACACACTAATATGTAAGATTAAATTGAGTTACCTTTCTGATAGAATACATTGGCTAGATTTATCTCCTGTCTCAGATGATTTTTTAAGTTGTAGTATGGATGGAACATTAAGGTTGTGGAATTTAGCATCAGAATACTAAACATCTGATGGCTTATTAGATTTATCTGCTAAAAAAACATTTTGTGTAGCTGCATTTGATCCATCAGGATAAGTTTTTGCGGTAGTGTTTTTGGAATAATATTATTGTATATCAAATAATTGGTTATACTTATATGATTTTAAAAAATATCATTCTGGATCATTTTAATCCAAAAAGATTAATTGTAGTCAAGTAAAGTGTATTAAGTTTAGTAATAACAACAAATATATTTTATGTTCTACTGGAGATGGCACAATACTTATTTTAGATGCTTATACATTAGATACAGTAAATAATTGAGTTTATAAATAGATTTGCGAATTAAGCGATTTTAACAACCAGGGATCCATGATAGAGGCTGGTTTTACTCCTGATTGCAATTACGTAATAAGTGGAAGTGAAACAGGAACTATTCATATTTGGAGTCTTTCAAATGGAAGTTAAATAGCAAAATTAGATGGACATCAAAAAAGATGTAAAGTTGTTAAATTCTGTCCTACTTATTTTTTGATGGCTAGTGGCTGTAGAAATTTAGTACTTTGGATTCCTGATTAATTTTCTGTTGATAGCATGAATAACAATAATAGTAAAAGAAGTTTAATGAGCATCTGAATTAATTCATGTATTTTTATATATATTAAAATAATAATTATAATCTAAAATGTAATAGTATAGCAGCATTGAAGTAAATTAATGCTTACAATCTTATCTAGCAATTTGATGAATTGATGAGTAGCAAGTTTTATATTGAAGAGGTATTTGATGAAATGTAAAATGAAAAGTTGGACATACCAAATACAGATAAAAACAAAATCATGTTAACACTTGTAATGTATATCTTCTATATAAAAAGGAAGAAAATCTAAAAGAAAAGAATGATTTCCTACTTTCAGAAGATTTTAATTAGTTTCAATAATTGCTTGTTATTTCATTGATTACGATCAATTTTTCTAGTGATGATCCATTTTTCAGACATATTACAATGGTTGTCAAGGCTATCAAAAAAGCCATTAAGAAAAGACTTACTTAGGACACTAATTACTTCTAATCAGTTTAGGAATATAAAGTAAGATTCATGTTTTCTAATAGAGAATTAATAATCAACTCTCTTTAAAATCTTTTATTAAGATATAAACATTGGATTCATCACATCCACACTATAAATAAAGTCTACAGCATTCATCTTTCTCAATAAATCAATAGCTGATAGTTTTATGAATAAGAAAATATCAATTGAACAAAAAAAAGAGCGAGTAAGATTGACTCTCTCTTTTTTCAATATCAACATTTAGAAAGAATTAAATGTGTAATAAGATTTTAAAAACTAATTTTTAAGAAACAATAAATTCAAAAATGAATTTATTATCTTAAACGAAGAATTTGATCAACAGAAATAATGCACAACTTTTCATGTCTATAAGCCAATGGATGATTAAATTTATTTTGTTAAACGAGTAAAAAACAACCTAATTATAGATTTAATTGTAAGGCATTCCTATTAATGTTACATTTCAAGATATTTTTAATACAAAAAGTTCTAATTAAGATTACTTAACAATTCAAGAAGCACGTATTCTATAACGTATTTCACATCCAAATATCATCAGACATTATGATTGGTGGCTTGAATCAAAAAATTAACAACTATTCCTCTACACTCAAATTGAATATTGCATCTATCCAGGATATATCTCACAAACTAAAAACCTATTGAGTTATTCTTATTTTTATATGAATCCTATGCCATTGGAATAGAAGAGCAAATTAATAATTGAAATAATCTGCCAAATAATAAGTGGTTTGGAGTATTTGCAGCAAAAACAAATAATCCATGGAGATCTCAAGCCTGAAAGTATTATGGTTACTACAAGTATCACTGGGGAAATCTAAGTAAGCCTATTCTTCTATAAACGAGGTAATGTTGGCCGACTTGAATCATTCATACTCTTATTTCGAAGATATGCAAAAACAATTCAAATAAGATTAACCTCAATATAAATAACAAAGCCTTTAAGCTTTGGGAGTATTGCTCATGCACCTCATTCTCACATTCCCTGGAGAACCAACATTAAGGAATAATTATGTATCTAAATTGTCAAATTACGACATTGATGATTCCCTAAGTGAATTTGATAAATGGGCTTAGAAATCTGTAAAAAATCGACATAAAGAATTTTCATTTTTTTTATACAAAAATTTGATCACATTAGCAAAATCCCTTTTAAAGAAATAGTAATTTAATGAATTGCATGAAGTAAGAACTTTTATTTAAAATAATAAATAATTTGATCATCTATTAGTTTGATTTATTTCATAGTTTTTTTTATAAAAATAAATAAATAATAATGTAATAGAGATAGTCTCATAAAAAACTGCCCTCAGAAGTCATTCATTCCAATAACTATTATATTATCCCAAAATCACTTAAGTATTAAATTTCATTTTCTAAATCTCAGATCATCCTAAACTTCAGCCTCGAGTTAGGAGAGAAAAAAGGTTGCCTCGACTAAGAATATCGATTAATTCGAGTAGATTTACGATTCCGAAAAGCTTTTGACAAAAAATCAATAAACTACTCCTTATTAATCTAATTTGGAATTATAATAGGCATTACATTTTTCTGAATAAAACAACCAAAATTTATCTCGTTATCATTAATAGTTAATCTAGAATAACGTAGATCTTCAAAGTCTTTATAACAAATCAGAAACATAAAATAAAAAATTATAAAATGAGTTAAAACTATTTCAAAATAGAATTTCACTAAAAGAAAGTTAGCTAAAGTAGGCTTAAGAAAATGGAGTTTAATATATGGAGGATATTGCAGAATTAAAGATTTCTATATAAAAAGTAGTGTATTTGTGTTATAAAATTAGCTTAATTCTACGTTGACTAAAATGAATGAAGAAAACGCATTCTACAAGGATCAATTAAATACCGCTGAAACTTAGAATATTCTCGCTGGTTAAGGATTATCCAGCAGAAAAGATCTGGATTCGCATGGTGAGTTCAACTTGAATAGATCAAAGTAATCTTTAAATTCTCGATAATAATCTTAAAGTTTTTAAAATAACTCTGCATTTACTCACGATAATATTTAGAACTATTAAAATTAAATCTTGCAATTCTAAAAGGAGTTAGCAGAAAAAAATCAATTAATAGTCGGTTTGTAACAGCAAGTAAAAAATTTGACAGACTTTTAACGATAGTTATTGACAAAATCACAAAAAAAATAACACAATAAAGGATTAAAAAACTAAATTTATACAAGTCCTCGGCAAAAGCCCATATATAAAGTGCAAATTAATAATGAAAGCTAATTATTGACTAATAGAAATCTTTTAAATTTAATTAATGAATAACAGAAACCTGATCTTCGATTTCATAAAACCAATTAATCAGAAGAATTTGATGTAAAAATATTACTAGGTTAGGTTGGACCAAGTATCAAATCATCTATTACAAATCGAAAGAGCAAATAATAGTTATAATAGATTTATAAGAAAATTAATTAATCTACCATATACACTGCTGGTTTATATTCCAGTTTGTTAGATTATTAATATTTATCAAATGTAATAGTATTAATTATCATTTCAGAGTAAACTATTAAGTTCTTCTTATTCTAAAGATACATTATAACAATGAAGATCTCTTAAAAATATTTTAATTTATTAAATTTATTTGTTATTGATAATGTAAATGCTACTTTATAAATTTAACATAATTAGAAAATTATTCTCAAATTATTTATAACTCAATTATAAATACATCAAAGAATGTACATTAGAAATAGTGATTACAAAGTAAAATATTTGAAATTTGACAATATTTGTATTTAATTGAATTGATTTATTTTTAGATATAATAAACAATCACATTTTTATTTTGGTTGATCTAATATATTTATTTTTTACGAGGGAGTATATTTGATACATAGGTAAACAATCTTTTTTTATTGCATGAGTGTTTTAAAAAGGGTGATTATGCAAAAATAATTAGCACTCAATTTATAAATTTTATTATATCTTTTCTATATATACTAATAATTTATCATATGTCTTCACGATTAATTCCAGTCTCAAGTTTTAGATTACAAAAAATAAATCCCAAAAATTAATCAAATGGGGTGCTCAATCATGAAATAAGTTAAGACTGATTAAATGATATAAAATAATTGTGTCATTGAGCAGAAAAATCAGATCAAGAAGAAGAGTCTCTTTTATAGATATTCTTTTAAATTAGAACATATTTCATCAAGTACGTTGATGATGAGAAGAAAATAAAAGGTGAATTGATTTCGGAAAACCCATAAAGTCATTCTAAACCAAATGAATTATTTTGAATGATTTAGAGCTGTTTGTTTTATTATTTAAAGTATAAGAAATTGAGTTTAAACCATGTTTTTATTTTGATCTTCATCCTTTTTGAGCTATAGTTTTAGAATCTTAGTATATATGATCAAATACATTACACACCTTTTTGGAATTGGAAATTAAAACTAACATTCAGTGAAAAAAAATGATTACGGTTATTTAAACTGGGTAAAAGAAGTAAGAAATGTTTTAAAGATAAGAGAATTGTAACTAAGTCCTCACGATTATGTTGAATATAAAGAGTTTTGTTTATCATTATACTTATATATAATGCAGACAGATAAAATTGTGTTGAGCTTTAATTAAAATATATTCATTAGATAATAATCCAAGTTATTGTGCTGATCCAAATATTTCTCTTCATAAGTTAAAACAATTCCTTATGGTACCTTGGAAATCAATCGAAGCTATAATTAAATTGAGGCCTAATTAATAAATTGTAACCACTTTATCTTCATAGAGAGAATTAAACATTTTCTCTATGATGATTAGATTCAATGATAATATTTTAAAGCAAAATAATTACTTAATTCATAGATTTAACCTTAACAATTGCAGAAAGAAGAGTTGAAATATTTTATATTATATAAATTAAAACTAAATAAATGTACCGTTTTTGTGTGATAATTTAATAAAATGAAGGTTTTTGCTATAATGGCTTTGTTGCTAATAACAGCATACTCTCAATCAAACGAAATAGACGTTGTGTTGAAGATGCTTGCAGATTTAAAAAATGGGACAATCAAGCAATTATAAGAATTGGAGAGTGATTGGGAAGCAACGAAATATGTAATGTGTATAATATGACTTTCGATCAGCAAAAACAAGACATTGTTAATGATTTATAACGTTCAGCATCGACTCAAAGGGGTGAATGCAATAGAAGAGATTAAGAATGGGCAAATAAAGAGCGTGACATTAGAATAACACTCAGCTATATTAGTTGGCTTGAGAAGAGAATCAAAGAGAATAACGAAAGACTTTAAAGATTAGATGTGAACAGATGTGAATCAAATGCTAATTTCATTAACGATATCAAGAATTCAAAGAAAACTCTTAATTTAATAGCTTTCCTTAGAAGAGCTGTGAAAAATGCAAAAGAAGTACAACATTATGCAATATAAGACTGATTTACCCACTCTATTGTAATCTGCTTAATTCATCCAACTAAAATCCTTCTTGGCTGACGATGGAGAAGAACCAGAATTGACCTCCGATGACAATGAGCCTCCCCATGTCTACGATGAAGTTACTGAGACTCCTGAAGAAACATCAGTAACTGAAACTGAAGAAGCTGAATAGGATGTAACTTCTGCTGCACCAGAAGAGGGAGTAGAAGCAGCTGATCATGAAATAGAGGAAGCATAATCATCAGATGAACCAGAACAACCAGTACCTGAACATCCTTTGGAGGCTGAAGAGAAGGCCACTAATGAACAATTAGCAAAGGAAGCAGCTGCATTTAATAAAATTATTGAAAAGGGATAAAAGGCTCCCGCTTAAGCTGGATCTGGAAAGGATTATTCTTAATTTACAGTAGCATAATAGGAACTCTTGAACTTTTTGGATATCTTGGAAGATGAGGTCAGAGGATCATTTGGAAAGAAATAAGACAATCAAGTCAATTCAGCCATGGGATATAGTGACTTTAAAGGTTTGATTACCAAGGAAAATGAAACATTCAGAGGACATTTAGCTGCCGAGGATGTCAATTTGGTATTCAATTTAAATAATAAATTAAATAGGAAAAATTACAAAACCAATTGATCACAATTTTATAAGCCACAGCTGCATGCAAGGACAGATTAAAGAAAATCTAAAATTCTATTGATTTGGCTAATGAAGTATGTGTACCATAAATACAATTAGGATTTGGCAAATGCAGAAGCTCACTTCAAATCAGTTAGTGAAACTCTTCAAGAGGAATAAAACACTTTTGAGGATGTTTACAGAATTTACTCAAGCCAAGTAGGTTCTCAAAGTACCTCATATAAGAGAGATGTTTAATCCAAAATTACAAATTGATTATGTAACATCAACATAAAATACAATCATTTTATAAAGCTCTAAATAATTACTATATCAATTTCTCTTAAACTTGGCCTCTCTAATCTTCCCCACATATCTATTGAAAGCACCCTTTAGATAAATATAAGGATTTTTTCTGTTTTTGATTCCAGCTAAAATTGACCCAATTATGTTGAACCCAATGATTGCCATAACAATACAAGCGACTCCTACTATTGCCCTTAAAGGATATCTGATATCGTTGATTTATAGAAATTCAAATATTGTATTTACTAAGCTGAATCCAAAAATATAAGTTGAAAAAGAAAAATCGAACACCAAAAACATCAGCAATAGCCCTAAAAAGTCCATAAATAAAGCACAACACAATTTAATTATGAACTTATCTAATATTTTTTCTAAGTCTTCATCAAATTTGATGTCTTCTTGTGATTTATAAGTTAAATTTTAAGACATAATTTAATTTTTATGAAAACTTTATAAAAGGCTATAAAGAAAAAAGGAAGCTTGACTCTCATAAAATAAACAGATATGAAAGTACATAACAGTTATAAGTAAATTGATTGAATATATTGAAAGAGTTCAAAATGCTCCTTTTTAAAACAATATGTCGAAGTATATTTTGAATGGCAATCAAGTTTATGTGGCATCTTCCTCAAATAAATCCTTTGAAGCTCTAAAACAGAATTTGACATTAGTTGAACAATTTACTCCAAAAGTAATTCTAAATGATGAACTAGATAGTGTGTATTGCTTGATACTCTTTCGAATCGAGTCTTAAAATAATGGATTCAGGATTCAACTACAGAAACATAAGAATAACAATTATTAGGCAAAAAAAAATATACTTAATTATTTCTCAAGGTATTTCCTAAATAAAGGGAATTCTTCACAATGCATGATAATGGCACTTATGTTTATTAAGTTAAAAATAGGCAGATTGAATTTTAGGATTAATTATCAGTTGCATATTATGCATGTAATGATCCTAAAATGATGATCATGATATCTAAACCTGATGAAGTTTTATAAATAGAGGATATCGTAAACAATTTTACTTTGGAGGACCTAAAAAATGCATTTTTGGACACAATTGAAAAAATGAAACTGGCTATTGTGAAACCATAAGCAGATTCGTCAGACTCATTTACAGATATTATATTTATATTCAGGAATACTATTTTAAAAAATCACTCATATTTATTCGAAACTTATGTTAATTATCAAGCAGCCCTTTTACAAAAATCTTCAAGAGTTATGGATAAGTGTTTTCTATTTACAAATCAGTTTCTGGCAGATCAAGTAGTTAAGGTCAGCAAAGAAAAGTTCTTTGATTATAATACATTGTATTTAGAAGAGAAATTTGATTAAAAGAGCAAGGATGAACTTTTGGAGAAGATTGTCATTGCTGGTTACATGGTTGATTATTTATTAAGAGTTCGTGCTATGAATGGATAAAATCCTTTTGAAAATACTAAATTCAATAAGTATTTGAATTAAGATGATATTCCAAAATATTTAGAACTTCACAACTTTTATGCTGATTAACTCTATAACTTTTAGAATTTTACAATCTAGGCATCGCTGTATAAAAATCCCTAAAAGAGTCAATATCTTTCATTTGAGGAATCTGTAAAAAAATTCAAGGAAAAGTCCTAGACTTTTAAATACCAATTTGAGATTATGCAAAACTCTTAAATGAAACAAGGATTGGTCTTGCAAGACTTATTTAAAAGATAGATCAGTAAAATAATATAAACAAGAATGATGCAAGGAATAAATTAAAAGGATATCATAAGATCTATGCAAAACATAGGAAAGGAAATTTATTCAAAGGAAGATTTGAAAAATTACTTAAAAATCTTATTGGAAGCCAATGCTCTCTTAGGATATCCAATGAAATTCCCTGGCAATTTAAAAGACATGATGCTTCCCTATATATAAAATTTATAGATAGAAAAAGAAGCAAAGGTTGTTTCAGGACTGACATTTCAACCCTTAACAAAGAATTTATCATTTGCCAAATTACCAAAAAAAGAATCAAAACCAGATGAATTTACTGATGATGAATTGGATGAAGGTTGCTATCGATATGTCATAACATAAGATGGAAGCAAATAAGAATTACCTGAAGAACTTAAACACAAATCATTTGAAGAAATGAAGAAAATAGCTGACGAATACTAATAGATTAATTTCAAAGTGAATGAACAAGGAAAATACGAAGTTATTGATAATGCCTAGACTAGATTAAATCAAAAAGAAGTGGATAAAATATTACGAGAATTAGATGCCGATGATGAGAGTTAGAAAAATAAAAAAAAGAATTTAGAAAATGAAGACGACGAATCAGAATCCTTGAATTCTAGGGGAAGAAGGATCAAATAAAAAAAGAAGTGATACTTTATGTATATAGATATATTTTCATTATTGGTAGATTAAACACATTTTTTTCTAAATTAATTTTTAACATATATGCATAAGAATCAAATTCAAAATACTAATACTCGGAAGCCATCTAATAGTTATTTAAAAACTGAGTTCAGTTGCTCATCTCAGATCAAGGATTTGAGATACACAACAGACCCTTCTCCGAATAGGGCAAATAAAGAAAATGTTGTCAAACCATCTTATCTTAAAGCAACTCTCCAAAATCATTTAATCAAATAAGATAGAAATATAACTCCAAATGTTGCCAAAGGTAGCGTTATAAGCTTGTTTCTTAAATAGAAATAAGAGGAGTAGCAAACAGAAATAAAATTGAATTCTTGTTAAATGCACAAAAAGAAATTGAAATATGAAATCAATTAATAATAAATGTGTAGTAGATGTGCAATTGATTATGCCATCCAATATGGAGTGCCCATTCGTTATAATGAACTAGACAGAAAAATGCTCACATTTGGATAAGATGAAGAACATGAAGAATTTCAGACTTTTACTTAAAACACATCAAAAGAACTTTAATACATTTAAAATATACAAACCTAATCTGACGGTATCATTAAAAAAAAAGAGTTAAAAGATTTCATTGTTAAGGTTGGAGATGTTATCAGTTAGAATATGTAATTTCTAAAAGTAATTCAATAATAATCTCTGACATATGATAATTCAAAACAATTAGTAAATAAAATATTAGATGAGCTACATTTAATGAGTAAGACTCTTCTTAATGATTTATTTGATAAATAATAAACTAAAAGTCAAGGTTCTTTGTGCATATCCAATGATCTTCCTCAGTAAATTAATCTTAATAGCTTTAAATCAGTTGTCACTTAATAAATTAATGATCTCCAAAATATAAAGAAAGACATTATGGAGAATGTTGATAATATTATCACTTAGATGGATGTAGCTCCTTTTAAAATTATTATTAATAAATACAGTGAAAAATTAAAAACCTTTGAGAATACTTTATTTGAAATATAAGAATAATGTATAATTTTATATTTAAAAAAATAGACAAATAACTTCCTTAATAAGGGGACAATAATACTTTTACAAAAAAGATGAGAGATTTAAATTTCAAGAAAAAATTATCGAAACTCTTTAATGATTTACTAGAAAATTCAGTAACAAAAACAAGTTAATTATCAGATTAAGGTATTATTATTGATATATCAAATTAGTTAATAATAATACAAAGTTTATTTAATTGTTATAAAAAGTAAATAACAATTAAAATACCAACACAATCTTCTATTCATCTATTTTAAAAGTAATAAATTATAATTAAAATTAAAATTAGGATATTAATTCTGATGAAAAACCCAAACAATTAAAAGCCAAATATAAGCCTTCTGAGTGATTTGCTTCATAAAATAAAACTAATATAATCTAAAATAATATAAATTATTAAGCTTAAATCTTAGATACTAATATAATCAATTATATCTGTTAAATTTGAAGACTTAAAAATTGTACATTTTATATTCTACTTTTCTTCTATTTATATTTTGTGTTCTACTTATAGATATTAACTTAAAATGAGTATCATAATATGGAATCTCAAAAATTGCGATATCTAGAATAGATTTTCAAGTTATGAATTTAATGATAAGAAATAATGCTCAATATTTAGATTCTATGCTATTAAATGATAAGATATTTTTGAGATTGCTGTGAAACTATTTAAATATCAATTTAGATAAATTAATTAATAATCATCATTTTCTCGATTAAATTAATTCAATGTACTTAATCAAATTACTCCGAAGTTTCTCTTATAATATAAATGAAATTATTTTATTGCCAACTTAATACTCTTTCTCCAAATCTATATCTAAGTAATTAACATTAGCAATCCCAAAATTATTTGAACTCTTCACAACTTTGCCAACTTCCTATTCACCATTTATGATTATTTAGTCTTCCAAATTATCTGTATTATCATTGGAGACTATTTTAAAAGGTAGCAATCTCTTCCTAATGACACCGGTGTGATAGGTTCTTGCTGTTAATTCTTAACCTACATAGCAACCTTTACTTAAGTTGATAGAATTCCAGAAATCAAAATTAACTTAAAAGGGTATTTTATTGACAACTTCTTTTCCTTCAAAAATAGCTTCTGTCAATCTTGAGATTTCAAAATGCGCTAAATCCTAAACTTTAATATCATTTTCTTTTAAATCTGGCATCTCATTAGTAACCATTCTAATTCCAATCGAAGAAGATCTTGGATCGACAGCAACAATATTTCTATAATCCCCTTCTTCGGATAAATCATTATTGGGATCTGTAATTGCTTCACCTTCCTTATTACTTAATTTAACTTGTGGTCCCTTAAGTTTAGACGTATATAGAATACATAAACTTAGAAGACATGCAGTTGATCTTCATAATCTGTAATTTAGACTTTTTTCCTAATCAAGAATTTCTTAATATGGTTTATTAAAGAGCTTTTGATTTCTTTATCTATGTCCATCCAAATTTCATCATTACAATATTACCACTCATCATTCTTTTGACTTATAATACGATTTCTTACATTTAAGGTCTATGCAAAATGGCTTCACAAATGACTCTCCCATTTGTATTAAGGAATAATGTACTTTGAGATTGCTGGATTTAGCGAAGGTCATTTGTGGTTATTCCCTGCAGAATTTCACAAGCATCTCTTCCTTTGATAGAAACGATGCTTCGATTGTCAAGACGTGCAAAGTGACTTAATTTTTTTAACATTTAATTTTAATATATGTTTAAAAACAAATTTTGAATGTTATTAGAGTATTGCTGTTATGATCATTCTTCAAGACGACATTTAATAAAACAATATTTGAATTAAAATCTAATCATAACACCAGTTTATGAAAATAGATTATTGATTCAATAATTCCTTTGATATAGCTATAAGAATAAATATCATTCTTATCTAATTTAAATTATCCAAAGCCATATAATTTTATGTTATCTACATTTAACCTTAACTTATTTATATCCTTAGATTCTTTCCCCAATTTGGTTATAATATGTTGTGATAAAATTAACAAAAAAAAAGTTTGATGAAAATTTAATAAGTATATTATAAATTCATAATTATTATAACCAATATAATTTATGCCACATTCTATCAATTCAACTGTCTTTTGAATTTCAATATTTCTAAAAATAATTTTAGTATAGCAATATATTTAATAGTAATTCGTGAAAAATTAATGAATTTTATATTAAAATGCGTGGATCCTTAATATCCGCTCCGTATTTGCATTACTTAGTCAAAAACAAGTCCAAAATAAAAATTGTCAATGTTATAATGACAGATCACCATCATAACAAAGAGGAAAATAATAAATTTGCTCATGCTCACAGAATTACTTTGGATTAATCAACACTAAACTTGATCGATATTACAGCAACTCCAGTACCAGTAGCTCGTAAATTACCAACCCAAAAGACTTTTGAGAAATATATTTAAGAGAATTAATATGATCATCTGACTCCAATAGTGTTTTTTGATGAACATATTCATTTCGCTGCTAGAGCTTGGTTTACATTTAGGTATTTTGGATTCAAAAGGGTTTATGTATTAGATGGCGGATTTAACAAATGGCACCATCAACATGACTTTGATAAGAATGATAGTAAAGTTTATGAGGATTTGAATTTGTGTATGATTAATGTTTATTTAAAGAGGATCAACCAAAGGATTAAGTTACTTCACTATCAACTAAGGATGTATCTGTGATTTCCTATCTCAAACAACACAAGGACGCAAAAGGTGATGATTGGTTACTTTTGGATGCCAGAGATCCACCAAGATATAAAAAGGGATCTATTCCTGGATCTTATAATTTACCTTATTCAGAATATTTGAATGATGATCACACAATGAAATCTACAGAAAATTTACAAAAGTTATACAAAATTCATTAAATTGATATTTCAAAGAAAATTGTCAATACTTGTCAAACTGGAAAATTAAGTTGCATTGCACTTTTGGCATAAGAAATTCTTAAGAAAAAAGAGTAATAACTAATTTCTATATGTTAGATTACTTTTATTTGATGGGTCTTATGAAGAATGGAATCATGAACACCCAATGAAATAATGAAGCATACATTTATATCTATATTTAATAATATCCATAATCTTCAAGCTTAAATCTACTTAACGAATGCCAATCTTGAAACACTTTCGCCCTTGTACAATTATTTGATACTAAACAAACTGACATCTTTGAAGTGAATTGATTATTATTTGTCCAACAGATTATCTGCTAATTTATTTATTGCCTTCTGATTATCCTTATCTACTCCTTGAACTATTCCAAAGATAATTTAATCTCCTATAGTCTTCAGTAAGTCTTTTGAATTCTCTATGGTGTAATCTTCAATTTAATCAATTTTAACTTTTATTTCTGTGTCAAAACTAATGAATTACGTATTCATATTGTTTTCATCTATTTTAATATTACCTTCAAAGCACACTTACTATTCCTCACTCTTGATCAGTCCCTTCTACTTATTTTACAACACTGGGTATTCATTAATTATAACATGCTAAGTTTCACTATCCTCTTCATCTTCTACTGTGATTACTATTGGATTCGGTCTCACTCTTTTAGCAGGAGGAGGTGAATCTCTCTTCCTTCCTTTCCCTTTACCCTTCTATTATTCTTATTAACCATCTTGATTATTATTATTTTCTTGATTTCCACCCCAGCCCTGAGCTTCATTGTTTGATGATCCCCATCCTCCAGCATTCTCTGTAGGTGCTCCTCCACCCCAATTATTACCATCAGATTACCCTTGGGCTGGTTCTTTATTCTCTTACTATGATTAACCCCATCCCTCAGATGTCTATTATCCCCAACCTCCGCCTTCATTTTAAGGCTTTATTTCTCCTTCTTCTTTGTTTTCATTATTGCCTCTTCCTCTACCTCTGCCTCCTCGTCCACCTCTATCTCCTCCTCTTCCTCTTCCTCCTCTATCTCCTCTTCCGCCTCTACCTCCTCGTCCACCTCTTCCTCTAAATTCCTTATTCTCCTAACCATTATTAGAATCACCCCATGCGGGCTTATTATCCTATTATTATTAATCTCCATTATTGCCCCATGTTGATTCTGCATTACCCCAAGATTATGCTTGCTAAGGTACTTCTTCAGGTTATCCCCAACTCATAAATTCTAAATATTTTATTATTCTAATTCCTAGCAATATTGTGTTGCTTTGTAGTTCATTTTATGAAGTGAAATTTTAATAATTCAATTTAAATTTATAATACTATAACTTATAAAATATATTATAAGTTTCTTTAAAAATCGATCGATTGTTAAAACACATCAATTACATGTCAATATCGTTCATTCTGGTAATGACCCCAACAACACTAATTTATTTTTAATAATAACTCAATTTAGTATAAAATGTAACCTCACCATATCTATCTAAGTAAGCATTACTGTTAATATACTAATCACAAAGTATATACCTGCTAAACATTTAGAAATACACTCAACTTAACTTCTAGACTGAGCATTGAAAACTACGTTAAGAATAGTCATAGCTAATTACATAACAATAATTTTAGAACATATATACAAAATATAATCAATATTCTTCATTCATTTCAGTCCGAAATAATTTGTCTGGTATAAAGGCTTCTTCTATTCACTTCCTAGGAATTTATGGACAGCATTTAAAAACTGAGTGTTTTCTTTTTCGTGTTGACTAATTCTTTTTAAACTTATTGAGAAGGGTTTGTTTTTTTTAAAATACTAGCTTTTGGAATAGAAAGTGAGCCTTTTCGTCTTCCTTTAGTAGAACAACAACCCATTTTTGAATTTTGCAAGCAAATATTATTTTTTGTTACTTTTATTAAAATCAATTAGTACTGAATATTTAAATACCAAGAATTTTCTTATAAAGNCAAAGCACACTTACTATTCCTCACTCTTGATCAGTCCCTTCTACTTATTTTACAACACTGGGTATTCATTAATTATAACATGCTAAGTTTCACTATCCTCTTCATCTTCTACTGTGATTACTATTGGATTCGGTCTCACTCTTTTAGCAGGAGGAGGTGAATCTCTCTTCCTTCCTTTCCCTTTACCCTTCTATTATTCTTATTAACCATCTTGATTATTATTATTTTCTTGATTTCCACCCCAGCCCTGAGCTTCATTGTTTGATGATCCCCATCCTCCAGCATTCTCTGTAGGTGCTCCTCCACCCCAATTATTACCATCAGATTACCCTTGGGCTGGTTCTTTATTCTCTTACTATGATTAACCCCATCCCTCAGATGTCTATTATCCCCAACCTCCGCCTTCATTTTAAGGCTTTATTTCTCCTTCTTCTTTGTTTTCATTATTGCCTCTTCCTCTACCTCTGCCTCCTCGTCCACCTCTATCTCCTCCTCTTCCTCTTCCTCCTCTATCTCCTCTTCCGCCTCTACCTCCTCGTCCACCTCTTCCTCTAAATTCCTTATTCTCCTAACCATTATTAGAATCACCCCATGCGGGCTTATTATCCTATTATTATTAATCTCCATTATTGCCCCATGTTGATTCTGCATTACCCCAAGATTATGCTTGCTAAGGTACTTCTTCAGGTTATCCCCAACTCATAAATTCTAAATATTTTATTATTCTAATTCCTAGCAATATTGTGTTGCTTTGTAGTTCATTTTATGAAGTGAAATTTTAATAATTCAATTTAAATTTATAATACTATAACTTATAAAATATATTATAAGTTTCTTTAAAAATCGATCGATTGTTAAAACACATCAATTACATGTCAATATCGTTCATTCTGGTAATGACCCCAACAACACTAATTTATTTTTAATAATAACTCAATTTAGTATAAAATGTAACCTCACCATATCTATCTAAGTAAGCATTACTGTTAATATACTAATCACAAAGTATATACCTGCTAAACATTTAGAAATACACTCAACTTAACTTCTAGACTGAGCATTGAAAACTACGTTAAGAATAGTCATAGCTAATTACATAACAATAATTTTAGAACATATATACAAAATATAATCAATATTCTTCATTCATTTCAGTCCGAAATAATTTGTCTGGTATAAAGGCTTCTTCTATTCACTTCCTAGGAATTTATGGACAGCATTTAAAAACTGAGTGTTTTCTTTTTCGTGTTGACTAATTCTTTTTAAACTTATTGAGAAGGGTTTGTTTTTTTTAAAATACTAGCTTTTGGAATAGAAAGTGAGCCTTTTCGTCTTCCTTTAGTAGAACAACAACCCATTTTTGAATTTTGCAAGCAAATATTATTTTTTGTTACTTTTATTAAAATCAATTAGTACTGAATATTTAAATACCAAGAATTTTCTTATAAAGTATTACTTTAGTTATTTTTCTTTACATTGTAGGGATATAAAAAAATTATTCATTTTAAAAAACAAAAAGTGATTTTTCAAATAAAATGGTGAAATATTAATTCATCAATCCCGAGTCAACTAATGCATTTAAAAAGTAGAAAACATTTTTGCTTTATATAAAAAATAATTCGAAGGAAGATATAATAATATAAAATAATATAAATTAAGTATTATCACAGTTTATTATATATCTAAGAATTGTATAATAGAGTTTTTAATCCCTTCGTATTTATTGATTAGAAAAAGGGTGATATGCTTTCAAATATTAATAGTTCCTAAAACTTACAACTTTCTAATTCACAGTATTTGCTTTGAGTTTTTAAATTCTATAAAGAAAAGAAGTTGGAAGGCCTTATTCTAATATGAAAGGAAGGATGATATTTTGGTCTAGTTTTCTTGATGAACCTTTTACTCAAAGTTTCATGGTTAGAATTGTGTGTTGAAATTTTAAAGTGTGGAATATTACGTACTTAAATTTTAGTCTTTTTTTAATAAAAAATTTGTTATCTAANCTCTGCCTCCTCGTCCACCTCTATCTCCTCCTCTTCCTCTTCCTCCTCTATCTCCTCTTCCGCCTCTACCTCCTCGTCCACCTCTTCCTCTAAATTCCTTATTCTCCTAACCATTATTAGAATCACCCCATGCGGGCTTATTATCCTATTATTATTAATCTCCATTATTGCCCCATGTTGATTCTGCATTACCCCAAGATTATGCTTGCTAAGGTACTTCTTCAGGTTATCCCCAACTCATAAATTCTAAATATTTTATTATTCTAATTCCTAGCAATATTGTGTTGCTTTGTAGTTCATTTTATGAAGTGAAATTTTAATAATTCAATTTAAATTTATAATACTATAACTTATAAAATATATTATAAGTTTCTTTAAAAATCGATCGATTGTTAAAACACATCAATTACATGTCAATATCGTTCATTCTGGTAATGACCCCAACAACACTAATTTATTTTTAATAATAACTCAATTTAGTATAAAATGTAACCTCACCATATCTATCTAAGTAAGCATTACTGTTAATATACTAATCACAAAGTATATACCTGCTAAACATTTAGAAATACACTCAACTTAACTTCTAGACTGAGCATTGAAAACTACGTTAAGAATAGTCATAGCTAATTACATAACAATAATTTTAGAACATATATACAAAATATAATCAATATTCTTCATTCATTTCAGTCCGAAATAATTTGTCTGGTATAAAGGCTTCTTCTATTCACTTCCTAGGAATTTATGGACAGCATTTAAAAACTGAGTGTTTTCTTTTTCGTGTTGACTAATTCTTTTTAAACTTATTGAGAAGGGTTTGTTTTTTTTAAAATACTAGCTTTTGGAATAGAAAGTGAGCCTTTTCGTCTTCCTTTAGTAGAACAACAACCCATTTTTGAATTTTGCAAGCAAATATTATTTTTTGTTACTTTTATTAAAATCAATTAGTACTGAATATTTAAATACCAAGAATTTTCTTATAAAGTATTACTTTAGTTATTTTTCTTTACATTGTAGGGATATAAAAAAATTATTCATTTTAAAAAACAAAAAGTGATTTTTCAAATAAAATGGTGAAATATTAATTCATCAATCCCGAGTCAACTAATGCATTTAAAAAGTAGAAAACATTTTTGCTTTATATAAAAAATAATTCGAAGGAAGATATAATAATATAAAATAATATAAATTAAGTATTATCACAGTTTATTATATATCTAAGAATTGTATAATAGAGTTTTTAATCCCTTCGTATTTATTGATTAGAAAAAGGGTGATATGCTTTCAAATATTAATAGTTCCTAAAACTTACAACTTTCTAATTCACAGTATTTGCTTTGAGTTTTTAAATTCTATAAAGAAAAGAAGTTGGAAGGCCTTATTCTAATATGAAAGGAAGGATGATATTTTGGTCTAGTTTTCTTGATGAACCTTTTACTCAAAGTTTCATGGTTAGAATTGTGTGTTGAAATTTTAAAGTGTGGAATATTACGTACTTAAATTTTAGTCTTTTTTTAATAAAAAATTTGTTATCTAATAAACAAATTCAAAAAAGCAATTTAGTGAATTAAGAAATGAAAAATTGAAATAGATTTAAGGGAATATTAGTAGAATAGTGATGGATATGATATAAATTATAAACTGAATAGATGTCTGCATGAATCGAAAATTCATTCCAAAATTTCCTTGGCCTTATATAATTTGGATTGGCGCTACGATTCTTATACAAACAACCTGACTTTTTCAACTTCATGATCTGGAGTAAGTCCATGTGCCAAATTTACAATGTATCTTCTTGTAGTCTATAACTTCTCAATCATTTATGAAATTCTTTTCTTAATAATAGCTGGAGTTCCAAATAACACCTAAGTTGAATATAGATAAATATTACTCCTGGTTCTAGATTTCCTTATATGGTTCTATTGCCTTCTATGATTTTAATAAGTGTTTCATCACTTACATTAGAATCTAGTTGAAATCCATCAACTAATGGTTTGTCATTATAAGTCAGTTTCAAAAATTCAATAATAACCTTTTTATCATTTTAATCCTTGGCAAACATAATCAAAGGAGTGTCCGGACACTCTTTCTTGAAATCTTCAAACAAAATCCTTAAAGAAGGAATAATAAATTCTATGTAATCCAAGGCTGGAATTTAACTACATTAAATTACAAGATATACCCTGCCCAAGAGTCAAATATCTAAACAACTTAAGCACCTCCTTACTTAACCTGATTGATTAAATATTTGGCACTTTCTTTTGCTAACAATTCTAAAACCTATAAGGATCCCTCTGTGTATAAATAGAGCCATTTCTTAACTTTAGAGAATAGTTTGCTAGATCCTCCTTCTACCATATATGCAAAGACAGTCCAAGGAGCACCACAGAATCCTATTAGATTACATTTTCCTTGCAATGCTAATCTGGTCAAGAATAGTGCATCGTACACGTGTTCTAGATGCTCTGGATTGGGAGGATGGAGCTTTTGAATATCGTCTGGAGTAACCAATGGATTTGCAATGACTGGCCCTTTCTTTTCTTCAATTGTGATCTTATTCTTAGGATTATTGTTACTTCCATTCCCATCATTTTAGGCAAAACCAGAATATCTGAAAAAATGATTGCTGCATCAATATCAAACTGTTTAGTTGGTTATAAGGTGATTTCAGCAGCAATAAATGGATTTTGGCAAGTAGCAAAAAAATCCATTTCTGCTTTAATTTCTCTATATTCTGGAAGATATCTACCTGCTTGCCTATGAATTTAAATCGTTCATAGATGGTACCTCATCATCCAAACAGGTGCTCTATCAAAAGGAGCAAATGATTAAAAGGCATCAACTACTCTATTATTTATTTGTTTTGGAAACTCTTTGAAGGACTTCCTTTTTTCTCTTAAGTTTTCTGGAGTAATCTTATGTTATTCCAAGGTCTCTTTCAGTATCTTTAGATGTTTCTGATAATCCATAAATTAATATTTTATGAAAACTTTATATTAAATTACAGATAATGTATTTTGGATGCCTTTTCCAAAGCAAGAATACATTGTGTAGGTCTCTTAGTATTTAAATAGAAAATATGGACATCATTATTATATTTGGAATTTGAGCGAACATGATTATACAAGAGAGTTATTTTAGAATTAGGTTTCAATGCACTCTTACATTGGATTTGCATGTCCACCTCTTTATGAATTGCTATTAATATGTAAATGCATTTTAGAATGGATACAACACGAAGGTAACATTGCAATAGTCCATTGTTAATAAAATAAAGGAAGGAGTGCCATGCTTCTTTCAATTTTTTGGTCCCTTGTTTTTAAAACAAGTATCTAGGAGAGTTTTTACATCATAGCAAAGGCTTTGGGACTTACATCTCCATTAAAATCTCAACTCATGTACATTCATAAATACCTAACACACTTGCTCTCAAATGAATAATTAAATACTCAAACAATCAGAGTGAAATCAGTGATTTTGAGTGGGATTCCAAAGTAATTAGAACAATTCAAACCATACTTTTCAATACTAGATAGGCGAGGGACATTGTATGAGGAGAAAGGCCAAGTTATACAGAAAAATGAGCAATGCATATTTATTCTGCCTAACTTATAGATTAGCAATGATATAGTATTCCGATGCAAACATATTACCCCTGAAAATGATTTGATTCCAATATTTAGATTTTAGATCCATACTGGATTTCTATTCAAAAACATTATTCGTTTCTAAGTCAGCGATTTAGATTTTCAATAATCATTTGATGACGACTTTTATATCGATATTGTGTATCTGAGAGGACATGAAAACAAAAACTTGCATGATTCTGAAAAGTTAAACTATGATTAGCAATCCTAAGAAGGTTATCAGATGATAAAATAGTTATTGGATACATGTTAGATGATGAGTTTAAATGTGAAATTGTAATTGTTCCAAGAAAATGACATAACTAATTACATGCCTGAACATCCATAGCCAATATAGAAACTAGAACAGGTAGAGGAGGTAGTGGAATAGAACTAAAGAAAGGATAGTTTTTAAGAAAAGGAGACTTAGTAGGTTGTACAAAATCAAAGTCTGTAGTAGGAAGAGACTTTAGTGTAAGGAAATGAGGTGGATAAGAAATAAATTGAATAAGATGGCGATGATGATGATGATGATGAAATCATAATTTGATAACTATAATTTATGTCATGTAAGATTTTCAAAATTATAAACAAATGCACACCAAAACAATTGCCAAAAGTAAAAAGCGTATAAAGAATAGTATGTTTTATTTATTTTACACGTCCTTCTATTTTGATAGATGTATGCTTCTATGATGACAAATGTGAAGAGGATCGCTATTTATTCAATTCTTTAATATTTTTATATTTATCCAAAAAACTTCATTTAATCAGCATGTTGCATTCCAAAACCGAATAAAAAAATAATCCTATAATAGATGAGGGACTTACATTTCACTAATGCCTATGAAGATAAGGATGATGGAATAATAAAATAGTTGGTCTTTCATCTCGATGCATTAGATGGCTAGATTGATAATGAATGCACATATTACAATCTTGAATCTCAGGTTCAAAGAGATATGACAGTAACACTCCTCCAATGAAGATGGTTAAACTGCTTATAAATATGATTGTGCTAATCCAATATTGGGTGACAGTTTAATATTCGAATAGTTTGTATTCCTCGAATTCGTTTTAATTCTCATCCTCAATAGATCTCATGAATTTTGTTTATAATAATTTTAATTGAAGCATCCTTTTAAAAATTCTTGGCAATACAGTTTCAGAAGCAGAATAAACAAATAAATTTCTTAAATCTGGATATAAAAATATTTGATCATATATTGCATCACATTAATAAAATAATATGCAATAGGTGGAAAGATCATGGGACATGCTCAAACCCTCTGCTAGAGCATAAGTATCATTGAATCCAATAAGGAATTGGGTCGAGCACGTGGTACCTCAAGTAGAAAAGGAAGGAAAAAAAGAAGGCAGACCAGATAAAAAGATTGTTTTCCTTCTAGGTGATCCAACAGCTTACCCTAAATTCTAAACTCCAAATGAATATAAGGAGATAGTAGCCAATTCTGTTGGAAAAATAGATGGCTATACAGATTTCTTCGGTGACTTCAACGTGAGAACTCAATTGGCAGAAGTGCTATCATCTCATCATAGAAAACTAGAGGCAGATGACATCATCCTGGCTAGTGGTGGTAGTGGGGCTCTCTTTTACGCCACTTTGGCTTTGGCTAAACCTGGGGACAAGATATTAATGCCCAGACCAACATTTCCATTGGTCAAAGCCTTTGCTGATTTCTATGGCATCTAAGTCGTGTTTTATGATTTAAACCCAGGAACTTGGTAAGTCAATATCATAGAATTGGAATACATCTACGAGTAGAACCCAGATATCAAATTTATATTAGTGAATTCTCCAAGCAATCCTATGGGAAGTGAATTAAGTCCGATAGCTCTAAAAGAAATTGTTAACTGTAATATGATCATAAAATATCCTTAGTTTGCGAAAGACACTATCTTCCAATAGTGAGTGACGAAATCTATGAGAACATGATTTTTGAAAAGAGAGAGTTTAAATTTATTTCTGATTATACGAAAACAGTGCCTGTGTTGAGATGTTCTGGTCTGACCAAAAAATGTCTCGTTCCTGGATGGAGATTGGGTTGGTTGGCCCTATATGGGGAGGGAGACACCTTCAAATAGGTTAAATAGGCCTTGAGAAACATTAGCAACATTTTATTGATGCCCAACACAATATGTTAGGCAGCACTTTGCCAAGTCTATAAAAAGAGTTTAGATATTATCCCTGAAAAAATGGAGGAGCTTCATGCCAGATACAAGGCATTGCATCATGGACTCCATGATGCTTATGGAATTAGTGTTGGGGAAACCAAGGGGGCTATGTATTCAACTTTGATTATCAATACCGAAGAATTTTCAGACATTAATTCTTCCATTGATTTCGCTAGGAAGCTTTAATAGGAATAGAATGTTCTCGTTTTTCCTGGCGAATTGTTCTATGGTGAAAAGTTCGTTAGATTGGTCATTTGCTGTGACTTAGAAATTATAGAGGAGGCTTGTTTAAGAATTAAGTAGTTCTGTTTGGATCATAAGAAAGTGTGAATATATATTTATTGTAATCATAGAATAGCAATATCTGCACTATAATCTCAAATCAGTTATTTTCCAACTCATTATTATAATCTTGTTTTTATAAACAGCCAAACATTATATGGATTCAAAGACCTTCAAAAGCCACAGGAGCAAAAGATATGAGAAAATAACAATTCTGGAAAGAGCGATGATAATTTAAATGAAAGAAAATGGAGCAACATGCAAAGAAATCAGTGACGCCTTAAAAAAAAATATTAAAACTATCTAGTCAATTAAATCAATTGAAAAAAGATCTGAGTATGGAAATTTGAAAAAAGCCTTAGTTGAGTTTGGTTATTATTGGGTGATTCAAAATAAACATTTTAATGTAATCATTTTTGATAACCTCTAGGTAGAAAATACTAGAAAACTAGCAAAAAATTTAAATCGACTAATCAAAGAATAGTTGACCTCAAAAACATCGAAATTTTAACATTTGATACCAGACCACAAGAAATAGTCAAGTAAAAGAAGAATAATTCAGCAAATTGTGGAATCTATTATTTAAAGAGTACTCGCCTCCAAACATCTTTAAGAAACTCTAGAAACAACTAATTAAGAGAAAATTATACCCAAAGAAGAAGAGCCTGATGATTAAAATAAGGAGTTTTTAGATATTGGTTAACTTAAGGTTTTGCAAATGTTTTATGCATATACCTAATTTATATAATAAAGTATACAATAGAATGATCTCAAAAATTGATATTATATATTTAAATTTTATTACTCCCTAGTTTATAAAAGAAGTTCAAAATCAACATAAAACCCAGGACATGTCTTAAATTCTCATTTTTAAGGATAGCATTTCTATAGCTCTGAATTTGATTTAATATTGTGCAAAATTTTGATTTAAATGACAATCTTTATGTGTATTTTTAAATTAAGTCTTCTTTGGTGTGGTACCGTCCTTTGGGTTCTAAAAAGTGCTAATAGTAGGGATAAATTATTTAAAACACAAATCCTTTACTAGTCTTGATCTATTGACAATTTAATTATTAATTAGATTTAATGCCGAAAAAAAATACAAATTCTAATAGGAAAGGAATGAATTATAATATCAACTCCCAAGAGGAAAGAAAACAGATTATGGAGTTAAAGAGATAAGGAAAGAAGGCCAGGGAGATAGCAACCATTATGAACAAAAAATAAAAATCTGTGGAATCTGTTACTAGTGAAGAGAGGAAGTCTGAATACAAAGAGTTTAAATAGGCAATGATTTCATATGGATTAAGGATTTTTAAGGATAAAGTTATATATGATGTAATAAAAATTAGTATATTAGAATATCAAAAAATTAACGAAAAAAGTCCGAGTTTCCATCAATCAAATTCTGTCATCAAAAAAGAATAATGAATTCAGATTATTGATACCTAAAGGTCGAAAATGTTCTAGTCAACGCAGAGTTAAGGAGACAATAGTTAATACTATAGTTTTCGCTTTACTATCAAAATAGAATTGTCCTGACAATGAGACATCAGCTATTTAGAATCAGAAAGAGGAAGAAATTCTGTGTATCTAAGAAAATTTAGAAATAAATAAAACATATTAAAATTCTAACGTCTCTGAAGAATCTTTAGAAGATCAACTGTACGATGATCCAGACGATTATTTGATCATTGATCCCATCACTCCTTTCCATTTAGGTTTGAAGTAAGAAACTGTAAGCTTCTTTTAAAGTTACCAAAGAGTTAATTAGGTCAATCAAATTGAAGACTTGTCAACAAATTATGCAAATTCTTTCCAGATGTTTAAGTAATCTGTTGAATTGCCTTCATATAATGAAACAAATGACAAATAATTGAGCTCTTATTGAAATAAGATCAATTATAAACATTATAAAATAAAATAAAATTAAAAATTATTAAAATTTATTACAAATATAATATGAACTATTATAAATAAATCAAAATAAGTTAAACATAATATTTAAACTGATCTTCATAATTAGCTTATATAAATTTCATAAAAAAATCATGTATCTTAAAGATAATAAATTTACATCAGTTAATTTGTGCTTAGGCTTATTTCATTACTTTGCATATTTTGCTAAATAAATATCAACTGTGAATATTGTTAATTCTTCTTAAAGAACATAGTCCCTAGTAATATTGTAATTAATGAATTCTAACTTCACACTTCCTTTTATTAATTTATATACCAACATTTTTGATAATTTACTTCTTATCATAATTATTTTACATACACCAATCATTTTTATTTAAGTATAGTAAAAACAGGCAATCACAGTAGTGTCTCAAGTTCGTCTAATGTCATGTGAATATTAAAAAAGCAGCAAAATTAATAAGTAGGTTTAATATAATTTTTTCGATTTCCCAACCAGCTATTATGTACGCGTGATTCCTCTAAATTTTATTATAATTAAAAATAATATTAAATAGTAACTATTTCTACTTTCAGAATCCTTTTGTCATAAGTTCGATGATTTATAGTTAAAGAGATGGTTGAGAGATTAATTTCATTATTTAATTTGCTTTTTTTGTAAATTTTGTTTGATAATGTAGGATAATAAAAAAGTCCAATAATTTATTCTTTAAGAGAAAGTAGGCTATGGAGCATTCGGAGATGTTTATAAGGCAATCGATGAAAATACAAGTAAACACATCAATTTTAATAGCATTAGATGAAATCTTCGCTATCAAAAGAATTTTCTCTGGAAGGTCTTAATAGATTGAGTAATCCACCATCAGGTAATAGTTGCATATTTAGTTATAGGGAAATAGCTGCCCTCAGCTCTTTAAAGGGGCAAAATCACATAGTTCCTTTGTAAAAAGTAATCTTTGAAAATGGATGTGTTTATATTGTTTTACCATTTTATCCTTATAATCTTTATGAACACATTAAAAAGAATGATGAAATCGATTATAAAAAGATTTTCAAGCAACTTCTGCTTGGAGTGTACAACATCCACAAATTGGGTTTCATGCATAGAGATTTGAAACCTTTGAATATTCTTGTTGATGAAAACCAAAATGTGTTTATAAGTGACTTCGGTATAGCCAGAATGAATTTCGGACAATGTAGAAATTTCAATTCTAATTGTGAAAAGCATTCTTATGAAGTCATCACTTTGCACTTCAGACCACCTGAAAATTTATTGGGTTGCGATAATGTAAATTGTATTGGTTATAATCTTGCAAGTATCAAGTGTCTGTAGATATATGGTCATTGGGTTGTGTATTCTATTAAGTAGTTATGAAAGAAATTCTCTTTTATGGAGATGCTTAAATCGAAATGCTATTCAAGATATTCTCTAAACTAGGTACACCCAGTGCCTTTATTGCACCATCTCTTTGTAACTTACCTTTGTTCAATGTAATTCTATTAAATTCATCAGGAGGCTGCAGCATTCCCTCGATTCTATCCAACCAAGTATTTGTATCAAGAAAAGTTGCTCTCCAAGATTGGGTATGAAGGAGCTGATTTAATCGACAGAATGATTTAGTTAGAGCCTTCAAGAAGAATCACTATTAGCGAAGCTCTTTAACATTAATATTTTCTATGAATTAATATAATATATGTCATTCCTTTGGAATTCCTCCTTCTGGTGTTTATTTTCCTAATAAAGCCTTGTGAATATGTGGAATAACACCACCTCCTGCAATGGTGGCTCTGATAAGAATGTCTAGTTCCTCATCACCTCTAATTGCTAATTAAAGATGTCTTGGTGTGATTCTTCTCACTAAAGAAGAATTTAGTTATAATTACAATACCTTTGAAGTCTTTTGAAGCATTTCCAGCCAATTCAAGCACTTCAGCTGTCAAGTACTCTAAAATTGCTGATGTGTATACGGCTGATGTTGTTCCTACTCTGTTCTTGGCTGATACTCTTTGCTTCAAATATCTATGAATACGACCCACAGGGAACTTATTATTGTGAAATTCACTACTTAAAGCCCTGCTTTCAAAGACCTGGATTAAGGGGCTTTCTTATTCTTTCCTTGACCAAATTTTCCTCCTTTTCCGCCTTTTCCACCTTTTCCTCCTTTAGCGCTCTTTGCAATGCCACTCTACACTATATTATGCATATATTACCATTTTGATGCTAATTTATTTTAAGCTTTAAAAACTAATATATACTCTGTTTAAGAATCGATAAACTCAAATTTGATTGGCTCTACCTTTTAATTTCGGATAATCATTAAAGACTTGCTTGCCCTCTTCAATGCTTTTTAAAACTCGGTCCCTATTTCACAATTAAATAACAATGTTTCAGCCTTTTCAAATTAATATGCAAATATATATTGGAAATAAATATTTCCTTAATTATTTATAAATAAACATAGTCTTTAATCATCCAAAAATGGCATCCTTAATTAAACATTCTTTGATTCCATATCACTCTCTCACTTTTTCCTAATTGCATAAACTTGGCTCTTCATCTAATATCTTTTTCTATTTTTAATATAAATATATAAATTGGTATAACTTTCAAAAATGAATAATTTGATTGCAATAACATAAAATTAAAAGTATGCAAACCCAAGAATCTTAATTGTCCTTTTTGGAAGAAGATAACTAAAGCATTTTTTATTCAATAAGACATCATACAATCAATTATTAATATTCCTACAAATAATAGATGATTTTACTCTTATATAACTATATTTTTGATACATTCCATATTCAATTTAATTGAACTCAATTCTTCAATTTCTTCTTAAACTAATCTTGTCCTTTAAATTCATCACAAACATTAGTTCATTCAAAATTAAATTTTTTTATTATCCAAACTTATAATATACTATTCAAAGTGAAACAATACTATAAATTATATTTTGGTTTAATTAAGGTTAATCTCATCTTTTGAATGGAGTAAACACTATTTTTAAGTTCTAGAAATATTATTTATAAAATAAAATTGGTTATTGTTGTGCTGTATTCATTATATCTTAATTTTTATCACCCATTAAATGAACATTAAACTCTTTTAATTTAAGCAGTTTGATATATATCACAAGATAGATCGCTTTTAATAAAATGCGTATTCAGCTCACACATAAATAATATCATTTTTAATCCAAATGGATTTCAAAGATTAAGCCTCATAAAGCAAAGCAAGAGTTAGAATATTAATTAAGTAATCAAAAGAACACCAATGACTCTCGAAAATAACTTGAAGCTTTTTGAATATTTATAAATGTAATTTGAAAATCTAAAAATGATCAAATGCAGAAAAAAAAATCTTTAGGAAGTAAAATATTTTAAAAGAATGAATGCTAATCTATTTTTAAAATAATCATAAAATATTTAATTATTTTAAACTACACGAATTAATGTTATGTAAAATTAATAAAAATCTATTTTGATAGCTCCATAGATTTTGAATTAAATTAACAAATCATTTAAGATATCTTAAAAATACTTTGATCATTAGTTATTTGAACTTATTATCTTTCTATTCCTTTCAGAGGCTTCATATAATTTCGCATAATTTACTTATTAAAAATAATGATTTAATTAAATTTCTACTTTGTTTTAAATATAATCCTAGTTCAAGGATATCATTTACTCTAGATCTGTTTGATATGTTCATGTTTTTTAAATTATTTGCTTATTAGAGAGCAAATCACTTTAACATCAAAAAAAACATCAACAAAATTTACTAATCTAATTCGTAATCTAAGATTTTTACTTTTTATTGCAGTTACTAATTAAATAGTTATTAATTTCTAGATTTCAATTACTTCTATCACGAATTGAGTTAATTCTAAGAAGCAAAATATTCAACAAATATTTAAAGGATATTTTTTTACAAAATATTATATTCATTCATAATTGCTATTCTTTATATCATAACTTCTGATTTTTGATTGAGTTCTTCTTCTTATATTCTCTGAACCAATTATTTCAGATTTAATATTGTTAGAGTAAATGCATATTAAAATTATATTGAGGAGTTTCATAAAATTGGTTATACATAATTTAAGAGGTAAAGGGGAATTTGAATAATATTTATTTCAGTTGTGACTTACATTTATTACAATTCAAATATTATTATTTATATATAATAAGAATGCTACATTTTTCTCCCTGGAGTCAAAAGATAGATCCATTGACATATAGATTGTAAAATAAGGCATAGTTATCGTTATCGCCTAATAATCAACCTAAAACAGGAAGATTAAATAATCTATCGCTGTAATAGCATCCTAGAAAAATGAACTCCCAATATTAAAAACAACAAAACAGTGGAATTTAGGAAGAATCTAAATAATACAATAATGCTAGTAGTTAAACCGATTTACCTTCCTTAGAAATGGAGGAAATATTTTAAGCATAATAATAAGAGCAATCATCAAGAAAATATCAACATGCTATGCTTTAAACAAAGAATCATTATCATTAATCAACTATCATTAGTTTATTATAGACTATTCATTTTAAATAGGACCAGCATTAATCTCTAAAAAATAAGGCCTAATAGCTGAAACGAGTAATCGTTCAAAATAAAAATAGAACTATAACTGTTATAGTTGTTAATAATGCTGCTTAATTTGTTTCATACTTATTGAACTCAAATTATTTTGATTAACCTCCTGGCAACTTTTTTACTACATAACATCATCCATCTTTCTTTATTACTTAAATCACTATTTCTAATAGCAATTCCTCAAATACTGTGCATTCATATTAAGATTTGTTAACTGTAACTAAAAAAAACAGAATATATGATATAAGTTTAAATAGATTATTATACGACTAATCATAATCTTTTATACATTATTGTCCTGATATAGTGATTGTAACTATTGGCAATCTTTAAGAAGAGCTCTCTCATAGACAAAGGGATAAATCTTTTTTGATTAAAAGTGCAGAATAAATACAAAAAGAAACCATAAGATTAAGTAAAAAAAGAACAAAATTTAAATTAAAGGAATTAAATTGACTATCACACTTTGATTATAATTTATTTTGAATTTCAGTCCTTGATTAAAGTTCATAAAAAGATTTATCATCGTTACCTAGAGTGATGATTTGTATGTTCTTAGTGAGAATTCTTTAATTCTTATTATTTTTAAATTTAATCAATCTTTCACATACGTCACATGATTATAAAATATTTAGAGGAAATATAATATAAAATGATAATAAAAATTATCTAAATTTCATGAGTTGGTAGTAAGTCTCAATTATAAATTGCTGTCTTTATCCTTCTTATTATTGAAGATTTAGAGTTCTGTCACAATAATTATTATTCTACAGATTTAGTCTATAATTCATTTTGAATGAAGAAACTCCAATTATTGGAATAAGAGCATATTTAAGGATTGATTATACACAAAGATTGTAATAAGAATGATATAATATATTCAATAGAAAATTATAAAATGGAGAAGGATAAATGATTAATCTCATTGGAATTTGTATCCTTCAAATAACCCTTATACGCTCTTCCTTCTTAGCACCATAGAACTGTCTTCTTAAGGCTCACTGTCAGCTGAGATCTAGCTTTAAAAATCGTAGTTGCCATCGATGCTCTACATAATTTAGTTAACTTACTCCAGGCACATATAGAGATCTGATTTCTTTGTTTAATAGTTTTCCCCAAGGAAAATTATATAACCAAGAATGACTAAAGATTTCATCAATTCCATTAAAACCCAGTCTTTATTATGGTTTTCTAATGAGCAACTAATAATAAATTTATTAAATACTTTATTTACAAAATCGATTGCCTTGTTGCTTATCCCTGGAGTATTTTCTTTGATTTGCATTTATTTAGCTAATATTTACTCTCTAATTTCTTATCGATTCTTTCCATTATAAGGTCTTTTGCCAAGTAAAAGTTCATAAACTATCACACCCACAGCATAATAGTCAACTGGGAAAGAGTGTTCCATCCTACACATAACTTCAGGTGCCATGTATCCAGGAGTACCTGAAGTATCATTGGCAACACTGTCCTTATTTAATCTAGCTACTCCTAAATCTGTTAATCTTAGGAACCCATCCTTATCAAACACTAAATTCTCAGGTTTGACATCCCTGTGGATGATTCCATGCTGATGTAAATATTGTAAAGACAATAAAATGCAACAAGCGAAAAATTCTAAACTTTATCATTGAAATACTTGTTTATTCTTCCGAGAATTTTTTCATTCTACCTAAATGATATCTTAAATCGCCTCCTCTTAGTAAATCTAAAACTAAATATAAGTTTTCCCTGTCTTAAAATGCATAATGCATGTTCACTAGAAAAGGATGCTTTAAGTGTTCGAGAAGGAATTTCTCATTCATAACTGAATTTACTGATCTCTTAGATATGATTCTAAATATCTAGATATTATTACTTTGTTTTCAACATCTCTTTTAAAGCATATTCTTGTCGATTCGCTTTCATTTCTACTCTCCATACTTTTCCAAACCCTCCCTTACCAACTACATATAGAAATTTAAAAGAATGTCTTCCTATTCCCATTGGATTTAAAGTTTATTATTAGACTTCCTTTATTGGACTATCTACTGATATTTTTCGAGAATGAGAATTTGTCATTATCCACGTAGTCGAGTTTGTGCTGCCTTTTGATTCCTAACTAATTTTTCCATTGTAAAATTAATTTTGGATTTGATGGTTAGATACTTATCTTGATAGTTACTTAGAAAGAAGGCTAGATTGTATTACAAAGTTGTTTTTGTTATCTGTTCTTTTGAGACCTGGAGAGTTCTCATCAACGACAACTGAGTTTTTTATTGATTTTAATGAAAGCATAGATGATGATCTTTTACGAGAACATATCATGCAAGTTTTTAAATTGCATTGGCAGATTGAGTCTATTTTCTTACCAGGGGTTATTTTGAACTTTATTACAGCCTTTTAATTCGAGGGTAATATATCCTTTAGAGAAGCTGTAACATTATTCATTATTTATTAAAATAAAATATAACAATCGTTTAGAATGAAATAGGCTTTTTTATTGCAATATTTCCATACGACATTGCAAAATTTACTTCATAAATTGAAAATTAAACTTCTTTATTTTTATAATAATCAAATCATTACTCTCATAAGATATAAGATTTATATAATATTCTACTTCTACTAAAGTATGGATGTTATTCTAGCACAAATTAAACAGTTTTTACAGTAATCACCTTTTGAGTCAACAAAGGATTATCGCTTTCCATATTATTCAATCTAAAAATCTAATTGCAAATATTAACCTAGTTTTTATGTGTGTTTTTCCAGCAATCAAAAGACGTTCTGAATTTCGTTGTATATCTTGTATTTTCATATCCAATTAATCATCATCGATATTATCAGTTTATTATTGTTATTGCTCCTTCACCTTATCAGATTCCTCCTCTGAATCGCCCATATAATCGTTATTTTCTCTTTTACATAGGAAATCCTGCACTTGATTCCAGAGTTCTGCCCCTCTCTTTATCCTCTTTTTTAAGATCTCCTCCAATTCGGGATGTTCCTCTTTCCATTTGTTTTTTCTAATTTTATTTTTTAATTTGTCCTCCTAATGAGGTTCTATTTCAGACAGAAAATTTCTAAATTCCACCTATCTTTACATAGGAGTGTAATCACAGAGTTCATAGGTTAATGAAAGTTTATTTTCAGTATTAACTAATAAAGATTAATCAATATATTGATTCTTTTGAGGACCGTATTTTCTTTACATCTCCATCTATTATTTGTATTTTACAGATTATGTATCAATAGTAGAGGCACCTTTATTTTAGTACAATTTAAATTCATACCCTGGCTTTTAGATTAGAACTGATTGAATGACTTTTCCTAACAAGTTCTTCATATAAAAACTAAATTAATCACTTAGGAAAGTCAAAACCTATTGATCTTCAGCTTGAAAATCTTTATATTAATTTCTTAATTATTATAGTTTCTTTTATACAACTGCCGTCTATAGAATTGACTATTTGGCTTAAGTCGCCTGCTACTGAGGTTTATTGATGTATTTCTCTTATTCTTCTTTAAATTTTTATAAGTTTCTTTTAAGTAGTTCTTTGAGATAGCTGTCTTATTGTTGTACCAAGTCTTTTTACATTTTCTCAATGACCTGCAAAGGAGAAATTTAAATCAATTGTTTGAAGTAATCTTCTACCTTTTTTTTGTTAACTTAATCCACCTACTTAATTTCCTAATTATAGACCAGATTCAAAAATTATTGGATACATAGTTGATTTTCTACTTCATTAAAGGCTATTTTATTAAGTTTTTTGAAGTCCAACATTTCTTAAGTAATAGACTTCTTAAAAAAACACTTTTAAAAAAGCTCAAAGCATTTGTTGCTAAAAGCTTGATCCCCACTTTAAAATGCTTCCTTAATTAATTATGACTTGTAATTTTTGAATTCCATAAAGTTTTATGTCATCTAGAGTATTAACTAATCGGAATTTTAACTTTCAAAATTAGATTTATCATTCATTAATGAATATATCTTTTTTAAAAAGTCAGGCTTCATGACCTCCTCATTTTTTATATGAAATTTATTGTCCAAAGAGAAAAATTTACTTGTAAATATGCAAATCGCATTATACTATGTAGTATTGTAATCATAAAGAGTTTTCATTGAATTGAAATTAGGAAAAGGATCATTCAATGGCTTGAATTATGAGGGATCATTTGGTGGAATATTCAATTGTAGATAGAAATTAAAGACCTACAACGAAATCTTATATAACCATTCAAAATTATTCTAATCCTTAGGTAAATTGAGGCAATCAAATAATTTTTAGACCTCACTTTAGCTCTTATCCTTGAAAGCAATAGCTAAAAACTTAATCCTTTCAATCTTCTCTATGTTTAGGAATTTCGATCTATTCTAAGGGATTCCTCTTAACAATGAAGGCAAAAAGATTATAAAGGGATTATCCTTAAGAAAGATATCTATGAAATTCTGCATGAGTTCCTTATAGCCCTCTAAATTTTGCTATTAAGCGGGTTGCAACTATTAGAATTACATGCATATTTTTTCAACGTCTCTTTAGATGAACTGAATGCAAATATTACATATTTTTTCCTCCCTTTCAAAAATGTCCTAATACAACCCTAACTATTTATTTTAATAATCCTATTTCAATGTCTAAATAGACAACGCATATAACCAGAATTATTACATGTTAACCTTTTCAAAATTTGGTATTTCCTTATAAATGGAATACCACTTTTAAAAATAAGAAGCTGTTATAGTCTTATAAAAGTAAGCTTTCCATTCTTTCTCTTCTTTTTCTCCCTCCAAAATACTATCTGCCAATTATTCAAAAACTCTTTTATAATTTTTTAAATGTTCTCTACAATCGCTCATCAACTTTAATTCAAAATGTTTTAATTCTCCATAAATTTTAGCCTTATTTTAAAAAGAACTAGTTTGCAAAATTAGTTTAATTAGTTTATTATTAATAAACTTTAATTAGCTCTCAACAAAAAGCAATGACTCATAACCCAAGTTTTATCCTTGTCGTTCAAAGTATATAGAGGTTATTTAGGTTTTAGCTTTTTCATTAAACATACTTAAGATTTTTCCAAAAGGAATATTCAAATTATTCCTCGTTGTAGAAGTCATCATGTCATAAGCAATATTAATCATATTATCTAATTCATCAGCACTAAAATTGGCTTCGACGATAATTACACAAAATAAAAATAAATAATTCCATCGAAAACGGAAGAAGGAAATCATCAATTGTTGTATTGATTGGATGATTTTAAATTATAAATTGGCATCCTCTTAATTATTTATGTCATTTAGATTTGAATAAAGTTCTTAGTAAATCTCTTAACATATGTTTTAAGGGAATGGTTTCCACTACTTTGGTGTTTGTGCAGCATTTATTTCTTGTTTTATAAATTCTAATAATTTTCTTCTAAATGAAAAACTTTACTAAAGACTTTATTAACACTTTTTTGCTTTGATGCTTTTGTAAAAGTATTTCACATATTAAATTTCCACAAAACTGTAATAATCTTTTCTTTATTCTAAAACATTCTTCTCTAATTCACTTAATATATTTTGTAAATCATTTTTTCTAGCTTTCGCCTTCTAAGTTTGGATATTCAAATATTATTGATTCACATAATAGTTCAATTTCTCTTAAAAAATGAAACCTAAGACTTTTTCTACTCCAACCTTTTATTTTTGTAAACACTTATAGAATTCATACACAGTACTACAGTTTTAGGCCTTGTATCTATCTTGAAAATCTTATGATAAGGTTAATAAAAATTTATCGAATAAGCTTTCGTACTTTTTAGCTACTTTATTTTGATCATCATTGACAATCTAAGCAAACAATTCTTATTCTTCTGGATTTAAGCTTTCAAATAGTTATATTTCAAAATCTGAGGGTGTAGTACCTTAAAAATTTTTATAGGTTTATTCGATTAAGGTTAGAATAGATTTAGCGGATTATTGATTTTAATTTTAAGGCTAATCAATATAATCCTTAACAATTTTTTTAAAATAAATGTAATTGATGTGTTTATTTGCTTCTTCTATTCCTCCTATCACTGCTTTTTCGTAATAATTAGCTTTATATATGATAAATTGTACCTAAAATATCGAAATACTTCTGATTGATATAATGACTTAAATCACTAATTTAAGCATCTTTATTTCTCTGTTTTGATTTTTAAATAAAGGCATTAAAAATTTTGATTGCTTTTTGTATCACATCCTTTAAGTATTAATTTGATAGAAGTATTTTAAAAAATTCAAAGAAGAATTACAATAATCGTATATCTAGTTTAAAGATATCTTACTTGAATTTTATTATACGATTTACTTACAAATATTAAATAATACAGGATCAGCTTATAACTCTTTTTCAATTTTTTGAAGGGTAATAAATTCTTCGTTGTTTGCATACATTTTATTTTAATATAAAGTTAATAATTAAAAATCAAGTTATCAATTTCTTATTAGAAAGTCGAAATATTCATAATGTATATTTTTAAATTTAATAACTCAATTTGGCTTGATCTTTTTTTAAATTTCATCAATAATATTGCCTTCATCTGGCATGATTTTAACCAATTGAAATTTCGGTTTTATTTCATTATTTACTTCTACATTCTGTCCAATTATAATGAAATCAAACACTTTATTCTAAGTTTCCCTTAATAACTTGCTTAAGTCAAATTTCTAAGGTTTTTCCTACAATGCTTTTAGTTCTTCGTTCGTCAAATCTAACTTTTTGAATATATATACTTAAAATCCCTTTTATAAATTTGTTATTATTAGCTTTTACTGCTAAATCAGTTTGAGATTTGTCTCTAAGACCAACAAGAAACTGTAAAGTTGTATTTCTAGCTGAAATTTAATCAATCTCTTAAATGCTGACAATAGAACTTATAATTCTATAGTAGTTAATAAAATTAAGATCAGAAGTTTATTTGAAATCATTTTGAATCCTCCTTAGATCTGTAAATTTCATCTTATAAAACCTGGATCTCTTATCAATTTAATCAATTTATTCACTAAAATTCTATATTTAAATTTAACTGGTTATATTGGAGATGATTCTTGTTTTATAATTTAACTAGAGCTGAATTTTGTTTTAATATTCTTTAACGACTAAGTTCTGAAACCCTAAAGTTGTATTTTCTTGTAAATCCAACTTTTCAGCTAATTAACCCCAGACAACTATCTTTACTTTGCAAGAATCCAGATCAAAAATTGTAATTTTCCTCATTTTAAGGTTGGCTGAGATTTATTTTAACTGGTCAATCTTGTAAATATAACCTATTAAATTGCAATTTTTTCCAATCATTTGAAAATTAATCTCATTGAACTTAAACCATTTTATTGATGAAGGTATGACTTTTACTTTGGTTGTTTCAGCAAAATATATTCTATTGCTGTTTTTATATGTGTCAACTCTTACGTTCTCTAAAACATATTCTACCTCATTTACTAGCAAACTTTTAAAGTCTGAATAAGCATCCATTCCTACCTGATTAATAAATATTAAGCCTTTGATTGATTGTGGACTTAAAGAATCATTTAAAGTTAAAATTAAGTAAATCGTACCATCAAAAGTGTACTTTTCAGCTGAATCCTTTAAAGTGACTTTTATATTATAGTAATTATCTTTTATTAAATCTGAAAATTTGTTCAACTTCAAATCCTTCCAATTTTGAGCCCCTTCTTGAAATTTGATATTTGATTCTTTGAAGGGTAAGTATGAAACTAAGATCATTAACATTATTATTCATACCTTCCTTATATTTCCCTACCACTAAAAAACCATCTTACAATTTATAATCTTCAATTTGAATAAAAGGCTTTTGGTCTTTAATTTCTTATTCGCTCAAACATTCATTTAATATTAAATAAATTTTTTCAGACTTAATCCCATCATGTATTTCACATTTTTATAAAATAAATGTATCAAATCTTTCATACTCTAAGACATTTATAATTTGAACAGGCGAAGGTAATTTTTTTTTATTTTTTATCATTTAATCAATTGTTCCTTGAGTATATTGCATTCCAAACCTATTAAAATATTATTTCTTATAAAAAGTATTAAGAATTAAAATATTTAAATTATTCTTTATTTTGGTGTAGAATATTTAGCAACTGGTCCCACCTTAGAGTTATAGAGAAGATGACAATACCCAAGGATGAAAATACCATCAACTTCAATTGCTTTCAAAATTGGAACTATACCTTAAAGATTTTAAAGCCTAATTAATATTATAATTATAATGTATTGTTTAAAATTACAATAAACTTGTAATAAACAATAGAATTTGTCAAAATCAGAGTTTGAAAGTATAAGATACCATTCTCTCGTCGAATTAAAAGTTTTTTTCATTTATTAAATAGTGAACAATTCTTGTGATATTCTTCACATCATCAATTCCACTGTGATGTCTCCCTAACAAATCTAGCCCACAAAGTTTTAACATTTCTACCATACAGGGATCCTTTGGATCTTTTGGATTTCTCAAGCTTTTAGGAAATACTTTGCATAAATAAATATAATACCCTTTTTTATATTTATATAATATTATAATTCCCTTGAAATAGGAATGCCTTTTCTAGCTGCCTCTTTTTTAAGTAGATGCAAATCATAATCCCCACAAGTTAATATACAGCATTTTTACAAACCTTTTTTAAATTCTATAAATTCATCGACTGCTTATTCAAGTAGAATTCCTTCATCAACCTACTATTAAGTTATTCCTGTTAGCTCTGTGCAAAATTCACTTAAAATAGGATTTTCAACTGGTTTGATATATTTCTAAAACTCTTTTGTTACTTTTCTTTCCTAAACATTATAAACTTGTGCTGGAAACTCTATTATTTCCTACAGGTATTTTTTGTCTGATTCTCTGACACATGTTGCTTCAAAATCAAGGATGATTATGTTATCAAATCCTTAAAGTCTAGCTTCCTCCTCTGGTATTGGAAATTTCAAAGTTTACAACATATTTAATTCAAATTTATAGGCTCTCTCCAATAATTCACTTACAACCTCTGCCAAAGCAAAACAATCAGCTAAGTAATTCTAAAAGATGAATACATTAATATGGTATTTTCAATTCTTTCATCATGGCATTTAATGTTAATTACCCATTAGAATTAGGAAACACTCTTCTAAGCTCAATATATTTTGTTATTGGGCACTACAAATTGCAATATTAGCATTATTCTAAATAGATCCTAGCCTTCTCTTTATTCTCAAATATATAAATATCCCCAGACAAATATTAGAAGGTTTGTTAAAATGGAACACCTTGATCAGCTTATTCCTATGTAATAGAGCTATACTCTGGGTTTTGGATAAGAGGTATCAAATACGGCTTAATAATTAGTTGCTTGGAGAAGACAACATTGTAATCAGACTCTGATAGCTTTAATTTACATATAAGTAATTCCAAGATTTCTCTTCTATCTTCCGCTCGATTGCATTCAAAATCTATTATATTGATCTCTGAAAACGCTTAATTATCATTTTATAGATCTTAAATTTTATTGAGTAAATACAATCAAATTTCATTTATTGACAGAATTGCTCCTTCACAGTTCCACAATATTAACACTTTTTCAGAAAGTAAGCATTTTATTAACTACAAAGTACACAATCCCAAGGATATTCTACCTTCTCATCATTTTAAATCATAATTAATAATATATATATTATTTAACTTATAGAACAAATTATATTAAATTTTTATGATTTGTATTTACAATTAGTTCTTAGTCATTAAATGATATTTCATAAAGACAAATATTATTATTCGACATACTTTTCAAATCTATTTATCATCAATCAATAAATTATTAAAGTGCTATTGCAATTCTTTAATCATACGTATCCTTGATTCCTTAATGTGATTATTTGATAGTTTAGTTATTTTAATTAATAGATGTTTTCATTTATAATAACAATAATGGCGTTAATTATTTAATTTAAGATTTGACACTAAACAACTATTCAGAGTTAATCCTTCCATTTTCTTTCTCTTAAATATATAGTATTTTTATTTCTTATAAGATTTAGTTCATAATATACATTTAATAATAAGCTTTTAATTATGTTAAGATAATATTCTTGATGGTGTTGTATATATAAACAAATACTTCAGCAGCATAGAATCAAATCAAAATTTAATACTAAATCTCCTCTATTAAAAGTAAGTAATTTTTCAATCTAGCACTTATTTGATAATCACATCTTTAAATTAACGATTTCTGTATTAAATAGAATAAAGGTATATTATTTTTTTTCTGATATAATCATATAGTTGCGTACATTTGAAACAAAGAATAAAGTGGTATTACATAGTGTAATTTTAGGAATAAATGATGTGCTTATTAATTTGATTTGCAATTCATTAATTTCATTATTTAATGAAGACTTAAGTAAGCCAATAAAACACTCCTAAGTAAATTCAATTTGATAATGAAGAGCTGCATCGAAATATTCATACAAAGAATCCTACTAATAACGAACACCTCTTCGATAGGATAATTTTTTGAATCTTTACGAAAAATATTTGAATTGTCAGGGAAGGAAAAGATCTCATTAAATGGATGAAGCTCGAAGCCCTTTACAATAGTCTACTTCCCTACATTATTTAAATAAAAAAAACGATGTTGGTGTTCATAGGTTTTCTCTCGATAATTTCAACTTGGATAAGAGGTAGTGTAATGTATTATTATTAATACGTAGTTCTAAAGGATTAAAATCATATCTCACAACCATCAATAGTTCAAATAGCATTCTAAATTAAAAGGCCAACAATTCCTACTTTCCAAACAGAAATGACTCAAGTTAGGTTCGATCTTAGACAGCTGATGGCCAAAGTGTGTTGACAGATGAAGTTGATAAAAAACCAATCAAGGACAAATTCATTAGTATAAATCTTAATAATCCTCATAGTTGATGTTGTGTGCAAAACTAAAAGGTTGGCTGAGAAGCTTCAATAGATGAACAAACAAAATTAAAAGATGAAGGAATCATAAAATCTAGCATTTCTATTAAAAGGCCATTAGCAGAAGAAATAATCATTTACATCATCTGATTTAAAGAAGGTTTTAGCGAAAACTAAAATAATTCTTGAAAATTACAAAAGAGAGAATAAACTATTAATCGAACATAATTTATTTTTGAATGATGAATTATTAGAGTCACAAGATTAACTCAGATAAAAAAACGAAGAAATCTAAAGATTAAGACAAATGCTATATTAACAATGATTTTATTATAACTATTCTTTCGGTAAAAGTTTATAGTTTTTATTTAATAAATTTATGATTAAAAAACCATAATTGTTAAATCTAGCTTTGAAGCCAATCACTAATGAAGTGGAGGAAGTCTAATCTAAATCAGAAAAACAAGTGAGTGAAAATCAATTTGATATCTCTTAAAGTAGTATTATATTTTAATTAAGAATTATTGTACGCATTAGAAAAACCAACTATCAATACAAAAAATGCGAACAGTTGTAGAAATAGCACTGGACGGTTGTCAGCTTTTGATTTTTTGAATTCAAGCACAACAAAAGCCAATGAAAAGAAAACATTCTCAATTACATTAAATTATTTTAAAAATGAAAGGAGTAACGTTGTAATAGCAAGAAATTCTGCAAACCTTTACGGGTTCTCAAAGGTGTCATCAAAAGTGAGATGAATTCTCTAAAGTTGATTTTTAGATTCTATTAATATAAATACAGTTCTCTAAATTCAAAACTAAACAATTAATTAAACAGTCCAACTCAAATTTATTGGTTTTTGTTTAAAAATAGGGAAATAATTTAGTGGAAAATAGAGTTATTTATAATTATTCTTGATAGATCTATATAAATTCAAGCTTTCAATTAGAATTAATTTGACTTTTTTTTCCTTTCAGGCACTTCATCGTTAAATGAGAGGGACTCCTGATATATCATATTTTAAAGTATTTCTTTGGTTGGTTCAAAATTGTCCCAACTCCAATCAAAGGCTTTACCACTGAGAGGCTCTTCATCAGGATTATGCAACTCATCGAAATAGGGATGTTGGAGACATTACTCAACAGTATAACGTTGTTCAGGATTAAAAGTGATCATCTTTCCCAATAAGTCCAAGGCTTTATTATTGGCCTAAAATAAGCATGGTGATTGATACCTTGGGAAATAGGGCTTCCCACTTCTATTTGGATCTTTTCGGAAGACTTTTAATGTATTTAATTGCGTTATTGTTTCCTATATATTTCATATCGTCAGCAGTCGGAGTTCCCAAGACTGCAATGATTCTTTAAACTTAATCTAAATAGTTTTCGCCTGGGAACAAAGGAGTTCTTCCCAATAATTCTGCCAAGATACACCCGACAGAGTAAATGTCAACGGCCTTACTATATTCTGATGCATTCAAAATAACCTCAGGAGCTCTATACCATCGAGTAACGACGTATCTAGAATAATAGTGTTATCAAATTACTCTGTTTTGAAGTCTTCCTCATTTTCATATCCTCTTGCTAAACCCAAATCGCATATTTTTAAATCGCAATTTTTGTTAACCAAAATATTGCCAGGTTTAAGATCTCGATGAATTACGTTGGCTGAATGCATGTAAAGTAAGCCTCTGAGAATCTAGTAAACAAAGTATTGGATGTGTTCATCCGTCAGTTCCTGCCTAGAATATATAACTCTATGCAAATCTGTTTCCATAAATTCCGTTACAATATAAATATCATTAAATCCTGTTTTTGCTTCAGGCTTTTGAACATCAAGGAGTGATATGATATTCTCATGTTTAAAAAATTCTTTATATAATTTAAAATGTACTTAGTAATTTGATTTCTCTAACTATCCTTTTGCCATCAATCAAATCATCGAATGCATTAGCGACCTTCATATTTTAATAGCATTACTTTTTTTATTGCTACCTTTTGCCCAGTTCTCTTATTTTGAGCAGAACATACAACCCCGTAGGCTCCATGTCCAATCTGTTTTATATATTCATATTTTTAATCGACTACAAAGGTTTGCCCTAGAAATTGTCTGTTATAAATACCTCCGCATTAAAACGAATGTCTTCCCTTGGGGACATTAAGACTTTTAGGATCTGGATTCATATGTATTTATTATTTAATTAATTAAAAATGGGTATATGTTTTGGGATTTTAGACGAAGATAAATAGGAAGACAGGAAAAAGAATCCAAATCCAATACAACAGTAACTATCGGAGGAAGAAAAGGAGGAGGAAATAACTTATTAACTATAAAATTTCACATATAAGGATGTAATACAAAATTTTATAATTAGGTATTAGGTGTAGACGCGTTCTAAAAAGTATTATTACAGGAACCGATCAAAACGAAATAGTATTTTGCAATAAAAATCATTTACAAAAAGAAATTAGAAAATTATGATTTTGCAGTATACAAAGAGTCCTTTTATAATAACACTTTATTCTACTTTAGTGAATAACAATAAGTTGTAAATGAGCACAGAATTCGTTAATGATGGTGACTTATTATTGCATTTGAAAAATATAAGTAGTTCTGAGAAGAAAGGACAATATTTTATGCAGTTGAATTTATTTTAGCATTGTAATATCTGCAAGAAAATATAATTATATATAGAGATTTGACAATATTTATTGGATTAATTTGGACATATCAAATTAACAGACTTTGGTTTATTCAACGTAAATTTTGATAGATTATCGAGACATGAAATGAACATTTATCATAATATTACACGTTATGTATGTTGCACCTAAAATATTGTTTGAACAAGGACACTATGAATGTGTAGATTGATATTCATTTCAAAAAGTGTTTAAAATTACATAAATAATTCTGATTTATTAGATGCGTGTGTATCCATTCTGTTCTATATATATTTAAAGCAGGAAAAGTTCGATAAGAGACTGTCTAAATTTCCAAAATATTTGAGTTAAAAGGCAGCTGCCTTGATAAAGAGATTAACTGAAAATGCCGTTGATTACAGAGTGTTTCATTTAGGTTTCAAAGCATCTAGAACTCAAGGAGGCTGATGAAATACTTCGCCATCGTTGAAGACATCTATCATCGAAAGAATTTCCAAAAGATAGGCTGAGCTGGCCTTTAAACTATAATTAAAATTGAAGGAAAGATATAAGATATTTAGATTGGTTAATTCCATAAATTAATTCAAGGATTTGTTACAATAGGAAATTAAATTTGAGAAAGAATTAATAACTATAGGATTAATATTCGATGATGTATTATTAAAAATAATATTAAAATATGGATTAGAATCCAATCCCATTGCCCAAAGAATACCCTGTTCCCCATGATTTTCATTCAAACCTCAGAAAGAGATTTCTAGATTTCTTCAAACAATAATTGGGAGAGTAAGCCAAAAACAGTATTGTATTTCTCAAAGGGGCAGTGACAATTGATAAACATGATGATGGTAAAAATATTGTAAGAATAACTTTTAGATCAATAATATCGAGTGGAACAAGAGAGTAATTTCAAGTATATCTTTGGTTGTGACTTGCTGGATTGTTATGGAATATTGGAGGTGGAATCAGGAAAAGTGACAGTATTTGTACCAAAATATCCTGAATCATATAAAATGTGGATGGTTGTTTACAGTAACGAAGAAATCAAAGAAAAATACAGATTAGACGATGTGTAGTATGTTGATTAATTGGAATCCTGGATTGAGAAGAGAGCACCCTCAAAATTATTCATATATAAGGGACAAGATTCCGACTCTAAATTGATATCATCTTATCCGGATTTCCCATATCTCTCTAAGTATTAGGTAGACGAGGAGGAGTTGTATTGGACATTGAATGAGTGCAGAGTTAAGAAAACTGATTAGGAGATTGAAATCCTCAGATATGTGGCTCTATTGGCAAGTGAATCCCATGAGAATGTGATGCGTAAGATCAGAGTTGGAAATAAGGAGTATCAAATGGAGGCTCTATTCAAATATCACAATTTTGTTTATAGTGGATGTAGATTCACCCCATATGAATGTATTTGTGCCTCAGGAACAGGAGGAGCAACATTACATTACATTGAAAATGACAAAACAATCGAAGACAAATAATTAATATTGGCAGACATGGGAGCAAGATATTATGGCTATAACAGCGATATTACTGTCACATTCCCAAGTAATGGTAAATTTGATGAGAAATAATCAATTATTTATAATGCAGTACTGGATGCTTAGAGATAAGTGTTTGCATCTCTTAAGGTGGGAGTCAATTGGGGTGACATGCACTTTTTAGCTGAAAGAATAATTACTTAACATCTATTGGATGCTGGTTTACTAGTCGGAACAATAGAGGAATTAATGCAAAATAGAATTGGCAAGATCTTCTTCTGTCATGGATTGGGCCATTTATTGGGAATGAGAACCCATGATGTTGGTGGGTATAACAAAGGATGTCCTCCTAGAATTCCAGGTATTGAGGATTTTATATATAAATTTAGAGTTGTAATCTTTGAGATTTAGGAGAGACTTAGAAGTTGGCATGGTGTTTTCGAATGAACCTGGAATCTACTTTGTTGATTTCATAATTTAGGAGGCATTTAAAGATGAAACCAAAGCCAGGTTCTTGAATTAAGAGAAGATTTCGGAATTCATGTATGTGGGTGGAGTCAGATTGGAAGATGACATTGCTTTAACAGCCAATGGTGCTGAAATACTAAATTTGGTGCCGAGATCCATAGCATAAGTAGAGGCATGTATGAGGGGAGAGGATTGGAAATTAATTCAATGAACAATATTGTAATCATCATATAAAATCAATGAATTTAATTTATGAATTACGATTCTAAGAGGACAGAAGCAAACTATTCTCCTTACTTTGAATAGGTTACTCTGAACAAATTAAAAAGAGACGAATACCATAGTCAACAAAGAATACACGATAATAGAAAAAACAAATTATAGTTACCTTCTATAGAAAATAGTACTCTCGAAGATATTTCTATGCATTTCAGTAAGTGTGTTACTTCGAGTAAATCTCCCGAAAAAAAAGTAGATAAACTTTAAGTTAACAAATACTAATTGGAATTTATCTAGCAGAGTTTTTTAGAATTAGAATAAACTAAAATGTCTATAACGATGAGAGATATGAGCAATATGAGGAACAAATTTAATTGTCATCAAAGGATAATAGCAAATAAAGAACAGTATACTGTCAGAAATCTAGAGAGGTAAATGGGCAGTAATTTAGAAGATTATTCAAATTTAATGTACCTTTAATAAATGCCAGCTCAAACAAAGAACAAACCAGAAACTAACATCGCTTTCTTTGAGGAAGCTTTAAATGCTTATTCATATGCGATTCCTAGCAGAAGAGAGTCAGCACAAATTGCTGTTATCAGAGATAAGGTTTATGTTTTCGGGGGAATGAGTGGGGCAGGTTTAAGCAGTGACTTGTGGTGTTATGATATAAGTAATACATACATTTATGGAATTAGAAAAATAAGAATGGCAGTTACATCAATCAGATATCAATTTGAAAGTTACGAATCATTCTATGATAGCTTGGAAACATATGCTAATTATCTTTGGGGGAAGTGGCTATTATGACCATAAGATGAAAATAAGGTAAGTCTATTCAACTCTCGCTTGTTTTAATACTCAAATCAATCAATGGTCAATCACTTTAGAATCTGTTGAACCCAGAAGAGAACACAAGGCTGCTTTGTATATGGGGAAATACATGATTATAACAGGTGGTTTGGATTCAGGTGAATAATTATTGAATGATACTCTTATGTACTCTTTGGATTCCAGAAGATGGCTAGGATCTAAGATATATTTTGATGAGGGAATAGCATAGCATGCCATCTGTGAAGCCTTTGATTTTAAGAGAAATGTAGATACCATTTATTTGTTTGGTGGTAAAACTAAATCTTTGGGTTCATTTCCTTTAATGAGATTAGTTTTCTCTGGATAAGCTCCCTAGAGTTGGGAGAGAGTCTAGGGAATTGGAGTAGCTCCTTAAGGGAGATATAATCATACAATGGAGTGTATAAATGATAGTTTGATTTTGATTGGGGGTAGATCATAAGCAATCTAAGAGTACTAAAATGAAATTGTGTTATTCAATTTGATTTTAAGTTAATGGATTTAAGTAAAGAGATAAGGGTTGATGACAAAAAGGTGGAGTCATTGTAGTTGCGTGTTTGCCTCAAATATCTTTTGCTTTGGAGGCATCGGAGAAGTGACTTATCTGCCACCAGTCGTATTCTCGATTGAAACAGATTAATTCAAAATAAAGAACAAGATGGTAATTATCAAAAGATTATCTACCATTGCTGAGGATATGAAGAAATAGAATAAGGAATATCAGTAGATTAAAAGAACATGTAGATTAGAAAAATTTAGAAAAGCAGAAAAGTTGTATGGAAAAGTAACAACATTTTTGCCATTACCAAAAATGAAAACTCCAAAAATGAGATATGATATTTGGATGCAATTTGTACGTAAAATCTTACATTCTTTGAATTTAATATTTTGAAATTAATATATTTAAATCATTTTTAGATATATTTGAATTTTTAAATTAATAATGATATTACAACAAAGATTACACTAGTTAATTTACATTTTAATAATGATATTATTAATATCTTAACAACCAAATCATATTTTCGTGATTCCATGTACACCACTTTCTACAAAACCTGCATTTGTCATCTGGATAAATTAAACATTCTTCTATAACTCTTCAATATTGGAAGCCCCACAATAACTCATACCAGATTGAATTCCCTTTTTAAATTGTTCTAACACAATAGATACTTTCTATATTAATAATGAATAAATATTACCCCTGCAAATGGAATGTATCCCTCGACTCCCTCAGGTGAAAATGCTGTGCTTGAAGGTTCATCCTTGCCAGTTCTCTAAGCTTTAGACACATTGGCACCAAAACCAGCCATTCCTCTGTAAACCTTTAGGATCTTTCCCTCTCTATATATTTCTTTGGATGGGGATTCTTAACAGCCAGCCAACAATCTGCCAAGCATAATGCAATCTGCTCCAACAGCCAAAGCCTTGCACATATTTCCACTGTTCTTATTACCGCCATCGGACATTAGAGGTATTTTATACTCTTTACAAACAGGGGCCACATCCATTAATGCACTAAATTATGGGACACCACAACCAGAGACAACTCTCGTTATGCAAATGGAACCATTACCAATTCCACATCTAATACCATCTGCTCCAGCTTATATCAATCTTCTGGCACCATCTCCTGTTGCAATAGAACCAGCGATCACATCTACATTAACTTCTTTTTTTAATTATTCAACTGTTCTTATTGCCAATTATGAGTGTCCATTAGCGACATCCAACACAATAACATCACAACCACTATTGACTAATCTCTTTGCTCTGGTGATTTCATCATCATTTGCACCAACAGCTCCTCCGACTATTAATCTTCCCATTTAATCAAGAACTTTCAATTCGGAATCTATTTTTAAATCTTTTAAATTAATCAATCCTTTTATATTATTTTTATCGTCAACCACAGGTAATTTCTCTAATTTATGAGATAACATCTTCTATCTTGCATTCTCTTTGCTGACATCTAAATAATGAAGGGTCACTAACTTTTCTCTGGGAGTCATCAATTCTTTTACTAATTTAGTTAATGGTTGTTCATAGCAATCTCTGTTGGTGATAATTCCCAAAAGAGGTAAGGATTTATAACGAGGAGATCCAGTTTCATCAGTTTCCTCGTAATCTTCGTTGTTTTCAATTAAATTATCATCAGTGACTAAAAATGTTTTACATTTCCATTCTTCAGCTAAAATTAAGACTTTCTTGAGTGTGTAATTTAAACCCACTACAAAAGGTCTATTCTTAATGTAGGCTTCTGATCTCTTAACCTTTTTGATTTGTTCGACTTATTCATTTGTCGTCATGAATCTATGAATTACACCCAATCCTCCATTTGCTGCCATGTGAATTGCCATTTCAGTTTCAGTAACTGTATCCATTGGACTACTTATAAAAGGAATTTTGAGTTTGATATTTTAACTACAGTGAGTTTCAACGATGCAATTAGTTCTACTCTCAATTGTTGAATATTGAGGAACCATTAGAACATCGTCAAATGTCAAGGCTGTTTGGATACCATTGCGCCAATTACTACTCAACATATAAATTAATATTCCGCCTTAGTAAAGATAGCATTGGACTTTAAATGGACATTAATACGTGAGTTTTCATATTATTTACATAAGAAGTGTTTGCATTTAATTAAACAAGGAAATCTTTTAATTTAAAAATATAATTATAAACATAATGGCTCAATAATCATAGGCAGTAGCATATGCAGCACTTCTATTGGCAGGTTCAAATACTCCATTAACAGCTGACAATGTTGAAAAATTGACCAAAAAAGTATTTCACATATTTGAAATGATTTACAGGCAGGAGTCAATGTTCCAAAATAATTGGCAGCCGCATTCGTTAAAGCTTTCGAGGGTAAAGACATCCTCAGTTTACTCTCTGTTGGAGGAGGATAAGGCTCAGCCCCAGCTGCCTAAACTACTTAGGCTGCTGCTAAACCAGCTGAAGCACCAAAAGCAGTTGAAAAACCAAAGGACCCAGAGCCTGAAGAAGATGTTGATATGGGAGGTTTGTTTGATTGAAATCAATTACAATAGTACATTTATAATATAGTTTAACTTTGCATTTCATATTGCGAACTCTCTATTCATCTCGTTCTCCTCCGACCCACTATGTTTATGTTGTCCCCAATAGAATCCGTCTCTCAAAGCCTCACTCATTTATAGATATTTAGAATGTTTAATACTTTTTCAATATTTTAAATTCATTATTGTTCAGTTTTTGTTTTTTTTCTTGACTTCTCTGCATATTCAATGGCCTGATATAGTTACTTTTGTCTCTCCAACAATCTTTACAATTCCTTCTTCTTCTCCTCGTACTCCAACTTCTTACTATCCAACAATTGGTTTGGCTCAAAATAAACATTTAATCATCTTACAATTCCTGAATCCTGTCCCTCTGCATCAACCAATAAATTCCATAGTTCAGTCATAAATGGTAATGTATTCTTTTCAAAATACCCCATTATTTGAATACTTAGAACTTTTGGATCAGGACCCCTAATATCTTCGCTCTATTGCTCTAAGTAATTAATTATTTATCTCTAAACTACTTCATCTTCTATTCCAATATACTATATCATTTTCTTTTCAATCCAAGGCTTTATCACTGATAAATCAATCTACTCAATAAACACAAATTCTACATTTTTCATATTAAGTTTGCGATTGAAAACTTCCGGCCATTGCTTGTTCATAATAAGTTTACGCTCCTTATCCCCAAATCGAGAATCCTAATCTGTTGAAGTTCCTTTAAAAAAGTTTCCAGCCATATAATTACTTATTATAATTATTAAACTATTCAAATTAAAACTCTGATTTACTGTATGATTATACCATTTTCATAATTTGGGGGAGGGGATGCGAATAATTCAAGCACATTTGGATTGAAAATATCTTATGATCATAATCCCCTATAAATGATAACAAAAAGAATATATCCAAAATATATAGATAAAAACATATAAATAACAATCAAGCATCAAAAGTTTTTTCATCAGGAGTTTTAAAACCATATTATTCGTGTATTCCTTAAAATTATTCTTTTTACTTTTGCTCTAAGAAGTCTTCAACCTTTTAATTTTTCTTCCACTTGAGCCAGATCGAGAGTAATGAATAGACCAATCCAGAGACCCATAATCTGAGTTCAAACATTAAACTTGAGTGATATTTTCTGTTGAACTTTTAAGATTCAAGAATATCATTAAATTATTAGGTACCTTATTAAGCATATCTTGCCATAATGTTGATTCTATTTACAAGACTACCACATCTTTTATTGACAGATCTAACAAGATTCATATTTCTATTAACAAAAATTAGATCCTTTGGAAATAAATCAGTTTATTTCATCATTTCTCTGATTTCATCTTTCATTTTTAATTATAATTTCATAACATCCTCTTTAGTTACTTGATGACAATGAACTGGTTGTTTCATTTGATATGGTTTCATTAATTACATAGATGCAAACATTTCCTCATTGCCAATACCCCATTTCTAGACTATTTATTTAAGTTTAGCAAAGTCTTGTAAAAACAATGAAGTCCAAAACTCTGAATAATCCAATCTGAATTAGTTTTCTAATTTGATGCATAATCCAAAATCCAACAATACAACTTCATATTACTTGCTGTTTCCAGGCTTAGGTCTAATAAAAATGTTTCCTGGGTGGGGATCGCAATGAACAAATCCTGAGATAAATATTTACTCAGCAAAAGCACTTATCACTGTATCCATAATTTATTTTGTGTTGAAGCCTAGCTTTTGAATTTCATCTTGATGCGATATTTTAATTCCATCAATCCACTCAGAAACCAGAATTCTTTATGTATTAAATTCCTCATAATATTTTGGAATATGAACATCTTTTCTCCCTATTATTTATAATGCCCTTCTACTTATTTCTCCATTCTCATATTCAATTCTAAAGTCTATTTCCTTTTGCAAATTAGATTGAATTGATTCTTGAAATTGTAATAAGGGCATATCGAATGCATATTGCAATACTGCACAAATTACGTGATGCATAAACATATCGCTTCCAAATTGCTTTTTTATGTTTGGTTTCTAAATCTTTACTGCAACAACATCTCCATTCTTTAACTTTGCCTTGTGAACCTAAGCTATGCTGGCAGATGCTATGGGAATTTCATCAAATTCATCGAAAATCTCTTCAATTCTTTTTCCAGTTTCTTCTTCCAATATCTCTCTAACTCTATTAAAACTGACTGCTTTTGCTTTGTCTTGGAGTAGACTCATCCATTTGAAAAACGGAGGAGGCAATAAATGTTCGGATGCAGCAATTCCCTATCCAAATTTAACATATAATCCATCATTCCTTATACAAGTTTCATAGATATCCTTAGCCACTGTTTCATGAACATCGTTTGCATTCTCTGCATTAAATCTGATTTTGTATTGGTAAAGAATATTCAATCCGCAACGAATGGTATTCGCATTTCTTCTAATTATTTTACTAAATTCCTTTAAATGCATTTATACCTTTCATTATACTCATCATAACCAAAGGCTGCCAATCCAAATCCAAGCGAGTATTTTAAGAATTTTCTCATTATTAAAGGTTTTATTTTAATAAACTTTAATTATGGTACTTCTTATATAACCAAATACAGTATTAATCAGAAAAGATTTAAAGATGTCTGTTCTTAAATCCAAAATCGATTATTTGATGATGAAACATAAACAATTAAATAAACATCAACCATCCTCTATTTCCAATACAATTTCATGATATCTCCAAATTTATTATGTAAGCTTTAAATTAAAATTTTAAACTGTTTCACTCAAAATTCCATTCTAATCAACAAAAAAACCCTCTTATTTAAATGTAAATATCCAAAGCCATTAACAAGTGTTTACATATGTGAAAATGAAGTCTGAACTCATCAACTTAATAATGAAAATGTTAATCCATTTTATCATTCAATTTATATTTCACATGTTTCCCATTTACAACATTTAAATACTTATTTATAGATTATTTAATATACAAGTATTATATCAATTTTTTAATTTCAAATTACTTTATAGTTAATTAGATTATAATAAATGAATCCTAAATTCTCATTATTTCTAAACATGTTAATCAATGCTCATTTGTTCTGATATCTTAAATTATCATTTAGGTGAGTTATTAGTAAATTATACCAAATTTATTTATTTAATAATTTTTATTTTAGGAGGAAAACCAATTTTAAATTTAATGAGACATATTGCCAGAAATAATTGCATTATCAATAAAATCAAGGATGGGTTGTCCACTACTTATTTTAATAGACCAGATAAACTTAACGCTGTCAATCTTGAAATGTGTGAAGATATTCTTGAAAGTGCTAAACTTTGGAATGAACATGCTGTGGTGACTATTCTGTAAGGGAATGGCAAAGCCTTTGCTTAAGGAGCAGACTATGAGTAATTTATTAAATAACTTTAGGCATGTATTAAATGTCTCTCAAAATAAAAATGATTCATCAAATTTATCCAATAATGGTCAATTAAGAGATGTATCTAAATTTAGTCTCTTTGGAGATTAATCAAAAAAAGCTGTTCATGCTATAGGCTCAACTCAGAGTATTGTAATTTCCATTATGAATGGCCCTACAGCTGGAATAGGTGCAGCATTCGGAATTAATTCCCGTTTTAGAATAGCAACAGAGAATACAACTTTTGTGATGCCTCATTGTAAACTAGGTATGGTACCTGATGGAGGGAGTGCCTTTCAATTTAGTAAAATACCAAAAAACTATGGTATGTATTTAGGTATGAGTGGGGAATAACTTGATGGCATAAAAATGGCTCATTTAGGTATTGCTGACTATCTAATTGACAGTTAATGCATCCCTGAAATCGAGGAGGAATTTGAACATGCACAATTCTTAAGAGATGAAGAATCTATAGAAGAGTTCCTACTCTAAAGATATTGTTAGTTAAATAGAACAGAATTCGAAGTGCCTAAATAATTTTTAAATGTATTGAGTTTAACTTCTTTGCCATCCATAATGTCTGCTATGGAAACACAATTTCCAGAATAGGCTGCTCAAATCAGAAAAAATAGTGCTTTTAGTGTTTATGCATTCTACGAATTATTTATGAGAAACAAGAAGGCAAAACTATCCCTTAAGGATAATCTCAAGCTGGAATAATCCATTTTGGACAAAGTTGCTGTTAGACCCGATCTTCTTGAAGGCTTAAAAAGTTTACTTGTTGACACATCCTACGAGCCTAAATTTAATCCTAAAACTATAGAATAGGTTGACTTAGAGGAACTTCAAAGATGTTTTGAGCCTTGTTCAAGAAAGTTGTTTGATGATTGAGTATTTTAATTAATAATATTTAATGAAAGTGATAATAATCTTTGGTTGTCCTGGATCAGGTAAGACTACCTTATCTAAATTGCTCAATACAGACATTATAATAGAGGCAGATTCTTTATAATAACAACATCAATTTAATCCGGATGATTGGAAGAAATCTCGAGTCTAAGTCAGATAAATATTAGAAGAATATTTATAGGAAAAGAAATTCTAAACCATATTAATTGATGATGATTTTCTGTTAATGAGTCAGAGAAAACAAATCTTACACATATGTCAAAAATTTAAGGCTAGTTACATTGAAATTTTAATTAATTTAAATTTACAAGATCTTTTAAATAGAAATTCAACCAGAGATATCAAAAAAAAATTAAACGATGAAATTGTAGAACTCCTTTTTAATAAATTTGAATCCAAAAGTTTATAAAATACAATAATCATTGACAGTAAATATAATACATTTGAACTATTGAATTAATAAGTTATTGATATGGACATTAAGCATCAAAATGAGTATTTGACTGAAGATTAAATGATCAATGAAAAAGAAAATTAAATAAAGCAAAACTAAGAAAACATTGTACATTAGACAGATTTGGAACTAAGAAAAGTAATTTCAACTTTATGTAAATAAACTGGAAAATAGGGCAATTACGATCCAAAATATTTGAGCCTTAAAAAAAAGTAATTTCTATAGTCTCACTTAACAGAGAATGTTGAAGAGAATGTATTTTTATTCTTATAAACATTATGACTGTGTTAGTAATATATTTAATAGTAATATTTGTTATTTATGGTGCTCATTTAATTTTAATCAATTCTAATTTCCACACAGTAGTTCAACAAATAAATATATACTATCTAATTCAATTAAAATGTCCTTTAAAAATTATACTGATATTCTAAGTAAAATCAATATATGAATGTAGATTATAAATGAACCATTGCATAATCTACTTATAAATTCTCTTATAAGATTGTTCATTACATAGAACTTGAAAATTATAATCTAAACTTAAAACAAGAGTAATTAATACCTTAACTCCTCATCAATTATTTCATTTAAAAAAGAGAAATCCATTATTATTCCATAGATACTACACATCTATCCCTCATCTAATCATAAATTGTATGGTTTTGATTGGTATTTTCAGTGATATATATGGATTTGAATAAATTATTTTGGGTGATGATTAATACCTATTTTTTTCTTTTATTTTCAAAAAATATATTAAAAGATTTTCATTAACTATGGTAAATTTGATTGTGATTATTCCTTTAGCCAAAAGCTCCAAAGACATCTAAAGCTAAGAAGGTTTAAAAGAAAGTAGCAGACAGAAAGAAGAATCCACTCTTTGTTAGAGATGCTAAAAACTTCAGAATTGGAAATGATGTCCAACCAAAGAGGGATTTATCAAGATATGTCAGATGGCCTCGTTACATTCTTTTACACAGACAAAAAAAGATTTTATTGTAAAGAATCAAGGTGCCAGCAGCTATTCATTAATTCAGCAAAACACTTGACAAGAATCAAAGTATATTGTAAATTTTAATTTAAGGCTCAAAGGTCTATTCTTTATTAAAGAAATATGCCCCTGAAACCAAAACAGAAAAGAAATAAAGATTAGTCAAAGCTGCTGAATCAAAGGCCTAAAATTAAAAGACAGATAGTAAGAAAGTGACAGTCCTCAAGTTCGGATTGAATCACGTTACTACTTTGGTTGAAACTAAGAAAGCTAAATTAGTTTTGATTGCTTACGACGTTGATCCAATTGAATTAGTCGTATGGCTCCCACAATTGTGCAGACGTCAAGAAGTCCCATTCGCCTTTGTTAAAAGTAATTCAATGAATCTATGTGTTTAGACAAGGCTAGATTAGGAGCTTTGGTTCACTAAAAAACAGCTACTTGTGTCGCTTTGACAGACGTAAGAAAAGAAGATCAAGCTGAATTTGATAACTTAGTATAAAATAAAATTAATTAAAGGCTCGTGATTTAAGATAACACTACAATGAAAACCATGAATTGTTGAGAACCATTGGTGGTGGATAAGTAGGAATCAAATCAAGACATTAATAAGAGGCAATAAAGAAGGCTTTTGAAATTGAAGAACTTAAGAAGACAAGTTAATGATACAGTATTATCAACATATAATAAAAAATATTGAAAATTTATATAAAATGTGTCAAGTCTTCTTCTAACTCATTGTTCATTCTTAATGTTTCCAAAATCAAAGTGATCTTCAGCAAACTCATCAAACCTGCTTTCCTTTGAAAAATCAACTGGAATAATGAGCTGTTCCTATTTAATACATGTTTAAATATAATCCGACATCAAAAATGTCTTATCATACTCTGAAAAAAAATGCTCTTCCCCTCTTGCCTTTTAAATTTTTGAGTTAACAAAGCCACCCATTATAATATTTTTGAAATTTAAAGACACTATTTTAGCAACGTATTTTTACATTAAAAATATTTATAATAAAATTGATTACAATAATTTTTAAATTCATTAGCCATTTATTGTATTTGATTGAAATAATTCAATTTTAAATTAAATATATGTATAGATATACCACCAATACTTTTTATATTAATAAAATAATCAAGATAAATACATCTTGAAATATACGATATAAATATTTGCAAAATTGAATACTTTAAGTAACAAAAAGTTATATCATTTCATAAATAAGATTTAATGTACTAAATCTCACATAAAATTAAGTATTATCTGATTAATAAATTTGGATACTTGGGAACAATCAAGAATTAATTTAAATAAAGGAATAAAAAATGAGTTTAAGTAAAAGATATTATTTATAAGATATCATATAAAATATTAACTATCAAAGATTTACTAATCCTCATTATTATTGATTTTATTTCAGACTGTCTTCATGAACAGAGTCATATGTAATAATATTATTGGTAGATATTTACTCTGCTTGTTAATCAACCATATTATTTTTAATTTCATTTGTATTCTGCTTATCTTTTTTCTCTATCACTTTTTTTGGTTTAGGATCAATTCTTTCAAATGCCATAATACAATGTTAACTAACTCCTTTTTCATTTTTATATTTTTTTATTCCTTCATTCATTTTTCTAATTTTCATGTATTGAGGGTATTTCAATTCCAAATCTTACGCGATGTCTACCCACTTTCTGACTGTGAACATTGGGTAAGGTTTAGCAGGTTCTGCTATAATAATCCAATATTGGCAATCATTATAATCTATTTCATCAGCGAAGGCTTCTACTTATTTATTAGGTGTGCATTCAAATCCAATAGGACAGAAATAATGATTATAAGCATGGTAAATGAAGGAGATTTTATCAGACTTTAATCCAGAGGTTAACTTCGAGAGTGCTACATCTCTATCAACTCCTGGGGTGGAAAAATCTCCTTCATTTTTCCATAGAAAATAGGCTCTTCCTTATACTTTTTATAATCTACATAAATTCTTAAACCAAGATATTAAAGACATATTTCCACTAAAGCTTCCAAATTCTACATCATTAAAGTGTGGTCCTACTTCAGTACTCAGACTAAAATAGTTATTATTATTATTACCCCAAAGAGACAATTACTTCTTCTTATGAAAGTGGATTTAAGGTTCCTACTCCTAAAGTAGAAAATAGGTAATTCCAGCAAGTAACAACAGATGAAATACCGCAACTCTTCTTGTATTAGGGTCTACTCAAACTATACCATCGACGAACATCTAAACATCTTCTTTAACTCATTAGTTCTTAGGTTATGGTGAGATTTCTTGGAACAGTATTTTGAATTTATTTATTGGTTAACTCATCCGTAGATTAAGTTTATTATTATTATCTATTTAGCAATTTAGGTTTAGTTGCTTATTGATTCTTAAACATAATTGTGAAATCAAGTAATTGTTCAGTATTGGTGGTGTCTATGTTTTCTGTATTTTCAAGAATCTATTTCTCTTATTCTACGAGTTCCTGATTTGAATTCATAATTAATTTATAACCGATTTAAAATTTTAATTATTTAACAAACTCAATTGATTTTACACAATTCACACACTTGGCATAGGATTCCTTTTGATGAATGCCTACTCTTATCGAATGAACAAAAGTATATTTATTAGACATCATCTTTATAAGTGAGTGTATCAGCACATAAATTCTTTACTCCTTCTTTTAAATAGAATGGTTCAAAGTTGATATTATGTTCATTCTTAGGATTCTATTGGCAATTATTATATATCTAATTAATTTAATACTTTATTACTTTTTTGACATTCTCTAACACTTCAGGTTTAGAATAGGCAGCCCCTTTAGGAGCTTATTCTAGCAATTTTGTTAATTGTTATGCTACTTGAGAACCAGTTAAGTAATTCTTATTTTTATATGACAAACTCATTGCAGCTCTCAGAGTCAATGAGCGATGAACTGGCTGCAAATCACACATTGCCATATAACATGATAATTCTATTTGTCTTGAAATTTCTTTGTCTTTCTTTGCAAGTTCACATTTCATAGCCATTATGTAATTTAAGCAAATAGGAACCACATCATTATTTAGATTCTAGAATATGGTTTATTTTAAAATGGATTTGAATGTATTTAAAGCATCTTAGAATTTTCCATCACTAGTGTATTTATACCCTACTTTGAGTAACTCATTAAAGGACTTATTCACATAGATCTTATCCTACGATGATGAAACAATTAAAGGAGAAGGCATTAAAAACGGTATTTAAGGTACTTCTAGAACAGACCTCAAAGCTAACTACTTTAGATAATCTTTGCAAGGTGTTAAGCTCACAAAGTTATAATTTTATTGAAGAACTTAAAGACATTGTTGATATTATTCTGTAATTAAGTATTCCACTGGCTGTAGAGCTTAAAGTAAAAATCAATCTCATACCTTTTTTATAATCTGGATATCCATATATTAAAGATTTCTAATCCAAAGTAGCCTGACTTTATTCATTATTTTCTAATAGCTCTACTTCATCCAAATCCCATTAACAATCTTCAAATTATTCGTCGTTCTCTTCTGTTTTATCTATATTTTAATTTATTTTTTGTTTAGCTTATGTATTTTTATCAAATGGATTTTAATGATGAGCAGTTATTGTATTAGTAATCTCTACCTTACTTTAATTTGCAACTTTGGAATCATCCCCTGATAATTTGAATACTTCATCTTCATCTACAAAATTGTGAGGCCAATTCATTGAGAATAAAGGATGTTTATTTGATTTTATTATAGGCTATGGAGTGATTATCGCTTCAGGTTTTAAAGATTGTATCCATTCAATATCTTCAGCGCAATTTTTATTAGCTTCAAATTCTAATCCATGAGCCATTTAACTAAGATTTGCTAATTTATCCAGACTGCAACCTTTTAAGAATGAAATTCTTTGTTTCAAATTATCCATAGTTAATAAGGTCTAAAATCTTAGATCTAAGTTATTTTGTTCCTGTGCAATATTGCTTATGATATTAAGTTTCTCCAATTAACCTGTGATTATGTAGAGAAAGGACAATTCTTAGGATGCTCTTAACTTCTATTAACAAACTTCGTAAATATTATGGTTTCCCTATCTCATGGCTTCTTCTAGTAACATCTAATAGCATTTTGGATTTTTAAGGTCTTCGCATGTTCTATAGGCTATTTCTAAATTATTTGAAGAAAGAGCCAATTGAAACTTAGCTCTTTTATCAGTTACTAGTTAATGGGCAAGTATAGAATATCCTTTTTAGAATAAATAGGCTATTATTAGGTCTCCTAGTTTTTGGTGGTTCTTAATGAAATTCTAAACAAATTAAAGATTTTTTTCAATTAAGGCATATTTGAAGAATATTTCAGAACATTCAACAGTGATGTTAAGTAATTTGTCCATATTATCCATATAAAATAATTTATACTGAAAACCAGGTTTATCTTGGATGTTCTAAAATGAAACCAAATATGGCACTGTTTCCATGCTGCAAATAATCCCAGTATCTCCATTTAATAAAAGATACTTTAAATGCATTTTTGTTGAATAAAGTATAATATTTATTTAATCACTTAAAAACAACACTGATTTAATATTTATTTTTTCTGAAATATGTGTAATAGGTTGAAATTCTTTTGTAAATATGTATATTCCGTTTTTAGTTTGAATTAAAATACAATAATCATTCACTTTGACTTATCTGATATTCTGAAATTCATTAGTACAAGCAATCTGATTTATTATTTTATTAGCAATTGGATCCAGCACATTAATCATAGACTCCGAATAATAAAGGGCTTTTCCTCCAGTAAAAGTGAATAGACGATCAGTTTTGTGTCCTAATGGAGTGTGAGAGTCTGTTTCAAAATTATAAATCTCTATTTCAGAACTCTCTTTGGATCTCAATATTTTTGATTTGCCTATAAAAATAGCAGATTTGGCTAAAAAGAATTAGGATACATTGGTTTGTTATTCAAATACAAGATATTTTGAAACTCCCTTTGATTTATTATGAGAATGATTTCTTAATCTCACTAAGATTTGAGACTTCTGATTTTCGTAAACATTATATAGAACTTATTCAGCATTGTCTTAAAGCAAATTATCAGAGACACATGATAACTCTTACAGATTTTTAATTGTCTTCTCTGATCCATTTTATAAATCCAAAATCTTAATCACTTTTCGATTTCCAAAATATACAAAGTTATTATTCACTAAATCAATGGCAGGCCTATTTTTAAATAATGTGAATATATATAAGGCAGAATCACTACCACCTGCAAAATAATTGTTACTTTAATGGACAGCACATATCCAAAATCTATCTAACTCATGATTGGTAAAGCAATCTACTTCAACCTTTTTCTTCATATCCCATAGTCTTAGAGTTTTGTCCTCTGAATTAGAGATGAAGTATTCTCCAAAGGGATGAAACATAGCACAACTGACATTGTTCTACAATATAATCTATTCATTACTGTGTGTCCACCATATTAATCGACTTCATATCCTCTGGTATCAAAGTACTTCCAAACCTTGATTTTCTTATCATCTGAAGCAGATAAAATGGTATTGTCTTTAGGGTTGAATGAACACCAATTAACACCCTAACTGTGCCCTTCCAAAATCTAAACCAATTCTAATTCGCTAGCTTATTCCCCAAATTAGATCTAACTATAAGTAATTGATTACACTTTTTGATGTAAATTTTTTTTTAAGTTGAGCTATTGACCACAATCTTATTGTCTGATCTAATGAGCATGTAATCATAAAATCTTTAGATGGATGAAACTCACAATGCATAACATAATGACTATGTCCTGTTACGGTAGCTATCATCTATCTAGATTAATAATTCCAGATTCTAGATGTTTGATCATCAGATCCTGAAACACACCATGGCAATTCTGGGTGAAAATTAACACATCTCACAAAATCCAAGTGTCCACGCAATACAAATTAACATTTTTTTGTTTTATAATTCCACACTCTTACAGTAAAATCATCTGATCCTGAAATGAATAAACACAAAGATTAATGGAATTAAACTGATCTCACAGGGCCCTCATGCTCGTAGAATTCATTTATTGTCTAATTTATATTAATGAATAAATACTCTTCCAAATCTGTAATCAATCATTTGAATTTCCCCTGAATGAAGACCAACCAAAAGCCATGGTTACTTAGGATGAAACGACAACCCTTTAATCCTCTCAGTTTTTTTGTGAAATTTTACAATCATTCTGATTTTAATTAATTTTTATTGAATCAATATATATAATACAATTTTCCTTTTCCTTATTTTATACATTATTTAATTAAAAACTATTATTTTCTTTATTATCTCCTACTGTTAAGATTAAGCCTTCTATTTATCTTCTTAATTTTATTTAGAAATGAATACTGAAATTGATATACTTAATCAGATCCTCTGTTTATAAAATAAAAAAATAAATAATTCTATATTTAATCATTCAATCAGAATATATTTCCTTTTAGATATTTTCTTAAGATATATTTTACACTTTTACATAATTAAAAATTAACTTAATCTTTTTTGTATAAATGTTATAGTCATCCAAATTATTAGATTATAGACCAAAAGAATGGTAGTTGTGATCGATTGAATAATTATCTAAGTTTATTCAAATCAATGATTCTTTTGAAAATTCATTAAAAAAAAGGAATGTAAAAGTAAATTTTATTGATCTCTTGAGAAGAGTTGAGTTTAATAATAATAATTTAAATTTTTTAATATGGCATAGAACCAAATAGTAGGAGCTATAAAAATAAAGGATGGGTTGTTTATTGGAGATGAATATGCATCTTAGGTTTGGTATTTGATTCAATAAAGGATCGTGAATTCATTATGACAAATAAAGTCACTCATATAATAAATTGTGCTGGAACGGAAGTATAAAATAAATGGACATTGATGGGTGCAAAGTATTTAACATTTAATTGGTTAGAGTAAGATAATGAGGTATTCATTAAAAATGATATATCTAGGTTTTATTTGATGAAAGAAGCGAAAATGTTAATAAAATATTTACATTCATAGAAGAATGTTTTCAATAGGGAGAGAGTTGCTTGGTCCATTCAGTTAGAGGACAGAGTAGAGCTTGTTGCGTACTTGCTGCATATTTTATGAAAAAGTTCGTTAAATATTTAAATTTAATAGATATTCATGGACACTGTATAAAACTCTTGAATATTTGAATTCAAGGAGGCCAGATCTTGAAATCAGAGCATCATTCTTTTATTAATTGAATGCATTAGAAAATAGGATGACCAAATAAGGACCAAAAAGAACAGCCTCTTGGAATGAGTTAACTACTGATGAATAGAACCCTTCCCAAGTGCAGGATGAATTAATCATTAGAAATACATTCCTAAATTCACACAATGGACCTGTGGATGAAATATATACAAATCTCTAAGCAAAATAAGTATGATCTCATTTTGTATTTTCAAGGGAGTCTTGGGAAAAGCTACTAATCAGAAAATAAAATGGAAAGATCAAATTAATAAAGAAAATATATCATTAGCAACTATTGTCTACTCTGGTTCTCCTGATTTTGTACCTGTTTCTGAAATCAATTTAAAAACCAATCCAACCACACCATCAATTCTAAAAGTAAATTTTAAACTTTAATTAGGGAGCATAAAAGAACTAATCTCTAGTATAACCACCCAAATAACCATAAATTTAGTCCAATTTTCCAAAGAGTTAAAATACTGCACCTTAAGTAAGATCTGCTAGTAGTAAATCTTAATAATAAGATTAAAGTGATTTGTAGTTGAATTCTAACATTACATCTGCAAATCTAACAAACAATCCTTCATTTTAAAATCTATTAATGCATTGCGCAATGAAAACGAGAACTCCTCAATAATAATAAGAATAAAATGCTAAGAAAAATACATTAATTAATAATTTAGTTAAGCCTCAAATCGAAAATCAAAACACTTAAGCGATTTCATAAATTGCAACTAACTTATTGTAATTTCAAGCATAGGCTAATCCTGCAACTGGAATCAGAAGCAATTCTTTGTAATAGAATGATGACAAAAAAAATTAAGCAGAAAACCACACTAATAATCGACCAAGCTCAGTTAAATAAAAGGACAATTAACCTTCTATTTTAACGAATTTTTAGGAGTTCAAAAATTAAGTTTAACAATCACTTAATTATTTTAATAAATAATAAGAGACAATCTCAAATATGGATAAATAGTCATTATAATCTTAAACTACTCAATTGACAGCATAATCAAATACAACTTAATAACAGTTATTCTTATAATAAAATAATGCCTAATAAAAGAGTAAATTAGAATAATTAATTAGTCCTACTATGATTTAGTAAATGAATTCTACAAAACATTCAGAAATATAAAAAACACTAACTCAATCAATTTCTTAATTATAATCTAGCTATCAGAAGTTCTAATAATTGTAATAAAAAAATTAAATAAAATCATCATAATCCTAGTCATGCATTTAAAAATAAAATGCTTAAACTAATGATGGATCAGTTGTTGCCAATCCTTCTGGATTGAATTTAGTTAAAGTTTAAGAAAGAAGCACTTCCTTAACTAAAAATTAAGATAATGCAGATTTCAAAAATAGACCAAATAGTGCTGAGGTTAAAGATGGGTTCAGAGCAGTAAATCAAACAAAAAAGGATAGTTTATCTCCATTTTAAAAGGATGCAGTCAAAAAAGTTACTTAATAAGGCCCTCCTTTGCCACAATCAAGCTCTCAAATTTATTTAAGAAATGTTTAATGTAGAAGATAGGCTGCATCAACATTAAGAAATTAATAGAAACCAAATAATTCCTTTTAGGATAAATATTTGAATTAAAGTGCAAACTAAGTTCAAAATAATAGTAGTTTTAATAACAATAGTAATTCCGCTATTGAAGCTGAATAAAAATAGTCAACTAAAGGGGTAGTTTCAGATTTAAATCAATTTAAAAAGCTCATATCTCCTTAAAATTTAACAAAAAGTCAAGCTTAGTTTGTTAAAAATTAACCGATACGAGTCTTATAAGAATTGACAGAGAAAACATAATCCTAAAAATAAGTGTATGCTTTAAAATTTAATTATTAGGAAAGCAAAAGACAATATTTCATCCACCAGTTTTACTTTGGTCTAAAAACCATCTACTGTAAATACAAGGACTTTTTCACCTGCCATTAAAAGTAATATTTTATACTAATATTTAGATGAAACAAAAAATAAACCCAATAATTCAGCTAATGTAAGATAGAAGGTAAGGAACTCTTCTCCTGGAATATCAAAAGATCAAGATTCCTCTAATTCATTATAAAATATATCACAAACTTTTTAAGGCAAAAATAGTTGGAAAATGCTTTGATTCACCTATATTTTTCGTTTTATTATACCTTTTTAACATTACTATTATAGAAAATATTCTTACTATTATCAGGATTTAATATTATACTAAAAAATTTTTATTTCCCCTTAAGATTATCTATAAAATAATTAATATTATATTGCATCTTTTAGATAAGAATTAAATTTTAGATAAATCTCTAATTTTTGATAGGTATTGATGTAATATACAATCATCCTAAATAGAAGTTATAAGATCTTAATAAATTAGTTGAAATAATAATAAAATGAAAAATGAATTTATTTGAATCTTAAAATTTATAGAGAAGTCCATCAAGGTAAAAAACATAAAAATATCATAAATTAACATATCACTGTTCTTGAGATGTATTTTAGGTTTTAAATTTCTTAATATTTATTTTATAATTTAATTAACAATGCCACCTAAAAAGAAAAAATCAAAAAAATCGAAAAAGTCAAAGAAGAAGGAGGAATATTTACCCTCTATCTTCAATATTCCATAGTATGAGAATCCAGATATTGTTACTCCAAAAGTAGACTTGATAATAAAGTTGGTACATCCTGTAACCGATCTATTCACTTTGAAAATCAGAGTATTCTTAGTTTTCATAGATAGGTACCTATAACAACAAGAGTTGAATAAATTCATGAAGAAATTTCAAAAATGCATCAAGGTGCTATTTCTGGAATATCAGTTTGTCGTGATAGATTTAGTCCTGAAGATGTAAAACTTAATCTCATTTTAGGTTTTGGATCCAAAAAAGACTCTAGAATAATGTGGTATCTTTGATGGAGAAATAAAGTTACTGTATGACTACAAACCTATTGTTGGTCCTCTTTTAAAATGATTATTAGAGTAAACTTATCAAAAATATAAATTTTCATTGTTTTTTAATATATGAATAATAAAGGATTTAAAAATAATAAAATATGGAAACTGATTAGCGAAATAATTAAATATTTTGTATAATTCATCAATTTTATTCTTGTTAGGCTGCTTATAACTAGATATTTTGAACTTAATTACTTCTTTTTTTAATTCAGCAATTTCTCTCTTTAATCTAATGTTTTCATCTTTCAATTTCTCATATTCTAATTTCAACTTGTCAACGTCGATATCGACTGGAGATCCTAAATACTTTTTGACATAGCTAAATGTAATTCTAGAATTTACTCTATGGCATTATTAGGTTTTTCAGGTTCTTCATATAATCCTACTAAGACTCTAGTCAATTAATCAATGACTCCTGCTTTTTCTAAGTACTTTCTGAATTCTTCTTTTTTTGAATCGGTGGTCTAAGTTATTAGCTTATTTATACTTAAAAGCTCATTGATTTGAATATATAAATATTATTTAATTTTTACACCCGATTTCTATGAATAATATCCAGAAAAGGAATATTGATTAATTATGATATAAATAAATATATAAAATGATAAATCAAACAAATTTCGTATTTAAACGATTTTCAATACTAATGTAGAATTCTATAATATTTAGAATTATCATAAGCTGAATATAAGTTATCTTACTGATTAGAGTATATATAATTATAGTATATTATTGAATTTTGATTTTCTATTAAAAAGTATAAGGAGAGTTATAACATTTAATTTTTGTTTCTATTTAATGAATCCCATAATAAATTTGATACTGTAAAATGGTTTAAATCAATATTTTTTTAATAGAATATCGAGGTCATGCTAGTGAGTTACTTCATTTAATTTGTTTCCTAATGTTTGCAAAAACAATTGAAAAAAAAATAAAATAGAATATTAATGTTGTGAATAATAACAATAATGCTCAATCGACAACTTACGGCGCTCTACCTCAAAAACTTTTTGAGAAATTCACGCTTTTAGGATTTAATTATTTTTAATATCTATGAGATAATAAATTTATTAACCCACATATGGATTAGGATTTTCAACTTAATTTTAATAAATTTCATAGCCAACAATAAAGATAGTTCCTTAACATTCATTCTAAAATTAAATTCAACCAAATGTTTAACAACAATTTTAACACTCGTTATAAACTAGTTTTTCATAGTAATAGAATAGAACTATTATTCCAATAAATGGCAATGGAAGTGTGTGTCGTCCTGTTTGGGATCAACCTACACGTTAAAGATTTCATACATCTCAATCTAACATTACTCATTAAAATTAAATGCATCTTGCTGATTTGTAATAAATTGAGGAACCTTGGAGACTAAAAGTATAAGAATTGCAAAAAAAGATTAAAATTCTAGAAGAAGAACAATTATTGAGATAATAAGATGAGAACGTAGAGAGTGAATTATCCCAAGCCTATAGTTAGATCTAATAGTTGGTTAATACCATAAAAATATTATAAGAGGAAATTTAATAGTTGGAGGAGAAAGTAGACACTAAATAAAGCATAATTGATAGCTATGAGAAACAATTAGCTGAAAAAGATAAAGAAATAGAGAATGCCAATCATTATATATCTGAACTTCATGCATAATTGGAGAACTAAACTACTAATTTAGAAGAGAAATAGAAATATTTATTTGATGAAGTAAACACCTGGAAGAGAAAGTTTATAGAATAAAATAAGTAAGTTATACTCAATAGATTTTATAGGGAATTTCATGAAAAATAGGAAGAATTGATGGCTTTATAGGCTGAGCTAGATAATCTCAAAAATTAAAAGATCATCAATAATAAATCTAGTGATTATAAATAAATTAAGTGACACATAAAGAATATTGGCATTTGCCAATAAATTGAGTTATTTATATATAAATATTAATCATAATATGCTGCAAAGATGCATGCAATTGGCAAAGGTTGCCCAATTTTCATAGGTTGTGAAATCTTACACTAGTTTAGCATAACATAAATGGTTGGACTACGATGAAACCCATAAAGTATTATGAATTATATCAAGAAATCACTCCAAACTCATAAAAGCAGAGCTGAAGAATTTATTCATAAAATCCCAGTTATTGAAGTAGATCAAGATATTGTGAGATGTTTGGTAATCCATTAATTTATTATTAAGGGTGGCACTCATATTAATGCCGGACATCCCCAAGTTTATATCAAATTAGACACAAGAACTGAAGGAACACCTTAAACTTGCAAATATTGTGGCTTATAGTATGTTAAGAAAGGACATGGATCACATCATCATTGAGAATCAATCAAAATATCATCATCATAATTCATTAATATAAAATATGAGTCTAACAACATTACTAATATTTATGCCTTCATGTTATAATCTAAGAAAGATCTTGTAATATCTATATGGTTTGATATTGATTTAAAATAGTTATTCTCAAGTTATATTTCATAAAAAGCTCAATTTCCAATAACTATTAGGATTTATAAATTTTTGCTAGAAATTCATATTCTTTGATGTTCACTTACTTATTTTGAATAATCCTTATTTTTATAATTTAATACTATGTTAATAGTGTGATTAGATTTACAAATCCTTATAGTAATAGTTTCACAAAGTTGTTGAAAATTTGCTAGAAAAAATTATAGGTTGATATTGATTTCTTTTAATAATTTAATATAATCAAATTTATTTAGAGTATTACAAAGAATTACTCCAATAATTCTTAATTCATATCAATTCAATTTAAGACAAATAATAAGTCGTATCAAATTCGAATATCATTTTGTATTTTTACATCAATTCTTCATTACTAGTAAAGATCTCTAATCTCCTTTTGAAAAAATAAGGATGATTATAATGACTAACTTTATAATATTTAATACGAAAATATGGAAAGTACTATAGCATTGTTTATAACATATATTATTTGTATTTATTCAATCAAAGTTATTATTTTAATTTATTCATCTCTTCATAAACCTTTGAATAAAAGTGCTTCTGATTCTTTTCCATTTGCTATAATTATGTTTAATGATTCAATAACTCATTTTCACAAGAAAGCATACTTTATTTTTAGTTTTTATCTTCCTATAGCTAAGTTTCATTTTATAATTATTATTATTAGTGCTATTAATTTGTTTAATCTTGTGCACTTACATTCATAATTCCTGTGAAAGAAGTAGAATGGTTTTGTCTTTTACTAAAGAGGATTTCCTCATAATCAGAATTATTTCCAAAATAAGAAAATTATTGGGTTTTTAAATTAGTCTTGCTTGTGTGTCTAATTTTTTACAATAAATTTGCCACTCTTTGTTAACATTCGTTGATTCCACTTTTATTTATTCTTGTCTTACTAGTATTCGGTGTTAATGAACCAGCTCTGTTGCCTTGCCTCTCTGAAAATTAAACTTAGATTATCTATTCTAATAGTCTGTTATATCTCTCTATTTTTTCTCCTAATTCTAACTTTTATTTTACAATTTCATCACTTTTAATCTTTAATTTTTTTGAGTAATTTTTCAATTCCTTATACTTTTATTCTAACTAAACTATATATGACTGATTTAAATACCTAAGATTCCCTCTAATTCAAATTCAATTCCCATTGTTTATAATAATTTTCTTTATCTTATTTAAAGTAGCTTTCCTAAGTATTCCTATTCTCATTATTTAGAACTTTAAGTCTTTAGCTTTAAGCATTATTGTTATTAAACATATTTCAAATTTAATAATATAATATTTATTGTTACAATATAATTCACTTTAAATTTAAAGTTATCAAAATCATAAGTCTGTCAATATTAAACAAAGTCTGTTGAAAACGATTAATATATACTTCAAAACTTAAGTAATAATATTTTAAATAGACTAATTGCTGAATTTTTCATTCTTCTTGTTTTCATCTTTCTCTCAACAGGTTAACATTTTTGAGTTGATTATTTAAGACTCTGAAATTATTCACTCAAGATATTAGAAACAATTTATGATTAAATGAAAAAAGTTAAAATCAATTTTGAATAAAGATTATTCTAACATCATATCTAATTGGTCAGGTTCTAAATTATAGACCATAAATTTTCATCTGATGGTTATTTAAGTAAGTTAAGTTTATCTAGGATAGTAGGGGTCATTATTTTAATTAACTCCTTTAAACTGTACATAAGATATAATTTTGTATTTACTTTTTTTATACACATAGCGCAATTCCTTAATATATTGCTCTAAATTGGCTATAAAGTAAGTGTTATTGGTTTCTTTAATAATTATCTTAATAGATAATCTTTCCTATCTTTATATATCGATCAGAACCTTCACATATCTAGTAGGTTCTTAATTTTTGGTATACTTCTTAGTTTTAATATTATATATTATAAAAATTAAATTCATAATCAGACACATTGAATCCTTTGACCTCTTAATTACTTTCCTCTTTATCATCATTTCCTTTACAGCTTTCCAAATTAGAATTAAGTTTATTAAAATCGCATTAGAAAATTTCAAATCAAGTTATTCTGATGAGAATCCAATTTGAAAAACACATAGAACATTCATTTAATACATATTATTAAATATCAAGTTATGTTATAATTAGCAGCTAAATTGTTTGATAAAAGTATTCCTGGCTTATTGTGAGTGTTTCACTAAATTGAAAATAAAGTTGATTAAATTTAAACTTAATTGTAAGCTATTTGCTTTTGATTGTTTAATTAAATTAGAAGAAATTGTCCTTAAATAAAATTATATTTTAAAAAAGGTTCTTTAACAATTACTAATGATAGTCAATTTAATTTAATATTTCAACTACATTGTTCTAAAAGTTAAATTGCTTGATAAAAAATTAAATCATGCTTTCTCATCTCTTGAAGAAAGCCAATCAAAAAGAAATAGAGCTACCCCATCTTTAGAAAATTGAATTCTTTCTGCATAAATTAATTTTAACCTCCTTTTCTAAAAAATGTAGTATAATAGTGAAAAATATATTGCGCTGAAAGAGATGTTTAAAATCCAATTAAGGATTTACTCTGAACAAAGTTCCTTATTTAAAATATCGATAAGCTGCAAAGTATGCAACCCTACCAAATATAAAAGAATGTAGAAATTAACTTATTTATATGTAAAATATTTTAAATAGTTAAGATTTGAATTTCCTTTAGTTATGTTTATTCTTAGTTTTTCTTTTATATAAAATCTTGAACCTCATACTATTGCACTCCACTTTATATCATGTAAAATTTAGTTCTAAACCTATTTATGCCCTATTTTGTAAAAAATTATTTCAAATATATCTATGTACAAATTGATATATTGCTTTTATTCCTATCCTATTCTTCAAATAATACTATTATACATAAAAAGAGAATACCCAAATTATAATACCCTATATATGTCCAAAATATTTAATAAATTTCCTACAATTTCAGAAAAAAACCTGATAGATTTTTATAAAGCAAAATATAATTGTAATTTATAAATATCTTTAATTAAAATTGAATGAAAAATTTGATGATTACATAGATCCTAATTTCTATATTAAAATATAATAGAAAAAATGTAAATTTTATAACAATTCTAGATCACTCTACAATTTATATAACCTATATTCAACTCTTGTTATCAATGTTAGGAAAAGTTAGAATAATAATCACTTTAAAAAATATAAATAATTATATCTTATATTAAATGAGTATATTATTTGAAGAATAGTTATTAAGTCACAATAAGGAAATTGAAATATCAATGAAAATTCTATTGTAGCTAGAGGAATACACAGAATAGGAGAATATTATGCAAATTGGAAGACTGTTACTATCATAATCACAAATAATTAAAGAATAATAAGCCGCTCTAAGTGATGTAGAAACACTCTGCAAGGACTTACAAGAATAAATAGATAGCCTATGCATTCATAAATAGTAATTAATAATTGAGAATCATAAGTATAGCTCACAAATATATGAATTATAAAACAATTATAATTCCATATAGAAAGAGCTAGATTCTGAGAAATATCATAGTTAACACCTCTCATAATTAGAGTCTCATATTAAAACATTAGAATTAGAATTAGATTCCTTAAACAATCATAATGCATGGTTAATGCAAGAGAATAAGAGATTAAATGAAAACAATTAATAGTTATTAAAGATTATTGATGATCATGAAGCATTGATACAAAGGATGAGCAATGATTAAAAACAACTTGATTGTTTAAAATAAGAAGTGCAAAACTAGATTCATACTAACAAAGTAATAGCGTAATCACATGACATATTAGTAGAATAAATGAAATAAAAAATTATAGAATATGAACTTAAATTAGATTTCTTTCAACAGCAATAACAAAGCACGCTTTAAAGCAGAATGTCATTCTCTTTAGTGGAGGATTTTGTAAATCAAGAGGATTTATATTAGAAAGTGAATGAAACCATACAATCTGAGTTTCAAAGTATAATTTAGAATACAGATAATGCTGAAACCAATAATACAGAATAAGTTGATGAATTTACTTATTTTAAAAAAGAGTATTGTGGGTTGAAAGATAATCGATATATTAAGGAAATTATAAAAAAGGATAGGGAAAATATGAAAAAAGATTATATCTTTTGTTTTAGTGATTACATATTCAGAATTAATATTAGAGGAGAGAAATCTAAGAGGATTATGTTTATCACTGAAAGTACTTTTTATTTTTTTGAAGAACATAATTAAAACATCAAAATTACTAGGTAATTCCCTATTTCTAAGGTGTAATAATTAATATGTTGTGAGTTTAATCCTATTCTGTGTTGTTTGAAAATTAAGGGGTAAAATGATGATTATTTGATTGAAACCTTTAAACTAAAGGATTTCATTGAATTCTTAAACGAAACTCTTAATTCTCAAATTTAAATATCTTACTAACAGAATTTTCTGATTCAATTTAAAAATTACACAAATCCTAAAAATCTTAATGAGATTGGTAATGGATTATATGATGGAAGTGGAAAGTAGGCAGCTTTCAAAGTGTCTTAAAAGTAAGGGTTCTTGCAAATGCAATAGAAAACACTCTTTGGCTTTTAAGATTGGATTGAAGTATTTGCATTAATGACAGACGTGGGATTATTATTATTTAAGTAAGCTGGTGATATGCATCCAATCCTATTCGTTCCATGTGCAGATGCAATAATTATAAAAAACCCATTGAAGTGTAAGCCGAACTGTCTTAAGATAAAATATCGAGATTGCGAATACGTTTTTAATGTGACTTCATAAGCATTGTTAGAAGAATGGTTTCAAGAGTTGAATCGACAAGTAGTTAGTTAGCATAAATTACAGCTATCTTAATCATTGAGGAATCTTTGAGATATAATTAATATTGTGTATTAAAATATAAATCAATCTACTTTAGGTTCAGAAATTGGAGTATCACTTTCCTGTTGTTGAATGTTTAAATCTTCGACTTCGGTATTATCCTTGAGACTTGGTTTGGCCATCTTACCTCCATTTTATTTATCAACAAACCACAATCCAATGTTACTAATCAACCCAACGATAGCAGTACTGCCTAAAAATAAGATCATATGTCTGTAGGCTGCTGGGGTTTCATCTGAAATTAAATGACCGACTATAACTGGGAAAACTGTTAAACCAATGTTCTAGACGGCATTCACAACTCCAAATGCTGTTCCTACGGCTCTTTCTGGTACACATAAAGGAACACAAGGCCACATTACTGCAGCATATAAAGAGTAATAGAATCCATTTAAGATTTATCCCAAAATTGGTGCAGTGAGACAAACTTCTTGTTGATCACAAGTAATTGATATAAAGATAACATTCACTAATACTAGTAAGCCACCACATAAAACTAAAAGATGAGTTCTTCTACCAAATTTGTCAATTACAAATCCAAATATAGGAGTAAAGAGTGCGGCCGAGTAATATGGTATACTATAAACATTATTGGCTTAGCTTGAATTCATATGATATCTAATCTAGAAAAGAATGTGTACATAAGTTTGAACATTTCGACATTATTGTATTAAAATAAGAAGAATGCCGAGTAGCAAGTGAGACAACTGAGAGTAAGGAGATGAAAATCCAACTTAAATTCTTTGATATCACTTAATTTTATTTTATCTCCTTCAATTTTGGCTTCTACTTTGTCTCTCTTATCGCAATATTTATCAAGTAAAGCTAGAATGATAGCATCCACCCATGCCAAGATTAGCAGAGCCAAACAAAAAAACATAGATGCAGACAAACTATCTCCAAACCAAATATATGTTTTTCCTAACAAAATTGCTCCTAAAACCGACCCAAGTCTTGCAAATGTAATATTCAAACTAACATATAAAATACTCTACTTACCCCAAAGCAAATGCTAATTCACTTCCAAAAAACCATTTACTCACAATGTACGATTAAGCAACAACACAGTTTTCGCCGCCTAATCCAAAGACTAATCTACCAATTAGCATTATTGTAAAGTTACCAGAGACTGCTGAAATATAACAAAGAACTAATTAAAATTTCGATAATTATGTACATTAACCCACTATTAGGATAGCAAAGAAACCAACCATTGCAAGTCTGATTCCAATTGCATCAATGAATAATCCTCCTAATAGAGGCAAAATCACATTGGGCATTGAGTAATAAGTATAGAGGAGATTCACATCTGATTAATCTTTGTTGAAGCTGTCTTTAATTTCTTCTGCCAAAACAGAAGGATAATCTGTGCTAAAATAACTTCCAAATTAAAAAAGACAGGCCAATATCAATGCTACCCACCTAACATTGGTATTGTGCCAAGATTTTTATTTATTACTAAGCAACTCTGATGATTATTCCTATTTCTCATTATCATTCATTTGTAGAAAAAAATTATAGATTTTAATAAGTGGACATTATGACGAATATATAATTACATGAAAAATTATTAGCATCATTTTCCACTAAATTTAATGGTAGATGATTCAACTTCTTGTATTACAAATTAAATGACGCAAAGCCATTTTATAAAGTAATAATTGAACCAATTCAAAAAATATTAAATTTTTGCACTCAAATTAATATATAAATTATTCCTATAATAATAAATACTAAAATAAGTTTATTAATAAATTTCATTAATTATTTATCTGTTAAACATAATTATACAACAATGAAAGATACTACCAGACGTATATTTGAGAAGGAGAACCAAGCTGAAGTTTCTAACAATATTGACAAGCGGGCTAATTAAAAATCATTCACCTAATTAGTTTCATTAAATTTGTTAAATAGATAACCAAGTAATATATTAACATTAATTTTTCAGAAATTGAATTCAAGAGCATCGATATCAAGTAATAGCCTCAACAATTAAACTATTTGACTTAGAGGAACCCTAATGTGTCAAGTCTACATTATCGTCCAGAAATAAAGTAAAAGACAACCATCTCCACAACTGAATAAATTGTAATCAACTCTATTAATTGTAGTATTCACCAATCACTGTGAGATAGACCACTTCTATTAGTTAATCCAACCAAAACTATTTAAATAAAGAACAGAAGAATCCATAAAATAAATTGACTTATCTTTATGGAGACAACATCCTCACAAATTACCAAACTTAGGATTCCATCTAAAAGTTTGACTTTTTAAAAAAGCATTCTATAACCACTAATTTAAGAGCTAAAATGGTTGATTGGATGATTGAAGTCTTAACATCCTACAAATGTAAGGATCAGACCTTTTTCATGGCTGTGAGATTGATGGACACATTTCTGCATTACACAACAAAATAGCATGCCCCCCAAGATTTGCATCTAATTGGTGTGACTTGTATGTTCATTGCTAGTAAGTTCGAAGAAATCTATCCTGTAAAATTGTAAATAGTGCATGAAAAGATCGCACACAAGAAACTATCGAAAGATGAAATCAGGGACAAAGAATGCTAAATAGCATAAGCTCTGGATTTTAATTTTGTTGGAACAACTCTCTCAGAAATCATTTCAATGACCTTACAATTAATCAATTAGTATTAGAAATTGCATTAATTTGTTATCTACTTAGCTAAAATAGTTTTATATGATTATGAACTAATTAGTTAGTATAATTATTCATCATTGTCAGCAGCATGTATAATAATTGGATGCAATCTGTTATGTCAAGAATCGAGCGATGAAATTGTAATTATCTATTACTATCATTAATTAGATCTCCTAAACTTTGTAAGTGCTTAATGTTGATAAGGATGAAACAGTAGAATTATCAAATAAAGTATTAAATTTGGCCAAGAATTTTGATAAACTATTTCCAAATCTAGAAAACTTAAAGAAGTTCAACAAAAATGCAACCTTAGACATAATCAAACTATAAAAATGAACTCTTTACTATGTATGTTTATTATTATATATTACTATATCATTTGATGATGCTCATGAATTGACTTTCTGTAATGAAATAACTTTAAACAACTTTATTGCCGAATTTTCTGTTGTTCATTAATACATTTACTTATTTAGCAGCTTCCCATTATTTGAATACAACAATAACATTTCCTTCATTCTTTTTATCAACCCAGACCATCTCAACATCCCCATACTTTTTGCATTCATCTATAATATAATATATCTGAATTACTTTCAACTTCTTCTTTGAGTTCTACAATTGCTGCTTGATTAGAGATTTCTAAATCAGTCCACATGTTGGTCAATACAATGACCTTGGTGATGCATGGACATGCCGGTGGATTGTGCTTAAGAGGCATCCAACCAGATATACAACCTAAAGAGGGATTAGGAGATTGTATAATGTTTAAGATTCTTTGAACAGTTAAACCTAATTACGACATCAAAGGAGGTAGATTGATCTATTCAAAATATATATATAATTCGCTTACATTATCAATTAAATTGTCATCCATTAACTTTTTCATTAATGTGATTCTCATCACAGGATTCTAAACCAAATCATCATCCAATTATAAGTCCATATAATTATTGGCTCCAGAAACCAATTGAACTTTTATGGGTTTTCCATTTAATAAAAATTGTTGATTGTTAATAACTTCTATCATATTTCTTGCTGATTCTGCTTTTTCATAAGTTACATAAAGAACTCCTGTCATCCTTCCTTATTCATCCTTGGGGATTTCTACAGTGTCAATAGTACCAAAGGGCACAAAAGCTTCTCTTATGTCTTCCTCATTAATTTTTTGGAGTTGTTCTGCCATCCCTGTGATTTGAACTCTTGCAGGACCATTCATATTTTGTAAGTCTTAGATGGATTAGAGTTTATTTTATTTAATTTGCATATTTTTTTGATCTCTAGCAGCTCTGTTTTTCTCAGCTTAACTCAATTATATTTTGACTGGAATTGTTCCTACTTATTGGCCATCCATAATGAACAATCTATCATTCAAAGCCAGAGCCATGGGAATAGATTCTTCTTAATAAAACTCAACATATGCAACACCTCTGGATCTACCTGACTTTTGATCTCTTATGATTCTGATGTCTCTGATCTTGCCACAATTGAACTTAAAAAAGTCATGAAATATTTTACAGTTTGGAAAAACTAATATATGTGCTTTTCTTTTGCTTTTAGTGGCAAACAATACATTAGAACGGTTAGATCTTATCTATGAGCTTCTTCTAGTTCTCTTTCCACTTCAACAATTTTCCTTTCTAACTCTCTTATTTCTGCTTCCATAATTTCAATTTTCCTTTATTTAGCAATTTCCCTTTTCTTCTAAATGTCATTGGTCATTAAAATCTAAGTTGTAATTGTTTGTTGTTGTTATTCCCTCTCCTTTTCTCTGTCCTTGTCTTTTTTACTCTTTTTTTTCTTAGATGATTTTGATGCTGATCTTGATCTTCTACCTCTTTAAAAATAAGTTATTTACTTTTTCTTATCCTTTTTCTCATCCTTCTTCTTTTTCTTTTTTTCTGCACTCTTGTCCCTTTCTCTCTCCCTCTCTCTTTCCTTATGACCTTCCCTATTATTATGTTTATCCTTATTTTTCTCATGTCCCCGTTCTTTCTCCTTCTCATTCAACTTCGAATCGTGCTTCTGACCGTGATGGTGTTCCGATTGTATGTATCGTTGGAATTGCTCAAAATCTAAATCCATTTATTATTATTAATTAAATAATGAAACCAAATATGTATAGTAATAATCAAAGACCTCCAAGTACGACCAAGGATAAAATGCAAGCACAAGGATTGCCCAATTACCCCTTATTACTTAATAAAACCTAATCCACACCATCATCTCAGGAGATCAAATCTGGCTATACATACTCCTCATATGGAACTTCCACACTGAACACCCAACCACAATATGTTAGTTTTTCTTATTTATTTGAGTAGACCAGACCTTATGAATAGTACGGCTAAAAACTATATCCATATTAAATCAATTAATAACAATCATCGAGTGGTATGACCACTTCACTATCGACTACTCAAAAGACCAATTCAACAATTTCATCCATGTCGCAGTCTCAACCAGAATAATAACAATCAACAAAATATACGTAAAATGTCAGCAAAGGCATATGCGGATTGAGAAATATTGGCAATACCTGTTTCATGTAATTGTATATAATTATATTCAGGAATTCAGTTCTGCAATGCTTACTCAACCTTCCTGCCTTTAATGAACACTTCTTAAATGGAGATTACCTAAAAGACTTGAATTCCAAAAACAGCTCTGTCCCAAACGAGTACAGCAAACTAGTTTCCACTGTCAGAAGCACTCCAAACTTTCAATCCATTGCTCCATATGGAATTAAATCTGCAGTTGGTAATCTCTCTGTGCTTATTAGTATTTTCTATTAGAAAATGTTATGCCCTGTTTCAGAGGCTATGCTCAATAAGATGCTCAAGAATTTTTGGTTGCACTCCTAGATGGTCTCAGTCTTGGCTTGAACAGAGTGAAGAGTAAATCAACCTATAAAGAAATGACTGACAATCTCAATGGAAGAACATTACAAGACTTAGTAACTTACATTTTCATTTTTAGAGCAAAGAGTGGTGGGATTATTCAAAAAGCAGAGAAAATAGTTTAGTTCTAGATTATTTCTAGGGATAATTGTTGCACACAATCAAATGCTCCTATTGTAACAATAGTTCATATGCATTTGACACTTTTTTGGATACGTCTTTAGCATTTACTAGAGCATTTAAAATATTGGAAGACATGGATTTAGATAGATTATTAGATAAATATGTAATTGAAGAAACTATTGATGACTATTATTGTTCAAAATGGTATTTAATTTATCGTTATTGTTTGTTGAAGCAAAAAGCATTAGAAAGTAAAACGCAAATTTACAATTTGGAGATTGCCTCACATTTTGATGTTTCATATCAAAAGATTTGATTACAGAAGATTTTCGAGTGACAAATTAAATCATCGAGTCAAATTTCCTTTGGAATTAGATATGACCAAATTCATCCAGGATTCACGTAAGACATTCTTAATTTTAGTCGACTAGTCTACCAAAAATTGTTAATATTCCTTGTGTGGAATTGTAAATCATAGTGGAACATTGTATGGAGGACACTACACAGCGTATTTATTACTTATATATATTAATAAAGTGACAGTTTGAATCCATTTAATTTAAAATGGTATCGATACAACGACTCTGACGTTAGAGAGATTGATGTAAAACAACAAAGATATGATACTGATGGCAGTAGTAGTCCATACATATTGTTCTATGCGAGAAAGTCATTATATTGATTAAAATAATTGTAATGCTATTTTTGGTATGTTATATCACAGAAATTACAAATACCATCTAATCCATTGATTCAATTGCTTTTTATTTTGCATCTCCTATAATTTCTACTAAAGTTTTTGATATTGATAAGTGTTGTGAATTGTTAATAATACTTAAGCATTCATCTCCTTGCATTCGACAAGATGAGATATGTATAATTTGGTATGATTTTGACAGGAAAAACATTTGCACTCTGGGTTGAGTGGTACCTATAATATTATAACGAAATACATACATTTTCTTTAACATCTGAATTGATGGGGAAATTCAAATAATTAATCTTTTTGCCCTCCAATTCATAAAAGTTAATTTTATCACTAGAAAACTATTCTAATTCACTATCTTTTGCATCAAAATTAGGTGGTAAAAGTACTTTGAGATCTTATGCAAATCTAAAAGGCTCTTCGATTTCAAAACCTTCTATTCCCCAACTCAAACCCCAAAGAATTGATAAGATATCTCCATATCCTGCCAAAATGTATTATACATTATATCCATCGAAGACTGATTACACTACAGAGAGGGCATCTTCCTTATCCTGCCAAGTGCTGCCTTGATTGAATCCATAGAGAGTAAAACCTTTAAAATTTGGATGATCAATGGCAAACTTTTGTTCTTCTGCTGCAGTTATTTTTTACACAGTGTCTAACCCTCCTTAGATGGCACCGTAAATACCAATTTGAGTGTCTTTTAGTTAATCTAAGCTTTCTTTTAAAAAATTGGCTGATTTTGAAGAAGATCTCTTTGTAGATTTTTGACCTGCTTCGATTTCTGGTTTTTCAGTTAAGGAGACCAACATTTCTGGATTAATCAATCTTGCCAATTCAATATACTACTTGTTGGTCACGGATTTGATTCCTTCTAATTAAGCGATTTTAACTCCATCTTTATTCGAAGATCCTTCAACGCATTTCATTTTATAAGAATCAATTGAAGTCATGTAGAGGATTTTATTCTCTTGATTAATGTATTGGCGAAAACTAATATTGGTTTCTGATTGGAGTTGTTTCAATGTGTTTTCCATATGAAAGAAATCACCAGCACTCAATAGACATGTATCCAAATTAAGCGTTTGCTGATTGAATGGGGTTAAGTGGTAGTAAGACCCCATTCTAGTAGTATAAATAAACAATGGTGATTTTTTCATTTGTTATAATAAATTCTTATAAGTGATTCATGAATTATTTATTCATAAAATCTGAAATTAGATAAGAAATAAGAAAAAAAATAATATCCAATTAAATTGCATACCCTTATCTACTATGTCAGACGAACAATTGACTATTCTCTTTATGATCAATCCAGACCCCATTTTTTATGGCATGATGGATCAATTAATAATTGAAACCTTTTAAAGATTAAAAGTAAATGTAATTGTCACAGAACTCGAGGAATTGAGTGTTATTGTTGGAAACGTATTTAATTAGTCATATATCAATATAGGAAATAACATTCTTCCGAAAGGGAGAACCAATCCACTTTGATGCATTTTTAGCATATGGATATATGGCTCCAAAGCACTACTAGGATTACATGTATTTCAATTTCGCTGTCCATTCAGCTGGGAAAATCACTCTTCATCACCCCTCCACTGAGAGCATTCTCCAAAATAAATTGCTCCAATATCTTAAATTTAGTGAAAACCAAGTCCCTATTCCCAGGTGTGGAGCCTCCTTCTCACTCAATACTTTCAAATAAAACCTAAGAAGATTCAATGATAAAGCTATCATGAAAGAAGTCGAAGGATATGAAGGCACTGGAGTTAAACTTTCCGTAAACCATAACCAAAGCACAGAACTCTTTTGCAAGTCCATGTGGAATGGAGAACAAGCCATCATCCAAGACTTCATTGATGATACTGTCGGAAGATCAATTAGAGTTCTAGTTATCGGTGGTAAAGCAGTTTCTGTCACTGAATTCTAAGATAATGTGGTAATTATTATCATCTAAATCTAGGATTTCAAGTCTAATGGATACAGTGATGACTTTAGAATTGAATCCAAAATGGATTCAGATAAAAAATAGGAGTATTTTAAATTTGCTGAAAGGGCATGTGCAGCTATTGATCCCCATTTAACTATTGGAGGTGTCGACATTTTGGATTCTAGAAAGAATGGAATTGTTGTTTTGGAAATCAATAGTTGGCCTGAGATGACATTCTCATAAGAAGCTACAGGTCTCCCTCTCTTTGATTAATTTGGCCAAGAATTTATTGAAAAGATAATATCTAATAATAGAGAAAGAACAAACTCAACTTGATTATATCATATATTGTTTTATTTATGTATGCAAACTGTTCTGTAACAAGTTTAAAATAAACTTACATTTAAAATGAATATTCTGATTTCCTAAAATTTAAATTAATTCTAATACAATTATTATAAATTTATTATATATTATAAATATAAAACTCTCTACAATACGGACACATAAATTTAGATTCACATAACTCTCTTATATTCACTAACTATGATGCTGTTGAAAATCATTTATAGACTAAAATAATGATGGGCTTTCTCGATCACAGTTCAAGTTCCCTTTTATATATAAAAAATTGATTTACTTATAAAAAGAAAAAGTTTTTGAGGTGGAGCGCCATGAGTTGGAATGTATGCTGTTGTTATGCTTTTGTTCACTTCGGTACTCGTTTTATTTGTAATACCTTTTGAACGGCCGTTGCTATTTTTGGTAATTTCAATTTTCTATTTTTATTTTTTTTTATTGTTTTTTTTCAAACAAAGGATATGATGAAAGCGAAGTAACTCGCTAGCTTGACCTCGATATACTATTAACAATATTCCATTTAAACCTTATCTAAAAAATTGAATTTATTATGGGATTCATAAATAGAACCAAAATTTAAATGTTTTAATTATCCTTATGCAATTTATTAGAAATCTAATATTAAATAATATACTATATTTATATTGCACTTTATAATAACAAACTAAATTCATTCATATAATCTACTTTCAGTGTTTAATAAATTCAATAATATTATTATAATAATTCTAATTAGTTTATTGTTTATTTATCTAACAATTTAAATCAAATAATAGTATTCTCTGTGCTTTTGTAATATTTAAATACATTAAGCTTACAAAAATTTTATATTTCGCCAATTTTTATTAATTATAATTTATATAGTCGTTAAAATATCAGCGATGAAATCCGTGAATATTTTAAAAATGCTTGAAGCGAATAAAGAAAATAGAAACTTTTAACATGCTTAAAATAGATAAAACAGAGTTCAATCTACTCTCTTTATAAAAGACGAGTTTTCTCAATAAAATATAAAACCAAGAGTTATCAGAGTCTCTAAATGGAATAAGTCATAAAATATCAGAGATAATATGAAGAGAGAGGATCAGAGACATATTAGTTACGAAATGCCCAGATAAAAAACTGATTAATATTAGCATATGTAAAGAACCTTAAAAAATAGAAGTCTAACTAACATCCAAATTTCAATTATTAATTAAGCCTAGAATAATAATCACAATAACAATGCTTCAATTTCATTACCTAATACCAACAAATGTAAGCAATATTTATGTATTTCTAGATGTAGTTACAAGAGGATTAGATAAATTTTAATCAACAGAAAACAATAGGAATCCACAATTAGTTAAAATCTACAAATAGGATATTTATAATTATCTTGAGGAACTTAATTAAAAGCAATAATAGTAAAATGCTATCTCATATAATGCTTTTTATTCCTAAAGTTAGATTAATCTCAAAATGAGAAATGTTCTAATCAATTGGCTCTTTGAAGTTCATCATAAATTAAAGTTGCAATTGGAAACTCTCTTGCTGACTACATGGTTACTCGACAAGTAAGTATTAAGAATAAATAAGATTTATTGAAACTAATTTAGTATAAAAGAATAGATTTTAATTATTTGGAATTGCTTGTTTATTCATTGCTTCAAAATATCAAGAAGTATATGGTGTACCAAAAAGTGGTCAATTATCGAAGTTGTGCGATGAACTTTATAGCAAAGAAGATATATTGAAGGCAGAAGGACAAATACTATAAAGTATCAACTTTAACTTATCTTTCATTTCACCACTTCGAATTTTTGAACATTTAGTTGAAGTTGATGATTAAATTAGGTTGATTATATAAATTTAATTAGTTGATATCTGATATAGTTGGCATCATTTAGTTATGGATTTGCTAATGGAGACCCCTTTTAAATAGTGGCCACTATTCTGAACATTGTTGCAAAAATCTCTAACAAAAAGATTGATTCCTCGATGTTAAAGGTAATACCATATGATTTAGCTCTTAGGTAGATTCTAATCAAACCAATAAATTAACAAAAGAGTTAATTTAAACTTGGTTTCTTGATGAAGTTAATCAACCATTTCCATCTCTCATCAAAAAGTATTAGCACTCTCATTATAATCATGTTTCAACAATTAATTTTAGTTTAGATCTATTTTTGTGATTTTAGAATAATATATCATAGTTACTAGTAATTACGACATATATAAAATAATATTAATTATCTATAAACTAACAAGAATGATAATGAAGTATAATATTAAACAATATTAATTATTATTAATCAATGTGGTTTTCTTAATAACATTTACTCTATATCTAAAAAGGATTTTAACAATTCATTCTTCATTTATTGATACTATCCTAATCCTTATAAAACTAGAGAGGAATTATTTTCAATTTACTAAAATTCATCTTTTCTGTCTTAAATGTCTTTTATTGCTTTAGATTTTGTGTTCACAAAGTTAAAGTAGTCTGTATTTAAAGTTGATTATGAGTTTTATTATGTTTTATTTGTGTTTTTGCAAATTAGTTCATAATCAGGAACCAATTCATTAATTTAAAACTTGGAGCAACTAAATGTTTTTTTTTGCTAAGTCAATTTTTAAGTAGATGATTTAGCTATAGACACTTTCATTACGGATTATGGTTTAGAAATTTTTTTGTTTTGAATTCTGTTATTTTAAATTTGTTAAAGTTCCTTTTCTTTTTTAACTTTATCAATAATTTGTTATCTAGTCAAAAACATTTTAGTATTAGAACCTTTGTTAGTCAAAAGGAGTTAGAATTATTAGAGGGAATTCATTTTAACGGATTTAAACTAAACCTATATTAATTTATTTAATTTTATCAGAGACTATACAATACTCTATACAAAAAATTCCTAATTAATTTTAAATAACATGAGAATTCTTATATTAAGCAATAGATATGAAAGAGTTCACTAATTATAATTGTCAATATAATTTATTGTAAGCAGATTTCGTGATAATCGATTTTATTTATATTGTAATTAGTCAAATAATATTTTGAAAATAGAAATTCTAAGTATTTACTTAATTAGCAATTCTTGTTTTGTTAAAATTTGCTATATCTAAAGCAATAATATTTCTTTTATTTATTTATTACTTAATCCATTTTCAATTAATTCAATATAATATACATTTAGTTGTGGGAAAATCTTATCTAAATTTGTGATAATTAGTACATTTTACAACCAATTGAATATTTCCAGTTCATTTATTAAGGCTAGTTCTCATTTATAATAATTTATAAATTTTTAATTAAATTCTTATTCTTATATTCTTATTGCTTTTTCATTTTAAGTCAATTATTTAATTTAAAATAATAAATTCAATTATTTCTTATCTCATCAAAACGTATTACAGTCATAAGTATATTATTAGTGAAAATCTCATTTTCAATCTAATCAAATAATCATAAAATAATTGCTTTTTGAAGAAATTCTACATCATCACCATCTTCACTTACATAATTAAATTCTTTGATTTGAAATAATAAATAACACTAAATTCTATAATAAGTTTAAATACAAATAAGTATTCACTCTAGATTATTACATCCATTTCATGTGAAAGAAAGCCTTCTAATTTCAATGTTTTTGATCTTGAGATCTGTTTTTTCTTCATACGTTTCTAATTAATCATCTTACTAAGTTGACTTACTATTTTAGGTTGTCTATTCTGAATTGAACTATTAAATATTTGATTCAGGAATTTATTTTTGAGTCCAAATATCAAGCCATTGAACCCTTTTTTGGTTTTTGGTTTTTGTTGTATTAATTCTATATTCAATTGATATTTTTTCCTTTTAATCCATCTGGTTGTTACTTTTTTGTGATTTTTCCTCTAGATGAGAAGCTTGGAGATTATTTAAAGAATTTAAACTGTTACATCCTTTAAAAGGATCACAGTTTTATTTATTGATCTAAACATCTATTGGAATGGTAAAGATCCAAAGAACAATGTCTTGGGACTTAGGATCCTTCACAAAACTAAATAATTTATCATCAAAGTTGAATAATTAGGATCTCTTAAACTTTACAATTAATTCAACTTCTTTTTCAGAAATTTAAACACAAGAATAAAACACATTATTGAAATAGACTCCATATTTAGGTTTTTACTTAATAAGATCAGCTTCTAATTATATGGATTTGAAGCATTTTGAAAAGTATACCAGCATTCCATTATGGAGTAACGCTATCGTTCTCTAATTCTGAAGGAGAAAGCTATTGTTGAGTTTTTTGGCTTTTATTGCTTTTCCTTGTAGGAAAGATTAGATTTTAAATTACTGTTTGCCTTGATGAGATTAAAATTCCTGGTTCATATAAATAATAATATCATTTTACTAAATTCAATTGATTTATAATAAAGTCCTCCATTTCTACCGGTTTGTTGGCCTAGCAATATAGATCATAAAGAACTGATATCATTTCATTTCTACCAGGATGATCTTAGGGTAATTTATTTTTTAACTGGGTGGCAAGATCGAAAAACTTTCTTTTAAGGGTTTTTTCTTATTGTTGATTTTATGGATCCATTTATTTCATTCTTCTTTTGGTAGCTTTCATTGCTTTTGACATATAATCATAGAGTTAGATTGATCCGCAATCCTCTTATGGCAATTACTTAATCATATTCTCTATTTTATAAACGATAGTTTTAACAGTTTGAGTATCATTTGCAATTAAGATTTAATTCAAATTTGAAATCATATCTGATAATATTTTTTTGGAATAAACTAGTTATTGCTTATCAAGTTCATCTTAGAGCATTTGCCTAAGTTTTTGAATTTTTCCCTCCAACTTATCATCATTATATTAATCATGTTGATAGAATGTTTCATCACAGGGAATTTAATGCATAACAGTGAGGTCTAATTATTGATTAGATGATCTGACTCTAGATTTGGCTAATTTTTATTCTAAAACCTATGAGACATTAAGGACTGGTTGTTTTTGCATATCAAATTTGTTCAAGAATTCCGTCACCAAATTGGACATCAAGTTTAATTCTTGTTCCTTAATTATTGTAAAGGAGATAATCATACTTTTTTGACTGGATTTTGGGAAACATTTAATTAGGAAATTTCAGATTGATTAACTTTCTCAATGATTTAGGAATACTCTTTTAAGACTTGTTTAGCATCAACTTGGATTTTAGATTTGATATTAGGATCATTATTTGATTTTCTTAGATCGTCTGCATAGGCCTAGAGCAATCCCATGACTTTGTCTTTTAAAACGGACATGTCATCGTATAGTTCTTCTTCTAAATAACTTTTTTCGATGATTTCGGTAACTTCTGATTTAGGTTAAAAGAATGGATTCTTGCCAAAGGTTCCACGATAACTCTGATTATCTTAGACTTGCTCTTATTGTTTTTATTGGATCACTTGGGTAGGTTAAACTAAGGATGGAGATAGAAAGGTACCTATTCCAATGGGATTGTTGAATTGATTTTGGCAGATGGATTCTTCTTATTCTGATACAATGGAGAAGTCACTTAGCATCTTGGAAAGATTGGCCTAATCAATTTCTCTGAGGATTTGAACTTGGCTATTCCTGGCTTATGTTTGTTTCCCAAAAGTCTCTCTGGGTGAATTGGGTCTGACTTAAAATGTGAATCTATCCTCATTATTATTTTGTTCGTATTTGTTGATGATGTTTTGAGCAGATTATCTAGAATTAGAGTTTGATGAATTATTCATCTAATAATTAAAATAAATTATGTCTAAGTTTAAAGATCAACCTACATCTTCTCAAAGTGGATGTGGCTGTTTGGGTGGTTCCAAATAAAAGAATATGTAATATATGGATTTGATTTTAGGATGAAGTTCTCTCACATCGAAGTGGATGATGAGATTGTATCTGCATCAATCATAATGGAAATGATATATCGAGGCTAAAATGCTCACATGGCACTGTCTCGTTGTAGACTCAACCCAAATTTAGTCTTACTTTAATTTAGAGATGATTTAGAGTACTTTGTTCCACAACTAATCAACCAAATATTATATAAATAGCTTGAATATGTGCTGAATTTCATCCTAAAGGCTGCTGAAGTAGACTTTTTCTTTGCTCACACATTCTTTTTTGCCTGGAGATCCATTGTAAATGATAACAATCCAGAAATCGAAAATTATTTAAGACTTTTTTTGTCAACTTTAGATAGAGTCTATAAAAAGACTCTGCTAATTGCTGCTTGTCTTGAGAACCATCAATTTAATGATGGCATTGAGTAACAAGTTTCTAAAGGGGTTCCTATCGTTTAATAGGTTAATAAGTTACCTGACCGACTTCAAGAGTATGGTACCTTATTTTACTCTAATCATGTCTTTAATGATACACTACATTTAGCAAATTATGAATCAATTTTCAGATAAGCATAACCAACAGGATTTTGTTCGACTATTGATTTTTGGGATGACATCATATACATTTCATAAAAGTATTAAACTTATTAAGATTCTTAGTTTGCATTTAGCAGATCCAAAAATAATATCCCTAAAAGCCGATATTCAAAAAGTCAACAGAGGTTTACCAGCTGCAGTTTATATACCGTTTTAGGGAGTTAGGAATTATGTTGTACTCAATATAGTTGTTGATGAATGCAGAGTATTTTCAACAAAATGCAGATCCCCATTTTATTTGTGCTTTGAAATCTACAGACCAGAAGAAGAAGCTGAACTTATTCCTAATCCACTCAGAAACAGTCGCCTGTCTGTTCCAAAAACAGTTGGGAAAATGGATAATAAGAATAGCAGTGAAAACAACGAAACTTAGGATTGTACAAGAAATAGACCTACATATCTATGTAAAATTGTAGAAGCTGAAGAGGATGCTGAAGAAGGCAAGGAAGACTTGAGTCAATTTAGTAATATATTAAGGGATAATGATGTCACTCATTCTTATTATGAAGATTTGAACAATTTAGTATCAATATAGAATGTTACAGGACAATAATTAAAGAAAATGTCGAAGAAGGAATTGACTGATGCAATTTATGGTAGTGATAATTCAGATAAGATAAGGAATAACTCTCCTTTTAGAAATTTCAAAACTTGGAAATTAGTACATCTTATTGTTAAGTCTGGAGATGATTTGAGATAAGAACAATTTGCTATGCAATTAATATCAACATTTGATCAGATCTTCAAAATCGAGTAGTTAAAATTGCAATTAACCACTTATGAAGTTATATCTTTAGGACCAGGCTATGGTTTAATAGAAGTAGTAAGAGATGCCCTGTCAATAGATTCTTTTAAAAAGAAGTTAAATGATATCTTACAAATCAAGTGCTTGAGTCAATATTTTAGAATGAATTCATCTCAGGCCATGATATCTAATTTCTTAAATAGTTTGGTTGCTTATAGTCTCGTGTGTTATTTCTTATAAATTAAGGACAGACATAATGGAAATATATTATTACATCGGGATGGTAACATAGTTCATATAGACTTTGGATTTTTCTTATCAAGTGCACCAAAAGGCAACCTAGAGAAAGAAGTGCCATTTAAATTGACTGAGGAATATGTAGACATATTGGGAGGATATGATTCAAATTTGTTTAAGAGGTTTAGAAAAATGTTCTTTGAAGGTTTCAAAGCAATTAGAAGACACAAAGATAAAATTCTCTTGTTAGTGAAAATGATGGAGAATTCAAATTTGAATTGTTTCAAAGAGAAGACATTGTCTGATTTGGAAAGGAGATTCTTATAAAATGATCTGTCTGACACTTAACTGTATGTGCAATGTCAAAAGTATCTATTTATACTAATTATACTAGATTGATAGATTTGAGCAGAGGAAATTGGAGGGCAAATTGGTATGACAAATATTAATACTATGTTTAAGGAATCATGTATTGATTAAATTAATTTTGAATGTTATTATTTTTAATAAAATATTATTATTCATATCTATAATTAGAATCTAATCTTTGTTATTTTATGCACTAAATCAGTCATTTCAATTTAAATATTCACTTATTTTTCTATGCAATTATTAAATATTGATTGAGAAGTAGATCAATTTAATGTATATGAAAATACTTGGATAATTTAACTGAATAATTAGAGAAGATATTTACTGTTTTAGTTTTTTTAATAACCTACCAATATCATTTAGCACAATTAAAAATCTGAAATTCTCTAAATCAGAATGACTAGGTCCTATAGAAATCTTGATCTTTTAATACTTTATGTAAATGAGGATAGAAGTAAAAATATTAATTATATTAATAGTTCTCTTTTGATATTATTTAATCTTATTAATATGAATTAAACAAAAATTTATAAACCCATGAATTTTAATTTCTAGTTCTTCCGTTATAATTCTTTATTGACTTAACTTCTAAAAAAGCTATTTATTTTATAATCTTATTATCTCAAACAAAATTCTGCTGATAATAGCTAAGCCTAACCTATATTAAATATGTTATCATATCTTTTTATTAATTTAATGGATACATGTTGTCAACTTTTGAATTGACCTGATTATTAAATATTTTATCCAATTTTGATCAATCTAGCGAATTAGAAATTAACCCATAAGAAATATAATATGATTTATGAAATAAATTAATTATTAGTCAATCTTATTGTGTTCATGCAAAAGAGTTACTTCATTACGTGCTACAGGTTTCGAATACTCTTGGCGCTCTAAAACAAACCACTTATTTTTCAAAATCGGTGGGCTTTTAATTTTTTAAAAACAAGATTACATCAATTAGATTTAGAAACCTTTCTAAATCTTTGAAATAAAATTCTGTGTGTATTCATTCTCAACGTATTTTCATCAAAACCCTTGTTTCAAAATATGCCTACTTAAATAATCATAATTTTAATTTATCATAAAATCATGATTTGCTCCGATAAAAATCATACAATATTAGAGATTCGTAAACAATCTTATTGGTTCAACAAGTCATTCAATGAATTTTGTCATAGGTTCAAATTCGCAATGTGACTTTATTTAACATTTTTTTATCAATTAAGGATGTTAAGATTATCTGAGTGAATATTAAATAATCGAATAATATATTAATGCTGATTTCATAAAGGCAACCACTCATTTAGTTTGATGATTTTATGTCGTTTTTGGGCAGTTAATGGATAAGGTTAAATTATTTGAGTTAAGCTCAATCAATTGAATGCCAGAATGATTTCGTAAATTTTATAGACAAAAGCAAAGGAAGAATCAAAATCGATTAGGAGCAGTTAGCGAAGCTAGAGACAACTAATTAAAAAATTCATATACTCACCCTCTTTATTTATGGATATTATATCACTTATATAGAAAAATAACTATTTTGTTACATTTTCTTCAAGAAGTTCATCAACGCAATTGACAGAATAGAAAAAAAAAGTTTAGAACATTTGTAATAGATCATAGAACCTCAGCATCCTATTTGCAAATCAATTTTGCTTGAATGTATTATAATGCTACTTCATCAATCAACCCAATTACTAGAAACGACTGAATAAAATCAAATGGAGGAGTATGAAGATGATTTCAACGATATTCCAGAATGCAAATTATTTTATAAGTAGGCTTACATACATCTAGTCGATTAGATGAAGGGGGCCTTGTTTAAATGCTACAATCAAGGACAAATATTGATCACGATATTCATTAATTAATTATTCTTGAGTGAAGAGATATATGCAAAGATACAACAAAAGCATGTAACTAAAGTTTTATTGAATGATACAAAGTTCATAATTGAATTAATGGAAGATTATATTACTAGTTCAGATAAACCAATCCATACTACGAGATAAATAATTAAACAGACGTTTCTATCAAATCATGAAAGATAGGGTAAAATATCTTAAAAAATATTTAATAATTTATAGAAATTAAATGATTAAACTATTTTATCCCTCAAAGCTATTAAAATATGGTTGAATTCTAAAAACCAAACCGTCTTTTAATAAATAATATAGTTTTTAGAAAATACTTTTGAGAATGCGAATTTTAGCCTCTAATACAATGAATAATGTATCAAGATATCATTTGAAATATTAAGTAATTAATATTAACATATTGTAGCATATATTTAGTCATAAATTTTGTAAGACAACGTCAATTTTACAGAAGAATTGCAAAAAAATTTGATATAAATCTTTCATATATTATGGATAACTCTAGAATAACAAACCAATCATCAGCTCGAAGATTAGAAGACAGAATTTTGGTTAAATTACATTCTTAAATTAAACTCACTCCTAAATCCCTTAACTCCAAATTCCAAAGAACCAAATAACATAAAAGAATGTGCTGGTTTGTATCTTATCTTACATGATCATCACAATATTAATAAGTACATTTCATCATCAACAGCTATTTTGCTTCATTTCATTGATCAAATTTACCCTTTAGATCAAAGTCTAATTAAATAAAGCTTATTGCTTTAGAAATTAATTAAATCATCAATTGAATTCCTAATTGATCCAATCTTATCTGATAATTAAGAAATCATGATAACTATTTAGAAGGTCTTAAAATAAGTTCATTTTATCAATCCTCAATAAAAAAAAAATATATTCCAATGTATTTGGACTAAATTGATGCCTGAAAACCGATTTTATTTGGAAGTGTTATAAAAGGTTGTAACTCTATATTTAGAAAATGAAGATCAAATTTTAGGAACCAGAAATAGTTTTTTTATATCAATTTTAGAAATGGAAAGTCAAAAAAGGATTGTTCATCCATAGAAATTCTTAGCACTTCTTTAAATTTGTTAATATCTTTGTCTTGAGAATGCTCCAATTAATATAGAAGAAATATTCTCTTAAAATGATTCAAATGCTAATTGCTTGAAATTAAAGTAATTTAAAATTAAGAGAAGCTTCTAAGAGTTCTTTTAAGTTAATAATTATTACAATTTAATCATAAATCTTATTTCTGGCACAAGCAATCCTAATAATTTAGTCTAATAATTAAAAGAATTTATTAAATTATTGTGGTTATTAACTGAAGGACTCAAATTATGTTAGGTAGATTTTGCAGATGATTTTGTTTAATTTCTTGAATAAAAACTATACTTATTTACAGATGATTAAATGAGAGAGCTTATTGAACTTCTATTCGATTGTTCTGTTTCGATGATAAGTAGATTTATTAGGCAAATGAATGTATCTAATACTGCTGAATAATACGGTGAAATTATGATCCAAAATGAATTCTGTTTAAAAGTAAAATAATTGTCAATTATTAGGTCCTTGTTGAAACCTTTTTATTTAACACATCTCCCTCAGAATAGTTAAGACTTAAGTGCCTCTAATTTTTAGGTATTCTGATATCTATGAATGATTATAATAAAATGATATTTAGGGAAGCTATTCGTTTGTCAGTATAAGATATTGTATATTATTTAGAACTTCTTATTGTGTATGAGAAATTAGAAGAATAAGAGTTTATAATTATCTATGGAAGAAGTCTTAAAAAGATCTTTATCGTTTATAAGAGATGAATAAATACAAAAATTAATTTAGAATGCTCCTATAGAATCATAAAAAAACAAAGTATTTAAATAATCTGCATTTTCATAATACGTGGGTACTACTTTGGAAAATCTATCAAATAGTGGTTCGGATACCAAATATAAAAGATATTTCTAGTTATTAGGAAATGATAGTGGAATCATTATTAGGAATTATAAGGATTTGTGTGTGAGTAAATAATGGAAATCATTTACAATTTTAATGGAATTCAGAAAAGAAGGATTCCATTTTATCAATTCAAATGCTAAAACACTTGATGATATCTATAAAAAAGAATAGATACTCTTTGCATACACTGGACATCTAGAAAGACAAGAGAAAGGTAATCACCAAGGAATATCATAAAAACAAAATATTGTCTAGGTTGATTTAATCACGGTGTCATTGATCAATCAAAATTTACTGTAGGAAGATCAATAAAATAAAAGCCAGCTTGATAATTTGATAAAAATTGCAATACTCAATTCAGAATTATAAATATAAGAATTTACAATAAACTACACATAGCAATCAAAGGATGAAACTATATTATTTATTTTTATGTTTGATGATAGAAGAAAAGGAGAATTTATAGTTTATATTTAAAATTAGAAGAAACAGACTTTTTCAGTGAAACCATTTTTATCAGAATACATAAAAAAGCATTCTGACAAACATCCTCTTAGTGTGAATATTGGTGCTTACTATTCAAACTAATAGTTTTAAAGAACATTTTAGGGAATCATAAACAATTTTATTCTAGTTGAAAACATCCTAGTGGAAAAGCAAATTGCAGCTATTTTTTCAAGAGCTTAAAAAAGTTTAGTAACTGCTGTAGAGGAGGAAACTATGAATTTTGGTGATGAAATTCAAAGTATAATTATTATTTATACAATTAGGTAGGGAAATGTAGTACTTAGAATTTGATAAATTTAAGTCCAGTTTTTAAATTGTAGAGATTAAAGATGTTTTGAAGATTACAAGGGCTTAAAATGTATAAGATTAAAATTTCCTAATGAATATGTTAAAGAAACAGATATAGCATAAGATAAGTTATGAATAGAATTAGGAAGCTAAGGTATTCTATTAAGGAGCCAATATTATTGAGGATACAAGTTTGGCTGAAGTATTCTTAAGTTTAGAGAATATTGAAATCATTCTATTCATCATATCCATTACAACGTAAACCTATTTTGAGATTGAACCCTAGGAAAGGAGATCTTGCAAAATAAGAAGCGTTAAAGAGGTTTTGCAAAATGGATCTACTTCAAGCAAAGGTGTTTTTAAAAGAACTAATCATTTTGACTCTCAATAACGATAATTATTTTTAGTAAAGGATTTGAGGAAATGCAGAGATGATTACATAAACTGTCAATAATATCAATTGAATCTAAAGAAATAAAATAGTTCGATGATATCATAAGGTGAATCTCCTTTATAATAAAGATAAAATTTTATCTAGTTGGATTAAAATAGTTCTAATTCAAATACAAATTCAATATCATTAGCTTCGTAAATTTAGGTTGCTTCATAAAAGAACATCGATTAATTAGACCAAACTTCATTATTCAATATTCCGATTACATAAGTGTAAAGTACTTTCTCTTAAGAATTATAATCACCTTTTGTTATGAAATCTAATTAATCTGAATAGAAGTAGATTTCTCCAGGGGAAGTGCCAAATTTTGAAATTCCAAGTTAGGTAACTCCCAAAGAGAAGTTTACTCTAGAGTAGTTTAATATTGATAGAAAAGTGTAATCTCAGTTTGTTGGTAGAAAAAATACAAGAAACTAAACATGTAATATTTCAGCAACGAAGGCATTTCATATGAATTAGAATCTAAAAAATGCAGTTGAAATAAGGAGCGACAAAAATATCAATTGGAATCAATAACATAGCGAGTCAATGATTATTGATTCTAATTTGTATCATTGTGAATGGATTAGGGTTAAGATGTAAATCTATGGAGAATTAAAAATATTAGAAAAAGGCAAGATCATTTAATTTCAAAGTGATGGTTCAGAACGTCCTGAATAGGATTTCTACATCTATGGAACAATAGTATTGAAATACATAATAATATTAGCCTTATAATTTAAAGAAATTGAAGAAAACCAAAATTATAAACTCCTCTTAAATCTTAGAAATTTAAACAAGGAGATATTCGCACAAAGAAATTGCTATCGAAATATTCTGTAAAAACACAAAGTCTTACTTTTTTGTTTTATACGATTAAGATAGAAGGACACAATTCTTGAATCAAATTAAGTAGAACAATTTATTCACTGTTGTAATAGATAAAAGGGCAGGTAAAATGTTTGATGAATTTTAGAATTTTTAGCAAAAGAATATACAAAGAAATGGGTGAAAGGGAAATTGTCTAATTTTGAGTATCTAATGTTAATCAATAAGTATTCTGGCAGATCTTTTAATGATCTGAATCAATATCCAATATTTCCATGGGTCATCAGCGATTATACAAGCAAGAGTATTGATTTAGTAAATTTAATTATTTATATGATAGACCAAAAGAGAGACATACAGAGATATGGAAAAGATGATTAGTGCTTCAAATGAGGAGAGATTAAAAAACTGTAAGATTAGAGCTGAATCTTTGAGGCAAACTTAGAATGAATATTTTTTATTTGGATCTCATTATAGTGTAGCTGCATAAATAATTAATACTCTTGTGAGATTGGAACCGTTTACAACTTTATCTTGTGAATTGTAAGATGGCAAATTAGATCAACCTGACAGAATATTTTTCTCGGTTTCAAACATTTGGTAATCTTGCTAAAATGACAATTAAGATTATAGAGAACTTATTCCTGAGTATTTTTACTTGCCAGAATTTCTGAAGAATATCAACAGAATACAATTTGGTCAAAGATAAAATTAAGAATAGGTAGATGATGTTGTATTACCTCCATGGGCTTCTAGTTGTGAAGAGTTTATTGAAATAAATAGACAGGCACTTGAATCTAGTTATGTAAGTGAGAAATTGCATAATTGGATTAATTTAATTTTTGGACCTTATGCTTAGGGGGAAGAAGCAAAAAGAAGAGATAATTTATATCATTGGTTGACCTATGATTCATGTTTAATTTACTTAGAGAAATTGTCAAGTTAAGAGAAATTGGGATATTTGGCTTAAATATAATAGTTTGGTTAAGTCCCTTTTCAATTATTTGTTAAACCGCATTGGCCAAAACAAAAGATATCGTTAGATCTATTTTCACCAACTAATTTAATCAAATTATTGAGTGAAAAAAAGTTTATCAATTCTAAAAGAATAAAGAAGTTTGATAAAAAGTTTGTTATATAAATCTATAGAGAGAGTGAGAACCTTCATGTTCTACTGAATGATAAATAAGTTTACAAAATAAAGTATATATTTTTGATATCTAACAATTTAGATAGTACAATAATTCGGAGAGAAGGGATAGTGAGGAGAAATTGACGAATGCATAAACATTTTCTATTAGGGGGAATGAGAAACTGCATTCAAAAGGATTGTCATTTTAATTTGATGATCATGTCTTGTTTGTTTGTGGATATTTAAGTGGAGCAGTTTATATCTATAATTTACTAACGGATAAATCTTAATAGGATCAGATTTGCCAAAAGATTAAATTACATAAGAAAAGAGTTACTTGCTTATCATATTCATCTAAATTAAAAATACTATGTTTGGGAGCAAAGGACAATAGAGTTACCATATGGAATGCAATTTTATGTAATGAAAAATAAATTTCATTTTAATCTACTCCATCTTTAATCCTGTATGGGCATGATAAAACTATCAAATGTGTTCATATTGATGATACTTTGTAGGTGGTTTTAAGTGTTGATAAAATTGGGAAACTACAAATCCACTCTATAATTTCTGGATTATTTCTTTAGGATTTTAAACTGTATTTAGCACAAAATGAAAAAGTAAAAAATATTGTAACTAATGGCAATGGACTAATAGTAGTATACACTAACCAAAATTAAATTCTAGCTACAAGGTATTCTTATAATGTATAATTAATAGAGTGAATGGTTTGATTATTTAGAAGTATTTTTATAAGAATATTGGCAATATAACACAGATAAGTTCGTTTTTACAATCACATTTATTGGTATCGACTCTAAGGGGGGAGATACTCCTAATTTAAGACATCGCCAGTTTACCTGAGTAGCCTCCCATCTTTTTCCATTTGTATCAAAATACATCCAATATTGGAATCGTAACGTTCTCATCATGTACTTTCAATTTCATAATTATTAGTTATTGAGAGTGAATCCTTAGTCTTTATAATAAGTTTGATGGATGGGACCTTGCATCGATATGTGATAAGTTGTGAATAAAGTAACGTTAATATGTAATTTTTAGATGTTGAATTTTACCATTATCTAGGCAAGTTAGGAATGTGATAATCTGTAGAATTTTAAATTTGATTAAATAACCTTATATTGAAAATTAAGTTATCAGATTTATTAAATTAACAAAATTGAATATATAAATTAACTCGAATTGAGATAATCAGACACTATCAATTATACAATACCAGAATTAAGCAAATTTTTATTCTCAATTAAATGTATATACATTAATTTATTTATCAATCTCTAAATTGAATAGACTGAAAATATTATGGGAAATTCTATAGAGATTAATCAGACGTTGTCATATTCGACCATTCAAGGATAGGAGATACTACTTCCATTTAAAGATTTAAAGGGAAAGTAAAATTTTCCTAAAGTGCCTTCAAGAGAAAAAGATGTTGAAATTATGTTTCAAAAATGGCTAAGCAAAGTAAACGATTTTATAATCATAACAGATTGTGATTGGAAGAAGGGAAAAAGAAAAGTTGAAAGGAATTCCTCTGAAATACAAATTTAGATTATGTTACAAACATGACTAAATCATTTAAGAGATAACTAAAGGGGAATAATATAAATAGAAAGTCATGCAGGAAACAGATAAACTAATTTAAAAGGTATTATCTCAACAAGACGTTGTTTCATTAGAAGGTACATCTAATATTCCACATTATAAGCTTTATCAAGAAATTTAACAAATGATGATCTACTTGAACATAAAATCACTCTGTTAGTTAAAGCAGATCTCATTGCAAAATTAGTTGTAGAATTGAAAACTCAAGAATTGTTATCAAGACATTCCAAAAATTTTAGGGACTAAATTGTCATTATCAAAATTTTTGAAAAGCTATTGCACCATGAATCAGGTAAACATAAACAGTCTATAATTAAATAGGTGTATAATTACTATGTGACACTTCCAATTTTTTTTAAATTATGTTTAGCACTTTTCACCCTGTTGAACCAGAAATCACAGGACTGATGCTCTAAGTTTTGGGCGGCAAGGCTGGTTTATGTTGGCAGCCAGAATGTTTGGATAACATCCTTGATGCCATGACTGAATTTTAAAATAATCATAGATTATAAACTAAGTATCATATATATTTATTATTACTATAGATTTGATGTAATAATCAGAAGCATTTACTATACTAAGAATTTAATCATTATCTATCATCTGCTTTAGTTTTTGTTCAACTTCCTGTTTTCAGTTGAAAAACCAGAATCTGATAGTTTGCATAAGGAATTATTAGAAACAGTAATAAATGGAAAAAGGATTGATGAAGTGTTTCAATAAGTGAAAATTCGAATTGTCAAAGATTACTATTAAATTGAAGAGTGCACATATTAAGGAGTGAGATAAAAATTAGCATAATTCCAACATCCTCTTGTTGAAAAACAATCTCAAGAGAATGATTTTTTCTCTATGTAGAGATTTAAAACAATTACAGACAAACCTCCAAAGGATGCTATTAAACCGAACATTGAGTTTGATCTTGAGGAAACAGGAAGAATTAAATTCGAAAATTGTTTTTACTTTGAACAACATGACATTAAGCTGTTTAGCATTCTCAAAGTTCAAATTTTTGAACTTATGGATGGTATTTTAAATATTGATAACATTTTAATATAAATTGAGAATGATGATGTCGATTAAACGGAAATTATTTCTAATCCAAATGATGTCTTCAATGAAATGTAAACTTTGGCTGAAGTAGATGAAGAAGAGGAAGAAGATTACGATAATAGATTAGTCAGCTTTTCAAAGCTAAAGAATAATGATTAATTTAGAAACTAAGGTAATATGATCAAATATGCCAATGCTAATTTACAATAGGAGTACAATTCTCTAGAAGAAAAACATTAAATTCTATTCTCTAAATATGAAGAAACTGAAAAATAATGTCGAGAATTATCACTCTAATTAATTGATGAACAATAAAAAGTCAAAAAGCTCGAAGAATAAAATGAAAAATTGCTATACCATTCTACAAGTCAAAACTAAGATTAAATTCAAACCTTAGTTTAAGAATAAATTGAATTTCTGAAATAACAACATTTTATTCAAATCACATAATTATCAGAAGAATTAACTAAATTGAAAGAGTAAATTCAGAATTAAGCTTTAACTGAAAATTAGTTAATTAATTAAATTCAAATTGAAAGTACAAAAGTGTAAACTTAGAAACAATAAATTGATTTACTATAGCGATATATTGATTAATATGCATCAATGCCTATTTCATAGATATCAGATAAAAATGATGAGAAATAAAATGAAGTCTAAAAGTTTGAAGGTGAATCGCAAATTATTAAAGATACAAAAGATAGCAATGATACCTAAAAAATAATAGAATAAACAATTGAAACAGAAGATAAATTGAAGGAGGATTCTACATTAGAAAAATAAAATGAAAATTAGTAGGTTCAAAAAAATGAATAATTGGAATCAAATCAAACTCTTTAAATTGAAAACAACATAATAGGTTAAAATTTAAATTAAGAAGTAGTCAAATCTGATACAGATCCATTAAAATAATAAGAAAATTTGAAGGAAGCTATTATTGTGAAAAAAATAATGGTTAACTCAGAAACATAAACAAATCAAAAAATATATCTAACTAAAGAGGCCTAAACTACTTTTGAATTTCCGCCTAACCCTTAAACTTAAGTAGCAGCTTAAGTACAGAAGGAATAATAGGCTAACCCACCTCCTCCACCACCAACAGTAAAGGTAGCTCCACCTCCTCCTCCTCCACCACCTCCTAGTCTAAAGCCAGGTGGTCCTCCTCCTCCACCTCCTCCTCCTATGAAAGGAGCTTAATAAGCACCTAAACCATAAGACACTCTATTTCCCTTCAACAAAACTGAGCTTATTCCATCTGTTCCTACTAAACCTATAAATTGGATTTTGATATAACCATAAAATATGAAAAATACAATTTATGAGTAGATTTATTAGGAATCCTATGAAATAGATACAAAATATTTAGAAACCTACTTTTATAAAATTTAATCAGCACCTTCTGCTTAACAACAAGCAAATGAGAATTAGGTTGTTAAGAAAGTAGTATAAACGAAGATACAATTGATAGCAACTGACAGATCTAAAAATATAGAGTTAGTATTGGGAAAAATCAAGATACCAAATACTTTGATTATGAAATCTTTGTTATCGATTGACTTAAACATACTTACTGATTCTGCAATAGATTCTTTGGACACAATAATTCCAACTGATGAGGAAATTAAAATTGTATTAATTTTGTAATTTACATAAGGTTAGTGAATTCTAAGGGTAGAGAGATTTGCTTGGAGTAGTTGAAACCTTTATTGATACCATTAGATAAGTTAATGGGTTTTAATTTAGAATCAGATCACTAAAATTTAGATCAGTCTATGATGACTACAAATAAGACTTAATTGATAAAATGTCCATTTTAACATCAAGATTTTAAGAGATAAGGCATTTATAAGGATTATAGAAAATGTTATTAATAACTTTGAATATTGGAAATTTTCTAAATGGTATAAAATTATTTGTAATATTTCAGCTAAGACTCCTCGAGGCAAAGCTTTGGGCTTTAAAATAGAGGCTCTTGACATATGTGCCGAAATCAAAACATCAGACAATTAAAATAACAATTTATTATTGTACATAATTGAGAAAACGGAGTAAATTATAGGAAGTGAAATTATTTCTGAAGATAGTACTATTATTATTAATGTTTAGAAATGAAAACTTTTGAGGTACTTTAGAGAGTGCCAGTCCATTAATTAGTAGTTGATTTGGGTGACATCAAAAAAGGGTGTAGCTTTATCAAAAAAGCTATGGAATCATAAACAGATGATCCTCAAGATTTAGTATAACAAAAGTTTAAGGATGGATATGATTCTATAACAAAAGACATTGAAGAACTTGACAAAAAGATAAATCTTTTAGAAGAGGAGTATAAAACGTGCGCATAATTTTATGGTGAAAATCCAAAAGATCCATCAGATAAATTTGGAGATAAGATATTGAAAATATTCAGACAAATATTAAGACAAAAACTAGAGAAGTTGTAAAGGGAAGAAAGAGCAAAGAGATAAGAAGCCTTAAAGAAAAGATAGATGTTGAAGAGTACTCCATTAACAGCAAGAAGAGCAGATGAAGGACCTAAACCACCTCCAAAGGAAGCATAAAGATAATCAGTCTTAAAACCAATTATTCCGAGATAATCCATCAAAGATCCTACAAAGCTTGAAGTGCCTGGAAATAAAGGACCCAAAAAGAGTTTTATAGCCAACGAAATAAGCTAGCTACGTCATATGAAATAGGTTCGGGCTAGTATTTTAACTATTAACAAAAAATGAAATTAAAATGATCACTAGTTATCTGTGTGTTTTATTAGTAAATAGTTCACGAGTTAGAAATTAATTTTATTGTTTTATTTATTAATTCTTTTTTTTGAGTACTCAAATTGATTTTTCATCTTGATCAAACCACTTATCAAACGAACAGGACCATACTCTTATAATTTCTAAATAATAATTGAGTTTCAGAGGAATATTCTATATGAATGAATGAAAGTATTATTAAATGAATAAATAATTGAAATTTGTCTGATATGAATTGTTATTTCATTTTTTATAATTACAATTTTTATAATTAGAGTAATTGTCTTCAAATATTATATCATATATTGATATAGGATTTAGATAACTAGAAATATTAATTGTAAAAGATTGAAACTTGGTACTTAGTAATTTCACTATAAAATATATAAGAGATTAGAATAACTAATATTTGTTTTCTAATATCAGTAGATATTTATTTGTTAATAACAATCAAACATTAGCCAATAGTCTTACAAAATAACCTTATTCTAATGCGATGATTAATTTATCTCTTTAATAAAGTTCCACTATTGTTTAGCAAGAATATGTTTGAATATTTTGTCACCAAATTCTTGAATGAAGATTATAATGAATGTAATATATTTTGTATATATATCTATCAAACTCCTTGCATTTAGAGTTTAGAGGCAACATCTAAGTCTTTAACCATTTTTTTAAATTCTGCAAAGGATATTTTAGAATCAAAGTCTTCATCTGCTTTGATTATGGTTCTATCCACTAATTGTTGTAATTAAACATCAGTTAAATTATTTCCAACCATCATTTAAAGCACTTTGAACAACTCTCCATTTGTAATGAATCCATCTTGATCTATGTCATAAATTTTAAACATAAATTTTAACTTCTCTTCTTCATCATTACCATACAAACTAGAAAGTCCAGTGATAAATTCAGCAAAACTTATCTTACCATCATTATCCTTATCAAATATTTAAAACACTCTTTTCACTAATGGATTTTGAGATAGCTCTGGTACATCAAACAATTCAGATGGTTCTAATTGGCCAGAGCCATCTTTATCTAAGAATTGAAATCTCTTATAAAGCCTTTTAATCTCTTGAGGTTAAAATGTACCCATTTATTCCTCCATTCCTTGACCATTTCCCATTTTTGATTATGTGATTAAAAATATTAATAATCCTTAAAATTAAATTAATTTGCTATAATACCTAATTGTATAAATATCTAATAATAAAATATAAAACAAATAAAAATTAATGATCACAACTTAAAGTCTCTTTTTCTCTCATCCCATAAACAAATTTATGTTTAATAAAAACTTTTCTATCAAAATGTTGAAGCAGGATTAATTTTAATAAATCAACTTGCTAATAAATGCCTTGAGATTTATTCTAAATCTTTAGCTTTTATAATGAGCTCATTTAATTGCTTCGCTAACTATATCATATTGTTTAGTTTTTTCAAAATCTAAGTTTTGCAAGTTATGAATAGAAATTTTATGTTTTTATCTGTTGTAAATTGATAGTCTAGAGTATTTATTTGAAATCTCAAACCTTCATTAAAAAAACAACCTCTCAGATTTTATTATCAATAATCTTTAAACAATCCCTTCTAAAAAAGTATTCTTATTCAATAATTATTAAACCCTTGTTTCAAAATTTTCTTTCCATCTAAAAAGAACATTTTATATTAAAATACCCTATTGGTTGATTAAATCTATTCTTGCACTGCTTTGTATATTTGTATAAACCCATTTATTTCTAATGTTATTAAATAACAATCTTTTTTATTTTCTTCAGTAAATAAATTAAATTTTTTAATTTATTTTATCAATAATAAATTCTATCCAATTATGTATTATATCATCTAAAATAATTATATTCATTAGATTTCTTACAACAAATTGAGTAGAATCAAGTGATATAAATTGGCCCTTCAAATTAATAAAATAATATTATTCATTTCTCTATCACAGTAATTGTTATATTTTGATAAAAATACTATTTTCTGTCGCATTCTTCTAATTCTATTAAAATTATTAATTAATTGTTTATTATTTTGAAGTTTTTTCTTCAATGAAAGGATGGCTTGATATGTATAAGGTCACATAAAAAGTGAAAAGAAATAATAATTAGGTTGGACAAATATTTAACTTCGAAAAAAATAATTATTTAATAACTAAAAAAATAGATGATCATCTTGACTATGAATTTCCTTAGAACGAATGTTTTAGTTTGGCTTAGTTGATAGAAGCAATGGTATTTTGTATTATTATGTTAAGAAATGTAATTGCATAAAGATTTATAAAGGATAGGTTTTAATTATCATTTTATAAGTGTTAAAGCATCTTTAATAATTACATTAAATGAACTTATCACATGGAAGATTAAAACCTTAAAACATTGTTATTTAATTAAAAAATGAAAAAGATCATAAATTATCAATCGTATAATCACAAATTTCAATACAATAAGTCTATTTTATAAATTATAGAATCATTGATGAAGTAGAATATGAAATTAATTGCTCTTAAGATGTAGATGATATTATTGGTTGTTGTATTGAATTAATAAAAGCATATTCAAAAACTCTTTGTGAATAACTGCAATTTATTGTTGATAATTTAAATTAGTATAAAAATGACAAAAAGGAGAGAGATATATAACAATTATTCTTCTTTCTCTATTTACAAATTAAAGAGTATTTAATACCGTTATTTTAGTTGTGTCGATTTAAGTAACTAAAAAGTAAAGACTGTTCGAATCTCTCCTTCTAATTTTTTTGGCTAAGTTAACAACAATATCTAATGTTATGAAGGAGAAGAGTATGGTCTTTTATCAAAAAGATAGAGAAATTAGACTATTTTCATTACAAAGTTTTTGAAAGTAATTCATTTTCAGCTCGTTGATTGTGAATTATAATTATAAAATGATCCCATAGAAAACGGAATTGACTAATTGGTTTCACATTTTGATGCGCATTAATTGAAATAAGAAGAATATCAGATCTTTACAATTTTTGAATCAATCATAAGATAATAAATGATGAAAATAATATGGAAGAACTATGGAGAATTCTTAGAATCTAACAAATAGGAAAATAATGAAGAAAAATTGGTTTAAATAATTAAAATCATGAATTAAACAAATAAATAAATCTTAAATAATCATCTAATTATTTTTCTTAAAGAATATAAAAATATTAAATAATTGAATGATGAAATATAAAAAGATATCGACAAGTATTAAAAGTTTGATATTACTTATCATGAATAGAAAGCAAAAGATCAATTTATTTTAGAACTAAAAGTTTAGGCATAAAATTATGATTTTAATAATATTTAAGTATTTATTGACAACATCAAAACTTAAGTTAAATAAGAGTTACATAAATTTTACTATCAAATTTTAGAACATAAAAGAATAACCCATGATTTTAGTTGAATTTAAATATAATTCTTATAAACAATATACAATTTATCTAATTTTACAGCATATTATTTCAGATTAATTTAAGAAAGTAAGAAATTATGATTAGAAATAAAAGGTACAATGATATAATATGATACAATCATTCAGCCTTCTCTTATGGAGCTGCTACAATAGGTGCTACTGAATAGGCTTCCAATTGCAATTAATTTTAACCTTGAGATAAGTATGATATAAATACCAACAGCAATATAGGCTAAACCTTTGAGACCCCATGAATCTCCCCATGAATTTTCGATAACCCAATAATTAACTCCATCTTGTTTACCCCAACCAATAACCTTGACAGCATGTCCATATTGGAATCTAAATAATACAATTTAATTATACTTTGAACTTCCTTCAACCACCTCATAGATTCCACCTTTATAAACAAGGAAGTCTTTGAATACTTATATAACTGCAACAACAGGTCCATTGTTTAAGATTTCTCTTTTAATGTTTTCCTCGCTGGAGACAACACAATAATCTTAAATCTTATATTTTTCACAATTAGTAAAGAGAGCATCGCAGTTGTCTTTTGCATCTTCAGTTCCAGTATATGGTAAACAAGAGGTTGCAACAAATCCTTGCTTTTTGCCTACTTCTAATACTCTAGTAACACTTCCTCCTCCACATCTATAATTTTTATTGTCACAAGAGATTGGTGATTATGGTGATAATTAATCTTAAAATTCGCCATTTCTGACTTTACATAATCTATCACTTGTAGCTGAAACAGCAGCAATGGAATAACTGGATGAGCAATTTCCTATCGATTGATCAATATATTACCTTGATTGTAGATTGGTTAAGCACATTCAGGTTAAACCTCTCTAAAATTGTAACTCTCTGGAATAATGACTCCACTCTCTGGGCATTATGGGATTTTTCCTTTGAATGTTAAATGATTGTTAAAGATGAATTTAGCATCACTAAATTTCCAATCTTTAAAGAAATCATTTGGTCCTTGTAGATAAGATCCTAAAGAATTATGACCTGCAATTTCTTCTTCATCAATTACAGGCGCAGTGGTCAGCTTCTTGCTTGAACGTGTTAGTATAGAATATAAAGCATAAACACAAACAAATCCAAATGCACCAATTACCAAATGGTAAGCATATTTATCAAAAAAGCTTGGTTATGTTTGGTTTCGTCTTTTCATTGCTTATGCTGCCTTTTCTCTTTATGCAACCTTTTCTGGAGATTAAGGGGAAGGACTTCTTTATCTTTATGATACTTAACTCATCTTTTAATTTAATTATTTAACACGTTTTATTAATTAAATTTAATATAAACACCAAATATAATTACAATATATCAAATAAATTTCTAATAAAATTTTCATTAAAATATTTTCTTCAACATCATCTGATTAATAAGGAAATTTTACAGATTTAACAGCCAATTTAATTTCTTAATATTTGATTATTAATTCGATGAATTATGTAAATTATTACGAATAAATGTTATAAAGATTATGCTGGTAAGTGATTATGGCTCTATCAAAATTAATATTTTAATGGACATTTGATAAAATTTGTCATATCAAAGATGCTGTTATATAATTTTAAAATTAGGTATCAAAATATTGAATTATCATTAGATCAATAAGTTAATAAAAAAAATAAGTATAGCTAACAACTCAAAGCTATTTAAAAGGATTGAATTTCAACTACCAGGCGTAATTTTTCAAATATAATTCAAAAAAAGCTTGGACAATTAAAAAATTTAAAATTAACAAAAAGTGATTTAACCTATCAAATTAATTGTAATCCATAAGAATTTTCATTTTATTTATCCCTTTTTGGAATAACTTCTCTACAAAAACTACCTTAATCATTTTATATGCTTTTACAAAATTTATTAATTAGTTTATATTACTATAATTTTATGATTTTTTGTTTAATTAATTTTGTTAGGATATATCATAAGATTTGATTGATATCAAATTATAATTGATTAAACCTAGAAGATTCTCTATAATTTTATTTTTTATAGAATTATCTTATATTTAGGTACTTATTAGCCTTCAAATTTGTTAAATTGTGTAAAAATTTATATAATTTTAAAATTTTTTTACTACATGTAAAAGTTTGATTATCTATTTATTGAATTGTGAAAACTTTTAAACGATGACTTTAAAGATTCCAATTATTTGGATGCTGTATTCAACATACTAACTAAGAATTTTCAATAACTACTAAAGCAAAGTGATTTCAGGATATTAATCGATATTGTTAAGTTTAACTATTTCAAATAAATAAAGAAATATGGGAATTTTTCGACCTAATATCAAGTTATATTTAGAAGTGAAATAAAAAAATTAATAAAAAATCGATATAATGCATTCTATCTGTTTTCTTTTACTGATTTGCATTTATTGATGAGAAATGGATTTGGTTTGATAACCATTTAGGTTTATCAAGATCATTTCAGTAGGATGAAAAGAGATACTTACAATTTATTTTTCAAAATGATTAAGCTTATTCTCTTATCATGAGTTTTTATTAAATGATATGCTAAAATTTAATTATGATCATTATTCGATTCTTTTGAAATTGTTTTGTAACATAAATATTATAATAACTTATATAGATAGAAAACAGCTTTAGGAATTAGCAAATAAAGTTAATTTATTGCACTAAATGATTATCTATTTCTAATCAAGTTTAATCTAATACTATTAAACAGTAAAATAACCATTATATCAATGTAATTTAAGTCAAATTTATGTTAAAATATATTATTAATATCAATAAAAAGGATAGCTTAATATTATTAAAAAATCCATTTTACAATAATTTCTGTTACATAGTAATAAATCCATATAATTTTAATATAAAATATGAGGCAGAATGCAATAGATGAATAAGCCTTGTTGTAATATCAAAGTTTTGAACGAATAAAAAATCAAATTTAATTCTTTATATATTCTAATTATGTATTATTCTAAGCCACACCTTTCATATTTTTGAATATATTAATTAATTAATGTCTGAATAAGATAAAAATTTAGAACCTTAGGAATTTCACCCAGACTAAGATTAATAACCTTTAAAACATGACTAAGACAATAATCAAAATTTAGATCAGGATGGATAGTAGTAAACACAAAAATACAGTGAAAGTAATCAAATGGGTAGTGTGTTAAATCAAGTTTATTATGAGGAAGATCCTAAAATGATGAGAAGAGATATAATAAAAAAAAAAAAGAAACAATAAAAAGAATAAAAATTGATTTCAGCAAGAAGACTAAAACGATTATTGCGTAAGAAACCAGTTGATAAAGTGAGATTGGCATATTAAGCTTATTTTTTTATAGTAAGTCTAACTGTATTAGCATTAAGTATTTTATCATATAGAGATCAGACAGTATATGAAGGAGATTATGAACAATTTTTGGATAACATGGGTTCTTATGTAATAGATGATATTCAATATACTTATACAAATAAAAATTGTAAGACTTAATTTGGAAGTGAAGTAATAATAATTTCAAAAAATTTAGTATTCTTCTTTATATGAATATTATTGGCCTGGGACAATGATCGGATGTGATTGTAGCTAGGGATTTAATTTTAATTCATTAAAGGATTAAAACATAGAAAATATAGAGGGCTTCTTTAAATAATCTTTTATGCTTGGCAGAGTTTGTAGTTAGGATATGACAACAAAAAATTGTGAAACAGTAGATGAACAATAACCCAAGACCTTTAACTCATGGAACGACGGTTCTTATGGAAGACGTAAGTGAAACATTTTTATTTTAGCTTTTGTTTTATGCGCTAGAAGAAAAACAGGAATAAGTTTATAAACAAATTAAAGTTATTGTGAATCAGAAAATAAAACCATATGTGGAACAGGAGACAATAAATTTTGTGTTCCATCTGACATGAGTTGTCCAATCTCCGATATTGGGTTTACAACTAATTCTAATTACTAAAATTTATCAAAATTAAATGATACTAATCATGGATATATTTATGATTTAGGAAAAGGGTTTTATTTTTATTACTTAAAGAATACATCAAACTTGCCTCTTATAGAATTTAGAGTTACCGAAAGTGATAAGGTGTGTAGAAGGAATTTAAATTAGAACATTTCTCCAAACAGAATTGATTATCCTCTTATGACAGATAGAAGAAAATAATGTGAAAATACAGATCCCTTATTTAAATTAATTCATTCAATAGATGAAGAATAATTTTATTTATCCAATAATGTAATTTATTTAAAGGAAAAATTACCGTATTTTAACATAGATACAAGATATAATTGGACTATGCATTCTAAAACTTATATTCCTTGGGCTCCAAATTGCAGAGGGTAGATATTTGATGATGTAATTCATGAGGGAAGTACATTATCATTTGTATATATATCTTTGAGAGTTTAATTGGGTGTCACAATAACATATTTTATTGTTATTGGTCTTATATTTAATATAGTTGGAACTATGACTGCTTGCAATTTTGTTTGGTCTTGTATGGCAAGTAATAAGAATTATACATTATTTAGCTCGTCCTGATTCTTAATATAATTATATATTTTTCATTGAAATTGGCTTTAAGATAGCCTTGTAAATAGCAGAAATCATTGTTATTTGTGTTTCATTTGCTATAATTGATACCAAAAGACTTGTAATTAAAGATGTCAATGATAATAATTGTGTTTCAGATCCTGTAAGCGATTACTTCTTCACCAATCTAGAAAATGATTTAACAAGATTTGCTTGGTCATATAACCTAGCTAATTTAGTCATTTTTGCTGTTACATTAATTTTAGATTTAATAATAATAAAACACTCTTTAAATCAAGGTCATCATCATGGAGCTAAAAAGCATCATGAGAAAGGAGAACATTAAGAATTAGAAATAGGATCAAACGGAGAATCAGTAAATTAGTAAGATGTTAAAAGTGATCAAAAGTTATAAGTTAAAAGTGATATATTATAGTCTCCAAAATGATAACATTTCCATAATATTATTATATTAAGAAAATCAAATTAAATCTTGTATCAAAGTTAATATTTCAAGTTCTAATATTTGATTGTAATATTCTTATAACTCTTTTTTAACTTGAGCCTTGACATTATTAATAAATTGTTGAATATTATTTAAATCATAATTTTATGCCTAAACCTTTAGTTCTAAAATAAATTGATCTTTCGCTTTTTATTCATCATAAACAATATTAAACTTGTAATCCTTTTCAATATCTTTTTTTATTTCATCATTTATTTCTTTAATTTTTATATATTCCTAAAGAATACAAACGAAGTGATTTTATAAGATATGTTGATTTGTGATATTCATTATTTCAACTATTTTGACCCATTTTTCTTCATTATTTTAATTACCACTTTCTAAGAAATCTCCATAATTCTTCCAAATTATTTTCATCATTTGTTATCTTATTATTGATTCGAAAATCTAAAGGATCTTTTTTTCTTCATATTCCATATGATTTGTATCAATATATTGAATCTATTGGTAAATTTCATTTTCACTTTAATTCGATTAAATATTCAATTTGCAACAAACTGATTGAAAACTAATTTTTTCTAAAAACTTTGTAATAAAAATAGTTGAATTTCTCTATCTTTTTGATAATTTACCAAATTCTTCACCTTCCTAACATTAAATAGTAGAAATGGTATTCTCATTTAATTTAGAAGGATAAATTTGAATGACTTTTACTTTCTAGTATTTTAAATCAACGCATCTAAAATAATGATATTCAATACTCTTTAATTAATAAATCAATATATTCAACTACTTTGGATATACTACTTTCCTATATGTTATTTTTATACTAATTTAATTGATCAACAATAAATTGCTATAATTCACAAAGTTTCTTTGAATAGGCATTTATTAATTCAATACAACAATCAATAATATCATAAACATCTTAAGAGCAATTAATTTTATCTTCAAAATCATCAATAATTCTATAATTTATAAAATAAACCTATTATATAGTAATGATTGTTTAAATGATTGATAATTTATGATCTTTCTCATTTTTTAATTAAATAACAATATTTTAAGGCTTTAATCTTCCATGTGATAATTTCTTTTAATGTAATTATTAAAGGTGTTTTAACACTTATAAAATGATAATTAACACCTATCCTTTATAAATCTTTATGCAATTGCAATTCTAAACATAAAAAAATAAAATACCATCGATTCTATTAACTAAGCTAAACTAAAGCATTCTAGCTAAGGAAATTCATAATCAAGATAACTATCTAATTTTTCTTTATTTAAATATTGATTCATTTCGAATTATATTATGTCTTTAACGCTATTATCGTTTGCATTCTTTTTTTAAGTAACATTATACATATTTTACCATCCTTTCATTTTAATTTAATATAATTAATATATTTCACAAATAAAAAAACAATTAATAGATAAATATTTTCATGATATCATTATATTAGACTTTGAGAAATCTATTATTGTAAATTATTTTTTGAGATATATAGTAATAATAGAATTAGGTTTTTAGCAAATATTAATAAAATTAATTTTGATGATTTTTAATATATAATTTAAATTCATATTTTATTTTTCAAATCCTAAAGATTTTTCTTATATTTAACTATCAAAATTCTTCTACCTTAAAGTATGATGAATAATAGATGAATTTACTTAATACAAGCTGTCATTATGAACAAATGAATATATTTAATCACATTATATATTTAAGTATCGAATTCCTTGATTCCTCTCTTTATCTCTTGATATAATAACAATATTTGATTGTAGGATAGGGAAAAGAGATGAGTGATTAAGGATAATTAAATTTTAAAATTAGATTTAAAATTAATTAAATATAATCAATGCCTGCTAAAAAGAGAACTGTGAGAATTGGTAATTGGTATAAGAGTGATGATGAAAACGTTCATTTCGTTAGAAAGAGAAAAGTATAGTGAAATAAAATCAAAAAGGCTCCAAGACCAGCTAAGTTGAGAAAGATTGTTCCAGGACAAGTATTAATCTTGTTGGCTGGAAGATTCTAAGGAAAGAGAGTAGTATTCTTGAAGTAGCTTAAATCAGGATTGTTGCTTGTTACAGGTCCATTCAAAATTAATGGTGTCCCACTCAAGAGAGTCAACTCAGCATATGTCATTCCAACATCAACTAAAGTAGATGTTAATGGAGTGAATGCTGGTTAAGTAGATGACGAATATTTCAAGAGAACATAAGCTTAAAGACGTAAAAATGAATAAGGATTCTGGGCCAAGAGAGGAGAAGTAATTTACTATATAATGTATAGCTTACAGCTGAATAATAAACAGCAGAAAAAACAAGATTGGACGGTAAAAGAAAGACTTAAAAATCAATTGATGATGCATTGATTGCAGCTGTTAAGAAAACACCACTCTTGAAACAATATCTTGGTGCACGTTTCAGCATTGGCAAAACAACTAGACCACATGAGCTAGTCTTTTGATTATTCAAAGATTTTATCGTACAATATAAAATATTATATATCACATTAACTTTATTTTTCATTCTTTTTGAAAAAGATTGTATTTTATTATCTATGCTAAATCATAAGCGTCCTATTTGTTATCCATTATATTAAACATTCTAATTATTAATCTTTAATCATCGTTGTTTTTATAGTAATCAGAATGCTTTTCTAAAACCCTTAGATTGTGATAATTTTAAGTATGCTCAATCAATGAGTTAGATTATTAGTGACAAAAAATTTGGAATAAATTATTAAAAGATTTATTTAGTATTTTGAAATGGGAAAATTGTAAGAAATAGTAATATAGCTAGCTTGAAACCAGGTCGTCTAGTAGTTATGCTTGCTGGCAGATAAGCAGGAAAGAAGGCTATTTTGATTAAAGCAAATGAAGAATCAACTAAAGTAAATCAAAATTTGATTTTTTTAGGATGCAAAATTCCCAAATGGTTTAGTTGTTGGTATTTAAAGATATCCAAGAAAAGTTACCAAGAGAATGGGTTAAAAGTAAATCAGAAAGCGAACTACTTTGAAAGTCTTCATTAAATAATTAAATCTTAATCACATTATGCCAACAAGGTATTAATAATATTGATTGTTTCTAGATACAGATTAGAAGAATCCACCTTAAAGGAAGTCAGAGATAGAATTGAAAGAGTAAAAGAGGCAGAATTGAAGAATGTTGAAAAAAGAAAGGAATTGAGAAAGAATTTGAGAAAATATTTAGCTGAAAAATATAGAACATTACCAGCAGGTAGTTTGGCTGACAAGAAGGCTCAATCAAGATTCCTTTTCTCAAAATTGAGATTCTGATATATTACATAAGTATAATATAAAATAAAGAAACGTAAACATTTTAACTTTATTCATAATGCATTAAACAAGAAACTAATCCATAAATAATAAAACATGCTCTTTTATAAAGATTGTTAATTATTATAATAATTTCTTCTGCATCATAATTTATTTAATAATGAAATAAATTCAATATAGTTTTACAAACCCAGAAATAGATATATATTATATGTTGATCATTTGTCAATATTTGAATTGAATTAATAGGAACAATAATATGATTATAAAATTTTTATTATATTATCACCTTTAAAACATCAAATAAATGTTATAAATCTATTGAATTAATGTCAATTCTAAGCGAAAAAGTATATCTAATAAGATACCTTGCTAATGATGAATAAAATAAATAAAATTATGTTGTGAGGAAAAAGAAAGGAATTATTGAAATTGTTTATTCAATAATCAAGTATTTAGTGTTAATAAAGAGAGAATTATAGCATGAAAATTTTAACTCAAAAAGAATTATCTAATAATCATTTTGTTATTAGAATGAATAAATTAATTTCTTTTAATTGAGATATTATTTAAAATTATGTACCAATAGGCAACTCAGTATCCGAATTAAAAGTACAAAACACAACTCTGTAGACATTTTAGTAAGAGTTTGAATCAAAATATAGCATCAAATGGGGTTTGTGCTTTGGGGTTAAGATGTTAGTTTGCTCATGGACCATAAGAACTTAGAGCTAATAGTTTATAAACTGGATATGTTGAATAAGTTATCCCTGCCAACAACTACAATAAGGTTCAAGGGATCAACCCAATGGTTGTTAATTACAAGAGTAAATGATGAAGATAATAAAATTAGCATAATTATGCAAGCATTTCAATCCATAAACAGGTCAATGCAAGAATGGACCCACTTGTACTTTTGCACATGGGGAAAGTGAATTAAATACAATACCATATTTATAAAGTTAATACTAGTAAAGCTTCTATATGAATATCTATTAGATAGATGTAATAACAAATGAAACAAATGAACTAACAATAATTACAGGCAGATCTTACCTAACAGATACTTGTTATGATATTAACTAACATGGAGCACATCTTTCCAGGATAACAAGTACTTTGCAATTTTATTAATTTTAAGCAAATTCTGTATCTCTTAAAATAAGGATAGGACAAGGCAAAGTAAGGAGACACTCAGGGAGCAAGCGACATTATCAAATAAATTATACATGATTAAGAAAGATCAAAGGAAGAGAAATAATAATATTAATAAATCTATAATAATGCTTAAAGGCATTATGATTAAAAATTGAAGGAGATTTAATCTTAATAGTAATAACAGCTTTATTGAAATATATTATTATATATATATATACACATATAATTAATAATCGCTTATATTTAAATTATATTTTTAGGTAATAAATAAGAAGAATTCCAAGAGATAAATAAAGGATTAATACTATAATAAGTGTTATTATAAACAAAAACAATTAAAATAAATTCAATCATTTTTATTTATAAATTTATTTCTTGTTCATTATAAAGGATTTTTTTCATATCTTCTTTTAATTTTAAAATACATTCTCAATTTCATTATAACATTCTAAAGCTGAAATTAACTTTAAGTTTTAATGGATATCTTGAGTAAGAACCAGAAGATGCTTATCAATTTTTATTAATGGTTACACAAATTATGGTGAAATTTAGTTATGAAATAAGAACGCAGTTGCGGCGTTGAGGTTATCATGTCAGTTTACACACTGAAGGTCCCCAGTTCGAAATTGGGCAATCGCAGAATTTTAGTGGTTGAGATTGTACGTAAATTTTATTCGTTTTCAGCAGCTTTTAATCTAATAATAAGTTTTTGGATAAGTTATCAATATATGACTTAGGGTAAACTAATTAGTTGATATTTTACATATTCTTTAACTCTCAATCTAAATCATACCTCGTATTAAAACTTGGACTATTAGTAATAATCTCTTGAATATATATGAGAACTAATATAGACAATCCTGATTATTTTAAAATGGGTTGAAATTGCATTTTTTTTATACCATAAATAATGATCAAAAAATGTCCCATCTTATCCAAATAAGCTATTTTATCATAACAAGTACTTTAATAATAGGGTTATAAAAAAAAGATTAGAGGTTTTATAATTTTAGGTCTTCTCTATATTAAAGGCAAATATTTTTACACAATTAAACTAACTAATAGTACAATATCTAATTGCCATAAAAATATAGAGCTTTAAATAATATTTGAATTAGTTCAGTAACTCTTTGATAGATAAATAAACAGGTTCTAATGCTCGTAATTTATAATCAGTATGGGATATATAAATCAGAAAATAATTGTTCGACTTACATAATTTAATTTAGGATTTATTTAGAAATGAAATTCGATGGCTCAGATTAATAAGGTGAGGATTATCTTGATCCTACTATAAATACTTCTAAGTAATAGGAAACAAATAATTGTTCATAATAAAGAACAGGTCATTGGGATGACCATGAGCACGCTATATATTTAGAATTTTTATAAAATGTCAGAGGTGCGGACGGCTCATACAAGAAAGGATAACCATTATTTAAAAAAATGAGTGAGATTATAGGAACTAGATCACCAAGCCAATGCAGGTATTTTATAATTAAAATCTAGATCCCATCATTAAAAATTCAACCCTTACAACTAACTAATAAAGAAAAGCAAGAAGAAATGTTTCAAAAATAGAATAAAAGTATAGAGCAAACCAATTTTAAGGAGTAAATAAATTATGAGGAAATATTTTGCCTTAATTAGAGAAACAACTGATGAAGAATGACACTTTTGACTATAAAAAATTAATATTGTATAATATAAACTAATTATAGAAAATTATTATTATTGATTAAACTTCATTTTAGCGCTCTAAGCTGCAAGATTTATCTATGATACGTTACTTTACATTAAAGAAATATTTTGGAAGCACAGTATGAATTAAAAATGAAATGTAAGACTTTAAAGATATTAGAAAAATGGATTGAGAAATAATTTAATTGACTGAATATTTATCAAATAAAATACTTAATTATAGAAATAAAATTAATTTATCTCCATCTTCTTTCAAGTTTCAAAGAATTATATAATTTAAAGATTGATTCTCTTAGTGAAGAACAAATAAAATTAAAAAAACTTCAAAAATAATCCAATCTGAAAATTAAATTGAAATTTTATAATAAGAATTTTGTTGTTAAATCATTAATAATGGAGGTTTTTCAAATTTGTTACTTAAAGATGCATATATTTACAATTTTTTCTACCACAAATGAATAGACGGTGTAGTTTTTATACGCAACTTATTTCTTTATTACTAAACCAGAAAGTCTTGGATGCAAAAACAATAAATGTTATTAATATATATTCATCATTAATTATAGTCAATCGAAAATTTTAGATCTCCTTAATTTAGATTGTGAAAGGCTTTAACTTGCTGATTTATATTGATTTAAGTTTAGACTGGGTCCTGGCCTTTATTTTGGTGCATTGTATTGCTATTTATATTATTTATAAATTACAATTGTTGACTGAATGATAGGAGGTTTTGATTCATTCAATTATCTTCCGGTTTAATCATTTAGACTTTTGGATTATAATGGCTAAAATTGTGCAGTAACTTAATATTAAGGATGTAAACTTTAAGTTTAAATTGGTTGTACATATTCCTAAATAGGTATGTTCTAAGATTGAATATAATAATCTTTTTATTCAAGTATTTTGGATTATTGAATATTTGATATTGGGTATTGTTATGTATTCCTTAGTCTCTAATCAATTTAATCATTAATGGATTATTATTGAGGTGGGTAAAATTATCTTGTTGATTCAGATACTCTCAGATCTCTCTGTTAGTTTGATTAAATTTAGGGGTCGAATATTCTTTAAGTATTTTCCATTCTATTAGTCTAAAATTAAACTTAGTGTGCATCATTAGATTATTATTAATAACTTTAAGGTGGTAATTATTGCGAATAATTTCTGGCTCTTGCAGATGTAAATAAATATGGATTGTTATCTAAATTGTAAAAATTTTTTCTTTTTTCTTTTTGAATATATTCCACATCAATTTTTTTGGGCATTTATAAAGGAGGATATCTTTCAATTACTGTTTCCTGTGGATAAATAATTGCTTATGGTAATGGCTCAGTAATAGGTATCACATTTGATAATACTTGATATGATTCAAAAGGTGCTGGGTATGGATGATAATGCTAATAATACATGGGGTAACCCTGAGGGATAGCACTGATTATAAAAATTTGAAATTACCTGATAGGTTAATCATATGGATGTTGAGAATAGATCATTTGAAGTAGTTAAATATATCAATAAAATTTTATTAACTATTATCATTAAATAATTGTCAGTCATTTTTGTTATTGCTAAAATTTTAGGAATGAACCTTTAACCTTTAAATAAGATCATTTATCGAATTTCAATGAAGTTTCATATTGATAACAGTCCCAATTTTCAGGTTAAATTCATCAGATAACAGCAATTACTTCTTTGATATAATTCTAGTATCCCAAGTTTTATTTGCCTGGATAGTAATATTGTAATTAAATCACTACCAATACTAATCATAAATATGACTATATTTTTATTAGTTTGATAGAATGAGGAATTTATATTAATTATTGTTTTGGGAATCCCTTTTTGATGTCATCATATTTTAAATTTTCAAATACAGGTAAATTGAATTTAATATTTACCAGAAGTAAAGTAAACTAGAAATGAAATACTCAAGTTCTCCTTTTATTTAAACTTCTAATTAGAGGTGTCTAAGGCGGAATGATTGGGTTTATATCAGATGTTGGATTCTTAAATATTGATAATATTAGATTTCCCTTTTATTGATAGACTTTTGAAATGGGATCCCATCTTATGTGTAAATTGAATAATAGTTGATCTGCAACTTTATTATTTGAAATTTTATTTTACACACATGTAATTTTAATCTTACAAAAGATGAGAATGATTCATTTAGAATTGAATCATAACTTTTCAGAGACAGAACTAGGTCATAATGAGCATCTCATTTGTGATTGTATTGTAAGATATAACTAAAAAATTGATTACTAACAAATATAATTAAAAAAGCTATTTTTACTAACTTATTGTTGGTTCTAATAATGTAGATCATCATGATAACACTAATAATCATTAATTTGAATACATAAAAATATTTGATGGATGAATAAACTCAAATAGATCTAATAGAATAAATCAATCAATAATCAAAAAATTGAAAAAAAAATACTTAAATAAAATTATTATGGAATGCACCATATTTACTAAGTAGTTTGCAACATTATCGATTTTTTATAAATATATTGAATGGAAACATTTAAAAAAGAATAAGATCGTGTATATCTTAGAATAGAAAACAAACAAAATGATTAGATTTAGAGATATCTTTGTGAAATTGTGATCATGAATAATTTCAGGGGTGCTTTTTATTGAAAATTTATTATTAATTTTTTTTATGTCAGAATAGTATTTAAACAAGTTAAGGGATTAAGCAATTCAATTGATAGTTGAAGGTAATTAAAATATAGAATGTAGGAAAAACTGAATACTTAAAAGGGGCTACTCTTGAAGTTAAATAAGGAGGTTATGATAAAATGAAATTGGGATGCTAAGAATTAGTAAAATATGCTAAACAAGAAACAAGTCCATAGTTGCTTTAAATTACAAGTCAAAAATTGAATGAGTTTACTTCAGAGATGCAAAATATGAAAATCTACCTTGATAATTATAGAGCAAGTCTATAGGCATAAAACCCTTTTCCCATTTAACAATAATAACCATAATAATAGTTCTCATAAAATCCATAACCTTAATAATAGCCCAAAACCTAAAATGGTAACAATGGATTGAACAAAAGTACAAACTAATAGGATGATTAAGGAAAATAAAAGTAAAATTAATTATGTAAGAATTGTATTAGACTTGTTGAAGGATAATAAGCTCTGAGGAATAATCTATCAACAGCTATAGTCACTGAGAAGCCAAACGTCAAATGGGATGATGTTGCTGGATTAGAGAAAGCAAAGGAAGCCTTAAAAGAAGCTATAATAACGCCTTTGAGATTCCCAGAACTCTTTTAAGGGGCTCGTAAGCCTTGGATGGGAATCCTATTATATGGAGTACATTATTAATGAAATATTTTAGCCACCAGGAACAGGTAAAACATTCTTAGCTAAAGCATGTGCAACAGAATGCGATGGAACATTCTTTTCTGTATCTTCAGCAGATTTGATATCTAAATTTGTGGGAGAATCAGAGAGATTAATCAAAGAGTTATTTAATATGGCTAGAGAATCAAAACCAACAATTATATTCATCGATGAAGTGGATTCAATGACTGGTAACAGAGAGAGTGGAAGTGGGAATGAAGCCTCATCTAGAGTTAAGACTCAATTCTTAGTAGAAATGCAAGGAGTTGGCAACAACAATGAATCAGTTCTTGTCTTGGGTGCCACAAACTTGCCATGGACCTTGGATCCAGCCATTAGAAGAAGGTAAGATCATTCACTATGATTATTTATAGATTTGAAAAGAGAATCTATATTCCCTTGCCTGAATTTTAAGGGAGATTGTAATTGTTGAAAAACAAAATGTAAAGCACTCCTAATAATTTAACCCCAGCTGAATTTGAAGATATTGCTAAGATGCTAGAGGGATATTCAGGGTCTGATATGAATACGTTAATAAGAGATGCTTGTTTTGAGCCTTTAAGAAAATCCGAAAGGGCTACTCATTTTAAATAGATATAAACTCCAGATGGAATGAAATTCACAGCTTGTTCTCCATCCGATCCTTAAGGTCAGTAAATGAAAATGTTTGATATCAAAAAAGGATAAATTCATTTACCAAACACGGAATATGTATTAGTTTTCATGATTTTTTTAGGATGATTTCTTAAGTGTACTTCCAAAGTGTAGACCATCTGTTTCTTAAGGTGATCTTAAAAAATATGAAGATTGGACAGCTGAATTTGGACAAGAAGGATGATTGATTATCAAAAATAATTTCTAATTTGTTGAAATTGATATTTCTTTATTATACTTTTTTAATATTTCTCTCCATAAAATATTGAATAATAAATAAAATAAAATGCTTTTTATTCTTGATACTATGGTGAGTTCTGATACTACTACAATCAGTGCTTCCTCATTCTTTGGTTTCATGGGAGTCACTATGGCATTGGTATTAGCAAGTATTGACATATTATCGATATATTTATTATAGATTTGGGAGCAGGATATGGAACATTTAAGGCTGGAGCTGGAATTGCAGCCATAGGTATTTGGAAACCAGAAATTATCATGAAATCATTGATCCCTGTAGTTATGGCAGGTATTTTGGGTATCTATGGTATGATCGTGGCTGTCTTGCTATCGTAAAAAGGTATTAATCCAATTGCATTATAAAAATAGTAAAAAATCCCTTAGAATACTCTTATAAATCTGGTTTTGCTCATATGGCCTCTGGATTATGTTGTGGATGTAGTTGTATTGCAGCAGGATTTGCTATAGGAATTGTTGGAGATGTTGGTGTCAGGGGAAATGCGTAATAGGAAAGGTTATTTGTAGGATTGATTTTAATCCTCATTTTCGCAGAAGCATTGGCCTTGTATGGTTTAATTGTGTCATTGATCTTATCGTAATCATGAGTATCATTAATAAAATATTAATTATAAAGCATCATCATCTCTAATTCTACTTACTCTATAGATTTATCAGCACCGTCACCATCTTGTTTGCAAGAGAATCAACAGTACTCTTTGAATCAACTATTAAATCACTATCAAATCTCGCCTTTTCTCTAAAAGTAACCTCTCTCATTAATTTATAAAATTAAAATATTCTTATAAATAGGTTTCAACTGTTTGATTATATTTAACTAATCTCTTTTAGTATCACAACCTACCTTATTACTTTTATAGTCATGAATTATATATTTGTTTCATTAGTTCTGGTGATTTTTTATTAAAACAGAAAAAGAAACAAATAAAATATCATTAAATATATTAGTTTTGGATTAAATTTATTTTTTTAATTTATAAAATTCCATTTTGTGTTTTATTTAAATAAATTAATTTCAGTTATCTCATAGTGACTCTAAATGTGCTTTAATAATTTTTGATTGATTTAAATTTATTGAATGAGTTAATAATATTTGATAACTATGAGGAAATAATCACATAGGGGTTAATAAATAGGTGTAGATCACTTAATTTTCGAACGTGGGGTAATAGCTCATTTGGTAGAGCGTATGCTTAGCATGCATGAGGCGCTGAGATCGAAGCTCGGTTGCTCCATATTTTTTTTTAATTAATATTTTATTGCCTTTATAATTACACGTATATATATATAATATATATTGTTAAATTGATTACTATTTAATTATTATTGTGTTTCAATACCAATTATAGAAGAGGTAAATTTCATTAAAAATATTTTTAACCAAAGGAATTAAACGAATTTATCTGGATTTCTTAATAAGATTTGATTTGTCTAATCATTCTTCATAATAATAATTCGATCATGTAAAGTGCTGTAAACTAGAATAAAAATCTATCAGAAATCAAATTAAAATTGTTTACTCTATTATGATTAACAAATGTTATAAATAACTATGCAAAAACATAATTTTTGAGTGTTTGAATTAATTACAGAATTTGTAAAAAGAGAATTAAAGATACATAATTATTGGAATGTTTATCAGTGTAATTAAGATAAGTGAGATATCTCATATGAAATTGCAACCAAAGGTATTTCTTTGAACTAAATTTCATTGAAAATTTTAATTATTAATTAACGAGATATCAAAGATGTAGGTAATATCAGATCTAGCTAGGTTATAGAAAACCACTGTCTAAATTTGTTAATCGGTATAAGTTTAATGAATCATGTATTCTAATTGACCCTTGCATATTTGAATTAATAAGCCTTTATTTTTGATTCTTTTTATGCATAGGACTCATAAATTTAATAATTTATCATTCTACTTATACATCCGCTTTTAATTTAGTGGTTAAATTGAATTTAATATAAATTAAAATGTTTTGGAAGCATTTCTGATTTAATAAAATGGACATTAAGAAATATGATTAAAGAATAATAAGTTGTTTAACCAAGAGGGGATAGCTTCTTATGTATTCATATGAAAATGGAAGGGCTAAGAAATATGTAATGTATATCTATATGAATTTTGAAAGTAATTGAAATAACATGAAATAATTTCCTTTTTATATTAAAATTAGATATTTATTTTTTAAATAAAAATGAGCACAGTCACCTAATAGCAATAAAGAGGTTAAAAGTAAAAGCTTGATCCAACAGATAATAAATTGCATATTTCTTCTAAGAAAAATGCTAGAGATTTCATATTCATTTCAAAAATATTTTTGAAGAAATTCCAAAATGTTGAATTGCATGCTTTAGGTGAGGCTACAAAGATCAGTGTTAGAGTTGCTGAAAATTTATAGAGATAAGGTATGAGTTGAAATCTATATTAAGGTTTGGTCACAATAACTAAAATTAATTCAATCACAGCTGATATTGAAGGAAGAAAGAGAGTGAAGTTGGTTGTCAGTTTACAACTTACCTAAGATGGAAAAGCAAGAATCGATTAAGAATTATAAGCTTGAGTGATTAAATGAAAAGCGCAAAATAGTACACATATATTAAATTGTTTTATAATTACATTACGATATTCTGTTCTTGAATTTTTAATTATTGATCTTATGGGAATCATGAATGTTTATAAAATGAAAAATGGTTTGTTTTTGCTAAAAACTTAGGGGAATAGAAAATGAAAAAAAACGTATATAGAATATCAGAAAAAAGGCAATCATTTAATTGAATTCATTCCAGCTATAAGAAGACTTCTTTTTTCTTTTTATTTGGCATAAGAACCCTAATTTAATATTTCTGATTTGATCATTGGTCTATCTTATTGTAAATCAAGGGATTGTGACTTAGATTAGAACTGTCTTGAGATGTTCGGCAAGACAGCTTATCTAGGTTAATCCCCATCAGTATGTTCTACTCTAATACCAAATTCTAATATTTTTAAATAGTTATACACAAGACACTTTTTGGTATAGCAATCAATTCATAATCGTTTAGGTTGACTGATCCTGTTTTCGAGAGAGGAAACGAGTACATTTCCTTATCGGGAACAAATTGTGATCGATACATGTTTGACATATTAGTGCCGGGTTTTAGGGGAGAGGCATGTGATAATTTTCTATTTTTGTTAAATGTTTTAATGTTGGTAATAACCTAAGGGTCTTTGCTTGTAGGAGTGACATCGTTTGATTATTGTGAGTGTTTTTCAACATCTGAATAGTTATAGGCATGCTAATTAGAGATGTATGAACTAAAAGTGTAGGAGGCAGGCATTTTCTCAATTGGAGTACCATTTGATTTAATGATTCCAGTGACTCCTTCACGTTTGTTCATTGTGGAAGTCCTTCCTTTAAAACGCGTTAAAAAATCCACTTTCATTTTTATGATTTATTAAAATATTGAGTAAATATCTCATAGAATAATATATATTTATAATAATGAGATATGGAGAGGACAAGTCTGAAATATCAAAAGGTAAAAACACCGAGTGAAATAGGAATTTTAATTCAATATATATGCAATTAAAATCTAATTATAAATATGGATCAATTTTATGATGATTATTAGCCAACTACAAATAACAAAGACGTAGAATCAAATAATATTAAAACTAGATAAAAATCTATCGTAATGGCAATTCTAATTTATGTTGCACCTTAACAATCAGAGATAATACTAAATTTAATGAAATACGTAAATCTTTGCAATAAAAATGGGACACTCAGTTTAATAGACTAAGACTGTTCAATTAAGAGGGAGTGGAAATAACTGAGGACGATTTGGATTATATAAAAAACGGAACTGTGTTATTTGCATCGAAAGGTAAAACTAAATGAGTAAGTTATTTAAAGGTGAGGAATTTGATGAAAGTTTTTAATTGGCAGAGTATGAACAATTGTAAGATATAGGAGAAGGAGGATTTGGAAAGGTAGTGTTGGGAAGACACAAACAAACAGGCGAGAAAGTGGCTATAAAGATGGTGAAATAAATGATGACAAATGCTTAAGTATAAATTTATCATAATCAGGATGTTGATATGATCTTCAGAGAGGCAAGAGCACTCAAGTCTTTAAAGCATGATAATATCGTAAAGATTTACAATGCCTTCTTTTTACAGAACTTGTAAACTGTGTATATCATGGAATATTTGGAGGGAGGTGAATTACTTTAGTATTTGTAAACCAAAGGGAGATTTGAAGAGAGTGAGGCTCGACATTATTTTAAATAGTTGGTCAGTGCGATATCGTATTGTCATCAGAAGAAGATAATTCATAGAGATTTAAAATTAGAAAACCTATTGTTGACCAGCAAAGATTCGGGCATAATCAAGTGTATCGACTTCGGTATTTCTGGTTTTGCATCTAACGACAATCCAGAAAATGCAGATGCAGGCAGTCTTAGATATATGGCTCCTGAATTGCTCAAAGGTATGCTTCACTCCTCTAATTCAACTAGGAATGGATAAGGCAGTCTCTCCTTTGGTCGATGTATGGTCAATGGGTATAATATTGTATGGGATGTTATTTGGTACATTACCATTTACCGGTAATACTAATAAAGAGATTATCGCCTAAATTTCAGAGGGGAGACTCAATATTCCTCATGAATAAAATAACAAGCTCTCTCAAAATTGTTTAGATTGTTTGTATCGGGCCTTGGAACCAGAGCCAAAGAAACGAATCACTTCGATCGAACTCTTAAACCACCCTTTTGTTACTAATGAAAATACGTTAAACACTGTTACTAATAAGTAATTTGAACATCTATCATAGACCTAAAATCTAAACTCAATTGTAATAGATTGATGAGGGTGACAATTAAGCTGCCTAACAACAATCATAATCAGCAACGAATAAAAAACAAAATGTTCAGTTTTCCAAATAATTCGCTAAATAACATCCATAATCTACTAGACAATTAACATAAACATAAAAGAAACCACCTCAATAATCACCTTTATTATAAAAATAACCTTAATCAACTGGATAAACTATTAAGTAAACCAAATTCAGTAAAAAGTGATGTGTTTAATATATAATATTAAATTTATTTCTTGATTTTTAATTATAAAGAATGTTTTGTAGAATTCTAAAGTAGATATGTTTATAGACATTCATTATCTTTGGCTAAAAGATCTGAGAACAGTGTCTTGGTATTGATGAAACAACATCTTCGGAGGAGATTTCTTAAGTGGGATATTATTAATCTTTTAAGGTAATTAGGTATATTTTGCCATTGGCTATTCTTAACTAAATTGTTAAACTCAATTAATTACATAGATTCATCTAATTCCTTTTTTGGAGTCATCTCGTGTCTAAATTTTATCTTGCTAAATTAAAATTATAACACTTTTGGTAATTAAACTGGATAGAGAGTATTTCGTTAACTTTATTGGTTTGAAATAGAGATTCCTTGTGATTAATTGATTAATTTTTAAGATTAATTCGAGTTTTTACCAGTGGTAGATAAATTCTTCTTGCTATCAAATTATTCTAATTATGAGAAGTGATGTTATGAGGGTTGAGTTTGATTATTGATTAAACTCTCATTCTTTTCTATTAAATTCAAAACAATATGCTTTGGAGATGGACTTGGAGAAAGTATTTTCTTAAAGGATTTCAAGACTTTTGAAGGTCGAAATGAAGGGTATTTAGAAGTATCCTCATTTAAGTAAATTTAATTATCAATTTATTGTGGTTTTTTTTCTTCTCTTTTTTTGTGTAATACTATTTACTCTAATTTATATTTAGGGAGCAATTTAAAGATATCTATTTTCTCTGAACTTGCTAAAGCTGTTTATGCGAATGATCTTATTGATTCTAAAGTGGGTCTTAGATCAGGATCATAACACAACATAATCCTTAATAAGTTATTCATATTCAAACTATATTAGGGATTGTATGTAAATTTTAATCCTTTCAGAATTTATTTATGCAACACATTAATGTTATTGGCTTTGAAAGGAGCTTCTTTAAACATGAACTAGTAAATTAAAAAGCCAAGCATCCATATGTCTGATTTACAATCATATGTTTTAGATTTAGCAAATTCAGGCGCCAATAGATAAATATCCAAATATTCCTCTGGATGCAAATAAAATAGGATGTTCATTTCTCCCAAAACTGCATTTTTCCCAAAACAAAATAAATTTGATAACAGTATTTTTCCATGAGGTCTTTTCGGATGAAATAAACTGAGAGCCGAACATAACTAATTTAGCTTAACGATGATACTTATATTAAAATTATTAATATATCCTTTTCCTCCAGTGGACATTAATATTAACATTCAATGTATTCACTGATAACCCTTGAGAAATATATTTATATAATACCCTAAATAGGTATTATCTGTATCATGAGAAGCTTCATAAAATTTTACAATATGAGGGTTGTTCTTCCTAGACAATTTGTTCAATATTTTTATGATTGAGATCACTCTTTCCTTATTAATACCTTCTAAATTAAATAATCTCAAAACATAATTTTTGTTGCCTCTTTTCAAAAGGATCGTTTTCTTGTATACATTCTATCTCAAAATCTCAGTAACACTAAACTAAGGAAACAAGGATTCAATATTCTTCTTTAATAATTAAGTCATTTTATTCTAAATTAATTTACATATTATAATCAAATTCAAACGAGCTCTTTCTAATTTGATTCAGTAATTATTTTGACAATTAGAGACAAATTAGGATTATAACTCAATTCTAATTAAGTTCTTTCAAATTAATTAATTGTATCGACGAAAATATCAATTTAAAGATAATTGAATTGTTTTAGACTTAGTTAATAAATATCATTCAAACTTATACAGAATTATAGAAAAGCGATTACTTTGAAAATTTATCGAAGGAGTTTTATCATTTTGGATTTAATATGAACCATCTGTTTCAATCAATTAGCCTTAATAAAAGTATTGTGGTTGCTTTGATTCTTAAAAAAAGGAATATGAATAGTTGTGATTTATATATATTTATTATATGAAAAATTTAATAAAATGCCAAGATAATTAGATATTGGAAGATGATGAGGAAGAACTCGAAAATATGAATCACTAAAAAAAGAAACTACAATTTGTTAATAGATTGTAAAGAAAAAATAATAAATCATTCGATTAAACTTGGCTTAATGCTATAACTTAAGAAAATAAAAATGAATTATAGGATAAAATTAAGTAAGCTGTTGGGGATAGTAAATTTAAGTTTAAGTACCTATTTTAAATCCCTTAAATAATAAATAATCCTAAATTAGTATAGAGAAAGAAAACCTATGAAATTTTTACCAAAAACTCTTAACTAGAACAATATTACCTATAATTAAAAAAAGCATCTTCTGGTGCTGCAAAATCTATCTCATCAAAAGCTGACTATAAAGATATTTTAAGTTAAATCTCTAATAACAAAGTGCGCGATACTTATTAACATCAATTTAAATAAAATAATGGAGTCATTTATACTAATGAATTATGGTCTTAAAAATTGAGAAATCAAATTTATGATTAATCTAGATTGAAAGAATTGTCAGAACTATTGGAAATGAATAAAATCAAGATGAGTTATGAAGAGTAAATAATGAATTTTCAAGAGTATTTTATCAAAAAATTAAAACCAAAATAACAATCAATTACTGAAATGAAATAAATAATCGAATCTGCCTTTTTTTCAGAAAATCTCTAATCTCATAAAAGTGACACAAACAAGGAAGTTAAGATGCAACATAAAAGTTTGATTTCGTATTTTAAATCTTAAAATGAAGATTAAACCCAAGACTTTTCAACCAAACACAGTAGAATGGCATCTCGAAATTAAAGTTAAGGATTAAGGCCTTAATCTCAAGAAATGAGTTTCCTAAGCAGAAGAGCCTCTACATCTCAATAAAACAATAGAATGCTCATGGTTCCTCAATTTTCAACATTAAGTTCGCCAATCAACTCGCCAGCCAATAGATTAGAACAGATTGTTTAAGACACGAAGAGCGAGAACCAAAATACTAAATAAACAATAAAGCATATCAACAATTTTATAAAGAAAGAGAGTGATATTCAAGAAAAGATACGTGATGATAGAATGAAAAAATATAGAGTATAAGCCTTAAATAATGCGATAAAACTAAAGAAAAATCGTGAAACTAATTCTCACATTAGAGGTGAATTATGATATGGCAAATAATTATAAAAATATAAAAATATATATTTACTAAATACATATCCGAATTAGATTAAATAAATGATTTTTGTTCATTTATAATATAACTAGGCTCATAAAAAGATACTAACACATTTTTGCAGTAAATCTTTTGTAATCTTCTTTAAAGACAAGAGTATTTATTGGGAGGTTATTTGATCACCTTCAAAGTTCTGATGGTGCAAATTTAAATTAATAACTTCTTTAAATTATCAGAATAAATTATATTTCATTATAAAAATGATGTCTTTAGATATTTAAAGTGATTATTTGGATTATGCTTCAGTTCTTGATGACAAGTACTTTATTATTGATACAATTGGAGTTGGCAGATACGCAAAGTAATTTTATAATGTTGATTATTTTAGAGTAAAGTTAGCCATCGATGTATAAGATAAGTAAAAGTACGCAATAAAAATTATGAAGAATGATCCAACTGCAAATCAAAACAAACTATAACAATTTATAAATGAGGTATCTCATTAAGCTGAGTTTGAACATAATAATATAATAAAGATTATTTAAGTATTTGAGATCTTAAATAATAGTGCAGCATAAATGGGAAGTACAGGAAAGTGGATGGAAGATTATGTTAAGTGTCTTATTTTGTAATGGAATTGGCAGATCAAGGGGAATTATTTGAATTGCTAGAATAAACTCATTAATTCTCTGAGAAATTTTCAAGAGGAATATTTTCCCAGTTGATTAAGGGTAGTTTATACAACTTAACTTAGTTTAGGCATTGAATATTTACATGAAAGAGGAATAGTTCATAGAGACATAAAATCAGAAAACATTTTATTTAGCAATGGTATCTTGAAGCTAGCTGATTTTGGATTCAGTGCCAAATCTGTGGATCAAACTGGAGCCAAAATATAATTTGAGGTTCAATAATACTTGGGATCTCCAGAGTACAATCCACCAGAACTTTCAAATACAAGTAAACAATTTTTATAACCTCTAGTTGGTAAATAAAAATATTATATCCCCGAATCCGCTGATATATTTGCATCAGGAGTCATTCTCTTTACTATGGCGATGAGATCTGCTCCATTCAAAACCTCCAAAAATACAGACCCTTATTATTCTCTTTTAAAACAGGACAAACAAAAGTTTTGGCAAGTGTTCTAAGAGTTGAACAATAACGTATCTCATCAATTTAAAGATCTCATTGAGAAAATATTGGAAGAAAACCCATAAAAGAGAATCTCCTTGGAGTAAATTAAGAAGCATCCCTGGATGTAGGGTTAGATTTCTAATTTGGCTGATTTTAAAACAGAAATTAACAATAGATATGAGATAGTTTAAAATAAAATGAAGGAAAAAATAACATTTAGAAGACAATAGAAATTTACTAACAGAAGATATCAAAAGAGAATTGAAATGGCTATTCCCAATCTCATTCCACCAAAATATCTATAAGAAAGTTTAGTAGTAATTGATGATGTAAATAAATAAACATTATAAAGATCAATGATAAATTGCAGAAGAGATTACTACCATAAGCCTATCAGGATTAAATAAGTTAGTAAGCTTAGCCAACAGCAGAATTTAAAATTATTGAAATACAATAGAAAACTAAATCTAAAAGATAATTAGAAGGATCTAAAAAGTCTAGCCCTGCTACTCCTCCTAATGATTCTGATAATTGAATTTATTTAATTAACACATAATCTTTTTTTTATTTCATTCTGGATAATCATATAAAATTCTATATATTATGTAAATTTTATTGATTATGTTATTTCTTTTTGAATTGTAAAGCCAAGTGTTCTTCTCTATGATTCTTCAATCTTTAAATCTGTAATAATTAATCCCAGTTATCTAATAAAGCTTTTAAATTGTATCATAATAATTTGATCAAAATCTATAAGATATCTACTAACATACTTTTTCTACTGTTCAGGTAATAAACTATTAAAAGTATATAAAATTAAATAAGACTGTTAATAACAATAGATTATTATTTATTACAAATTGATCTTACATTAATTAATGATTTATTTTAACATAAATTATTATTAATTTCACAAATCAGTTTTAACTTTGAAAATACTTCCATAATTGCTTTATTCGCTTAACCATTAAGTCAAATTCTCTTCAGTCTTTTATAAGTGTAATGTGAATGGATGTTCTTTTCCAGCTGCATATAATTTAACATGAGGATAGTTATCAATATGAAGATCGTCAATCTCATTATTTTCAATGTCGCATCTTGCAAAAATGACTTTGCCTTCAATGGCTTATTTATGCTAAACTTAGCAAATTGATTAAATTACCTTTTTATATACTTCATTATAATCTGGTCTAAAATCTTTGCATGGTTAGCATTTCTTAGCAGTATATGTAACAACAACATCTACACCTTTATCGTTTTGTTCTTTAATGAATGGATAATAAGTAGATCTAGTCAACTTATAGATTCCTGCACCATCATATAAATTTTATAATATGCCTTCATCTCTATAGAAGGGTTTTATTTATCCTGATGAAATTTGCTCATAAAATTAAACTGGATCCGATGGTCCATTTTTATACTTGTAGAATCTGTTATCATCAATTGGTTTCATGGCTATCAATTATGGCAATTAAGTTGTATTGACATTAATTTCATAAACTCTCTCTAATCTTTCTTCGCAATCTCCATTAACATCAAGAACACCTACAATAGCTTTATTTAACAAAGGGTATCTAGCATCTTACATCTTTTAGACATATTACTCATGTTCAGGATCTAATTAGAATTTACAATTAAAAATACTTGTTTTATTGTATAATAAAATTACTGATGGCAATAAGTCTACTCTTCTGGATAACTTCTAGAATTTAGTATCATCCACATAGACAAATCCTTTTTTAAAAGCATAGATCTTTAAAAATTGGAGGATTTCATCAGTATTTTTAATGTCTCCCTTAAATTTATGCAAATAAGTTTGATATTTCTTAGTCTTCTCTTCGCTGATATCTTCAAGATCTTCCAATTTACTATAAATAACAAGACCACTTTCTTCTTTTTTTAATCCTAAATGTTAGTACAATTCTGCATTGAAGATGTGACAAAAAACATACTAAGAGATTTTGTTTAATATTTACTCCTTATGGTAATTGCTTGGCTGCTTAGACGAAAGCTTTCAAAGGGGAGACTCTGTATTCAGGAGTGGCTAAGAAGGCAATTAGTTGGAAGCTGTTAATTTTGTTAACAAATTGATCCCATTTTTGAAGGAGAGATGATGGATAAAACTCATCTAAATATTAGATTGTATAAATACTTAATTCTGGAGAGTCCCTGTAAGTCTTCTTTAGCCAGTTTAGGAAGGCTTATGCATTATAGGCTCCAGAATACTTTTATTTTTAAGTGTCGGCATAAAATAGAAAGATTGATGGAGTGACTTAGATCTAAGTTTTTTCCATGAGTTTTTTTTCTTCAACAGAGTTAACGAGTCCAAAATTGATATTTGTTGGATATGAGCCTGTTTTTTAAAGGCTGTGTTGTCCTGTGGCAATGGCTATGAAATCGTCTAGAAACTTTTTAGATTGTTTGTCATCTCCGTAATAGAAGACTATCAAAGGTTAGTGTTCCTTCTTTGCCATTGTGTAGTTCTTGTATCCAAGATAGACCAATTCACTCTGCCCTAGAGAGAATAACAATGTGAATATCAAGAGCATTTTCTAGATAATAAAAATATAACACGTAAGTAATATATATATCTCAATTCCTTAATTTATTATAGGCTTGCATTTCGTTTTCAATAAACACAGTTTTATATTTGCTTTATTGCCCCTTCACTATTTTAATTGAACTTTGATCAATAGACAATTTTTCACTTAACATTCTTATTACATCTTCGTTGGCCGCATTTTCAATAGGTTGAGCTTTGGTCTTTACAATAATGAATTCCTCTGAAAATTCAAGCATCTCTGCCTTTGATTTTGGTTTAACAAGAAGCTGCAAATAAAACCCTTTTGGTTTTCCACTTAAGAATTATTGTGTTACTTTAATAATATTCATTTTATGGCTAATATTATAGTGTTTGGAGATAAATTGTCGAATGCCTTATTTTCGAAATGTCTATATTACGGTGCCTTCAATAAAAGGTTTTATCCAAAGGTAGATCAAATGAAATTGACTGCAGTAGATAAGAGAATAAGAATCCTTGCAGCCAATTAAGTTGGATTGGAATAGAGTTTGTTCATAATGTTGCCTTAGAGTTCCAAAATGATTCCTTCTGAATACAAAGTGATCATCAACCCTAAGATTCTCAAGATCTCAAATGAGGTCGTAGAAAGTATTGAAGAATCCATTAGTTTTCCCTTTTTTAAAGCCAAAGTCAATAGATATAAAACTATTTTCGTTTCTTATGATGATAAGAAAGGTAAAACCGTATAGGAAGAATTAAAGTATGCCAATATTTAATACCTTTTTTTAGAGGATTGGAATCTCTTTGGTATCAGCAGGCAATAGATTAAGTGATGGGAATTCCATGTATAAGTTGGATTGCATCAGAAGGAAAGGTTGAATTGAAACCAGAATACTAAAAGTAAGCTGAATCGAATCCAGAATTTCTTAAGGCTTTTAAGGAGTATGTAGATGTTGGATAGTAGTAGAAATATTAGGAGAGAAATTTGTACAGAGTGAATCCCTAAGATGAAAGAGAAGATTACGCCTTACAAGGTCCAACTCATAAACCCGATAATTATGAGCTATACGTACATTTATTGAGAAATTTAGAGAATGAATTATTTTATACTTTTTGACATTATATTCTAATCAGATTATAAGTTTATTGAAATAAAGTTAATCAAGTAAATTTTATATTATTGTGTATTCGACTCGATTAAATTCAATTCAATTAAAGTCTTTATTTTTAAGCATTCAATTATTTTTAATAATTCTATCTATTAAATAAGCATATTATATAGTAAATTATATCTTATTTTAAAAAACAATATAAAATAGATTAATTGGATATTCAAAATAGAATAATCGAGTTATTTTCTTATAAATAAACATAATAGAAATCATTAATTATATAATATTATTAAACATATTACTCATAATTTCAAATAACCAACTGACTAAATAATTTTTACAATTCATCTGCCTCTTCCTCATCTTCATCATCACTATCGAATGCTCCAAGAACTTTCTCTTTAGTTGCGAATAATTCCTTAAACTTTTATTTTGTAGCTTTCTTGAATTCGTTTCCTTTCAATTCCAATTTCTTATATATATTAAATATTTATTACTGTAACATTCTCCACTTATTTAGCAATAATTTCATATAGTTCATTTCCCTGGACATCATTTAATTCAGCATAATTGTAGCCCAATTTTTCGATTTTGACTAATTTGGCTAATGCCTCTAGGATTTGTTTATTTTATTTTCCTTAGATGTTACAATCTGATATGTTGATAGCTGTCAAATGAGAACTATTTGTTATGAGATCACTTAAGACTTAAGTGGTGGCTTCATGAACAAAATTATCTCTGATATCAATGGTTGTTAATTCAGTGCAGTTTTTATTTAGTGATGATAACAATTCCATCATGCCTTTTTATTTGATGCCATTCTAATAGATGTGCAATTCTTATAGTTTTTTGCATGTTGGGAATGCTTTAGATATTTCAATGGCACCATCGCATTCAGCTCTATTTCTTGCAATAGCCAGTATCTGAAGATTGTGTTCTCCTTCTTACAATCCTTCCGAGATTTAAGTGACACCTCTGATGCCTAGACCACAATTATTTAGGAATAGTTTTTGCAATTAGTGGGCTTATTTAAGGAATGGTTTTAATGCCTCAGCTCCGAATGGGTTGACTGCATTGTTGGATAGATCAAGACTCAAGATGTTTAATCCAATGAGACTATTTCCTAGGATCTACAATATTGGATTGTATTATACTTATAATGATTGAGGGATTTCATCTTTTCCTTTGCCAACGAAGATATCATTTCCATTGATTTTCTATGTTTAATGATTTTAGATTACTTGCAATTGTTTGGCTGTTGTGATGTATTCTGAGAATTGATTGAAAAATTGCTTTGAGTAACTATTGCCTTTTAAGACTATAATTTGGCATTCTTGTGCATGAGTTTTGAATTCTTATTGTTATTCTTCAGAAAGGGCATCTATATTTTGTTTTTTGGATTCAATTGTAAATGTGTAGGTTTGCTCCATTTTTAAATTATTTAAAATTTTAAATTTTGTGAATTAAAGGTGTGTCTTACATAAATATAATAGAAAATAATAATAAGCGAGAGTATTGAGGATAATAATAATATTAAAATAAAAAAAATGTCTAATGGATAGCAAGTGATTAAATATATGTTGATTGGATCAAATAAGGTTGGCAAGACAGCATTTCTGTCGAGATTTAGCGATAATAATTTCACTGAGAAATATGAAGAAAGCAAAGGAGTTGATTTCAAATCTAAATTGTATGATGGAGATAAATATAAACTTTGCATATTCGACACAGTACACAATAATAAAATGTAAATTAATAGCCTGGAGATGTAAATTTGAGATTTGCTTCTTATGGATTTTATAAGTTTGCTTTTGGTTTTATTTTGATTTTTGATCTCACGAGGTAAATTCATTTTGTGTTAAGTATAGACCTCAAACTCTTTAGAATTTGAGAGATGATTTCAGTTAGATTGCATCTCAGTCTTCTTAATGTATCATTATATTTTGGATTATAATTTAGATGCGTAATTAATATTGGTTGGAAACAAATCCGATTTGTAAGACATAAATGATTATAGAGAGTCCTAGGCTGAGGCTTAGAGAATGGCAGATGAATTACATATTACATATTTTGAGATTTCTTGTTTGACAGGATAAAATTTTGATTTAGTTATTGAAGATTTGACAAAAAGAGTCTTAATTCAAATAGGATAAGGAAATTTGGGTAAAAGACCTGGGAATTAAGCAGAGAATAATTAAAAAGATGAGAATATTAGACAAGAAGGTGGATGTTGTTGTAAAATTTTTTGAATTCATATAGAACATTTTATTTTATTTATTATTTAATAATCATTGCCATAAATTTTCATCCTTAGGACTTCCAATACGATGCTTGTATTCAACAAGGAATTCATCTAATGTTCTTGCTTGTGCAGTTGATGAGTAGAGTGCATATAATTTGTAATGGAAGAAATCAGTCAACAACAAGAAGGGAATCACTCCTCTGTAAATGCTGAATGGAGTCTTTTAGGCAAATAGATTGGCAGCTATTCTTCCCTTTTATGGAGTCTCTTAGAAACTCAAGTCAGTGCTTGCCAATTACAATCTTGTCTTTATTGTCAAAAATCCATAACCAATGGCAAGTAAGGGAACTGATACTAACTAGTATAATTACATTACACTTACTTATTGAATATAATCCTATTCATAGATGTTTCTAAGATGATAGATTAGAGTTCCATTGAATGCCAACTTAAACACTATTCCTCTGTAGAAATGACTGAATCCATTTCTTGCGTAAACCTATTTATCACTATAATCTAACCTATTCAATGACATCAAATGCTCCCTTATATCTGCCTTGAACATCAGAATAAATGATGGTCTTTATGGTGTCAATTGGATATGTGATCAATTCAAATAAGGAAGAATAAAGATAATGAGAAGCGTATCCATTACCTCTACTATATACTAATGGATGAGCCCACACAGTCAAGAATTGAGCAGCATTCAATAAAGCACCTCTAAAATATCCCTTAAATAATCCTTGATTGAATATCTATTGTAAACATGCTCTATGTTCATATATTGACTTCATACGTATTTGAATCTCCAAAAGTGAATCTTGTCTTTAAACCACCATATGCTTGTCTTAATGTGAGCAATCTCTCAACTCCAGCAAGTAAGGTTAAACGATACAAGTTGTCTGTTACGACTTCCCAGGTCTTTGGCTCTTCATTGAATTATCTCTCAAATTTAGCTCTTGGACCCAAGTATCTATAATAATCATTAGAATTGTTACTTTTATTGATCTACTCTAACTGACTTTGCTAACCAATCATGACCTGGACCACCTCCAACGAAGTATTCAAGATCTACTAATTGAGGGTCTCTTAAGAATTTGTCTACGAAAGTCCAATTAGGACTGTACAATAAACCACTCAACATTTCAATATCTAAATATTAATATTAATGAGCAAATAATTGCTCAAAGAATAAATTAAATTCGGACATTGCGACCCCAATCTCTTTAAATAATTGAAAATCGTAGAGGGCATCGAGAATGATGCTGCCATTGAACTCTTATCTAAGAGAGCGACATTAATGGAAATCAAAAAAGATAAAACTGTAAACATGGACGATCTATATTACTATAAATTATTGCTTGGGGACATCGTAATCAGAGACAACAAGATCATTGCCTCTTTGAACAGCGACGTCATTCTCATAAACAAAGGATTGGTGGAGTATTTTCAATAGGAAGAAAAGCAAAGAAGGATTGAGACCTCCATTGACATGCTCTTGGATATCAGTGTATTCAAAGGTTTGAGTTATCATCAATTGAAATAAATGATCAAGGAGAGTTCCTTTGTAAAGTTGAATGAAAATAGGATACTGTTCAATTAGGGAGTGGTGCCAACAGATTGCATTGTACTTGTGGAAGGATAATTGTAACAATACAAGAGTACTGAAGGAGTGGAGTTGGTTCTGAATTAGAATAGGAAACATTTTGCAATTTATGAGTGTCTCAACTCAAAAGCTATGTAATTTAATGTCAAAACTATCTCAGAATGCTCATTAATTAAAATCAATAGATCATCTTTATTAAAGTTTGAGTTGGATCTAAAAGTGAAGAAGGAGGTGAACATTGATTTCAATCAATTCAAAATGGAAATTGATAGGAAAAAGGGGTGGTTGAAATTTAAGACAAGTAAGTGATTAATTATCAAAGATTTTAATAGAAGTAATTGAAGATGCCAATAAGGATTTGGAGAGAAGAAGATAACTGCCCAAATTGAGGACGAGGAGTTAATATTGATTTTGTCTTTTAATTTATTTTTTATTATTAATATAGATTTATAGATTTATGTCCAACAGAAACAAGAAGTCCAAAAGTCCACAAGTTCAATAACCCAAAAGTTTTGACAAGGATCTTATGAAATATTTGATATTTTAGAAAATTGTCAAACCACAAGTACCAGCTGAATTGATTATGAAAACATAACCAGATGAGGATTCTGAAGTCGAAGATTTCAAACTCGAAATAGAAATGAAGTAATTGCACACTCATTTTAATTCTAGGTTCAGAACCTGCAAAATCAACCAAACCTTCAAATTTCCTAAAGAGTAATATGAATCCTCATCAGACACATCCTTGCAATCCCTAAAAGATGTTACAACCTATAACCTCAATTGTGATAATCTGGATCGATTGACTGATGCTACTCAACCCCATTTCATGAAGGCTCTCAATGAGAGATTAATCAAATTGACAGATCAGATTGTAGAAGAAACACAACCTAAAACTAAGCAGTTCAACTATGCTCCCAATTTGAAGTCCTCCAGGTTTAAGGAATTTATAATTTAGAATGTAGAAGTTACGTGGAACCAATATATCCAATACTTCAATTACTAAGCCCACAGAGTTATCTGTGAATGCAGCAAGTCAGAGTCAGGGCAGGGAAAGTGTCATCACCAAACCTTCATCGAATCTCGGATTCAGGGCTACTCCCACTTTGTCTTCTGAGAAGAAAAACAAATCCAAATATATTCAGCAAATCCTGAAGATCACTCAACAGAAACAGATGAACAATTAGAAGTAATTCCATTGTAGATTTATAGCATAGGTGGAACCTTCTATAAGAGAACTCCTTAAGTTAACAACAATTACATCAACATCAATTAAAACATTAATAATAGCATAGTTGTAAATGGGAAAAAGAATTTCCAGGAAATCAGGATCAAAACTGAACAGGATGAACCCGAAATTAGTTTATAACAGTACTAGGTTGTACCCAATTCCAGGTATTTGCTATTAATTATGTAATAAAACCAGACCCAAAATGAGAGAGTCTACAATCAAGGGTAAAAAATTGGACATTTCTATTGGACATAAGAATCTCACATTGGATAGCCAATATCTGGAAAACTATAGTCGTCATGCTAAGAGTTAAAATAAGAATTATAAGGTTTGATTTTTTAATATAATTATTATATATATTTTATTCGTTTTTTGAGGCTGGTTATGATATTGAATGAGATTTCAAGAGATGACGAACAACAATCATTTATTAGCATAACAGATAAAGAGTAAACACTTCAAACACAAACAAATTTGAAATAACAAATCAAGATGTTGCCACCAATATATTTATCAATGTCACTGATAGTTTTATCAGCAGCTATTTTGAGTCAGTTCTAATATGCAAGGGCTCAAACATTCCCTTTGTTTTTGGAGTTGCCTTTTTAAAAGAATTAATTATTTACTGTATTATATTTAATAAATTATATTTTATAGATTGGAAATGCTTTAATAAGTTTGATGGGAATTATTATATATTATTTGGTTTATTAGGCCAATTAATCCAAGCCCATTAGGAAACGCTATTCAGCTAGATCGATTCCTCATAAAGTCTTTTCATTTTAGATATTTTTAAGTGGAGTGTTATCCCACCTAGCATTTCTGGCTTTTGCCTTACTTCCCATTGAATACAAAAACCAATCCAACTTTTTATGTACACAAACCTATATCCCTTTAGATACCGAAGACAGAATTTTATTAACATTTTCGTTTATTATGAATTTTCTATTCACAAGCTATTACATGTGTTATAAGTAGGGTTCTCAACCATCCAAACTCAGAAATCAGTTATAACCGTTTTCTTTGAGTTAACAAATAAAAGCAGCCTTGTTTACTGTAATTTGCTTTTTATTTACTGCTTGTATTTGAATAGATATTTAATCTATTTTAGTTATTTCTGTGAATTTCATTAGTATTTTTATGGGAATGCCAATGGCTTAAGGAGAACCAAGTTTGAATGATGGCTTAAGTGCATCTGAAGATTTTATAGCAAACATGGTTAGCGAGATATATTCTACACTGTCATATAGTTTATATTTGATGAATTCATTTTTTATAGGAATGTTTTATTCTGACTTATAGAAAGTAATAGAAGTGTTTTGATTGTAGATTAATTTGATAATGAGTGTAGATTAGGAGATGATGCTTAATAGGAATGAAAAATCAAAGTGATTAAATAATAAATTATCGTAAATCACATTGCATATAAAAACGGATATATAATTAAATAAATGAAAGCATTCATCACATTGTCTCTTTTGTATTTGACATTAGCCAAGTATATAAGACTCATGATCATATAGCTAAGGAATTTTGTCAGCAACTGGAGAATCTGTACATGCATTCCAATCAGTTATTGTGGGTTTATCAGAAGTGGCATCGAAAGACTTCAATTTCCAATAACTATTCGTTGCTCTTGATGAATTGGCTGAATCCTTCAAGGCAAGAAAGAACGAAGAAAACGCATTCTACGAATAAGAATATCAATAATATCAAGCAGATGTGCAATACTATTAAAATCAAATAACAGACTTCAAAAACAAGGTAATAGTGGCAACCTATACATTCAGATTGCCTAATTGGAAGTCGATGTAAAAGACTTGACAGATGAAAGAAGCAGATTACAATAACTTTTGACAGAAGCTAAATAAGATCTATACGATGCAACCAAATTATTCAATGCCAAAGAGGCTTAAATCAATTCAGACAAATCCATCTTCACCAGATAGTTCAACGAATATGCTGACACCATTGCAGTTTTAGATTAAGCCATTGCATTGTTGAATGAAGTCAAAGACGAAACATCACTTTTGTAAAAGGCAGAAAATATCAAGGATGTTTCTTAGAAGATGCATAACCAGTATGATTCATCATTCTATATTCCTAGTCTTAAATAATTATCTTCAAAGAGAGTGTTTTATTAACCATTGGTGAAGGCATTGACACAAATTGCTCAAAACAATTATGTCGATTAAGAGAACTTAAACAAAGTCATCAACTATATGAATCAATTAAGACAGTCATTGATTGATGGACAAACCTCATTACAAAATCAATATGATGCACAATCTAAATTGCAATAAGACATTTTATCAGAAATCTAGGCCAAGATCACTGGAATTAGAGATGTGTTGATTCCATTGTTGTAAGCTGAAATTGAGACCAAGGACGGAGAAATCAAAGCACTCAATGCAATTTTGAATGATGCAAGACTCAATTTGGCCGAAGCTGAAGACAATCTCTCTGCCACTCAAAATAGATGGATTGAAAGGTATCATATTCTTTGAAATTTAAGAACTGCATCACACAATACCTTGATCTAATAATACGATAATGAATTATTAGCCATTAAGGATGCTGAAAATGCCTTAAAAAAGGGAGGCATATTTAGATAGTGATATTAACACCAATAATTCCCTTCAAAATATAATATATTTATTATTAAATTTCGTTAAAATTTCAATGTTATATTCCATTCGGGAGACTGACGCAGAAGCTAATTTGTCTTCAGATTCATATACAGCAAGGAAATCTCTAAATTGTGATCTTTAAAAAAAATCTTATAGTAGATCATTGCCCAGACAATAACAAAATTTGGATTAGGAAATATAAAAATTAAACGATATCATTGTGCAGTTGAGGAAGGTCGAATAGCTGTTGCTCAATCAGGTTTAGGATTTAAAAATTGAGCTAGAGGAGCAATTTAAAAATTCGAATAGGAATTAGAAATACATTGATGAATTGAATAAGGAACTGTAGCAAATGTCTGATAAATTGCATAGTGAAATAATGCACAATGGTTAATTACAGAAGATAAATATTGAATTGAAAAAAACCATATTAAAATTGGAATAAGAAGTAATCACAACAAATAAATTAAATTAAGATATGTCGGAAGAATTGCAAATTTTGAAGTACTATTATATTAAGGAAGATCTAAATACTCCCATGAACATAAATTTATAGAATCTCTTTTGCATATGGTGGTTAGTTGTCATCCAGACAATTCATTTCGAGAACAACCTTCACTAAAACAGACCTGGAAGTGGCTCAAGTTGATACTGGCTGATTATATGACTCTCAAATAACAGAGTAGGAACTTTCAAGAAAACTCTGGCTAAAGTTCAAGTTCAACTAATAAATGAATTTATATTTATTTAATATAAAAGCAATTTTTCCATGAAACAACAAATTAAAGAAAAGCGTAAGTAGCCGATACGTACTTGTCTTCATCAACCTTTCGAGTACAACTTCAAAACTTTAGACCAATACTCCTCTTAAGATTTGGTCAAATGCATTCAATAGATTAAGAACGATTAAGAATTGTCCTAATATGTGTAGACAAAGGTTGGAATAAGGAGTGCAATAAGAAAGCTAAGAGCGAATTAATCGAATTTTTTGGCCTTAATTTTAATTTATGATTAATCGTAAATTGCAATATTATTTCAAGCATCACAGATATTTTGATACAGGCTTCAACCGTATTTTGGAAATATAATCAGAAAATAATTCTGGCTAAAGAAGAGATAAGGTATTTTCCATTTAATAGCGTTATAAGGACACATTTGTAGAAAATTATGAAGATTGAGAGGATAAATTGTATTTACATGTTCACTAAAAAGGACATCGAATTGCCAGAAGATGTTAAATAAAAAATATAGAAAATAACAGAACAAATGAATGTTTTTAGAAAAGAGAGTGTTTGTGAAATACCGATAATACTTGGGGATGGTATGTATTGAAGTAAATTAAGAATTGAAATATCAAACTGTTAAGTTAAAAGTGCCTGAGGAATAAGAAATTTAAAGAAAGAGTTTTTAGAATTAAAAAGGAAATCCAAATAATTAAGAATAGAATTAGAATAAAAATAGACAATAAAAGAATTAAGGTGAAAAAGGAAATACTAATTAATAAAAGAATTAACAAAAATAAGCCAATAAATTAAACAATATTATTAATAACGCACCATTAGATTAATGATGGAATATTGAATTTTATAGAATTATATTATTTGTATATAATGTTCTTCATGCACCTAGATCTTCCTTCTTAGGTAATGGCTTAACGTAAGGAATGAAATCCTTGCCGACAAACGGTTACTAAACATATTATTTCAATCACTTACTAAAACAGCAGGGACTTTCACTCCAGTTTCTGTTTAATAATTCTCCAAAATGCAACATAAGGTTCTTTCTGTTGCACACAGTGTTGCATTAAGCATATGCACATATTTCTTCTCCTTCTCATCAGCCTTTTTAGCACCATAACGGATTTCAAGAGCTCTGGATTGGTAGTCAAGACAGTTTGAACAAGATTACAATTCTCTATAATCTTTATATCCTGGGAACCAAGCTTCCAAATCGTATTTTTTGGCTGCAGCATCATTTAATGCTCCAGAAACGATATTGACTACTCTGTAAGGTAATTCCAAAGACTTCACAAAGTCTTATCCAGCAGTAATCATTTCCTCATGGAATTTCCATGATTCTTCAGGAGAGCAAATGACAAATTGCTCAATCTTTTCAAATTGATGGACTCTGAAGATTCCCCAAACATCTTTGCCATGTGCACCGGCTTCCTTTCTGAAACAAGTAGAACTACCACCATATTTAATTGGTAGATCCTTAGGTTCGAGCCATTCTTTTCTATACATAGCAGAAATAGGTTATTCAGATGTTGCAATAAGATAGAGGTCTTCGTCTTCTGGATTACCAGTAACCTATCAAATTATACAAAAATTGTTCATACTTTGTACAATTGGTCATCGAAATCAGACAATTAAGCTGTCTCAGCCATACAGGTTTTTTTCATGAAGAAGGGGGTTTGAACTGGAGTGTAACCTCTTTGATTGAGGAATTGAATTCCATAGCTTACCAAAGCTTGATTCAAAAGGAGACCTGGTCCCTTAAGGAAGTAGGCTCGGTGGCCTGCTATCTTAGAACCCCTCTTAAGATCAACACCATCAATCATAAATAAGATTTCATGATGGTGACATCTGCCTGGAGTGCTATTGACTTGAATGTTAGGGATTTAGCCCCAGGTTACTTCAATTCTATTTTCAGCTTCATCTTTGGATACTGGAACTGATTCATGGACTAAATTTCCAATCTTGTTGAGTGTTGATGTTAATATGTTCTCTTATTCTTATTCAATCTACATATTAGATGAGGAGTCCTACCTTTTAAGCTTCTTTGATTTTAAGATCTATTGTTTTGGCCTATTCAACTTCTTCAACACATGGGTCTTGTTTATTGGCCTTCTTCTTATCAGCAATCTTCTTGTTGGCAATACCATACTCCTTATTAAGTTGATCAAGATTAAATCTTGCTAAGAAGCGATTTAAAAATTTGAGTACCTTTTCTCCATTCCTAATCAAGAGCTATAACCTTATCAACTATAGCTGGGTCTTAAAATCTCTTCTAGCACCATTCTTTCACCAAATTTGGGTTACCACCTTTGTCTTCTCTTAATAAATTTATATCTAATCCCATTGAATATTTAATTTTTGACTTTTAACAAAATATTTGAAATGCTCTTATAATCATATAAATCTATTAAATTACTCAATTTGTCTAAGTTTTCTCAATTTTGGCAGCTTTTGCTTGAGTTACTTTTGATTCTTCATCTGCTGCAGGTTAATCGCAAATTCAACTATTACCTAATGTCCAATATCCTTAGATCTCCCCTAACAAGATATCACTATTTTTCAATCTTTGTTAAAGTTACTCTTATGCTATTGCATGAAGGTAGAGATTGTGAATAGCATTTACAAAGAATAATACGAAAAAGGAAAATACTTCTCTTGCCTATCCAAAATTCAAATTGGCAGAAACAGTAATTCACACAATTTCAGCAAAACTAATCCTTAAATAATTAAATAGAGAAATCTTTGATGAAATCAGGTCTCTAAAAAGATTAATTCAATTACTTACCGGAAGGTCAATATTCTAAATCTCTGCCTACCAAGTATAAGGTTGGTTATCCATTAGCCAAAATTTTCAGCAGCATATTGTGGTTCCTTTAATTTATAAACTCCTGAAGTAATGAAATCGAAAAACCAACAAATATAAGAAATTTAACTCGGCTTATTTAGTCTTTAATATATACTAATATGTGTATGTACATTATTTTAATAAAATCATATCATTAAACTTCCTATTCTTCCTATCGTATATATTAATTCTTAAAAACAATATTCTCCAATTCCTTGATATGATTTCATTAAAATTATTCCAATTTAAATAGCATTAGCCCAAGTTTTTCCAAAAAATATAAACGTAGCCAACAATATTTACAAACCCCCCAGACCTTATATCAATGTAATGACAAAGAATTTATAATTTTATTCGCCTGAAAAAGGATTATTCTATTTTATATATTTCATTCAATTTCATACATCTTCGGAGAAATTCTCGATAAAAAATTATTCGCCTAATCTCCAAATCAATTAGTGATGATTTATAAAATTGGATAACACTTTTATAGGTAAATCAATCATTTGCATTCCTTCCCAAATCAAAATTAGACATGTAAATAGTTTTCCAAGAAATATTAATAATTTCATACTAATTATTATTTTATTTTCATAAGAATTAATTAAAGTATTAATCTACAAAATTAATAATAAATCAAAAAAAATCCTCAATATTATCATTTAAATCTTATGTCTTTTTAACACATTCGTTAATTTGTCTCTCAAACTTCAAAAACTTCTCATCATTAACTTAATTTAGTAATAAAGTGGATAAGAAACTCTTATACAATTATTCTAAATTGGATTTCAACTCCGATGCTTACTTTTATAAAGCCTATTCAGCAATTTTTCTATTGGGATCATCAACTTATTAAATAGTAACTTAAGGCCTAAGTTTAAAGTAATTTAAGCCATTCAAAATTAAAGAAGCAGCTTTGGCTGTCTTCGATATTTAAGAATCCGTATCAGATAATCTAGATGAGTCTAAAGTAGTGGCTTCATTCATGAGAGTCTTAGAATAACTTTGATTATGAGTGGGAGTATGATTTTATTGAGAATTACTTTTTGGTTACTTTACTAGTTCTTAAACTTCAGATTGAAGCTATTTTATAGTTTGATCTTAATCATTGATACGCTAATATAGTGATGGTGAAATTACTTATTTTAAAATAGAATTTTACTGTTCTAAACGATTAATTTCACTAAAAGCAACTGCCCTTCTTTCTTGATGCTATTGATTGGTAAGCCTTAATTCTTGTAGTTCTTATTCTAATGAATTGATCTGAATTTTCATATCCAAAATAAGTTACTTTTAGTCATTGATTTTTTATGTTTATCTAAATATTTTATTTATAATTACTCCGAAACAAGTTAATCTAACTTTGATAATTCTAACTCTTTTTCCATCAAAACTTCTGTATTCAAATTACTTTATTAATTAGATTTATCTTATTCTAATTATTAGGTCAGTTATGTTATTTATTCTTCTAATTAGACTATTTTAGTTTACGATTCATTTTCTGACTGTTACAATTGTAATTTAAGTTTCTTGAATTTTTCTTTTTATTTATCTAGAACTTCTTTATCCTACTTTCTTTTTTCCTTTATTACTTCTAATTACTTTTAGCATAAATTATTTTCTTCAAATAGTTTGGTTGCTTCAGCTTTATATTAATTCATTTCTTTTTCAATTCTTGCCATCTTTTAATTATTATATATTTTTACTTCTCTAGATTTTTATTCATATTTGATTTCTTCCTAATTTAGCTTACTTTCCAATTCTCTAAGCTTATTATTCAAAGTTTCTATGTCCTTATTTTATTGTTAAGCTGTATTTTAAACCAATGAAGTCAATCTCGAATTTTCTATTTATAACTTTGAGATTTATTTTTAAAGTTCATTAATTGAATCGATAAATTCATTTTTTAGTTTTTCGTTTTCCTCCTCTTTGAAATCATTAACTCTACATATATCTTGTTAAAATTCTAGATTTTTCATTTAAATTTCCTATATTTAAGATTCAAGATTTTTCTTTTCATTAATGATTGTTTCAAGTTAATTATCTAATTGATTAATTACTTGCTATTAATTGTTTCTTTAATTGATAATTTTTTCTTTATGCTATTTTTCAATATCTAAGGCTGTACTTAAATCTTAATTCTCGGCCTACAAATTTAAGACCTTTTGAAGAGTTTTTTCGACTTGCTCTTTCAAGTGTTAAATCTCTTCTGATTGTAATTATTTGTTTGACTCAGCCGGTAAACTGTCTACAAACATAATAATTGAATCATCAATTTATTAAAGTAATTCCTCCAATAAATTACTCGATACTAAAAATACCATTTATATAGTACATTCACTTTCGTCTTTGAATCCCATAATATGATTGTAGTTGTCTAAGAAGTCATTCAGAATATGCTTAATAGTCACAAATAGTGATTCTTTTAATTCATTACATTTTTTCTCCTAAGACTCTTTTGGCAATTGCATCTTTTATTATGCTTAAATTTATGATTTGAGCTTAGCGCATTCTTTGTTCAATTTATCCTTCTCTTGATATTCGAATTCATATTTTTTAAGAATTTCCATTTAACTCATTTTATATTGTTCGATTTCATCCATTAATTATTTTCTTTCTATTTACAATAACTCAACTTTCTGGAATAAAGGTTCGATCTCCAATTTTTGTTAATCATAACTAATTATTTAAGTTTAGTACGCTTTTTTAAGATCAAGAATATACTATTCTTATTTAACAGATTAGTCATTAGCTTTCTTTTGATCATAGTGATATTTCTTATGAACCAATTAATCAAAATCTAAGTACTAATTTGGGGCTTTCTTTTAATCTTTTTTAATAAGGGATGACATTTATGAATTAATTTGTTACAATAAAATTATTGTATAATAAAATTTATAAAACCCCTTCAACATTATATCACTTTTGATTTCTATTCATTGAAATTCAAATTAAGATACTTCCAATTTATCAATAAAGATGAGATTTACTAATTATCCATGCATTTAAACAGAAATAAACAGAGAATTAAGGTTTATAAATTATAATTACAAGCAAATGATAGAAGATTGACTCAAATTTATTAAATATTATTTAATATAATAGAACACATAACAAAAAAACAGAAATAAATTTATTTAGTTTCTGATATTATAAATTTTAAATACAAAATATGGAGATATTTAAATGTTAAGGTAAAATCATTATTACAATGAGCCATGCCTTTTATATCTAAAATTAAAGAGTACAATAATTAATAAATTATAAAATTTACAAATATACATGCTTTATACCATTCCTAAATATTTGACTGCGAAATACAACAATCATGGTTGTGAAACGATTGAATCATTTGAAAACACTTACAAAAACGACCTTATTCAATGGTATTTATTATAATTTAATCACTTTTTGAAGCAGCAAAATTTAAGTGTTGCTTTTTGTTCTTACGCTATATATATATTTTATTAATTGTGGTAATTTTTAGGGTTAAGAAATAAAAAATAAACGAGATTGCCGTCAATTCAAAGAAGATAACTACCTTTATAATGCGTATGTATCTACATGATTTGCTTGTTGAAAGATCTAGTTATGCTTTAAAAGATGAAAACCCTAAGTATTAAGCTATTCTAAGTTAAGATTCCCTTCAATAAACGAAGATATAAAGGTTGTTTGTTTGGTTCGTAAAAGGCGTTCTCATGAGGAGGAGAAATTGCATTTAGAATAGGTATTCGTTTGATTATAAAAATGATAAGAAATTACTTTCTAAGATTTGTATCATTGATTAAGATGATATCTTCGATAAATTTTGCTTACAAGGGTCATTAGAAGAAATTATAAACTTGTTAATTGAATGTTCCAACGGATTAGCATTTTCTTCTTAGCCAAAGGTGACACTAAACACAATAGCCAAATAATATATTGTTAACGATGCTATTTGGTTTAATCCTAAAACATTTTAGACATGTGCTGGTTGGGTAATAAATGAGTTTGAAAAAGCCATAGCTTTGATGTAAGATTTATTAGCAATTTAGATTTTATTAAAGTCAACAAGGGAATTAAATGGATAACTATCCAATTTAAAACGACGATCTTAAAACATTTTGGATGAACAATGTTGATTTTAAATGTAAAATCCTTCATTAAATACCTTAAATATGCAAAGAATTTAAGAATGCTCCTAAAAAGAAAAATACAAAATAGGAAGATATATTATGGGCATAATTAATAATGAGAAAACCATAGTTGCAAGAGGAGGGATAAAATGATAAAAATACTCTCATTTTATAATAATAATAATAAATAAACGAAGAAGAAATTAATTAATTATTTGAAAATAACAATTTTGATGGTATTTACTGTCTACCTTTAGAAAAATTTGCCCTGCTTCAATCCTTTTGTGAAAAAAGAATTTTACGAATGGTAAGGGATTAATTTAAAGAGAAGTTGGTAAAAGATCTTTAAGAAATAGAGTGTAAGGAAAAAAAGAAAGGCATAGATTAAAAAAAGAAATCTAAAAAGCAGAAAAAGTAAAAAAATAAAAACGAAAAGGATTCTTAACAAAATCTGATATCTAAAGATAATTGTAATAGTTTTGAAATGATTGATAAATAAGATTCAACTTAAGATGATGTTCATTGTACTGAATGTGAATGCATTAGACATTCAAAGTATGATATATTTTAACTTTAAGTCCTTACTCAGATAATAAACAATTTGATTCTTTAACGGCTCATCTAGATAAATAAGATACTAATTAAATTGTGCCATCCAAAATAACAGAAATCATTTAAGATGTGGATCTCAACCAAAATGAATAAAATGCATAAAATGATGATGAAGATAATTGGGTTCTCATAACAGGGCCAAAAAAACAAAAAAAGAAACCCTAAAGAAAATTTGCTAGTTCTTAAGATCTCCAAATCGAAGAGTCTAAATAATTTAATTAATCTAACAAAATTATATCAACTTAAAAGCAAAAATCGATATAAACTAACCAGTTTAATCATTAACAAATTGATACATAAGTTTTAAGTAAAGATAAGCAGTCCTTTTCTAATAGAAATAGTTTATAATAAATTACGTAGAATAAATTTTCTTAATAAACTTTGACTCCTCAAAAAAATGAGTCAAAATCTTCAGAATCAGTGATTTTAGATATTAAAAAATAAAATAAATCTTTAGATAATCCAATTATGCATAGAGTAGATGACAATATTTTAATTAAGCCACTATAACAAATAATCAAAATATAGGAGCTAAGTCTTTGTTTAGATGAATCAGTGTTAGATAGTTGTGATTAAGATAATAATCAAACTTAGTATAAAGAACTTTATTAAACTAACAATATTGAAGATATCGATACAATTATTATGAATTAAGCTAGAACATTGATGATAAAGAAACTTGATATGGATATCAGAGAGTTTAATGATTTAATTTTAAATTAAAATTAGGAAATACTTTAAATGAGAAGGTTAATATATGATAGAATATAATTTGTAATTAATTCACTTTTTAGAGGTTAGATAATTATATATATAAAAATAGAATACAATGCTACTGTCCGTCTATTTGGATCCTGTGCTACTGGCTTAGCCCTTCCTGAAAGCGACATTGATATTGGAGTCACAGGATTTGAATTACTTCCATCAAATCAATTAAATGGACCTATCTAAAAGATTATAGAATTTTTATAAAACATGAAATGGGTCAAAAATATAAGGTATCATTAAATCTGAAATCCTAAGGGCTATCACTACTTCAAATATGCCTTTGATTAAACTTCAAGTTGATCCAACAATCTCCTTTGTAGATTCCTCTCATAAAATCCTATTACCTTAAATTGATTTAATTCCAAAGTATTAAATAGAATTATTTTATAGTTATGATAAAGATAGTCCTTCACGTATATTTAGCGTAGATATAAGCTTTTTTTAATATCAAGGATCAAAATAAAATTGGCATCTAGGGTAAATCTCAACAGAATAAACTCTATAATGGTTGTCATTTTATAGCGAATTAAGGCCAATCGTGTTGCTATTCAAAAGTTTATTAAAAAAGAGAGGATTAAATGATTAGTACAAAGGAGGAATTTCTTCGTTCTGCATAATTTAAATGGTCTTAGCATTTTTGGAGAGTTGCTATCATTAAAATTAAGCCTCCTCTATTGGATTTACTACTTATAAATTCTTATAATTTTATGGAATGTAATTTGACACCACAAAAACAGGGATCAATTATAAAGGGATTAATTAATAGTAAAGATCTAACTTAATCTAGTCCTTTTTTCGAATTGGATGAAGAAGATAATTAATTATAAATTACTATAGTCTCTCCAATCACAAATGAAGTAATCAGTCAAGCTAGTTCATTCGTTTAAACTATATTACAAGATATAAGAACTCTCTTTTTGGCAGCAGAAAATGAAGTGACCTTCTTTTATGAAAAGTTAAAATATAATAAAAAGAAGAAAGGGAAAAAGGAAGAAAGAAATTTATTCCAAAAAGAACTTAATAAATTTGGTCCTCTTTTCAGTATTTCAACATATAATAAAGCTTGATTTTAATTTTTATATTTTAATTCTAATTAGAATTATTAATTTTTATTGATGAATGATAAATAACAAAAATGTATTTTCATTTCAAATTTATTTTTGATTCTGATATCTTATAATCTTATTAATATATATTAATATCAGATTCCTTTAGTAATATTTTTATATTTTCTTATAATTTTAAATAGTCTGATCAATTTTACTTATTTTTATTTCCATCTGATTCTTTTAGCAATTTACTGTACCTGATTTGAATTAACAATATTTATTATAATTTTAATCAGTTTTTTATAATTTTTTATAGATTCAATTTGATAGCAGAAAGTAGCAATCTTGAGATCATTTGACATACATACTGATCTGAAGACTTTTTTGTTAAAGAAAATTAAAAACCAATTTTTAATTTGTGTTGCAAATTTCTAATATAAAAAATCCGATAGTCCTTGAGGTTGTTTCGAATTTTTAATAAAATAAAGAAAATTTTGATCCTTTTTAAAAAATAAATTTTTATAAAAAATTTAACATTATTTTATATGAGGCTAATTTAAATTATGCATAAATATCATATTAGCTTTAGGAATGATCATTAAAATTTTGTCTTAAAAGTATAAATTGGATTAAGAAACTTGTTTTCTTCATTTATAGTGTCATCTTCTTTCAATTGGTAAAAGCTAAGACTTAATTCCATTTTTGAAAGTTTCTATTTAAAATTCGGAGAAAATATTTTTGATGAAAGATAATATGAAGAATTCTACCTGTTATTAGGGAGAACAGACATCATTGATGATATCATCTCAAAAATTTACTCAAAAATTTTTTTATATTGTTCCACCATTAATCCATTGAATTTTGGTATACAAAAGTTTCCGATTTAATTATTTTTCAAAATCTCTTCCTAATTATCACCAAAAGGATTACACCCAAATACCCTAATTGACATTGTATTGTGTACATTATATAAAATAGAATGCCAACCTAGTAAATGTTGGTTGCAGTAGTCAGATGTTACTATTATGAATAGCTTTCTGGAGAAGCATGACCGCTCGTTTAAGCTTTACTTGAAATAATATATTTAATTACTATAAAAATGTTTTGCTTTTTTCTAACAGTGAGTTAGAAAAGTTAGTGATTTAAATTACATTGTCGATCTTTGAATATTATACATTTTCCAAGTCTAACTAGTTGTGCACTAACTTTATCTATTCAAAATAATTAGTAACTCATATTAATATACTTAAATACCTTATAACAGTTATCTGATAATATCTAATACTTAGTTTATTTTCAATTTTTAAGACTCTTTTATTAGTGAATTCAGAGAATTCAATCTTTTTGTTTTATAACAATATGAAAATTCATTTCCATTATATTGAATTGTTTCCAATCTAATCAAATAGGGAGATTTATTCTGGTTAATTAACTTAAGAATTTTTATTTCTTCCGGAATGTCATAATCTTATTTAAATTTCTGTTACTTCTAGTTAATGATTTTCTCAAAACATAACTCAAAAGTATTACATTATTCATCCAATCTATATATCTAGAATAATCTATGCTATACTTACTATTCCTGTGTCATTTTGATTTATAAAAGTTCGTAATTTAGCTCTGGCTTTAGATAGATATAGAAACTTTCCTTTACATAAGTCATATAACCATTGTAGATTATCTGGTTTGCCAAAAATCTTATATGTTTCGTTTTTTATCCATAAGGAAACAGAATTGCCATAAGCTAGTTGTTCAATTTATTCATCCCATTATAATTTTATGTTCTCATCAGAAAATGATAACTCAAATAACTTCTAATCAGTGGAAGAAATCTAATAATTATTATATAAACAGCTTTATACAATGCTAATACCTTCTACAGTTGGAATAATGTCTATACAAAACTTTTAATTCTTATTGTTAAACGTCCCCACAATTTCAAAATATGAAACCTACTCCATTATTATAAAAAATAAGATATAGTTTTTAATTATTTATTACAATTAAATGGGTTAGTATTATAAATAAAGGAAAATAAAATTTGAACATTCTATTTTATTAATAAAATATTTTTGCTCTCCTTATTGTTTAAATTAAAATCAGTTATTTTTAATAGTTGTTCTTCTAAATGCTCCTCTACTAATTAGATTATCAAATATTAAAAAATACACTAACATCTCTGGTTGACACTTAGATTATAGCATTTAAATGAATACAAATAATGTAATAGAAAAATTAGGTTTTATTTAAATGGAAAGAACTCCTAAGAATTGTTAAGGAAACCAATAAAGATAATAAATTAATTTATCAAAAAAAGTCTAGGCATTTGTTCATACAAAGTCATCTTAATTTGGATACTAGTTCTTCTACCACTAAACATCTGCCTAAGCTGTTCTTTTTTGTAAGACTTTTTTTTCTTTTGAATTATGAAATTTATTATTATAATTTTTTGAATTTTTAATTTAATGTTAAATATTATGACTTCCCTGATTCTTTATATCCAATTTAGACATTTACAATTCTGAAGCACTTCTTTCCTTGTCTTTACAATCTACTCCATAGTTATAATCATAGCTTAATGAACTTTCTTATTAATTTTTGTCATCTTGAGTAGTATACTTGATATTTTCTCGGTTCTAATTTGAATTAGTTTTTTGATTTCCAGTAACTTCAATTTGAAAATCTGATATAGTATAAGTTGATTTTTCATGATATCCTTAAGAAGTTTAATTCAGATACCCAATAAGTTTTTGAGATAGTGTTTTATTATTTTAATTCCATTAGTCTTTCAAAATTTATTCAAATTAAAAATTATATGATTCTATCCTTCTATACAGCTTCCTTTATTAAATATTCTTCAACATAGATCTCCATAAATTACTTTTAGATAACTAAATAAGTGAAATATTTATACAGTAATGGCATTTCCAAGTATAAAAAGAGCACTTTTAGCTCTTGTTAAAGCTACATTCATTCTTCTTCCATCATTCAAAAATCCTATTCCACCCGTTTGAGAAGAACGAACACAACTAAATAGTATAATGTCTTCTTCTTAACCCTAATAATTGAATAGTAGAAATACTTAAAATGAATCTACAGTATTGATACTTATTGTATTTGAATCAAAAAAGTTTTCATCTTAGTATTTCTATTTAAGCAACGTTTTTATGTATCTAACTTATGATTTATAGGCACATATTACACCAATCGTTTAAGTAGGAAATTCTTCCTTTATCGATTTTATTAAGTAAACTATAACTAAAGCTTCTTGTTCATTAATATTTGACGTTCCATCTTTTTATTCCTATCCATCAAGTATATCTAAGAATAAAACTCTATTTTTAAAGAAATTTGTTGGTAAATTTCTAGAATTTGTTGATTCGTGATCTTTTAATTTGTTCTAATAGAAATACTCTGAGGGAAACATTCTGATCTCAGAATGCATTCTATATTATATATCTAAGAAATAAGGTTGAACATCATTATCAAGAATTCTTTCAAATAAACTCCTATTATATAAAGTTTAATGAGAAATAGGGGAAAATGTTGTAGCAGGTAGCTGCTTAGGATCTCCAATCAAAATCATCTTCTTAATTCCTAATCTTAAAGGAATAATATTAGAAGGCTCAGTACATTAGGCTGCTTCATCTACTATTAACAGCTCTATTTAATCAAGATATTTTGATAATTTATCAGATCCACTAGAACTTAAAGTACTACATATGATTTCAGCATCATTCAACAGTTTTTCACAAAATTAATTATAGAATTCTTTGTAAAATCTTTTACTATCCTTTGTTTTATCTAAGTACTCCTATTTAGTTTTTCTCAAATCATTAAATTACATAATTTGATCTTTTATTATTTTTCTCTCATCACTAGGTAAACCATGCTAATTCAATTTCTTCTCTAACTTCTTCACATGAGTCTAAATCTAGCATAATTCAATTCTTAATTCTGCAGTTGTTTTTTAATCCTGTTCTGCATTAAATTTTTTAGATGAAAATAATTTGTGTTATGCCAAGTCTTCCAAAGAAACCTTCTTTATTATTTCAGAATGAATGTTTTCTTCATCAAGTAAACCAATTCGAATAAGATTCACCTATCGAGAGTTGCCTTTTGAATCAAATAACCCTCCTTTTTAAATTATTCTTAATATAATCTCATCTATAGCTGCATTAGAAGGTGTACAAATCTAAAATTCATTAAGATACTTACTAATATCTTCTTTTTTGGAAATTTATTTGTCAATTTCATATGTTCGTATACACCTGACAATAATCCAATCAATGTATGCGTTTTCCCTGTACCTGGCTAAAAATTAAGTAATATACAAATACCGGGCCTTATAATAGGCAAATTCCTTTATCTTTTAATATAATTTCTCTTATGGAGTTAGCTTAGCTCTTATTGTATTTTTAATCAACTAATGATAAAAAGGAGTCTAACAATTCTTTATTTTAGATTTGATTTTTAAATTAAGCTGTCCAACTTCCTCCTATATCTGAAACTATCTGTTATTATTATGTAATGGGATTATAAATTAATCCTGCTAAAGGAGTTTTTTAGTTTAATTTTGTTATTATCTAATATTCACGAATTAAAGTAGTGAGTTTAGAAAATGGAAATAAAAAAACATTATGCCATTAATTTACATCGAAATTTTATTTGTTTACAAAGGTTTGAATTCTTATTTATTGCAAATATTAGGCTTTTTATGGGTCAATCAGAATACCAAAAAAACACATATTGTCCCCTTGAAATTAATTAATCTATCTTAACTTTAATTTTATTTTGTTTGTTATCAAGACGACAAAATTTTTGTGAGTAGTTAAATCACAAACTCCATCTTTAATATTATCATAACAAAATTGCTAATCTTCCTAATAGCCTTAATCATTCTCCTCATATTCCTTTTACTATTTATTTTTTGCCTAAGGTACCTTTTATTAAATCGTTTAAGGTCCTCTCATTACAAAGATAGATCCTTCTGAATCATGATCATTTTCATCTATTTTTATTTGTGCTTTGCGATATTTGGTTGTCTTTTCTATTTTTTTCAAAAATTCTATTAACTCTTATTTTATTTAAGCACAAGCCTCATTTAAAAATAAGTATTCAAAAATTTTACAATACTCTAATGCACTTTCAAATCTATTCGGAATTATCTTTTATTCTTAATCTGCTATATCTGGAATTTCATAATTTTTCAGAAATAAATACTTCAACAATCTATTAAATTCAAAAATAGGTTTTCCAGTCTAAAACGATTGTCCTGTATTGCTTTCTAACAGCATTTTAAATTTAGATAATCTTTTGGATTCACTCATCATCTTCTTTTCTATTTTCATTGATATTAACTCATTCTTTTCCTAATTTAACAATTCTTTATTTTCCCTTTGACCTAAAGGATTATCTAAGATATGTGATTATATTTCATTTTTCATTCTTCCCTATTCTCTCTATGTTAAATTTTAACAGTGCTATTATATATCTAAATTTTGGAGATTATTTTGAAATCTTTCCTAAAAGCTTTATTATTTTTAATATTATAATTCATAATTTGATGATTTAATTTTCTGTTACTTTTTTTATTTATGATTGATTGATTAATCCCTTCCAGATAATTTAAGAGATTTATCAAAATCGTTATCACACCTAATAGAAGGATCATCACATTTTTATATAAAGTCTCGTTTCTCTTGTTTAAAACTTTGATTTTATTATTAAAATTAATTAATTTCATTTACTTTAGCTCTTTTTAACACTTATTGAGGTTAATTTTAAAGATTCTTTTGTGATTGATGGTCATTTAGTTTTCTCGCATTTGAAACATTGGTAATTTACTAAAATTAATCTGATGACTTCAATTATTAGGGAATTTTCACAGAATCTATATGAATTTTTTCTGTATTTTTGATAATATGCCTCTAACCACCAAGATTTACCTTTTATGATTCAACTCTTTTATTGAAGACTTTGCTAACTTCAAAATTTTATTATTATTATTTTGGGTCAAGATAATCTTCAATTGGGTTACTATTTTGAACTAATTACTCCATAAGAGTAGAGTCTAGGATTTCATTTTTGCTTTAATCCTGATTAATTAATGTTGATGAAAGTTATAGTCTTTTTAAATCAGATTTGTGTAATCCCTTTTGAAATTTTTTTTATTTAGGTTATTCTAAGTTAGATTAAATATCATAATCTTTCCTTTTAAATTAACCTTATTAAAAGAAGTTCGGCTCATTTTTGTCATCATTTACAATCTCTAAAAAATCCCAATCTCCATTATCTTTCTTATCAACCTAATTTTCATGTCTTTTTATTTTATTTTTTAATAACCATGCCTTTTTTTATTCCTTGCTTATAATTTTATCTTCCTATTGGTTATCTTAAATTTCAACCTTTAATTAATTATCATTGCTTCTAGGTTTGTTTTTTTAATCATCCTCGCCATCCAGTTCATCTGTGTTATCACTATCAATATATTCTAATTATTGAGTAATCAAATTATTATTGCGCTTTGATTTTTATTAAATATTTTATTTTATTTTTTTATGTGAAAACTTTTTAGATTCTATTGAGGGTATAATATTAAAATTGGAAAATTCATCTAATTATTCTAGTTAATGATTTGCTATATCTGGTTGTTTCTATTCCTATTGAATTTTTTATCTAAAATTACAGGTTTAATTTAAATTTTTTAATTCTGATTAGTTATTCATACGACTCAGTTTTGGATCAATAATGGGAATACTTTTGCAACTGTCTTATGAAATGATATCTACTCCAATTTCATCATCCAAAATTTTGCTGTTTTTAGTTATTGAGTCTTATTATGCTAATTATATTTTTTTTTCAATTTCTATTGTCAATTAATTAGTTTATTTATTTTTCAATATAATATCATCTTAACTGTTATCGGATAAAATGTTACATTGAAAATCCTCCTTCATTTTATATCTGGTTATAAAATAAATAATAACTAATTTTGAGTTTAATTACAATTTGAGAAATTTGTAAACAAAATGCTCCTAAACAAATAGTTTAAAACAATTTATTAAATAATACTTAAAAAAAAAATGGAAAATCTTTGATATCATAGCTAATTATCTAAATATTTTTAATAATTCTATGAAAACTATAAATACTCTTTTTGGATTTTATTCGATCTTTATATATAATTTAATGAATACTTTTATGTTTCCTATTAGTTTGTGTTAGCATTCTAATGTTCACTATGACTTTTGTTGTATCTATTTTCAGGCCTGGAATTGGTTTTACTCTTCTTGTTACAAAGAAAACTTTAAGTATTCAAAAAAGCCCTTAAGTTATCACTTTGGTTTTTTAAATCGAATTTGACATTTTCTGTTGTGGTTTTGACTTATTAAATACTTTGGTCCATCATTTATTTATGCTATGTTTTCTATTATTAACTTGCAGCTCGTTGTTAATTGATACAAGACTTAATCTTATTCGAATCATTTTTTTCAATCGTTGAAGAATCTCTTGATGATTTATAAGTGTCATTCAACTTCAAAGAATCCCTACGATTTTAAAGCATTTTCAAGATGGAACTATCAATAGTGTTGCTTATTTAGGTTTTAACTTCAGCATATTGTTTGCTGTAATCCTCAACGTTCTTCTAATTCAATTTCTATTTTGGTGCTACAAAATCAATAGTCTGATATCTTTAGCTATTCTTAATATACTTTAGATTATTACTTTGATATGATAGGAATCTTGATTTTTTGTTTTATCATAAATAGGTGATGTTTGATGACTGTTAATTCTATCATTGACCTCCATAAGTTTAGTTTTTAACATGTAATTTTCACTTTACAATCTTTTAACTTATTCAATCAATTATTGATTCTCTTTTTTTAAAGACTAGAAATTTGGAATAATTACATTCACTAATTGCTTCGTATTGCTCAAACAGTCATTAATACCTTCTTGTTCTTCTAATTTTTATTATAACGATTCAGCATATAGTTTTATTTATTATTCCATCTAATTTAAATTACAATGAACACCTTACTCTTATGTGTTTACGAATCTCATGTTCATATTTTTAAACTTATTTTTCTAAGGCTTCATAATCATAATTTTTAGTTGCCTCATTTATTTTTTAAGGAATTGCATCTCTAATAAATTAAAGTTAACTATCTAAATCTTTACATTATGACCATTTCTTTTGTTAAACACCATCAAAACATACCTAATCAATATAAATCAATACTAATTTAAATATCTCATTCATAATACTTTGACTCATATTAACTATATTTTATATATTATTGATTAAAATATTAAATGATGTTATATTTAACATATTTCGATTTTACAACATAATATAATCTTAAATAAAAAGCCTCATCCTTATTTTTGTGTCTTATGTAATTTATTTTCCATATTCTGCTATGTAATCTAAGTAGAATTCGTACTGTAAGCAAATGACTTGAAATCACTCATATTCTGAGATTTCAGTGAAAATTCACCACCTAATGGAGATATCGCTTTTGTTCTGAATTGTCTAGGTAATACAAACTATTAATACTCTAAAAATTAATACCTATTTTAATTCTTTCTCTTGAGTGTTTAATTCATCCCTATATTCAAGATTTTTTATCATTAAATCTATCAACTAACCTTTTACTAAAGTAAACCCCTTTTAACGATTATCCTACTCTAAATTTGAATTATACAACATTGAATTATTTTTTCTAGATAATCTAGGTGACACCTTTGCTTCAATCCTCTAATCCATTGAATTTTATTATTATAAGATCTACTAACTAAATTGTTCTTAAATTTTAGTATCTTTTAGAACTAAGGATTTTATCTATTGAGAATTAAATAAACTTTATTAGCTACTTCTATGTTTCATTGAAAATCTTTATTAATTCATCTTGAGTTTTCTTACTTCTTTTGTTTATTCCATTTAATCTTATGCTCGATCCTTCTCTGTATTGTAATAATCCACATTTTATATTTCTCTATATTCTTAAAGTTTATTGTATGCTGCCTATTTCTGTTCAACTTAGATGTCAGATACTGATATCGACTTCATTAAACTTTTCGTAACTGGCATTTCCTTATGAATTTCCCATTCAGTCTAAATGATCTTCTTTGCAGTATCCTTAATTTGATCTAAAGTCAGACACTCTTCAAATGCAATTGCTTCAATTTTTTTATTAAAGAACTCGTCTATTGTTGATACTTTAGTTGATTTTTATTGATTATTCAATTAGTTTAATAATTTTTGATGATTTTTTTCTAATTCATTCATTTCATCCCTTATCGTTAAACTAGATTTTTATCTTAAATTAATCAACTAACTTAAGTAACTATTCTTATGATCTGAGTTTGTATTGACTCTTTTACATTTTACTGAGACATGACGTTTTTTAGGCTATTCTTGATTTTATTTGACAACTGAAACATTATTTAAACTTAAAAAACTACTTGGATGAGCATTTTAGTTCATCTTTTCTCTTTTTGTTGAAGGGGATTCCTTAGTAAGAGTATTCATTTAGATAGTATGATTTATAGAAGTTTAAGAATAAGGATTAGAAAAAGTAGTTGATTCCTTATGATGATACGATTTTATTTTAATAGGTAAGTAATCTTGCATTGTCAACTTATCTTAACTGTGTGAAACATACATACATTGATTACTATTAACTGTTTTGAAGCCTTTTTAAAACTATACATTTTATTAGAGTTTAGTTTTAATCATTTCTTAGAGTTTTGAATTGGCTATAATTTTTGTATTCTATTTTTAATTGACATGATGTCCATACAGAAATTAAGTAAATTTAGTAAGATCTTATTCTTCCAATAAAATTTATTCGAATTTTTCATTTGTAAATTCAAATTCTGAGTCTATATACTCAATAAATTCAGTCTTTACTTTCAAAGGTTTCAAAATTTGAGAGGCTAAAAAGTGAGCCAAATTCAAAGATTGAATACAATCTAAATGGTTATCATTGATTTCTTGTGATTTACTCTAGATATCTAAATTAATCAATATTGTTGTTGTTATTTTGATCAATTACTTTTATATATTAATTAAATCTGATTTTGGCTTATGGTATTCCTTTAGAGAGTTTAATAACATTTGAAATCCATACTCTAATACATCATTGGTTGTAGTGTTGGATAATTCAAATTAGGCAGAATTCTTTAATGTTAGAATTTCAAAATATAAAAATTAAGATTAAAATGTCAAGATAGGCTTTAACTTTTAGAGCTTGAACAGAAAAAGAGAAGCCTCTTTTAATAAAGACATCTTGAAATATAGATAATCAAAGAGTAAGGTCTTTTAAAAATAGCAAAAGAGCTGCTACCATTAATATTTGATCCAAATTGTTGATTTGGTGTCTGGTTCTAGTTTATCAAATTAATTTGCAAATTATTTGATTGTTAATTTATTTGGTTCATTTAGGAATTTATGTTTTCTAGACATCTGTGTTTCCTTGATCTGTTTCTCATCAAAAGAAGCCTCATATTTATTTAGCAAAATTTGATAATTTTAACACAAACTCATACAAGTTGTTAAAACTTCTTAAATAGTTTATTGTTTCGAACTAAAATTCAACAAATATTTCTTGATGACTTTGAGCTGACAATACAGTAATCTCCTTATTAGTTGGATATTTAATTGAATGTAAAATGTATCATTTGCCAAATAAGGATTACAAACTAGTTTTCTGCTTAAATTGATAAATTTTTTGTATTTATTATTCTTAAGCAACTAAATGGTATCATATAAGTGGTACTCCAATATTAAAGAGTTGTTGTTGATCATAATTATAAATTTATTTGCTTTTATTTTAATATTGAAAGAATAAAGTGAGATTGGTGTCTATTTAATTGGTATTTTAAGTTGGAACAAGCGATATTCATCAAAATCATACAAGCAGGACTAAATTTTATTTATTAATTATAATTATTTTAAATGCCACCTAAAAAAAAATAACAGCAGGAAGTAGTTGAATTCACAGAAGCAGAAAAGAAGGCACTTGAGAAATTGTATTTATTTTGGTATTATTAAATTATAGAGATCATTCTAATCTATTAATCGATATATAGGTTCTGAAGGATAGAATTGAGGAGTTATAGAAAAAGGTATACGATTTGAATGAGACCATAAGAACAATAAATGAATAAAATGTAAAGAATTTAAGCGTATAATAAAGCTCGCACTAACTCTCAAGATGGAATCAGATATCAATAGAAAAGAAAGTGATTACAATGCTCTTTTACAGCAATATGATGACCTGAAAAAATAAACAACTGAAGAAATTGAATCTACTATTTAGAGGAAAGACGAAAAAATTCGATGTAATTCAGTTACATATTTATAATAGAATTGGAAAAAGAGAAGGCAGATCTAGAAATGAGACATAAGGATGAGTTGTAGAGAATCAATGAAGAATTAAAAAAGTTGAGTTCATTTAAGGTATTGCATGTACAGAAATTAGGAAGAAAAAGAATATATGATTAGAGAAATCCATGATTTGAAGGAGGAAATGAACAAAAAAGATTATGCGCATTTAGATGAACAAAGCAAAGCCAACAAAAACTTCTTAAAATAAACTTAGAATCTAACTAATGTCAATAATGCTAAAATTGAAGATGTGCAAAGGAATGCCAATAAATTAGCAGAAGAAAAAGTGGCTGCTAAGTATGATGGCATACTAAAAGAAAATGAAAAGATTAAAAGTGAGTTACAAGAATATGAAAGAACTCTATCTATATACCAAAAGGAAAAAGAAGCGTTTTAATAAGAAAATATCAATTACAAATTAAATTTAAGTATTAAAGAAGAATAAGCTAAAGAGTAAGCATTTATTTTAAATTAGATATTAAATGTTAAATCATTAATAAATTATTAAGATTAAATAATTGAAGGAGAAGATAGAGTATCTCAAGACATACATAGCAAATGTAAATTGTGATTTGATAATTTCCTAGGAAGTGACGAAATAAACAAAAGAAATTGAAATTATGAAACACCAAAGCAATACCAAAGTGTAGGAGTTGGAAATGCAATTGCGTAATTTGAGACATTTGCTCGATCAAAGAACAAAAGAATTGAAAACAGTTAAGGCTTTGGCTTAAATGATTCTAGATTAAAGATCTGATATTGAGTAATTTTTCCTTTAAGCCATCGATTAAGTGAAAAATGAAATAAACAAGAAAAATAAGAATCAGAAAAATAGTCGTTTGCCAGAAATATCATAAAAATCTTAAAGTCTCGAATCTAATAAGGTTGATATAAATGATTTGGATTTAGAAGAAAAAGAAAAGTTATTGAGAATATTGTTCTCTAAAATGAATCAAGGAGTGCCACCGACAAATTGGAAATCACAACTTGGTCATGTAAATTATTTATTCTATTCATAGAGCAAATCCTAAGTTGATGGAAGTTCTTTTAGGGATAATCAATTTTAATGAAGAGTAAAGGAATGAATATTGAATTATAATTATTAAAATTTGTATTAAGAGCAGGATGAAGGATACATTTTATAAGTTTTTATCGTTTTTATTAGAGCACGTTTTTCATTAATTATTAAATGAAATTCATTATTGTTGTGTTATTAGCTTTGGCAGCAACAACTTATGGTTCAAAAACACAAGATTAAATCCTTGCCTTATTATAGGTAATGAATATCACTAAAAATATTAGACAGGAACAAAAGCAAGTGATGCTATTGATACAGTTTTTGGGTTGCTCAATGATTTGAAATAATCGAATATTGATGCTTAATTTGCTGCAGATCAAAAGAATGAAACAGATGAATGGGTTGGCGCATAGTAAATATAATGTTAATGATTTAGGACAATTGAATAATTCACAAAGATCAAAAGTCTTAATCAAAAGCTCTTCAGTCAAGCCATCGAGAATAGAGCTAACTATGAAGAAGTGCTTAAATAAACTAAGAATTATTTGGCTTGGAATGAAGCAAGAAGAGATGAAATTGCAAGAAAGATTGACGCTCTTTAAGATAATCAATGCTTCAGCAATTAACTCTTTGTTAAATCAATCAAGCATAACTAAGAAGCCCTTGAAGTTATCAGACTTTTGAAATAGGATGTTGCTGGTTACATCATTAATGGTGATTCTTTTGAATTCACATAAGTTAAGGCCTAATCTGTGGCTGAAAAATTAAAATAATACAGTAATCTATTCTAAGATCACTAAATCAAATCATTTTTGGCTTTGGCTAACTCACAAGAAGTAAAATTATTAAATATCAATTTAAAGGAAACAGCATCTACCGGAGGTTAAACTTTAGCTGAAAAGGTATTGGCAGTCCTTGAAGGATTAGAAGCTGAATTGTCTGCATCATTAGAGAACTTAAAATAGAATGAAATTAATGCCTCATGGGAATTAGCTGGTTGGGTCTCATTGTCAGAAGCTGAAATCTCATCATTGGAAGTTGAATATGAAAGAAAATAAGTGTTTGCTGACAGAACTGCTACTGTAATTCATTAATTTAAGTGTAGTAAATTTAAGCTGCTTTGGCTTAATAAGCTAAATCAAAGATTATCTTACAAGAATCACAAGATGCCCTCGATTAAGCTTAATCTGATTTAGAATCAAAGAGAGCCGATTATGCAGAGGCCAAAGCAAAGAGAGAAGAAGAAAATGCCATCCTTGATGAAGTGATCATAATGTTCAAGAAATAAGTTGCTTCCTGGTCTGGAAGATGAATTTGATTATCTTATCATTTATTAATAAAGATTAATAATACATATCCTCTTTCTGTATCACTCAAATTAAACTATTATGAATATATAATAAAATTATTTGTTGTTGATTGATAGCAATAACTGAAATTATGAATAATATAACATAAATTTGATATCAATTAGGAATAGATATATTTGGATTGAGTTTGAAAAGAATATTGTCCCTATCATAGATTCTATACAAGTACTACTATTTTCCACTGATAAATTAGTGATAGGTAAACTCAGATATTTAAGTAAGAGGCTTATAGATTATAATCATCATTGTAAATAGTTAAATAATTGAATGTAAAAAAAATTATTATTTTTTTAAAGTTAATTACATTAGTATCAGACACAAAAACAGAATTTTATATTTTTTAACCTTTCAATCTTCTTTAACTCTATAAGTGATTCGCTATTCAATATTTTTATTATAATAATACACTCTTTCTTATTTTAATATCCTTAGCTTAGAATACCCATCTAGATTTCAAAGGATGAACAAGTTCAATAATGAGATTTTAATGAAGGAAAAAATTTGTTAGAATAAGATCGATGAAAATACTTATGAAAAAAATTAATTAAATTTAAAAAGAGATTGAAGCCCTTGAAGACAATTAATAATAAATGATAAAAACAATAAAAGGAATATGATATTAATAATAGTTCATAGAATCGTTAAAATTCATATAGGATAAGATATAAAAATATAGTATTATAATACTTGCAATATGGAATGCAATTAACATAAATATTTATGGATTTTGATTGAGGTTTTACCTTTAAAATAGGAAATAAATTATGAGATGAACCTTAGAAAGTAAATAATAAAAATTGATTAAAAATAATCTTAAATGATTGGTCTTAAAATAGAGAGATAATACATGAGTAATTTGAGATTCATAAATTAAAAAATGATAATATTATTATTTTATAAATATTGAATGGGCTTATCTTTAGAATAATGGGAATACTTAAAGGAATTGAACGATTATGTCTGGATGACATATAGTTATTATGGGATTCCAATACAAATTGTGATGATCATTTACAAAATCTTATATCCTGTATACTGGCAGGGTGTGAAAAGAATGGAACAATTTCCATCGCTTTTATAGGGTATTATACGATGAACCCTTTAGATAAGTTAATTAGACCTTTCATTTTTTATGGGCCAATTTATTACTTATTCGACATTATTGTTAAAGTTGGAAGTGGGAAAGCATTTGAATCAGCATGCAGTATGTCATTCTTCTCGCATCATGTGATAACATTGCTATTCCTTCCGTTTGCAGTCTATAGTAAGCATGTGCCTTGGTTTATCATTGTATCTATACTAATGTATCTATTAATAGAGCACCGGATTATTCCATGCTATTCTGCTATGTTTCAAACGCAGTTACTTATAATATATATATCTGGTGGCAGTTTTATTATATCATTACGGGATTTTGTAGCCCCCATTTGACAAGTAACAAATTTATTTTTATGTAGTATGATTTAATACAAATTATTAAATATAGGAACAATCTTGCTATATCTAACAATTATAGCGTTGTGGTTGAATGGTTGTTCTCATTGAAAATAGATTATTAATGTATAATAAAATATGAATGATGGGGCGATTATTTTTATTTGAATAATATCTCATTTTTAAGGTGTTTGTTAGAATTACCCAGTCTTAACAGCAGCGGGTAATTAACTTGCAGGAATGGGTCCATTTCCAATAGGAACAGGTGGGCCATAGATAGTTTGAGTGGCAGGTTAAGCATATTGAGGGTATTAGGCATACTAAATTGGTTAGGATACGACAGGAACTGTTTAGGTCACATAGGATTATTAAACAACTGGTTAAGCAACATAAGATTGGGTGACTACTGGTTAAGCAACATAGGATTGTTAAACAATAGGCTAAGCGACAGTTTGAATCTAAGGTTAATGGACGACTTGTCTTTCAACTGGATAATATTCAACTCTTTCTTAATATCTATCGACGGCAACATATTCTTATATTAAAAATGTTAATAATACCTGTAACTTTATCATAAAAGACTTGGGGAACATATTCTGTTTAATATTCAATGGCTTAGTATTCAGTCACATATTTTTCTCTTGGAACCTAAATTTTTTGTCTAACTTCTTCATATTCGATCACGCTCTTCTCGTATGGAATGTATCTAAATTGAAAATCCTCTTAATTTATACTCCACTCTGCTTTCTCCCTTAATAATTGGTTATTATTGAACAACTGGCTGAGTCACTACTGGTTAAGCTACTACTGATTGAGTAACGACTGGTTGTTAGTATACAACAGGTTATTGAACGACAGGAGGAGCAACAAATGATTGGGCAACTGGTTGAGTGTAATATTATGGAATGTAAGCGGGACTTTACAATTAGACAGGTGCCTAATAAGCTCTTGGAGGCGAAAATGTAGGGTTCCATTAAGGTTACTATTATGGAGCTGTAGTGGCAGGTTACCCTGGTTATTATGTGGGTGGTCTATTGGACATTTATTTAATAAATATAATTTATTTTCCTTTAAATCTAAATCTTTTCTCTGAACCCTAACTTTAAGGATCTTCTCGAGCCCTTAATTCAGGAATGCTGGACATATACGAACCCGTTATATGAATGACAATTGGAATTAAAATTTATGGTATAAATAGATTAAAATTTCAAACATCATATGTACAACTTATTGATAGCTTATTTTCCATTTAGCTATTTATAGAATTGTTAAAGTTTAAACGTTTTAGCTAATTCAACTCTAACATCTTCAACTAATAGAAGATCTTCTAAATATGATAGCAATTCTTCTAATTAGTTGTCGTCATTCTATCCTTCGAATGGTAATATTGGCAGTCCATTGTTGATCTAAGCTCTATGATGATACAAGATGATACATGAAATTTTGTGGAGAATTGTCTACGATGACAATATCCTTGAGATCAGTCGAAAAAATTCTTAAGTCTTTGACTTTTCCAATCATGTTGTCGATTGTGCAAACTGATTTAAAATACTGTTTATTTGGATCAATTAGTTTTAACATCTAAAAAGTAATTGCATATTAATTACATTATTAGCATGTTCTATTTTTGCTGCAGTAAAAAGTACTAATGTGCAAATCTTAGATAATCGCTCCAAAAACTATTTACAAAATGGTCTTATCTTAGTTTGATCGTTCTTGTGGTAAACTAATGTTTCATCAAGGTCTAAAACGACAACCTTATGGTTTTTCTGTTATTTTTTTAATTTCACTAGGCGTTTATCCACAATTTCCTTAGGCTATTCAATGTACCAGTGCGATTGAAGAGATGCTTCATGAAGTTCTCTTGCCAACTTGCAATCTGAAGAGATTTTTTTTGTAAAGTAATTTGTTTTAGGATTCTCTTCAACACTATTTAATGAATCTGGAGTTGTGTCAGCAGTCCTTTGAGTTGCCTAATTTTCAAAGTTCGTTAATTTTTTATTTATAATTATTTGGCATGACCTACTGTGATGATTCAATTTCATTGTCTTCAATATAGAGGTTTAGATATGATTTAAATAATTTAATAATTGTTTATCTGTAAGAAATAATCAACTTTGAATTAAAAAATTAAGTTATTATTTCTGATCAAAACTAAATTACATATTCAAGTATTATAGAAATCGCTTTTGTGGTATATTTATTTAGAGAATTTGCAAATCAATATGCCTTAAAATTATTTAAGATAATAATTATATCAAACTTTTTAATATGAAATAATAAAATATAGAAATTGAAGAAGAACTTCGAGAAGCAAGATTCGCTAGTTACTAATAAATTAAAAATAAATTCTTATCTAAATTTAGAAAAAAACAAAGTCTAGAAACTTATAATTAGATCAGAAAGAATCGTACATATTTAAATTAAAAGCAAGCATTGTAATTAAGCCAAGAATTTCATTAAAGTGAACTAAAATGTAAATTGTGTAAAAATTACTACGTTAAATTTACAATCGCCTAATGCGGACATTCATTTTGTTATTATTGCATATTTGAACATTTACTTAAATCTCACGTATGTTTCTCGTATATTTAAGAAATGCCCATGTTGCCAAAACATTTTGAAAGGCTTACAATTCATCTATTGTAAGACAATAGATTAATTTATTCAGAATAGCAAATTGCTTTAAAATAATTAAACCATACTCAACCGAAAAAAGGAATTTAAAGAATGGAAAATGAAAAAGAAAATAACCAATTTTAAATTAGGAGACTCTTTAGATGTTCTAGATACTGAACATATCTGGTGTGTCGGTTAGATAATCAATATGAGGAATCAAAAAGAAATGCTTGTTCATTACAAAGGGTGGGACAAGGTCTATGATGAATACATTTCGATCTCTTCTCCACGTTTGTCTCCCCTGGGGCTATTTACTGATAGGACTGGTATTATTAGATTATTAAGAAGATATTTTACTCTATTAATCCAGTCCAAATGATAATGCCATGTCTAATTATGTCAGACAGATTGAAGAGAACGATTAATTAAATTATTTGATATTATAGCAACAAATATCAAATTCAAACATTATTTTAGCCATCGAATCGCCAACTAATAATACATTATAAAGTCTATTATAACTAGTTGTCATCATCAGAGAAATACATGATGAATTTCATAATGATTCATGACCTCTATATCAATATTTATTATCATTTTAATGAGGTCTTTGGTTTCTGCATGCAAAATAATAAATTTCATTATTAAATTATTTCAATGCAATCATATAAAGAGGCTTTATAACTGTTCTAAAAGAATTCAATGAATCTGCCAATGAAGGAACATGAAGATAAATTAAATGTATTAGTAATTACAAATAGATTATGTTAGAATACATACTACATGAATTGGAAAGAGATAAAAAAGAATTGCAAATTCTGAGATAAGAAATCATACATGAATCATACTTACAATCATCTATAAATGATGACACCTCAACTGGTTTCATCGAAGAATTAGCAGACTTTACTAGAAATTTTAGGAAGTTAGCTGAAGAATCAAACAATGAAACCAATGAAATAAGCAATTAGATGGAAGTATTAAAAAATGAAAAAGCAAGACTCAGAAAATCAACTAATTTATTGCATCACAGAACTTTTGAAATGGAAAAACTTTTGGGAGTAGGCTTGAATTAAACAAATTCCTAAGAAGCCAACAACTGATTTAATTTTATACATCATAATTAGCATAATAATTTTCTCTCATTTTAATATAAATATATGCTTATGTTCTGAAAATCATTTTATATAGTAAGTTATTTATATATATAATGTAAATCAATTTTTAGTTAATCTTACAGATTTATTAGAATTATGGATTAAATTTATCAAAAACAAACCTATCAATCTAATGATGGTATTTCAGTTATCACTAACATTCGTAGGGGTTAAAATAGAGATAATGATGGATACAATAAATTAGGGTTTAATAAACATTTATTACTTTAGTTTTACTAAATAAAAACTTAATAAAGTATTATATATTTTAATATTTTGTATTTATTGTTGAAGGTTTAAAATAGTTTTAAAACCACTTTTTTCATTTATTATGGATAGAAATCATGAAATGAAAAAAATCTGAAGAATGAATAAATGTATCGATTTGATTATCTTTGAATATATATATAAATATAATTGGATGTCCATATTTTTATAATGTTCATTTAATAGATTCAGATATTTCAATATGTTCTAACTTAATTAATTCCTTTTTCAAAAGTTTCTTTTCATTTTCTAATTAAATATTTATAAATACTGATTTTCTATGGATGATATTTTGAATAGATTTCTTATGCTCTGTTTTCACATTTGTTAAATTCATGATCTTTCCATGGAAATCTTCGATAAGACTTAATTTTCTAGGTTAATAGGGGATAAATAATATACATCGTAATCTCTTGCAATGATGATTTTTAAAATTTACTTAGTCATTTTTTCAATTTTCTCTTCATTTTCATGTTAACATATGGTTTGAAATTCATCTAGTATAAGTATAAGATTTGAATTACTTAAAAATTTCTGGTAGTAATAAGAAAACTTTTGTGATTTGAAAAGTTTATTTAAATAAGCATCATTAATAGTTTTGAGTTTTGATTCTTTTCTAAATGGTATGAGGTCATCAATAGTGCCATTTTCTAATGTGTTCATAAATTCTTTATCACTTGAAAAGAAGGTGTGATAAAAAAGACGATCTCTTTCTTCTGCTCCAAGACTTTCTTTTTCTTGGTAGTTAATTTAAGTTTTGATGAATTGGAAACATCTTCTAATAATGAATTTTGTCATTTCCTCCTTAGTTTTATTTACTTAGATGTATCTCTTCTTAATGATATTCGGTATGTCACAATGTATGGATATTAGATTCTAATTATAATAGTGATAAGATATACTCTCAAATTCTCACTAGCAAATTTTTCAAAAGTCTTTTCTTTGAGCAAGGAAATGTTCTTCTACAAATATATCAACAGTAGATTGAGTTCTTGCAAGACCAAAGCTTCTTTAGAGTGAGTTTAGCGATTTTAATCAGTATTTTCAGAAACTTCTTCATTAAAAGTAATCTCGGGGAATTGACAGGCTTAATCACACATAACTTTTGTTGGAATCATATTATAGTATTAAGTTGGAACGGGATAAAGTTGTTAAAGATTGAGTTATGGATAATTGAGGTAGGAAGTTGCGTATACAATAGGAAGCATGAGATAATTTAAAAAAAAAGATGTAAAAAAAATTAATATCTTAAAATCATATCATAAGTGCATAAATTATATAGATAATCATTAAATAAGTGAGGATGTTGCTCAACCAAAAACAAACTCGAGCCAATCTGACTCAGAATTCAAATGAGTTGGCTACAAGAAGTAGTTAAATGAATTTTGTTACACACTTTTTTGTCTCTGTTATAAGATAGAAGGATGCTATTTAGGTAAATCAACTGAATAACCTTTTCTCTTCATCAGATTCGACTCAGGTCTGAAATCGTTGATCTATTTTTTCCTTACATGACATATTTTATCCAAAATTTCTTATACTCTTGATTCCAAATTATATTCCTGTTACTGTGATTTTTAATCTGAATAATAAAAATTTTTATATTTTCTGTATTTTCTGTCCTTGTTTTCGTATAAATCAGCATTCTAAATTTGTGGCAACTAAAAATGTTGCGATTTATGTTTTAATGTTTATTACTATACAACCTTTATTTGCTTGAACTCCAATTATTTATTTTTTTTCAAAAGCAATCTTAGTACTCTATCCTATTTATCTTACAAATTAGCCAAATAAGGTGTTAATTAATTCGATATTGGTATTTCAGTTCTCGATTTCATTTAGTTATATAAATATATTTATATAAATATAAAGAATAAATATAATTAAATTAAGATTTATGAGCGACGATTCTGAAAGTTTGGATTTCCCTAACACTCCATTTTACACCTTTGTAATTTATTTTATTTACTTCCATTATTTAGAATATAACTGTTGGATTAACATTATCATTGACCAAATTATGTGCAAACAAGTGTAGATTATTCAAACCTGATTAAGGTACTAAATTGTCTGAAAATGATGTTTAATGTGTCAGTAATTAATCTATTTTAATAAATAACAGAAAATTGTGCTGCCACCATAAATAACAATTACTAAACATTCACAAGTTCATTAAAAGAGGCCATCAATTTCGAAGATTCATTTGGAGTTTTCGAACCAGAAGAATGAAATATTACAAACAGTAATCAAAATAAAACATTATTTAAAGATAATATTCTTTATTATTATTCAATTTATATCTTTTTTCAATCTCAAATAAATCAATATCACTTATGTCCATCCATTATTTATCATAACTAAATTGATTCTTATTAAAAACATACTCCTACAACATTTATTAAAAACATAATATTTTAACATCCTACTTAGACAATAAATATATAGTTATAATAAATCATTTGTTTATTTTCTAAAGATCCCCTTTATTAAAGTCATCAGTAGATTGAAAACTGTAGATATGTCTATAAACATTCATTGAATCCTAATCATCGGTGTCCCTTTTTGGAGAGTCTTCCAAATACTGTTATTTTATCTGAGAAAGAAACTTTTAGATTTCATTTTATTGATCAAAGGCACATTATTCTTTGGTATAATTGGTTGTATTATCATTGTTGAGTTCTCCTTTTAATATTTCTATCTCTTCATCCTTCCCTCTAAGTTCATTTTATAATATTTTAATTTAATCCAATTGCATTTCCAACTTCTATAATTCAATGCACTTCTCATTATACTTCTAAGACAACTCCTTATTTTAATTCATTAGTTCATTTATGTATTATTACTATGACTCATTCTTGCTTATTTGTTATGTCAACTATTGCTAAAGGAGACTCATTTTGGACTTCAAATTATGAGTGTCTTCATTCTTGAAATTTGACTTATCTAAAGCATTCTCTTAAATAAATATTTTGAGAGTTTCTATTTGCAATTGAAGATCTCTTACAATTTGGCTTTCTGTTTTCTTAAACTCCATTTAATGTATAGTTGCTAGTAATTTGGCAATTTCCCTTTCTTTATTGACACAGGCATTAGATTTTTACTCTAAAGCTGATCTTAATCTAATTCTATCATCATTGGACAAATCAAGTGCTTTTTGTAAGGCAAAGATCTTTTATTCCCTGAATGTCATGTCATTGCGCAAAACTTACATATCAAACTCATTAGCCACTGATAATTTATTTCTTTCAGGAGACATTTAACTTTAAGTAGGTATTGTTATATTTTATTTTATCACTTCAAACTTCTATTCTAAATTTTTTATTGGTGTTGTTTTCGATGATGCATAGTATGTTTATGGTTGGTATTATTATTAAGTTAAAAGAGGATTATTTACTTGACTTATCGATTATTTGTGTACGACAACTGGAGATTAGGTTCTGTTAGGAGATACTAAATTAGTTTTATAAAACATTAACAACAGAAATATTTATTATTTATAAACTATTTTAATAATATAATATCAAAAACTTGAGATAAGATTGATATTTGATAGAAACCCTTATATTCTATTTATAGCTATCAATACAGTTTTATTGCAAATGAAATTGAGATAATATCTCTCAGAAAATGTTCCTTATTTTCAATTCATTTATTGTCCTTCAGACAGAGTATTACACTTTTATTTTCAGTCAAAATAATTGGACTTAAATGCGGAACCAAAGACCAACAATCTGGGTGTTTTTTAGATATTTGATTGATACATAATTGTGTCATCTTCACCTTGTAAAAAATTCAAGGGTTGATTCTGCTTTATAAACAGAAGATGAAAATTATACAATTATTAAATATTATTTTATCAAAAATTTTTTAATGCTTATTTATATTGAATATAAAACGTTATTTTATTTAAAATGAATTTTGATAGCTATTTTTTAGAAATATTGTGAATAGAAAAATAATTAATAATATTTTACACGTATTAAAATATGCTTGACCTCTAAGCAAAAACTAATAAAGAAATCTGGCAAGCTAAAAAATTGTTGTATGAAAGTGATGGAAACACTAAAAAAAGCTTGATTGTTAATTTGGTTGCTTTGGTATATAAAATGATTGATCTTAAGGGTTTATTATGTATTTTGCTTTTTTACAGTATTGTGGGGTCGGATGATAAATGGACTTGTGAGATCGAATCAGCTAACAATAGTAATCTTAATCATCTATACATTAACAGGAGGCCATTATATTTGTGTTGAAATGAGAAGAACAATGAATTGCAAGACCATTAGTGGACCAATAAGATCGGAAATCTTCTTGAAGGTTAAGAAAGATCTACAAGCAAGTGCTATAGTAATTCAAAATTCATATACAAGATTGAATGTCCCTGGGAAATAGCAATTTCAGAAATTAGATTATGCTTCATCTTATTATCAATATCTAGTACGCTCATCGGAATTTATGCATTACGAAAGACCAATAAAAAGTATGCAGAATTAAGTTTCTAAATAGGGATTTCATTTGCAATTCTTTTAGTATTTATAATATTAATAGTTTAGTTAATATCTGCATATTTCGATTACGTTTCAATTAGAACTTCTTAAATAAATAACTACAATCTATGTAATTTACAGGAAGAGTTTTAGATTGAAGAAAAAATGAAAGTATTTTTGATTGATAACAATCATAGGGATAAATGGAATGTTCATTTTCATTTTATAATTTTACTGTGATTTTAGAAATAGCATGTTCTGTGGCAATGATCATTAACTCTATATACATAAATCAATGGAGATATAAACAGATTACAGAACTCAATGATTAGTTGTGATAATAGTTTTATTTTATCAATTATAGAAATCAATATAAATAAACATATTCAATATTAATTAACTATATATACATAATCAAATGTAATCAAATAAAGAACTTGATTCGCTAACTATTTTAATTTAAATGTCACAGAAAAGTTATTTAAAATATTGTCTATCCTTAACAAAATTTTAAGATGAAAAGTTTTGAACATTTTTACTAATAATGATAACACTAGTTGCCAAATTAGATATAACAAGATCACAAATTAAATTATTGCTAATATTTGAGTATAAGATTTATTAATTATCCTTTAAAAATGCTTAGATATTGGTTAAATTTAGAGCGTCCTTAAATTATGGTAATTGATTCACGTTTCTATAATTATTCTATAATACATACTTCTTGAGAAAATGATAAAATTGATCTTCAATTTCTTATGTTGGAGTAAAAGTTCTTTCAAATTCCTTGTTTGATATAATTTCTACTCCTTCATTTGTTTTAAAGTAGCTTTTTACAATTTGATTATCTAAATCTATTTCTAACTAAACTTTTGGCTATTGTTTATCATTCAAATTAAAAAGCTTTTGATTTCTAGCCTAAAGTGCATCACTTAAGTTGAAAAATTCAATCTAAAGGTTCTAATCTATTTTCTATTTAATTGAATTTTATTGGAAGGGATAAGCAACAACTACATAATTATTATTGAATTTCACTTATTTTAGCTTTATTGAATTTGGTTTAATCAAATGTGTAGTCATTATAATGATCATTGGTTTTGGGATCAAAAAAATTGATCTACTTACTTGTCACCAATCCAAAAAGCATTTCAATGAAAATATTTTTATTTTATTTAATTACAAAATTGAATGGATATGCTTTAGACTCTTTAGCTATGGAAATAGATCAAAACAACACTGCAATCCAAATTCTCAGATCTTAAGAGTACCTTTGACTCAATTGATTCAAATAAGAACGGGACAATTGAATTAAATGAATTATCTCAAGAACTCAATAATAATCATGGTATTACGTAGAAAGAGTAAACAAATAATTATCATTTAATCTTAGCTAGGTCCAATCTATCTTTTAATACTTGAACATATCAAAAAATGGATAAATTACATTAGAAGAATTTGAAAAATAATGGACAAGTGCTGAATAATAAATTTAATAGGAACAAAATAGATAGTAATTCTAAAAATAGAAACAACAAGTCTAATCCTATATCTAAACAAATTAATAACTAAAATCTTCAGTCGTATAAAAGTCGACCTTATAAAAATCAGGATCTTCGTAATAGTTTTCAGATTTATTTAACAGTTATAAATCAAACAACTCCCCTACTAAATACATAAATATCTAAGGAGATTTTTCAATAAATTAGTTTAATACTCCACCACTTTTGGATAGAAGAAGTTCTCCATTAAAAGTTTTATCTCCTCCCAAACCAGAGCAATATCCAAAAACTAGATAAGAAGCTAAAGATGATAAATTGAGGGAAATGCAAAGACAAATATCTTATTTATTTAATTGCAAAAACGAATAGAGAAATTCGACTCCAAGATTAAAGTAGAATTTAGATACATTTATGAATACAATGAAATTAGGTGGTGGTGGAGGGAGGAGATCTAGTGGACATACTTTGAGATATGAAATGAAGACTTAGACAATTTCGCCTAAGTTATCTGATTAGATTTCATTATAAAATTATGCCTATTAATTTAATGACATGAAAATGCAATTTAAATAAACATACACTGGAAATAAAAGTAATAATTACATTAAGGGTAATACATTTTTTAGGAAATGAATAGTTCAAGAAATGAAGTTTAATAAATAATTTATAAATCATATGTAATTTCTATTTTAAAGCTTCTGATTTCAATCTATACCTGACATTTCTTTATGTTACATATGAAGCATTTAAGTCAAGTAATTTAAATCTCTTACTTACTGCTTAATTTTGATTTATTTAATAGCCTCTTATATATTATCTATAGCTATTTACAATTATTATTAGGGCTACTATTATTATGGAATAGAACTCTAATAATAGCCATTGTTATTAGTTCGATGTTAAGTGGTGGGTTGAGGAATCTCTATTTAAATTTTGCTATTGCTTGATTCATCCTGTTCTTCATCCATCATAGATTGTATGGCTTGGAAGTTTTAAATTTCTAAATGATATGAGATAAATGATTGAGGATACCTTTAGAAATGGGTTAGATGGGTTACACTTGTTGTCCATTATTATTGAGCAATTGAAAATAATTTGACTCACCTAAAGTTTTGATAAACCATTCGTGATGTAAGACCTCATATGCTGAAGGTCGTACTTATGGATTAATAGATAATACTGATTTTAAGAAAGAAAGACATAAATCTGATGCTTTTACTTGTGCGTAATCAATTTTTCCTTGGTAATTGAGTTGAACAACCTTATTCTATGAATGAGCAGCAAAGGGCTGTTTGCCTACTAAGAGAGTATGTAATATGATTCCTGCTGAATACACATCTACTTTGAAATCATACTTCTAATCCCTTAAGACTTCAGGTGCTACATAACCTGGAGTGCCACATCTCTGATACTGATATACTGACATCGGATTGTAGTAATCAGCAAGGCCAAAATCGCAGATACAAATTGTGTCTTGATTCTTGTATAAGATATTGTCTGGCTTAAGGAATAGAGAAGAAAGCATACTTTAATGTCTCGATGGATTATTTTATGATCATGTATGTATTGCAATACCATGAATAATTGCAACATGATTTATGCGCACTAATGTTCAGAATGTCTTTTTTTCTACTATTTCATTGAATCTAAAATTAGCGATAAAATTAAAAATACATTGCATCAATTCCATAACTATGCAAATAAACTCTTTGTCTTCATAAACCTCATAAATTTTTATTATACCAGGATGCTTAAGTTGCCTCATGATTTATATTTCCTTAGTTACGGAAACATTATCTACGTTTAAATTCTTTAAAGCCACCTTCTAGAATACCTTCAATGCATAATTTTGATTATTTTTCTTACTTGTTATCTTGTAAACCTAATAATATATCTCTGCAAATACATTTGCGAACTGTCCTTGACCAATTAGCTCGCCAATATCATAATCTAATCTAAAATTATTTTGTATGCATTTATTTTTTATCTATTCAAACCAAACCTTGATATTTTGAGGAGTTGATTTTAAGAAAACCTATTTGTGGTTCTTTTATAATAAAATAGTATTATCATTTAATAGAGAAATGGAAGTTGTTAAAAGTTCTATTTTTTTTAATTCTCCATTTTTTTTAAATCTAAACAATTCATATTAAGTCAAACAAAATTGCGTTGGCTTGTTTAGATATTGCAGTATACCTTTGTAGAGTATATCTTCCTAAAATTTCATATCTTAAATACTTCATTAAGCTTATTCTCACATTATTCCCATATTCCTTTGCCTTAAATATCAAAATAAGATGAAGAATCACTCATATAATAAATGAATAATTAATTTTATATTTTATTTTACTTCTCTTATATATAATTCAATCTCTTGGCTATTAAAATCTAGAATTCCAGTTTAACATTCTCTGCAATTTTATGACCCAGTCCAAATCCTGGTGTGACGGTGGTACGACAACTATGTTATATCTGGTAAAAACATACACCGCACATCGTTTTTAGAAGGAGTAATATCGAAACAATCATTTCTCTTAAAATCGTACTGTACTTGTCCGTCACAAATTACTACTCCTTCTCCTCTTGAATTCGCATTCATCTTTATACTAATTTTCACATCCAATGGCAAAATCAAGGGCCGAAATGACAATGACAAGGGACAGATCGGTACTAAAGCGATGCAAGGGACTCTGTTTTAAATCAAAGGACCTCCAGCACTCAAACAATATGCTGTAGAACCAGTTGGAGTACTTATAATCAAGCCATCTATAATAACTCTTTGAAGTAATACCCCCTCTGGCTTGAGTGACAAATGTATCATTAACATAGATGTCTAGACACACTACGTGAATACTATTTCCTTTGGTTATGAAAAAGTCATTTAAAGCAGTGTAGACGTATTGACCATTCAGACTGCCTTAAATTCTCTTCTTCAACTCTATATTATATGGAGTTTGCAAGTTCTTCAGAACCTCATATTGATCCCTTAAGCTGTAAATACACATGAATCCTAGGGTTCCTTTACCAAATGTCACAAAGGGTGGAGTCGCGGTTTATTGGAACATCCTAGAAGCATGCCTACACTAGTTTTGGAGCTCTACAAAATTGTTCCATCCCCGCCGATGGTTACGACTAAATCAACAGGTTGATTATTATATTCATCATCTATTAAATATGAATGCTAAGGGAATTAATTTCGAATTTATTGCAGAATTGGAAGACAAGTATGGTCCTTCTTCTTACTCACTAATAGGACTGCTAATTTTTTTAATTATTAATTCATATTATTTATAAATATTCAATTAAGACAGGGTTTTATATATTTTCCATAAATGAAGATTCTTAATCAAAAAAGCTATCCGAATTACAATAAATATATTGTCATTATAATTATATATAATATTTGACTAATAATTTTAACATATTGATAAATTCTTAATGAATCCAATTAATAGAAGTTACTATCAACTAAATGCGTCAAACATCTTATCAACAAAGAGAGTTCCTAGTTTGACTCCACCTAAAAATTATCCAAGCAGTGTTTCAAAGGATAAAATGTATTAAATAATTTGATTTGTTAGAACTAAATAAGTTAAGGATAAGGCTATAAGTGGTAACAGCTAATAAAAAAGTGATGTTTACAATTTGCCGATGCAAAATGCTCTATTTTTATAATAATAAAATGCCATTTTATCTGCTAGAAAAGCAACAATAAATTTGAGTGACAGTTCAGACAAATTAAGGAAAACATCTCCAAACGAAAAGTAAATTATCTTTATTTTAAAAGATCTCCCATCAATCCCAGATTGTCTACTTTACAAAAAAATAAACAAATCAGCATCTCCTAATCACAATAAGCTATTGCATAGGTTTTGGCAAAAATGTAAGAGAATGATAATATATCTTACATGAATAAACAATGTATTTATACAAATAGAACTTAGTGTATCACAACCCTGAAATTGAATCTACTCAGAAGAGTACAATCAACAGCAGGGAATATACCAACAATTCCTCTAAACACAAAACCGAAGATTATTAAAAACTGTAAAGAGAGAATTTGATTCTCTAACGGAAGGTTTTTGAACTTGAACAGAAGGTAATCAATAGATTCATTAATTAAAGATCTCTGCTTTGGAATCAGTCAATTAATAATTGCTTACTTTAGTTAAATCGTGTGATTGTCATTAAACTTAATTAAGGGAATTAGAACTCACTATCTGCAATTTGAATTATCTCAAAGAAACAGTAAATCCCATTTAAATTTAAAATCTAACATCTCTAGACATGCAATCCAATACAGAATTTAAAAAGAAACTATCATATTCTTAAGATTATTCAGAAATTAAACCATAAAATTTATTTACTAATCATAATTCGACCAAAATGATTGAATAATTTATAGAATAACATTAACTAAATCAATCAGAATTGAATGTTTTTAAAGATTTGACCAAAAAAATGGAGGAGAAACAAGCACCCATACCATCTGTACTTAAAGCATTATCATTAGTTATTAATGTATGAACTTTTATATAATTGTTTTATTTCAAAATTAACAATTTAATATTAATAGCAATGTAAGTTATTTAATAAATGAAATTATTCTAATTGGTTCTATTATATTAGATCAAATTAAAATTCAAAAATTTTATGTTAAATTTTTCATCTTCTAAGATAGTATTCCCAATTGTCTATATTTAACATCGAATTTCTCCAACAACTCCTACATCAATCTTGGTTGAAGTGCCAACAATCCCAAAATCTACTCTGATGAGAATTACATAAATTACTCTAAAGAAATAGCATTTTTTATTCTATTATAATCAATTACATCTATTACATAGACTCTTCAGTTGTGTTTTAGTAATTTTTTTGTTATAAATCAATCATATTGACCATTATTTATTAAAGAGTATCATATAAAATATTTTAAATTTTCCTCTCTCTATTTGGATTACTTGAGTGCTCAGTAATTGATTGACTCATTGAAGTGCTGAAATCAAAATAAATTGAATTTGCATATCCATTGTTGCTTGTAATTTTCTATTTATTTTTGAACTACTTTAAAGAAAGATTCGCACAATAAACAAGTAAATTTCTTATGGAACTGTATTAATTTTATTTCTTTTTCATCTCTTGTCTTTGTTCAATAATTCTTCTCCTCAAAATATTTATTTATTTATATATTTCAATAATGTCATTAACAGGCTAAATAAATAAAATGTTAAATTGGTGTTACTTATTATTATCCCCTAAAAGTAGCTTTCTGAAGAACCTCTAATAATCTACTTTTAGAGTGCATTTTCAGTTTAATAGGAGGTAATTATGATAAACTCAAACGGTTAGTCTGTGTATCCTAATTAGTTATAAATAGATTGATATTGCTTCGATTACTACTGATATCGAGACTTTGTAATTGAATTCTTTGCTACTCAATAAATTTCTATAAATACTGTTCTAGATGTAGATTAAGTGTAATTAGATTTATAGTTTAGAATTTACTATTAGATTTGCCAACAATCCCTTACGCAATCTCTGATTTCCAGTCGCTTATTTTAAACTTGTTCTTTTAGTTCTTTGATAGTAAATTAGTTTAATTGCAATTCTTGTGTTAATTGTTAAGTCTAATAAATAATAGGTGCAGTACTTTTTTGATCAATGCTAATCGGTATTGATCTACCTTGGATAATTCACTAATGATTTATTTAATTTATGGATGATTTTCAAGACTAAACAATAGAATATAATATTTATTACTCGTTTTGCTATCTCAGTTTTTCTTCTAATTTGATGATTTGCAACTTAGTTTTTTCAAGTTAATTAAGCAAATGAAAATATCTTTGATTTAGTCTTTATTCCTATGATTATGTAATATTTACATACTTCCATTTAAATGGCAATCAAAGTTTTATCATTCACTTAATCAATATAATTTTACACTTCGCCATGTTGATGTTAAACACTATCCATGGCATCATTCCTCCTTAAAAGAAGAATAAATAGAGAGATTGATACTTCTTATCTAATTCAGAGAATATCTTTGGAGGTGAGAAAATCTTGGAACTTTTACTATCATATAACATAAAATTTAATTTATATATTGAATGTTTGAATCAAGCAACAACTTAAGTTAATACTCCTTCCCTCCATAATCCCTTAATAGTTTAGCCATTCACAGCAGAAAATACACCTTCACCATCGATCATACCGTCTTAAAATTGGCCTTCAAACATCTCTCCATTTGTAAGTTATAATTTTCCAAAACCATTCATTTTGCCTTCAAAGAAATCACCTAATTCATAATTGCTATTAGATTACCTTCATATCCAAGCCATCCATTTTCAATCACACTTAAATCTTAATAATCAAAAGGACCATCAATCTATTCAGCTTGAACATTGATCAACTTGCCTTAGCCATGATATTGATTGTCCTTCCATTGACCATCATAAACTGGATTATCGTCTTAATCAGTTAAAACACCATAACCTTCTCTAGTGGCTGGTTCATAACCCTAGCCTCTATAGATATAGCCGTCCTCATATTAGAGGGCTAATTCCTATAACTAGTTATCATTAACTTAAGGTTGATTAGTTTGTTACTCTTGTTTTGGTTATGGATTTGATTATTGTTGTTATTAAGGTTGTTTTGTTGATGGGTTTTAATATTTTTACACAAGATCTCTTGTTCTATCAATGGCATCTTAGAATTTCTTTTCCAAGTCATCATCCTTCTAAGATTATTATGGTTACTTATATTGTTAAGGAGGTTTATTGACTTATTATTATTGTTATGGAATTTATTAGTTTTGCTACTCGGGTCTATGTTAGGAAGGATGTGATTAAGGTTTTGATTAACTTGGTAAATATTATTATTAATAAGGCTATTTTGGAGGCTAAGCAACCTTATTCTAATTTTACTACACTGGTTATTAGTATTGGGGTTACTATTGCTGTGGCTACTACTTCTATACTTATTACTATTATGGCTAATAAGGATATTGAGCTGTTCCTCTTTATTAAGGTGGAATTTATTATTATGGTGCTTGGGGTTTTGGAACGACCTGTTATTATTACTTATAAACTTAAGGGGGATAATTGGGGGTGATTCTTGGATTTTGTTAATGGGTTGGGTATGATTATTGTAAAGCTGACTAAGGTTTTACTGGGCTTTGGCCATAATTAGTGGGTGGGATTTGATTTTGAATTTAATATTATGGATAATAAGGTTATTGAGGAGGTCTCACTCCAACAGGTTATGGGCGGTAAACCTATAATGATATTTGAAAAAATTACTGGGGGTGGAAGAGAATATGGGGCTTATCTCTATTGGGGAATGGGATTTTGGTAATATAATTAAGGGGGTAAGGGGCGTTGTGGAGAGCAAAATCCATAAGGGTAACTCATAAATTTGAAATTTAATTTTGAAAAACAATATTCTATAATTTTAATCAAAATCACTATTATAGTTTATTTCTCCACCATTTTGCTTAAATAATCTAACCATTCTTTTTGATATATCTTCCAGGGCCATTTATTAAGTCTTACAGGAAGTTGCCTTCAAATCGATCGCCATTGGATAAATACAAGGTGCCTTAACCCTCCTTATTGTCTTAATTGAATTAACCGATATATCTTGTCCAGTAACTTAATTAATATTAAATGTATTTACTCCCCAATTCTATCAAAATCCCCAAAATCGAAATCCCCATAGAGTGCTTAAGGTTCTTCATTGTACAAGGTGCCACTGCCCTGAAATTTATCGTTCAACCACTCTCCCTCATAAGCTGGTTTACCAGAAGCATAAAATAAAGTGCCTAATGGATGTTACTTTGAATGTGCTACCTTAACCATGCATTTTATTTTCAAACCACTAGCCCTCGTAAACTCCACCATTATCTTAATAGAAGAAGGTCCCTTGTCCGTGTCTCATTCCATTCAATTTCTGTCCTTCATATCTTGATCCATTGGGATAGGATTCAGAAACAGTTTCAACTCTTTTAGATTCCATAGTCCTTTTCAAATCACTTTGATAGTTTGAAAACTTTTGCTGATTACTCATTTGTTTATCGTAAAGGTAATCGTATTTAGAAGCAGGTTCAAGATTTTATTGATTCTTAAAAGAGGATTCCATTTTGTAGGATTCATATGAGACTGGCATATTGGATTTAGATTGTAAAAACTGATCATATTAATGGGAATTGGAGAAGGAAGTGATTGGCATCAAGATATCATGCTATTGTATATTCGAGCGATTCAGTAATTCCTCAGCTCCTATTTAGTTACCAATATTGGTGTCAACCTGAGATGGTTCTGCAGGCTATTCTGATAAAGGTAACTAAATTAAGTGATAATACTACAATTTTTAAATGATCACATATATCGGGTCTCAAGTCTTTTAGACCATTTCTTTATATGTACATTGATTAGTTGGATTAGACTGATTGCTATGATTGCCTTAATTGAATTGATCTTTGGACTTGAACTTGAGAATTATGTACTGAATTTTATTATTATTATATAAATTTAGCACTTTGCTCGGGATTAACAAATATTTATGGTGGTTATGAGGCTTATAATTGATACTGTTATTAAGGGATTGCAAAACTCTCCACAGCTTATTCATAGGCTTCAACTTAATTAATTTGTGTCTTTTTGGTTTAGATCACTTCCTCTTCTTGTTCTTCTATGTGTGCTTTCGGAGAAGCTGGAGGTGACATAGACTGCATTTCTGATCTTAAGTTTAGAAAATCTGGTCTCTAGTCCTCATTGAGTAAAAGCATAGTTCTCAACACTTGAATATATTGGGAGGAGAACTTCGATTCTAGAATTAATAATCTCCTTTAAACTTATTAATGATTCACTCTCATCTTTTGCAAATCATAACAATCTTCGCAATTATGAGCACTTGATAAATGCAACATAATCATCCCCAAAGAATAAACGTCGCTTTTGTAAGGATTGTGTTAGGGTTACATATCATCATTAAGAGATTGTATGAGTTTGGGACTTAAGTAATTCAAATTGATTTATTTGGTTTCATCTTGCATCAACTATTGATAAGTAGTCAGAACTCCACTCAAAGTTGGATCCAGAATCTTGACATATGGAAACTAATCCAAATAAGATATTGAGTCCAACCGTAAACCTTGATGAGTGATCTTCTAAGATTCCAGTATGCAACAACCTTCTATACATCCTATTAGAATAGTCCATAGTTCTGATTCTTGAAATTCTTGCTTCTTAGCCAATCTTTATTCCAAGACATCGCACAAGGTTCTTGGTATGTACTCCATTAAAATGAAGATCTTAAAAAATTGACCACAAAATTGATTTTCTTCGTGATAAAACAACTCTATATATTATACTGCTAATTTAAGTACTCGTGATATTGATCAAATTATCATATGTGTTGCATTCCTTTTTTTCAAGCAGAATTTTTAATGTCTAATATTTTTCCTCATCTGTTAAATTGATTTCCTTCTAAAATACTTCTTATTTAGTTTGCTTCTACTTTACAACCCTTCCTTCTCCATAACGAGCATCGTCCTTCATATTCCTTACAACAACATAATTTGAATGCATAGCCTTAATACTTGCATTGCTATCTGCATTACCCATTTTCAAAAATTAATATTAAATATAAATAATCCAGTATGAAAAACAAAAGTAATCCTACTTTTACTTAAATAAAAATTATAATTCACTCTAGAATACCATCCCTCACTTCCATCACCTGTATATCACAAATTCCATTATGATACCAAATCATTTTTGAATGAATTGAGCATGTTCAACTTGAATGTATCAAACCATATCCTCATTTAATACTTATAGTTCTTATTGATAATCTATAACTAATTTTAGGCCGAACTGAGTCGATTTAAAATGAGCTATCATGCTCATAAATTTTCTTATATTTAGTATATTGTTCTATGAGTTTCAAATACTTTTTTTATTTGATCCTACTAACACTTCATATTTTAAAAGGCTATTTATTAAGTATCTCAAAGGTTTCAGAATTATGATAATTGTTCTCTGGAATCTAAAATATTCTACAATCCCTTAGGTTTTTAGTTTAACATAAAATATCTTAGGATCAACAAATGTTTTAATTGAATTAATCTAAAAATTTTTAAATTTGTTAATTATATATTTTACTGTGTTGTGAATTTGGTTCTGATTTCCTTTTTCTTTTTGAATTAGGCTATTTTACAAAAATTGAATATTAATTATTTCAAATGATCATTACTTAACAATTTATTTAGAATATAAATTTTCTTAATTAATCATGAAATTTCTTTTTTGTTAATATTTGATAATTATTTTCTCTATTGATACCTTTCAATTGGAATAAATCTTATTTGATTTTTAGCCTCTAGAATATTCTAAGAGATCATCAAAGTTTAAAAAAATATATAACACATCATTATAAAAAAATGTAAAATAATTTCAGAACAAAAAATGTTGCTTCATTTAACAATATCTTTCTGGATTATATTACTTATCTTCATCCATTAAAACTGATTTGGATTTGGATTAATAGGTGCCTATACAATAGCAGCTATATTGTTTCTCTTGTCAAATTCCATCCATGTTGAACAAGCAACAAAGCGTTTTAAAAGCTATTGCAGAATCACCAAATAATCTAAGATAATAATCAACTAGGGATTGCTGCAATCTTTATTCAAGTAATCATTAATCAAATGTATGGCTGCATAGATATATTCTCTCATTTATTCGAAAATGTTCTCCAAGACCCAATTATTATTAAATAATGACATAAATCTAGGATCCTCCTTATATTAATCTGGCATTTAGAGAATGGTTTATCGTACATTCAATAATCTGACTTAACATTCAGGTAAGCAAGGATTAGAGTGTGAAAACTAAATTATATGATTAAGAATATACTATTTGAATGCAACATTACAATAGGCAGAATTATATTTTGAGTTACAAAAACATGCATTCGGATCTTGTATACATTTTACCTAAACTGAATTATTCAAAATATTAAGTATTGATGAAGAGCTTTGCAATTTTGTACATTAAATTGCCAAACTATTAACTATATTGGTTTTGTTGATTAGGTTCTACATTACTACGTTGGGAATCATCTTATAATGTAGTATTTCTCTCTCTTTAAACTGATGGAAATCTCATTGGTAGATAAGAAGACTCTTGAGTTTTCTTTATTGCATTCACTGGTTGCTGATTTTCTCTACTGGAATGGGGAGAGGGATTTGAAAAATGCAAATATTGTTATTATGGAATCAATTGTTTCTGTATAGGAAGTTGAGATAATTGTTGACTAGTATTAACTTAGATTGGATATTATTGAATTTTGAATTGTTGTTAATATTAAATGGGTAATATTGATTTCTATTATTGTGATTATTATTATTATTGTTATTGTTATTAAACTATTTAAATTGGAGTAACACTTCGCACATGTTGTGATTATTAAGCAATATATTTTTAGCTTGTTACCATTCTTTGTTATGTTCTCTGTCTCAAATAATCCAAACATTATTCAACTGACCATCTCAATTATTTATCGCATTGAAGCATATTCTGTATCAGAATATCCAAAAAGCGAGAGCATTAAAATGGATAATAAAGTAATCCATTCTATTAATAAACTCTAAGTTTTTAAACTAGTTCTGGCTCTGTTTGCGATCTAAATGGCTATTATCCAAATACCATTTCATACAAAACTACTCCAGCTGACCATAAATCACTCTTAAAACTGTAGTGATTATTCAACAGAGTTTCTGGAGCCATATACATAGGAGTGCCTACATTATAATTTTGTATTTCAACTCCATTTTAAACATTTTTACATAATGCAAATCCAAAATCTGCCAATTTTGGAATCCCATTGCTCATAAAGATATTTGCGGGTTTAATGTCCCTATGAATTATATCTTATATTCTTATGATTAATAGTTACAATTATTTTTGCAATGCTAAAGACCATTCAATACATGAGTGATTAAATCAATTGCTAAATCTTCAGTAATTTGATGCTTCCTAATAAACTATTATAAGTCGCCTATGATTAAATAGGCAGTTTATACCTTGATTGCAATACTCAGTAATTATGTAAACAAGTTAATTATTTTGAAATACATCATAAAATTTCAGAATGTTTTACTACTTGGGTATGATTTTCAGAATCCCAATCTCATTTTTCATCATCTGCATCATCACTTAATCTCTCATTCGTGAACAGTCGATTTGCTTAACTCAATATATTCTTACTTTGATAGCTACTTTCTCCTTAGTATATATTTCAAATCCCAAAAACACTTCACTGAATTATCCTCCTCCAATGTTTCTTTCCTCATATATGTAGTTATTTAATTGTTTCTGCAACATTTCCATTCCGTCTCTTTCAAAATGAATTTTAATTTTATATAAATTACTAAAAATACATCTTATTAAACAATTAACATTATTAACTATTTCATCATACATAAATATTATTTTTGGGTTCTATTTCTGTACAAATTGTTAAAATATTGACAACAACACATAACATAATTAATATAATATTTGAATCAATAAACAATTTCCTAAATTAATTTTCTTCATACATGACATACTATGTCATTTTCATTATAAATTATATAATTAGAAGAATGCTTTTAGTATATTAATAAAATACGACAAGAGCCTCAATTCTAATATGGTTGAATTTGAAATTATAATAATTCCTTCCTAGATTCACATGTAAAGTATAGAGATAGAGACACTCTCTATTCCTCATTAATCTTACAATAAGTAACTAAATTCAATATGGAACTTTGAAATAATTACCCTTTCATCTTCTTATTCATTTATATTAAATTATACACACTCATACAATTTAAAATAATTAGGAATGAAATAAAATATTCATATTAATAATGTAAATTCTAAACTCATAACTTTGGTTTTTAGGCAGCCTATTATTCCAACCTCTCTAGATTTTCTTAAACCTTGTTGAATAGGTCAGCATTTCCAGTGGGGTATTCATTCTTTCCACCGAAATCATTGATCTTAGCCCAATTCTTTTGAACTTCGCTAATTTTAACAGGCAAGTCCAAGGAGACACCTTCAGTTCTTTACCATCTGACTCTAGAGAAGAATCCTCCAGAACATTCATAAATTCCACCATTATAGTCTTTGTTTGTTTCATGAGTTAAAACAGCCACTTAAAAATATTATTAAATAGATACATATTGGGGTGAGATTATTTGGGTCGATTCCAGTCAACACATCAGGTGGCATAATTGTTTCTGTCATTCTAGATGCTCCAACTGGGACCAACACGTTACATAATATGTTTCTTCTCTCTCCTTCCTTGGCCAATGTCAATGTGAGTCCAACTATTCCTGCTTTTGCAGCTGCATAATTAGTTTGACCCAAAGTTCCATACAAACCAGATCCACTGGATGTATTAATTATTCTGCCAAATCCTTGATCTCTCATGATTGGCCAAGCAGCCTTGCATACAGAATAGGTTCCGTATAAATGAGTCTTAAATCATATAAATTCTTGTTTACTTTGACAACGATATCCCAATCTTCTTCAGTCAACTTTGCCAATATCTTGTCTCTCAAGATGCCGGCATTATTGATAAGAACATCAAGTCTTCCAAATTCTTTTATAGCATGTGCAATGATTTTATCACCATTTAACACAGAGTCATAGTTGGCCACTGCTATTCCTCCCTTGCTCTTTATTGTTGCCACAACCTAAATATAGAATATTATGATTACTTCATCAGCAAATTTAGGATTTGTGTTCTTTCCATCCAAATCACAGCCATTATCATTGACTAACACTTTGGCTCCAACAGACCCATAAAACAAGGCATAGGCCTTTCCAAGGCCTCTTCCTGCTCCTGTTATGACAACAACTTTATTATCAAATCTCAAATCAGACATTTTAATTATTTGGATATATATGTGAGTATTATTTAAATTAAAATTTCAATTAAATATATTGCATATCATTCATTCACCCCCTAAATTCCTATAATTAACTCTATTTTTGTTATTTCTAGTTCTTGGCCTACTATTCATTTATTAATCAGAATTCTAAAAATGATTGGATGATATATATTTACTTTCTCTTCTTATATTAATTACAATTATTATTATTATTATTATTATTATTACTATTATTATTACTATTATTATAATTATTATTGTGGGATTAAAATTTATTTTATGATTGGAGAATCTTATTAATTCTATTTCTTAATGTTCTTCTTGCCAGAATTCCTCAGAAAATCGAGATCTGACTTAATTTCATCATCATATAGATTCAATCGAAATGCTATTAAAAATTATTAAATTTATAAATTTACTGAATTAAACTTTGTTATCTTTAGTGGCTACAAAATTTATATTCTTCTCCCTTGTTCTAGCATCCTCGCATTCCATAATTGTTCTTTATTTTGGCTGATATTCTTCTACCGTCTTCTCCTGTTTCTTCTATTACTGAAACTATTATTATTGTTATTGTTTTTTAATTTTAGAACAATTTAAACAATAATAAACTTTATTCTCAGTCTCCTCTTTGATATTCTAATTCCTACATTTAGCTTCACAATTTAGATGATTCTATCAATATCTCTAGACACATACCCATTTCTCACATTCATCACATTGTATCCATTCCTATTCATCATGATCGTACGACCCATTCGAATAGACCTAAAATCTGAGAAATTCTTTCAATACCTATTCACAAAAATCACAAAAATTTCCTCGATTGTACATCCTCAAACATTTCTCACAGAATTGGAGGGTTTCACCCTTCTTTGACTTCGTCTTGCGATCTCCCTTGTTGTTGCATTTCGAATTCTGACATTTCTAAATTTAAGGGGGGTCATCATCTTCAACAGTAATCGGATTTTGCAAAGTATTTGTTTTCTTTTGATTCGCCATTCCTAATGGGCAGAAAAACTAATTCTAATTGAAGGCATTTATGGCATTGCTGTTCATCTAAAGGCTTTTCTATAAAATTTTCATATAATCAATCGAATTAATTGCACCTCCCAAACCTAAGCAAATATAAGCCAATTCAAATAACTATAAGGTCACAATATTATAATTGATGTAGAATTGATGATATCTTACCACGATTAAAATTGAACAGATCCTGTGCTTATGAGGTTCTAAAAAGATTGTCCTAAAACTATTGAAAGATGCCAGGGAATTGTAAGGTTTTCATGTTGCTGCTCAAAAGATTGGTGAAAAATTGTTGCTATCTAAAATAGGTAATTAATTGCCAAATATATGATTTGAGCATATGAAGTAATATGATATCGAGAATATGAAGATAGAAGTTTACCTCAACTGTTGCTAACACTCTTCAAGTTGGGCTGGAGTTAGTTGCTGCAATAAGGAATTTTGGTTGTTCAATCCAGAGTTCATATTATTTTAATGATAGTTTAAATTAAATTGGTCGACCCTATTTAATCATAATTTAAGCACTAAGAACTGTCTTATTTATAATTATATAAAATCACATAAAAAACATCCAGAAAAATAAAATTCTCTTCTTTTTTCTTTTTAAAAATACTATTATTATAATTATTTTATTAATTACATTTCAATCTTTTTGTGTAATTAAGAAAATTAATAAAAATAATCACTGCTAATTTTATGAAATCCAAATATTTTTAAAGTAAAGCCATTTATTAAGAACAAAGTCTCAAAATTTTAAATAGAATACATTACGAAATTAAAATGCCATAACTAACTTAATAACTTCTCACTTCCGTACAACTTTTAAATAGAGAAAGAGCCAAAATAAATTTGAAATGATGTAAAATATTTAACTGAAATATGGAATTTTTCTCAGATACTTAATCCTATGAAGTAATGTTAAATGAATATTGAATTTTAAATAATAAATATTATTGATAAATTTTGTTAATATGTCTAATAGTTATTACGATTGGTTGGTGAAAGTAATTGTGTTAGGAGACTCAGGAGTAGGAAAGACCAACATCCTTACTCAATATTGTGATCAAAAGTTTTCATAAAATTATATGGCAACAATAGGTGTTGATTTTAAGATAAAAACAATCACTGTACAAATGATAAATATGTTAACAAGGTTGAAGATAAGAAAATCAAATTATAGATTTGGGACACAGCAGGATAGGAGAGGTTTAGGAACATTACACAAACATATTATAAGGGGGCATTTGGAATAATTTTTGTTTATTCCATAGTCGATAGAAACTCATTCAATAATGTCGAAACTTGGATCAAATCTATAACAGAAAATACGACTGATGAAGTGTAATATGCAATAATAATCCCTTAAGTTGTTCAATCTTAGTCGGAAATAAAATGGATTCTCATGATAGAAGAGTTCAATCATCGGAAGGTTAAGCACTAGCAACAAAGTATAAAATGCCATTCATAGAGACCAGTGCATTAGAAAATAAAAATATATGTAAATAAAAAATAACAATTAAATTTAGAAAACATTTTCGATATACTAGGTCTTAATTTGAAAAAAAGATTGGAAAATGAGAGTCAGAAGCCATAAGTTAATCCTGAAGCCCGATCCAGCTAATTCAAAATCAAATAGGACACTCCTTAGCCACAGCCAGCACCATCTTCTTGCAATTGCTGAAAATGGTTTTTTTACAATTTATTAATATGTAAAGTTTATTCAAAAAAAATAAAGGCATTAATTATATTTAGAATCAATCTTGTTTTATTAAGACAAAATATATTATAAATAACTCATTTTTAGTTGACAACAGCAAAAGAGTGACTTCCTCCACATGCAATCTTTACAACATTTTCCATAACTAATAAAGGAGAGTATCTACTACTATTAGGGGATTCAGTCTCTGAACCCCTACCTAATTAACCTTCTTTTCCTCTTCCGTGCATGTAGAGTTTATTATTACTAACGATGCCTACATGAGCTTATCCACATGAGACCTTATCAATATTTTGATCAAATTATATTTTATGAGGTGTGGGTATATCTTATTTGCTTGGTGTTCCCAATTAGCCGTCTCCTCCAAAACCCCAAGTATATAATACTCCATCTGTACTCAAAGCCCCAATGAATTATTCTCCACAGGAAAATTGTTTAATCTTTGGCAATCCCTTAATTTGTTATGGTGTTTAAATTACTGAAGGACTTGGAGTTCCTAATTATCCGAAGTAATTACTACCCCATGCGAACAGACTAATTAATATTCATACATACTTTCCATCTGAATCAAGTGCAACACTAAAATCAGTACCACTATCAATTTATACTATATTTTTTAAATTAGGAATTTGTTTAAAAGTAGGTTCATCAACATTTTTTGTTTGAAAGCCTAAAATACCTTTTTTATTCAATCCCACCGAATAAACATTGCCATCTTCTGAAAGTATTATAGTAAATTGATCCCCTAAGGCTACTTGTTGTACTTTAAAATTTAATTATACTAATTCTGGTAATTTAGCAGATCCCAAATTCTTTTAATATTCGTATTTTTCTCTAGACGGCAATTTGGCTGAGTTGTCAAATGAATGACCAAGTTTGCCATGATCAAAATTACCCCATGTATACAATTGTCCGTCAGTGGTTATTGCAGCCATATGATAATTACCGCATGCAACATATTTGAAATTAAGATGTTTTAAACATTCGACAAGTGCAGGAACATTTATATTTTCCACTTATCCATTTCCTAAGAGTCCAAACTTTGATCTTCCCCATGTATACAATTTTCCAGATTTATCAATTGCTGCAGAAACACTTGATTTACATGCTACAAATAAAACATCCTATATAGGGACCAGCTGAGGAGAATATTATGATATCGAATTTCCTATGCCTAGTTATCCAAAATTATTCCATCCCTGAGTATAATGTATTAGATTACCCATGCATATAATTATTCTTAAGAAAATACAAAGCTAGAAGTAAACGTGATAGATGATCCAATGAATGCAATCTTGAGACAGTTTTAAAAGGCTCTCCTCCACATTTAATAATTATATATATATATATAATATGGGAAACTTAGTGTTATTTTTGTGTATATTTTAATGAAAATAATTTACTATCATTAGAAGATTGCCCTTTGTTCTGCCGTGTATTAAGATTCCATTCTTAGATTTAGGCTCTTAAACACATATTCAATAGAGTCAACCAACTCATCAATCATTTCCTCGGTGTGTAATGGAGTCGGAGATATACGTAAAATCTCTTATCTAAAATAACATAGTAATATGATATTACCCTCTTGGCACTGTAGGATAGTTGATAGGTTGTATGTAGATGTTGTATTCGTTAAGTAGTTTTTCAGAGGCTTCCTTGCATAAAATAGGATCTCCTATAAAAACTGGGACGATGTGGGATGCACTGTTGAGAGCAGGGATCCCCTTACTCTTCAACTTAGCTTTAATAAGAGATGCAACATATTGATGTCTTTCTCTGATTTCAGGATGTGTTTTAAGATATTTGACAGACTCCAAACAAGCTGCTGCTATAATTGGAGACATGGATGTTGAGAAAATGAAATTACTGGCAGTACTTCTGACAGCATCTACAATTTCTGAGTTGGCTGATACGTAACCTCCAGAGCATCCAAATGCTTTGCCCAAGGTTCCAGTGACTATATCGATTTCTTATTGTAATCCAAGTTTTTCAGTTACACCTGCCCCTCTATCGCCATACATTCCTACAGCATGGACTTCGTCAATGAGAGTAAGAGCATTGTATTTCTTTGCTAAGTTAATGAACTCTTGGATTGGTGCAACAGTTCCATTCATAGAATAAACAGATTCGAATACTATGACTTTGTTTTATTAAATGTCTAATTTTATACAATATAAAAATACCTAATTATTTTAATTTCTCTTCCAAATCTTTATAATCATTATGTTTAAAAATGACTCTATCTCTTTTGGTGGCCCTCATTCCTTCGATTAGAGATGCGTGATTCTTGGCATCACTCAAAAATGTCACATCCTTTAAAACTTTGCCGAGTGTATCCAAGGTGGCCATATTGGCAACATACCCGCTGTTCATAACCAAAGCGCTGTCTTTCCTGTGCAAGTCAGCTAGTTCTCTTTCCAACTCGACATGGTATATGCTTGTGCCTCCAATGTTACGGGTTCCACCTGCTCCTATTCCAGTGAGATCGATTGCATTTTTGGTTGCCTATGTTACCATCGGATTTTGAGACATTCCTACTGTTAACTCATTACTCTTACCCAAGTAATCGTTGCTGCACCACAAGGTTATTGCTTGGTCCCCGGAGGGAGTCTTATTGATGGCTCTAGGAAATTCGCCATTTGTTCGTAATAAACTCTTGAATTCCCGATATCGTCCCTCGTCTTTAATCTACTGAATCACTCCCTTGAATTGGTTACTATAAAACTAGCTATGGTCAATGGGACACTTCTTTGTCTCAGATCTAGAATAGTAATATTGTCTACTTCATTTCCTTGTAATGGAGATATGGGCAAAATTTAGTGTATTTGGTTATGGCCTGTTCTGATGTCATATTTATATTGAATGTCTTTAAGAATGGACATTTAGTATGCTACAAAGTTTTCTGGTGCAAATTAATACCAACTCTCATATATAAATTTAGTTAAAATGTGTATCCAATATTAATCAAGAACCCAGCATTTATACACACATATTGCATCATTATTCATATTATATCGTTTTTATATTATTATTAAAATTCATGTAAAACTCATAAAGCGAATTGGGGCAACCTGATCCCTGGTCATTGTATTTGCCGTACGACAACAAATACGAACTCCAAGGATGTTGCTTCAAGACTCGACCTCATTGGAGAGACATGAAAGGTATCAAAGCATTAACAACAAGATAGAACTATCATTACAAATATTTAAGATCACGAATTACCAGATAACACGATCAGAACCTGCAAATACACTCTATGGACATTTCTTCCTTTGAACTTAATGGAATAATTTTCAAAGATGGCAAATATCTATTTTTTGATCGTCGGATATTTGGAAACTATAGATTTAGTATCGATTACTGATGGGTAACCTGTTATCTGGTTTCCTTTGTTTGTAGTCATTGCAATATCAGCATTTAAAGACTTTTTAGAAGATCATAAGAGATAGCTTTCTGATCGAGATGAGAACAATAGGTATTCAATGTTATGATTCAATTCAAGAATAGCCTTAGTGTTGACACCTTACGGGTTGGTTGAAAAGAAATGGTAGCAAATATTGGTAGGAGACATCATCAGAATAGAATAAGGCGAATATTTCCCTGCTGATGTGATAGTCATCAAAACTAGTGAAAAAGGGTCTTGTTTCATTGAAACCAAAAATCTAGATGGAGAAACCAACCTTAAAATCAAAAAATAGCATAAAGGACTTTAATTCACCAGGAATTTAAATGATTATCTATTACAAAAAGAGCACATTCTAGTCCACTATGATAAACCCAACCCTTATCTATATAAATTCAATGGTACAATCACGATGCCTCCTGATCACAATAGCGATGGAGATTAGTCAAGAGATTCAATTATTAATTACGATGCCTAACATAGAAAAGTCCATTAATTGGATGAAGTCAACTTTATTCTTAGAGGGTGTTCACTGAGGAACACTCATTGGATATATGGTTTGGTTGTCTATACAGGATTTGACACTAAGATCATGTTAAATTCCACCAAGGCCAGACCTAAGTCAAGCACCTTAGAATCACAGATGAATTTCTTTATTATTCTAGTATTTTTTATGTAAATTAACATGAGATTAAAATAGATAATTAGTAATCTGCTTGTTCTCAGCTTAATATTCAGTGTTTTGGTAATTAGATAATTTTATGGACATTCCCTATTTGGAATTGGACGAGAATGATCTTTAAACTAACATAGTTTTTAGAACAATGGAAAGATGGGGAACTTGGTTATTGATTTATACTAATTTTGTTCCAATATCTTTGTTAGTGACTCTAGAAATGGTATGAAAATAATTTGGTATCTAGTGTAGGTTAAATATTTACAAGGTATGATGATAGAAAATGATAATTAGTGTAAGTCATAAAATCATAGAACCGAAGTGCAAACTTCAAATCTAAATGAAGAATTGGGTAATGTCAAATATATGTTCACTGATAAAACGGGAACTATTACAAAGAATTTGATGGAGTTCAAAACCATATCAATACATGGGAAATCATACGGGAATGTTAGTAATAGAAGTTAAATTTTAAACAGTGATGACATAACACACATGCCTTAAGTGACCAATGTGGACTTTAGAGACAAACAACTATTCAATGATTTAAATTAGAATGACGACCACTCTAGAAGAATAGTAGAATATTTTATGCATCTTGCTTTATGTCATACAATATTAGTGGAATACGAGTAAGGCAAAATTAAGTATAATGCATCTTCACCAGATGAACTAGCCTTACTTATGGGAGCAAAGTTTTGTGGATTTGAGTATGTAGGGTTGGATGATGGAATGATGATTGTCAAGTATAAAGATTAGTTGTTAAAATATAAGTTATTATAAGTGTTGGAGTTTAGTTCAGCAAGAAAGAGGATGTCTGTTATCGTTTAAGATTAGAATGATCAAATTATGTTACTATGTAAGGGAGCTGATTCAATGATAATCAATTTGCTCGATAAATCGAATAGATAAAATTAGGAGTTATTGTCAATCACAGAGTAACATTTAGAGTAATATGCTGAAAAGGGATTGAGGACTCTACTGTTGGCATAAAAAGAGTTGAGCAAATAGCAATATGACGAATGGATTAATAAATATCTCTAGGCAGGTTTAACGACTATTAATAGGGAAGAATAGTTGCTAAGTTTATAAGATCAAATAGAAACTAATCTTGTTTTGATTGGAGGAACTGGAATTGAAGACAAGTTATAAGATGATGTTGGTAGTACCATGTAGAAAATATTGAATGCAGGCATTAAGATATGGGTATTAACAGGAGATAAATTAGAAACTGCTATAAATATAAGTTATGCTTGTAATTTGTTGAATGATTCTCAATAAAAAATTGTGATTTAATCAGATGATTAATTTGAAGCCTAGTTTAAAATAAACTCAGGTTTAGATTTATTAAAAACTCAATTCTAAAACCATTCAACTGCTTTAATTATTTCTGGTGACTCTTTAATCCATTTAGATGAAAAGTATCTCATTAAACTCATAGAGTTGGCTAAATAATGTCATACTGTTATAGCTTGCAGAGTATCCCCCAAATAAAAGTAAGAATTAGTGCAATTAGTGAAGGATAACATATACAATATAGTGACTATGGCTGTAGGAGATGGAGCAAATGATGTAAATATGATAACAGCAGCCAACATAGGAATAGGAATCAAAGGAGTTGAAGGTAATTAAGCAGCAAGGGCAGCAGATTACTCAATTGGAGAATTCAGAATATTACAATAACTACTACTCTATCATGGAAGAGAATGTTATAGAAGAAACCAGGTTCTGGTTGGATACAACTTTTACAAAAATCTCCTCATTGTATTACCACACTTTTGGTTCTCATTTTACAATGGATTTTCACCTCTTAATTTATATGATCCGTGGCTTTATCAATTTTATAATATGTTCTATACAAGTGTGCCCATAATGGTGTATGCAATCTTGGATTAACAATATTCATCTAAATTTCTATTAAAAAGTATACACATTATATATATCCTTAGATCCATAACTATATCAAACTAATAATAAAGTGACTCTGCTCACTTTCTTTTTCTGGTTTTGCTCTGGTGGAATACAATCAGCCATTGTTATTTATGCAGTATTTCCATCAATGGAGTAAACAAGCATAGACAAAGAAGGAAGAATCCTCTTTCTTTCCTCAGTAGGCATGGCAGTATTCTGCTATGCAATTATAATAGTGAATCTGAAGGTCTTTGTCTTCTCTTATATGAATTCCATAGGGTCTATGCTATTTATATTTGGCTCTATAATTCTGTATTTGCTAACCTACATGGTTTTGTCTTAATTCACAGACAGATTAGATGTTTCGCACACATTCATACACTTATTTTCTAATATCTAATTTTACTTCATTTTGAGTGGAATACTTGTTTTAACTATTCTGTTCGATCTAGCATTATCAAGATGGTCAATATTCTCGGAATAATAACTATTTGAAATCCATAGAGTAAGGGATGCTTAAGAGCCAGCTTCATCAGAAAAGTCAAGATTTGGAAGCACTCCACCTTCATCATTGATGCCTCCTGATAAATTTGAGAACTTATTCTAAGAAGAAGAGGAAGTCTATGATGATACATCAGTTCTTCTACCAGTTAAGCCAGTCAAAACTAGGAAATACACTGGTTATGCCTTTGCTTAGCAAGAGAAGAAGCTAGATGAAGCCCTTAGGAATGCAGAGAATTGAGAATCTTATAATAAAATAAAGAAAATTAATTATTATCAACAATATGTAAATATTTAATGTATTTCACTCCGTTACATAAGAGAAGAAAACTAATTTGTAAAACAAATAAAGTGATAGCTGCATTGTCACAACTATTCCTATTATGATATACTTCTTTTAGATCTACAATTTATCTAATTCTCTAATTTGATATTAAAAATTAATACTCTTTTAGGTTAACAATCAAGAACAATGATGAATTTGCAAATCCGTAAACAATTATCAACCATAAGAATAGTTCATTTTAGAAATAACATAAGATGGTAATTGGCAATAATGTTGACATTGAGTACCCATACAGACAGATAGTTTAAAAGAAACTTAAGTCAACTCCTAAAAACTTCATAACAGCAGCTAAGACTATTGGAGTTCCAAACGCTATTATATATAGTAAAGCAGTTGCTTATGGGACATAACTAATAACGAAGGATTGATTTTCTTTTTCTTCGTCTATCTATCTTAAATTGGCTATGGCTGTAATCATAAAAATTAAGGTGGCATTAATCCAAATTGGTCCCCATCTTTGATTTAAATATATAATAATGTACAAATCGGGATTCCCTCGAATCAGATTTAGAAAGTCTGGCTTGAGTGGCAAGAATGTTCCTTGGATTCTCTGAATTACATCGTTTTCGGTCACATTGAAATAAGGAGTGTAAAATCTTGAATCTTAATATGTTATTTACTCAACTGTCAAAAATGCACAACAACCAGATTATTTTTTATTTCCTTCATTGACATTTTGATTCGACGATTCTTTATTAGCCTATTATTATTCATCTGTTTAGTTTTAAATTCCAAAATCCATTTTATATTTCAATTAATATTTTATAAATATGGTATATGTTTATATAGACTTGCTTCCTCAAGAAATTAAAAAGCATTTCAAATACACACAAGATCCACTTAATCCAACCAATTATGCCAAGTTTAGTGAAATCAAACTTTATATAGATCAATATAATGATGATCATATAGATTAGTTGAATGTTCAAGATGTTATAGGAACCAAGTTCATAATGTAAAGTGATTTATAAGCATTGCAAACCACCTGGGAAGCAGACCATAGACCCAAAGAAGTCTTAGATGAAATCAGAGCAAGGGAGATGAGATGCAAAGACAGGGCGTTCATATCAAAATCCTCTTAATTGACCAAAGGTGTATTTCAAGAAAAAAAACAAGAGTCCATTAAGGAGTATGAGAAAAGTGTTAATTTTGGATTGTCCTTCATTTTTAGCATCTTTGCCAGTGGATTATTAGGTTATTATCTGGGAATCTACTTCTTTCAACTTACCTATGATCAATCCTTAGCCTTGGCTGCATTTTTTTTGATTGGGGCCCTGATTGTTGAAACTGGACTATACATAGTGAAGATTATGAAGGAGGACAGGATCAGGAAAATTAATTAGAGATAGAACAACAAGCAAAATAAGACAGTCCCAACTAAATTTAAAAAAGAATGATTAATATTATAGTTAATATGTATTTTAGCAATAAATCCTCTTCGTTTAGTAATGCAGAAACCAATACAGATTTAACTATGCTATTTGATTCAATGATACATGTCGATTAGATGTCAAAGATGAACAATACCAAAATTCGTTTGTATTGTCAATTGACAGAATATGAAGGGAAATTGTATACATAATTCCTCATAGACTAGACCTAATTTTAACGAATTGATATTTGATCCCTCCAGTTTGGGTAGGTATAAGAATTTCATTGGAGCATCATCCAAAATAGCTAACTACATAAAATTGTTAGACCCCAAGATTAGAAAGAAATTTATTGTTGAAGGTAAATAAGAAGACTATTTGAAGTAAATGATTTAACAACTATTTTAAAAGACAATCAAAACATACAAAAATAGAGTGTGAGCGAATCAAAGCTTTGATTGATCAACACAATACTAATTATACACTTAATCTCAAAGGACTGGCAGGAATACAGAGCAATGACAATCGTAAGGCTAATCAAAAAAAGAGTCCTTGTAAATTGACATCCATTTGTACAGCGAGACAATCAGAATTAACGACTAACGATATTCTTAAAGATATTGATTCAAGTAGAATTCATGCAACTTAAAGAGGAAGAAAGGTCAAGGTTAAGCCTTTGAAGTAGAAATAACAATCAGAAGTGATTTTTAATGATTCCCCCAGAAGTGTACCTCTGTAACCAATAAAGCGATCTCAATTGTACTAACTCTTTGTTAATTGAATCTTAATAATATTGCAAAATTTATAATATTTCTATAGAATATTTATTAAATATAAAAATGTAAGAGGAATTATCATATAATCCTGAAATTATGAAATCTTAATTGAGCATGTTACCTCCCATCGAATAATTTACATTGCAACAATTAGCAAATAAGAGGAAAGTTAATTTTAACATGATGCTTTCTTTACCGGTTAATTATTAAATCTCAATTTGTAGTTTCTATTGAAGGACAAGGCTTTGGAAGACAGAAAAGACACCATAGCTCTATTTAGAAAACGAAAATTCGAGCCCTTATTACCTTAAAAACACAACATACCATTAATTAATAGTGGCAGAATACATTGCACTGAGTTTTGGTCCGATAAATATTAGACGACAGCCTTGCGTGATTCCCACATTGAGAAAAATCTCAATAAGTATAGATAAATAATCAAAACTAACATTCAGGAATACTTAGTTAAGTTTGAAATGCAAGCAAAAGAATAGTTGGAAGAAGCACGCAAGTATTATTGAATGAATTAATTAAGTATCAAATATTAGGAAATTTTCAAAAAATAACCTTCAATTTCTGAAGATGATTTTGCTCCCACTATGAATGAGTTAAATGTAAGTCAATGCACATAAGATGAAATATTTAATTTCTATAGAGAACCCAAGAAATATAATGTAACTTAACTGCAAAAAACTAGTTTGCGTAACCTTGATAAAATTACAAGTAGCAGTCTAAAACAGAGTTATATAGAGAAATTTGATAAAGTGATAAGTGTTTGTGATCGATATTCAATCAATTCAAATAGACATTCAATGGATAATATTAAGTATTATAATTTTAGTAATATAAGTACAATTGGGTTTGGTAACATTAAAAAGCGAAAAAAAAATATACTTGACAGCAAGACTAGCAGAAGCCATATTAATTGATACTTAATTATATTTATTTATGATCAATAAAGATAATCAAAACAAAGTTCTAACTCTAGAAGAGGAGGTTAATATTCTACATTTTTTTAGATTCATAGTCTTTGGATTGCAAATGTAAGGTTAAAATTTATGTAAGTTTATGGAAGGAGTTTAAGGGACAACATGAGTTTAAGACTAGCTTTCTTTTGTTTCTGATAAGATCTTTAATATGGAATCTTTTTTTAGTTATTCGAAATTTTTTGGGCTGAACTTGTTCAATTAGAGCAAAACAAATTATTTTTAATTTTGTGTTACTCCTATTTTCTATGTTCCTCTACGAATATGAAGATTAGGTGTGCATGGGGAATCACAAAATGAATCAGATCCTTTTTTCTCCAATATTCGTTTATAGTAAGCACGATCTTTGGTAAAAGGCCTGAATACTTTGATCTCTTGTAAACTTCCATAAGTGGAATCACCTTTTGACATAGTATAGTGAGGTTGATGATTGAATTAGCTAGGTTTTGTTGTATCTATTTTCCTGAAAGATTTCTAAAATTTATTTTTCAATCTCCCTTTTATAGCTTTTCTACGGAAGTCTTTTACTCTATCTAAAAATTGGTGTTGCTCAATCGTTGTTTTAGGGTACATCAAATCTAAGTTTTGCTTATCATAACTTAGATAAATACAATTTTTTCAGATATTACTCCATCACATTCACTTTTTCTCCTTTGTCTAAATGGAGTATCAAAGACTTTGATTAATCTGAAACTATGTGTCTCATGATTTATCTTATGTAAACTCTTTAGAACAAAACTAGTTTCTACTTTTTTGTTAAACCCCCCTTAAATTTCAATTTTCTTGAACTTAGCCATTTAGTTTTATGAACTTTCATTAGCAAGTAATCTTGGATATTGTCTAACATTATTATCTTATGTTATCGTGATATAATTTCTCATTAATTAATTAAATGTCAATATTAATAAAGAATACATATAAAATGCTATTATTTTAAATTTTTAAATTGTATCTAAGCAACTATTACATGGAACAGTCTAAAGTTCATAATATTAAAATTTGCAACAGATTTAATAAACTTAGAAAATTTCAATCGAGACTATCGTAAACCAAAAAATATAATCATTTATTAAATTATATAATCTCATAGCTATTTTGATTAATTGTTAATTACTTGGTATCAACTGGCAATAAATAAAAAATAGAAATTTACTATAAAAAAAATTTTTTATATTATTACAGGGAAAGGGAGAGGATTAAAGTAAATAAAATATGATTAGGAAAATCACTTGAAATTTCAGATAAAAATTCTCAAATATAGAGGAAAATGCATTATGTAATAGATTCAAATAAATATATCTAGATTATGTATCAAATCCTTTAACTCTGATTATAATATCCCAAAAATTATAAAATATTTGTAAAGATTTTGGATAAAACTAATCTTTAAAAGTAATAAATACAANTGTTTCTGATAAGATCTTTAATATGGAATCTTTTTTTAGTTATTCGAAATTTTTTGGGCTGAACTTGTTCAATTAGAGCAAAACAAATTATTTTTAATTTTGTGTTACTCCTATTTTCTATGTTCCTCTACGAATATGAAGATTAGGTGTGCATGGGGAATCACAAAATGAATCAGATCCTTTTTTCTCCAATATTCGTTTATAGTAAGCACGATCTTTGGTAAAAGGCCTGAATACTTTGATCTCTTGTAAACTTCCATAAGTGGAATCACCTTTTGACATAGTATAGTGAGGTTGATGATTGAATTAGCTAGGTTTTGTTGTATCTATTTTCCTGAAAGATTTCTAAAATTTATTTTTCAATCTCCCTTTTATAGCTTTTCTACGGAAGTCTTTTACTCTATCTAAAAATTGGTGTTGCTCAATCGTTGTTTTAGGGTACATCAAATCTAAGTTTTGCTTATCATAACTTAGATAAATACAATTTTTTCAGATATTACTCCATCACATTCACTTTTTCTCCTTTGTCTAAATGGAGTATCAAAGACTTTGATTAATCTGAAACTATGTGTCTCATGATTTATCTTATGTAAACTCTTTAGAACAAAACTAGTTTCTACTTTTTTGTTAAACCCCCCTTAAATTTCAATTTTCTTGAACTTAGCCATTTAGTTTTATGAACTTTCATTAGCAAGTAATCTTGGATATTGTCTAACATTATTATCTTATGTTATCGTGATATAATTTCTCATTAATTAATTAAATGTCAATATTAATAAAGAATACATATAAAATGCTATTATTTTAAATTTTTAAATTGTATCTAAGCAACTATTACATGGAACAGTCTAAAGTTCATAATATTAAAATTTGCAACAGATTTAATAAACTTAGAAAATTTCAATCGAGACTATCGTAAACCAAAAAATATAATCATTTATTAAATTATATAATCTCATAGCTATTTTGATTAATTGTTAATTACTTGGTATCAACTGGCAATAAATAAAAAATAGAAATTTACTATAAAAAAAATTTTTTATATTATTACAGGGAAAGGGAGAGGATTAAAGTAAATAAAATATGATTAGGAAAATCACTTGAAATTTCAGATAAAAATTCTCAAATATAGAGGAAAATGCATTATGTAATAGATTCAAATAAATATATCTAGATTATGTATCAAATCCTTTAACTCTGATTATAATATCCCAAAAATTATAAAATATTTGTAAAGATTTTGGATAAAACTAATCTTTAAAAGTAATAAATACAAGAAATTTAACTATAAGATAACTAAAATAGCTTTGAAAATAAAGATATTTCTGGATAAAAATTACATATTCATATATGCTTTAATTGTTCTAGGAACTTGCTAAGCCTAAATTTCGCTCGAAGCTGAAAGTATTAAGGAAATATTTAAAGAGTCCAAACAATTACAAATAGTTAACAAATATATAAATGAAGATTGATTTGAGAGATAAATTATTAAGATACAATGATTATTTCTATATATTTACTTAAAAATTTTAGAATTGATACTTCACAATCCAATTAGTTCTATCATCTTTTTATATAAAATAATTGCAATTCTTCTAAATAAAATCATTTTTTTTTTTGAAAGAATTATTCGATTCTACAAGCATGAGGATTTCAAATAAGAGTTAAATTAATATAAATATATATTTGAGGAAATAAAAGGAGTTCTTATATTGATAAACATTTCTGTAAAAAGATGAGTTATTAATTAATTTTATTAAATATAATTATGAGCACAGTGACTAATGAATCGAAGAAGAAGGAAACAATTGATAAGGCACTAATACAGTAGTAAAGGGAACAATTAAAGCAGACGGTTTTGGAAAGATTTATAAAAGATTTCGGTAAGAACAACAAAAACAAAATATAAGTAACTTACATAATAGAGAATAGATAATTACTTAAATAGTGAATGATTATTTTACAAAAACCAGAGTCACTGATGTGACTTTGAAGACTCTTAAATAATAAGTTTAATAAGCAATTCAAAATGTAGGATCGACAACACAATCCTAGGCAGAAAAATCAATATAGGAATCATAAGGTATTGCATCGATGTGAATAATTTAAGTCACTCAACAATAGCAAACACAGCATGTTCCTTAGTAAAAGCCTCCTAGTAGTCAATCTAGAAAATCAAATTAATAACAATTATAACAATAATAATCTTAATAATATCATTAAGATGCACATTCTGAAATATCATCCAAAGTATCGATATATATGTATGATGTAAAAAGGCTCCGAAATCAGTGTATATGATGGAAGGCGATGAGGATGATGAATGGGCAACTTTAGTTAAGTTTGACACTGAATTATTTAAGAAAGAGAAGGAACTCGAGAATGTAAGGAAACAAGAATTCAAAAAGAAAGTAAAATCTGAATTGGATAGATAAATAAATGAGAAATAAAATAAGAAATAAGAGGAGTTTTAGGATGAAGATGCTTATGTGAAGCTACATCATTATTAATTAAATGTCTATGATTAGAGAGAAAAAGAGAAACAAGATAATCTTAAAAGCAAAATATTTAATGAAAAATAATAGAGAGACAAATAGGTTAGAGATGAATAACAAAGAAAGTATGAAAATGAAAAAGATATTATCTAGAAAAGTAGAATAAAAGAAGGAGAAGGAGTTAGATAGTTTACTTGTTAAAAAGATAAGAGAGGAATTGGAACTTGAATAGAGAGAATAACTTAATAGAAGAAACAAGGAGAGAGAGAGATTCTTGAGAATGATGAAGGAAAATGAGGAATATAGAAAGAAGGCTTTAGAGGATGCTAAATTAGAGAAGGAAGCTGAAACTTAAATGTAATAACAATACATTAACTTGCAAAATCAATTAGAAGAACAAAGAGATTTGGAAAGGAAATAGAGAGAAGAAAAGATGAAGAAAGTGATGGGGATGTTTGCAGAGGGTGTGGTGAAAGATTAAAAGGAATTGATTAGATAGGAAGATGAGAAAATGTTAAGGAATATTATAGCATAAAATGAAAGGGAGAAAATTGAAGAGGAAAAGAAAAAGATAAAATAATTGGATTAAAGATAATAATTAAGATCCTTCTTGAATTCTTAAATAGAGGAAAAAAAGAGAAGACAAGAAGAGGAAGAGGAATTAAATAAAAGATAAGCTGAAATCTGGAAATAAGATTTGAATAATTACAATGATCATGAGAAGAAAAAATTTGATGTATTAATATTCAGAATTTAATTAGTATATTAAAGAAGTAAATTTAAGACATGCAGATATATTAAAGAATCAAATTGAAGAAAAGTAAGGTAAAATTAAAAAGAAGACAACTAAAATGAACACAGCTGAGTTGCTCTAAAATAAAGACAAACTTAAAGTAATTGCTTAAGAAGTCCCAGAACTTGGAGAGAAAGTAAAGAAGATTGAGATTTGATTTATCAAAAATAAATATATATGATATTATTTAGTTATTTTATTATTTTCCATTTACACAAATTGCAATTATATAAAGAAATAACATAGAATTATGGATTATAATGAGAGTTAGAATAGTGAAACCAAATAATTAAAAGTAACCGAAAACTTAATTGACAATATAATTTCTTGGTTTGTTTCCCACACAAAATATTAAATATATAAATTATCAATTATCTTTATTAATATTATTCTCTAATACTCTATTATCCATTTAATCCAAATAGTCTTCTTAATCTTCAAAGGGTTCATTATCATAATTGTCATTTTCTTGATTTATTTGTGGTTCTTCAATTTCAGGTTATTACTTTAATTTTAATGGGATATAACTTCGAATATAAGTTTATTCGTTTATAAATATAATTTTGAGTGCTCTCTAATTATATGTTATACCAGTCATCGATATTACCGTACGTTAAGCATCTTCAATAGTTGTATAAACTAGAAAAAGAGAACCTGCTTCGGCTAAAGTGGTTAATTGACACAATTACCTCCAAGACCTGCTTAATAAGGCTTAACAAAGAAATCATCTTCTATATGACCATATTATGAAAAGCCTTCAATTAAATCTTCTCGCATTTCATTCCATTCATTTTTATTTAGATTTATTGCCATAGCAACATTTAAGAAGTTTCCAACCTTTATAATCCTGGATGGGATACCTGCCTAAGCCAGAATTTCATCTTCTTCCCTCTATCCTCTGGCATAGCCTAATGATTTTAAAGCAAGATATGCGGCTGCTTACGCTTAGGCCATATTATGAGCTTATTAAACTAATTATGATTGATTAACGGATTAACCTGAATAAAATATATTTTTATAAAATACCATAGAGACTGTCACCTAACCTGAAAATCTTACATGATTCATCCAGCAATTTGATTTCCTCTAATTTGAGCATTCTATTTGATTCTTCAACAGATGATAATTCTAGAGTGCAAGTTCGATCTTTTTCGTTTAGGTGACAATAAAGAATCGGTTTAGCATTGCCAACGTCATTTAAGTAATTTCTATTCATAAATCTGCTCAATTCAGCATAGAGATCTCGATTAGTTAAACCTGTCGGTATATTGCATATTTGAATTCTTCTCATTCTACTAGTCAATGACATTACTTTTTCTTTATCTTCTCTCACTTTGTCGTGCAAATTAGTTTTAGGTACCCAAGTAAATCCATCCCAAAAGCAATCCTATTTATCGTAACCTAGAGCATCTAATTAAGACAGAGAAACTTTGAGTACTTGATTTAGCTACAGGATTGTTGGCTAGTATTTATTTTTAATAATGTTTGACAGCAGAATTAGATCTGGATCTTTTTCTTCTTTCTTATTTTAATCTCGCAATTCTTTGCTAAAGTGGAATATAAATTTTAGATTACTTCTTTGGTTTCTACATCCTCACCTTATTTTTATGCATCAACCTTATTGTTATCTTTTTCCTTCTCTTTTTCTTTATCCTTGTCTTTATCCTTTTCTTTCTCCTTGTCTTTATCCTTTTCTTTTTCTCTCTCTTTGTCTTTTTTCTTCTTCTTTTCCGATTTCTTATTTGATTTCTTTTTCTCTGACTTTTTTCTCTCCTTAGACTTTCTTTCCTTAGATTTTTTACTTTTTTATTTTTTTTTGTCTTTCTTCTATGATCTACTTCGCTTTCTCTTCTTCTCCTTCTTGTCTTCACTGCTGCTTCTACTTTCCATATCTGAAATATATTAATTTAAATATTATATGATTTATATCATCTCACATTCAAATATATAGTGATCATTCTGGGTTCTTTAAGTCCACATTCGTGTTTCCATTAAGCATATGTGTTAGGATCTCCTTTGTGTATTTTAATCTCTTGGCCATCTCGTGATTTTAACTATCAAGGGCTGTTGCTAAGGGATAATGACTCCTTTCTCCTAATTTGTTAACATAGGTGACCAATTTGTTCTCTGAGGACAAGATGATTTCAGTTTTATCAGTGAAGTTTACCTAAAGAGAGAGAAGAACAGAATACTTGAACTATCTTATTGGAAAGTCTGAACATGATGGCATGTCTTGTTTTCATCCACTTCTTCACATAGACAGATTGGAATGGATCATAATCATTGATTTCACTTGAAGTAATGGTTTTAGAATCAGCATCCAAATATGATTTAAAGTGTTGAAGGAGTGTAACTTTTTTCTGCAATTCCTTGGGATAACTATTGATAGAAAATTTATCAATGGCATCTTATTTATCTGTGCCTTTTCTTTCTAAATATTCAAATTCTTGAGTTTTGGGATCTAAAATGATTTTAGTAGAATCATTAAAAAACACTCCAGTAGCACCATTACTGAGAAGATACCCAAGTCCGTATTTACTGCTGTAATCGACCCATCTTCTTACAAAGATTTCATTTTTTTGTTTGCTACTCTATATAGTGCCACTGGTATAAAATTGATTAAGGGATTTGGTGCTGACTGATTACTTGAAATCCTAAGGTTTTTGTGAGGATGGTCTCTGACTACTATTATATCCTCCATTGTATCCAGTGTTTAATCCAGAAGTGGCTCCGAATTGATCTTCTAATAAATTATACTGGTGAAGTACGTCTTTCAGATGATATATTGGGTCTCACAGTGGCCATCTTGGGATTAGATTAAGCTGTTTCAGAGGCTCGACTTGGTTGTTGGAACTATTTATTATATTAAATTGAGGGAGGACAAGCTAAAGTGGATAGAGGTAGAACTCTAGGGAGTTTAAGTGATAAATTTTTACTTAGGGATAGTACCACCAGAGTTCATAAAGGAATGGGCCATGATTTCATCTAATGTAGGTCTTTTACTAGGTTCGAGAACCAAGATCTTTTGAATGAGTTGTTTAGCATTATCTGATATTTGTACTTGATCTGGGAAGGAATATTGGTTCAATTTAATTTTTTTGTAGGTGGATTTGACATCAGGAGTCTCAAAGGGAGGCTTACCAATCAACATTGCATAAATTATAACTCCTAGTGACCATACATCAACTTCGAATGAGTGTCCCACTTTGCCATCCAATACTTCAGGAGCTATATAATTTGGAGTTCCGCAAATAGTTCTCTTTTTCTCTCCATCGAATTCCAGTTTTGTAGCCAAACCGAAATCCCCCAATTTTAACTCCATGTTCTTATTCAGGAACAGATTGCCAAGTTTTAAACTAAATTTGATTACAAAAAATACTCTCGATGAATCACATTATTGTTATGGAGATATTTTAATGCATTTATCATCTATGCAACATAACACTAAACCTCAATTTCAGTCAATCTCTTTCTTCTTTTGATTAATTCATTCAGGGTTTGATTGCAACATAGTTCCAATAAAATGTACACATTTTCATGATCCTCAAAGACATGTTCAAATTAGACAACATTTGAATTCTACAAACTTTTGTGTATTTTGATTTCTGACACCAACTAACCCAATTACATTTATAAATACCTTTTAACGGGCTCTATTTCTAGTCAGAGAAGACTTAGCAATGATTTTTGCAGCCAACACCTTCTTATTCTCCAAATTTGTGGCCTCGTAACACTTAGCAAATCCTCCCTTCCCCAAAAACTTGCCTCTTTGATAACGTTTAATTGCCACCTCTCCATTCACTTTAGTAATCTTCTCCTCAAATATTACTATTTGTTCACTTAATTTAACTCAACATAATACCCATCTTGATTATTGTTTTCATCCATTGTAGGTTGTTAGATATCTTAATATATTAAATTTATTATTATATCACTCCTTCAAGTACGTATTCTTATGGACCAATCATTTCTTAATCCATCAACTTTTCGCTCTCCAAACTCCAATTAGTCCTCTCACTCCAAATCCCTCCCTATACAATATTTTTGTATTTTCAAGTCTCACTACAATAAATTTGGTAAGAGTATCATAATTCCTGATACTTTTGAATTTTTCCAATTCCCCAAACTCTTATTTGCCTGCTTAAGACATTTTACATTAACACTCATCGATTTCAATCATTTTCATGTTGTTCTATTCAAATATTCAGATTGTTATTAAATTACTATTACATTATTCTCTCTCTCTACATGTTTCTAGCATATATAATAATGTAATATCATAGGATTTCATTGAGTTTACACAGTTCTCTAACTTAATAAATAGGTTGCTTAAGTAACTTCCAAAAAAAACAGTCTATTTCAAATAGTAATCAAATTCCATATGGAAATCAATTTCTAATTCTCCATTAATAAATATTAAAAACCTGATTAAATGTTATTTGGCCATACAATATTCTCTTGCCTATCAGAATAATAAACTCATATTTATTCTGGTTATATAATTGATAATTTATATTTAATATCATTTAGTAGTCATTAGAATTTTATCCAAAAATTATATATCTTAAGATTAGAGAATAACTACATCCTGAATCCTGGATACAAAAAATAAATGATTAAAAAAATTAATTATTTGAATTAATCTTAACTATAAATCTTTAAATTAATTCATTAGCATTAGAATTTTTTATTTTTTCATTCTTAGGATCCTTAATGCATACAGATTTATTCATAACAATGAGATTTCATTTGCACTCTATTTGTAAAAATTGAAAATTATTTGAGTTTAGATTTAAATAGTATATCATCATTTCAAGTGATCAAATAACTGATTTAAACAGGTCTTAAATGGATACTTCGAGAAACAATTCAATGAATGAAGTCACGCTGATCCACTTCAACATATATCTATTCCTATGAGCAAAGAAAGATATCTAAAAAGCATTATTAGTGTATTTGTTTATTTTTATTTTAAAATTTAAAATAAATCAAATCCATTATTTTGCATGGTTCAAGTCAAGAGATAAGACAGAAGAAAGGTCTATGAATATTTGTTATTGGAAGGTGTCATTGTTATCAAGAAGGTACATTTTCATAAGAATTCATAAGGATATGGCTCTCCCAGTTCATTCTGAAACAGGAGTAAAAAACTTGGAAGTTTGGATGCTCTTGAGAAGTTTGAGAGATAAGAAGCTTGTTGATTTGGTGTTCTCATGGCAATACTACTACTATTATCTCAAGGCTGAAGGTGTTAAATATGTAAGAGATAAGTTGGGTATGATGAAATCATCTAACAATAAGGCATTGTCGAAGATGTTATTCCAGCTACATTCAAGAAGGCTGATAAAAAGTTCGAAGATGATGTCCCTGAAAGAAGGGGTCCAAGAGGAAACAAACCATTCGGCAGAGGAGGAAACAGAGGACCAAGAAGAGCTGAAGAATAAACAGAAACAGCATAACAATGAAATTGATACATACAATCGTACAATATATATAAATGGTTCATTTCAATCACGCTTTTCTAAAGACCCACATTAGAACAATTATTTTCTGAAGGCATTCTTAAAACCATTTTTCATACTATCTTATCCATTTCAATTATACAAAATGCGCATAATAATCTTAAACAAAATTGATACTCATCCAATAATTCAATTTTTTATATAAAATAAAAATGATATCATGTGCTTCTTTCATATCAATAGAGTTTTTAGAACACTATTCTTTTACAAAGGCATCGATTAATACAAATAATTCTCTTTCTATTAGAAATCTTCTGGAGGTTTCTGAAAATTTACTTGTTCTCCAGTTCCTAATCCACAAATTTGCATAATTCCAAAACTATTTATTTTTTATTGCTCTTCAATCCATTATTTTATTGATTTCTTGATTATTCAATAAGAATATAACTAATTTTATATTTGTCAAATCAAAATAAACTTTGCATCACTCAGATAGATAGATAAAAAGAGAAATTGTACATTGCTATATCTTTAATAAACCTATTTTTATTTGAAAAATATGCTAATAAATGTGATTTATTCAATAATAATTATTCATCCAAAGGTTTAGGGTTGCTATAGGATAAAATTTGATTTCATATTTATTTCAATCTCAAATTATATTCAAAATTAAAGTGTTATATTATATGATTAACTTTTAGGAGTATAATTTATTGGTTTGAAATTTAAAAAGAAATGATTTTGATTCTTTTCCATTCGCTCTTTTAAAATTCAAAGTTTAAATTTGGATCCCTTATTCATGCTCAAGTAGATATGCAAATGTCAGAAAATTTTCCTCTCTTTTTATTTCAACCAAAAATTATTAGTATAATACACTCAAATAGTTGTTATTATGAATCATGCTCCATATCTAAACCATAAAATAAAGCCTCCTAAATTTTCATTCCTATTTATTTTCAATCTTCTTCTTGCTTTTGAAGTTCAATTTTGGATTCTATTCAGTTATGGGATTACATAATTTAATAAATGAAAAATAAAGTTTTTAATTCAATCAAACTTTTTGAATATAAAGTAAGTATTAATCTAAAATAAATTATAATATCATTTATATTTTTGACCACTAGCTGATCTTTATGCTCTTTAACTGATCGAGATCAACTAAGCTGTTTTTTCAGCCAACCTTTTGAGTGTATATATTTCATCATTTCTTTAACCTAATAAATCGTTTAATCGTTCAATTTCATCTATTAGCATCTATATTTTCTAATCCTTTTCCTTGTCATTGGCCAATTACTTTTACTACACTTAAGCCTTAGAATATTTAATCTTCCATTGATTGAGATCATCATTAGCCAATTTTAAGGAATCATCCTTCTATTTCAATTAATCTTGTAAAGATATTATAGTTTTTTCCATTTCAGTTATAACTTTAAGAAATGATTACTTTTATTCATCTTCTTCCTGTTATTAAAGAATTTTTTATTTCAACTCTAGAAATATATTGATTATTTTTACCTTGCATTTATTGGAGCCTCGTTGAATCCAATTCAGCGTATCTGATTTTCCATTATTGAATTTCTTCTGATTGTTGCATGAGTTTATTAGAGGAATCTTAGAATACTGATTGAATGTCTGTTAACTCTTAATATAAATGTTCCGCTTATAATTTGGATTTTTCATACTAGAATTAATGGAGATGCATTACATCTTGAAATCTAATATCAGATATTTCTTTGACTAATATGAGTTCATGTTCGATGCCTTTTAATTTATTGATTTGAATTTCTTATTCCATGATTTGGCCCCTTAATTATTCATTTTCTTTAATTTTATCGTTCAATTAGAGATTAACCTTTTTGTTTTCTTCCACCAGTTGATTGATTCTCAATTCTAACTGATTGCTAAAATAGTTAACAATCAATTAAATACTTAGTATCCTTTTTTTCATTTTCAATGCTATGAACGCTGTGCTTTTTGATGTTCTGAATGACTGGAGATAAAGGGTTGGATTTGGAATGGATTAATGTTTAACATATTGGAGACAATTTCATTTAATTATTAAATATAACAGATATTTGGTGATTAAACTAAGGAAGATAATTAATACAGAGAAACAAAGTGTGAAATTAATGAGATAGTATAGAAGTCATAAGAACCAAATTTGCGTTGAAAAAAGCACTTAAACTATTATACAAATATTGATATAAGAAACTGTAGTGATAAACTAAATTTATATTTAATTGAATTAATACAAATGTTGCCTTCAAGATCTGATTCTTAATAGAGAAGTCTTGAGAACCCTGATAAATAGACGATGAGAGTGGATTCAACAAAAAGAACTGATAAATTGATTGAGGTTCCTCGAAAGAAGCTTAATATGAGGTAAAATTAATTCAGTGAACAGTTAGATTGTATACAGAATCTGAACAAAGGTTTCAAGATTATGTTAATTCGAAGATTGTTACTATTAGTATTATTGCATTAGTGGGAGCTTATGCAATATTAATATTTATCATTGTGGCTTTGGAGGAATTGCTTGATGAAACTGAGTTCAATAATGTCTCATCAATTTTGAGTTGGATTGAACTTGGAATATTGATAGTGTTCATTCTAGAAATATTTGTTGGATTGTATGCTTGGGGCATTAAGGTAATTTTAATAAATGATGTAGAAATATTATAAAGACAAATGGCTGATTTTGGACACTCTAATTATCTTATTGTCACTCTTTTTTGTGATATTTGAGTTGGCTGATCAAAAAACATCCAATGTAATCAAAGTAATCTAGGCAGTCTTTCGATTCTTGAGAATATTTCTCCTAATTAGAAAGGCCTAGACATTTAGAAGATTGGCAACGATTTCCACTATTTCCACACCCGCTGAAAAAATAGTGAGGTTCCTAGCTGAGTTGAAGGAAGTCTTGGAAGATGAAAATATGAAATTAGATATTGATTATTGTATTGACAAGATCGGAAATAATCAATTGTATTAGATGGGTAAATTGGATGAAGACAATGCTGAAGTAAGCCAATGTTTCAATTTAAATAGGCTATGGCTTGGTTAAATCAAAGTTAATAAGGTAGAGCTGAAGTCAAACGAATTGTAACAAATGAATAATAATAATAACAACAAAAGAAAGTAATTGCTAATTTTTAAAAACTTAATATTCCAAAAAGAGTAATTTTACTATAATATTGAATAGTTACTGGAGATATTATATAAGTAGCATGATGATCTATATATTGATCCTTTTGAATGTGACAAACTATCTGGAGGCGAGGGATTGGTGAATTTGATGCTGTTTTTCTTTGAAAATTATAATCTGTTTGACGTATTCCTTATTAAACCTAAAGTGGTGAGAGGGTACTTTGAGGAAGTAATGAAAGGATACCTTGATAACCCATATCATAATAAGGTCCATGCTCAAGATGTTGCTTAAACTTGCAATTTCTTATTAAGCAAATGCAAATTCATTGAAATCGGTTAATTAGATGAATAAGACATCGCCTGTGTGTTGATTGCTGGAGCTATTCATGATTATGGACATCCAGGACTTACTAATGCATTCCTTATCAACAGTAGAAATGATTTGGCTCTAACATACAATGATCAGAGTGTGTTAGAAATGTATCATCCATCGTAATGCTTTAAAATTGCATGGGGAAATCAAAAAGTCAACATTTTTGAAAATCTGTAATTTCATAAATACAGACGCATCAGAGAATCCATTATCTTAATGGTACTTTCCACAGACATGGCTCATCATGCTTCAGAACTTGCCATCACTAATAGTCGAATTGCTGCTCGTATTCATTATTTAAGTATGCAAAAATAGCTGATTTTGAACCAAATGGCAAAGATAAATAAAGATTGATGGACCTGATTGTGCATTCCTCTGATGTATCCAATCCTACTAAAAGCTTTGAAATCTATAAAAATTGGACAGAAAAAGTCTTAACTGAATTCTGGCTGTAAGGAGACAAAGAGAGAGACCTTGGCTTGCCAATCTCGTATCTATGTAATCGATATACAACCAATACAGCCGAAGCTTAAGTGGGGTATTCTTGTTATTGCTTATCAGATTTATTGATTATGTTGTGAAACCTACATTTGCATGTGTCTTGGGATTCCTTCCAGCTTATGAACCTTTCTTTTAAAACTTGGACAAAAACAAAGCTAAGTGGCAAGAACTTATAGAATATTATAAACAATAGTTAGCTTCCATTCAACCTAAATGAAATTATGATTAATTATAATTAAATATATGTTGCAGTTCGCATCAAAGCATATCTAAATAGTCAAGACAAAGAGGAAAGCTGTATATCATAATTCTCTGATGTACTTATATTTAAATATATTTTACTTAGAAATAAATAGTTATATCGAAATCCAATCTGTATGAGTAACAGTATGAATTCAATCAGATTTTTGATCCACAATGTGATTAAGAATAGATTTACTTGTGTGTTGTAAATCCCATAGTCACGGATGCTTTAAATGGGATAAGTTCGAACTTAATTATATATGGTTCATAAGGAAGCGGCAAAACATATTCGTTGTTTGGAACGATAGGATCCTTGTTTACTCTGAAATAAGGGTTGATTAGCATTGAGAGTGGGATTGCCATAAGGATGATTCATGTAAATATGTGATCTATAGACTTTTAGTAACTGCACTCGTAAAAATAGATATCAGAATTAAAAATATTCATTATTGACAACGAATAGATTGTGAATCATTTAAGCACCAATGGACAATCGAAATGGATTGAATTAGCTAAGCAATTATGTGAAGTGATTTAAAACTTGAATGACTCGATTATTCATGTTGTAATTGAAATAAAGACTGTGCAGAACTCAAAAATAAAAATTATTTAAATTGGATCTGTTAGCAAGGGAAATTCAGGACAGATGGTAACTCACAATAAGAGCATTTTTACATTACATAGATGCATTTAGTGTTTGATTGATTAATAAAAATAAAAAAAAATAATTTAGATGCAAAGAATATACATCCCATTTAGGGAGTCAAAATTGACTAATTTGTTATCGAATTCCTTTTTGGGATAGGCTCAATTAAAGATTATTCTATGTCTTGCTCCAACGAAAATGGATGATGCTTTGGGTACTCTTTAGTTCGGACAACAATTTCAATAAATAAAAATAGTTAGGTAATAATCTAAACATTAAACATAATTTTCAGTTTAATAGTAATTTCAAACCTAATCCTAACTTTAGATTAATGAGTTTAATTCAATGACTACTCAAAGTCAAACTCTGGAAATGATTCCAATCCAGTTCCATGTGCAAAAGATTTAAGAATTGACTGATAAATACGAATCTATAATTCACTACTTACAATAAAAAATAATTAAATATAAAAATAGATGAAACCAATACATTGTATATAAAAATTAATAATCGAATAAATATATAAATTATCTCAACTTTCTTTACCGAATTCCCTAAATATTTATTTATTAAAAAAAGAATGAATTTCGATTAAATTGAAAGTGAAAAATTATACAATAATAGATTCTTTATAAAGAAGAAGATCAGTGCAGGTATATTTTACAATTAATTTATGTCTTAAGGTTCATTCGGAGTTGTGTTTCTATGTGAAGATTTATAAACGAAAGAATATGTTGCAATGAAAGTCGAAAAGGACGATACCAACGTTATAGGATTAGACAGGGAAATCCAAATGTTGGATGAATTGAGGAAGATTCCAGGTTCGAAATTTACTTAAATAGGGATTCCAAAAATCATTTGGGCAGGAAATGATCATGATCGCAATTGTCTAGTCATGCAATTATTAGGGAGGGATCTATCCTATCATATGAAAGAATTAAGAACATTTTCTTTAAAATGTGTAGTTAACATTATTCTACAGGTGATCTAAATTATTGAAGGAGTTCATAGAAGGTATCTTTAATAAAATTTATAAATTGATAGAGGAATTATTCATAGAGACATGAAACCAGAAAACATTATGACTGGAAAAGATTAAGAATTAAATTAAATATTTCTAGCCGACTTTGGAATTGCCAAGTTCTACCGAGAACCAGATGGTACTCATACGTATTCCAATTTTAAATAATCTTCAATTAGACCCTTCAAGGAAAGTAAGCCATTTGTGGGAACAACAAGATATGCTAGTATTAATGCTCATAAAGGCTACGAATTGAGTAGAAGAGACGACCTAGAATCAATAGGCTATATGTTTATTTACATGTTAAAAGGAAAACTACCTTGGCAAACCTTTCACAACGTCAATGAGAAAGAGAAGGTGAAAATTGTTGGTCAAATGAAATCTCAAATATCCATTGAGGAATTGTGTAAGGACTGTCCTCAATAATTTTATCAGTACTGCTTAATATAATCTTAGATATTTTCAATATGTTAAGTAGCTTCAATATAAATCATCACCAGATTACCGTTATCTCTACTCCCTTTTCGAATAAATAGCCATACAAAATGGATTTAAACATGATAAAAGATTTGATTGGACTGAATTTAGTTAAGGGACTACAAAAGTGACTGTCGAATAAACTTAATAGGAAACTAGATAATAGGTTTAGCGAAAAAGCAAGGTAGAAGATAAATCACCGAAAAATTCTGAATTAAACTTAAATAGAACAGAGTTGAATTAACAATAGAAAGATACTTCCAAGAGTAGAATTAGAAGTCGTCATTAGTCTGAATAACGTGTAAATAAAAGTGGTAATAGTGCAAATAGCTATTCTTCATCTTGTATCAATTCTCAACAATCCTCCGTTCTGATTAATTATTAAAATTCTTAATTTACCCAAAGCAATGTAAGAATAGGCTCTTCAAAATTATTAAGTAGATTATAAGAAAGAGGAATAATCCATAAAAACTCTGATTCTAGAAGTTCTATCATCTAGTAATAGTCATCGAAATCTTTTAGAGAAAGGAATCAATCATCATAATATATTTAATAGGGTCTCGCCTAATAATAATAATAATCTTAGCATAATAATAGTTAAATGGTGTAAAGATTTCAAGAGGACTTTTAAGATCTGGAGGAATTGGAAGAGAGATTATAAAAGGATAAATAATCTATGTAAATATTTGTTAAATCAAGAGCTAGCGCAATTAGTAGCATAAGAACAATAAGCCTTTAAAGGTTAAGGAGATTTAACATCATTTTGAATAAAATGATAACTTTACTGAGATTGGTGGAATGACACAATTAGAAGATGATGCTTCTTTAGAAAATAAGGTTAAAATTTATAATTTTGATGCTCCAAAACTGAAATAGAGATTAGCTAAGTACTGAATCAATACTAATTTTATACTTTTTTTGTTAATTAAAGTCTACTTAAATTATATATATTCATGTTTTTCTTTTCTTTTTCTTGTTTTATTCAACTTCCATTTAATCTTTAATTTTCTAATTTGTTTCTTAAAGTTGTTCATTATATTTTTCTCTTTTCATTAAAGAGACTTTTTCATCCTACATCATTTACTCTTTTATTTTTTTCGCTAATTACTTATCTTCCTCAACTTCTCTTCTTTTTGCTTCTTCTCTTTATTGTTATTATCTTTTTAATTCATCAGTCATTTCCTTAGTTTTTCTCTCCTATGACTTTTTCTTTCTTTCCTCCTCTCTTCTTTCCTTTTCTTCTTAATCTTTCATATGTTTTTAGCATTTTCTCTCTTCCTCTTTTATTTTTTCCTATAATTCCTTGTCAACAGTTTATTAGAACCTATTTGCTATGCCATCAATTTTATTTAATCTATCATTTTTCTCCTTCTCTCTTTATTCATCCCTTTTCTTTATAATTTCACTATTTTATTTCATTATTTTTCTGTCTTCTTCTTTTTCTTTCTCTATTGCTTACTTTTATCTAATTTAATCCTAATCATATTATTTTAACACCTTCTACATTTCTAACTGTTTTTCTAATTTCTTTTTTTTATCTTCTTCATCATCTATTTACATCTTTCTTAAAACTAAGTAATTAATTACTAATAATACCTTAAGCTATTTCTTGTTGTTCTTCTGCAATTCTTTGTTTTCTTTCTTTTTTTTCCATTTTTTTTAAATTATCTAGATAGGTATTGACTTATTAAAGTTCTTCCTTTTTTTATTTTGCTTTAATTTCCTTATTTTATCTAGAGAGTTCTTCTTGTTTTTTAATCAATTATTTTTATTATTCTGCAAATCTCATATCTGAGTTCTTTTCATCCTCTTTCTCTTTCAATTTCCTCAATTTGATTTCACATAGCTGTTATCTTAGATCTTCCTGTTGTTAAGCTAGTTTCTTTAATTTTTCTTCATCTTCTAATTTTTACTTCTAATCCTATTCTTTTGCATATTTACCCCATTTTAGAGAATCGACTTCATATGCAGATTTACCATGCTAAATTGTTAATGTATTTTTTTACATGACTAGATTGTTTTTCTGTCAGCTTCGGATTTTAATTGGTAGGTTCTTTAGTTTTCTCCTTAAATTTCTCTGTCATTTAAGGGGCAGTCTATGGTAATGATTAGACTGCCTTGTCTTCAGAATAAATGGGTTGTTATTTGGATGATTTGGTTTTCTTTTCACTTTATGCAGTTTCACCTTTTAATTCTTTTATAATGTAATCCAACATTTGTTAGTTTTAGGGATTATTGCCATAAACATCAATGAACTTCTTTTCTAGATTGCTCTTGATTCTTGTTATGTTAGGGACTTTAGCAGAAGACATTATTAATTAAATATTTATTGGACAATAAATAATTAGTATATTTCAATCTATAATTATAAATTTAAATGTATGGAGATATAATCTATAAAAAATCTAATTTTTTCAACGTTTAACGTTAATGAGATTCTTAATTTTGGTTAGACTATCTTTAACACTTTAGAAATATTGTTTCATTCTATTTCTCATTTGCTCAGCCTCTTCTAAATTCATGTTTTCATGAACGTCAAATTACAATGTTGAAAACTTTTGATTTGGGTTTCTTTTCATCTGCGAGTCGACTTCTCTGTTGATTTGAGCAATTTATTTAGCAAACATCATTTCAGATTCACTGTTCTTAATATTAATTTTGGGAGTTGTAACTTAGGTAGTGCGTTCCCAAACTTCAGGCAATTTTTGAATAGATTTCGATTTAATTTGAATGTTAGGTAGATGTCTATTAAGAGGATTTGGATCATAAATTCCAATAGCAGGAATCTGAGATGTCAGAGTCTTAGTACTTCTACTAATTAATTAATGTTTATGATTTAGACCTTTCTGTTGTTTCCTCATCTACTATCCTCTCTCAACAGAAGTATGATTTAAAGTATAGGTTTTGATGTCTATTGTCTTGTGTAATTCATCCATCTTTTGGCTTGTCGGTATCAATGTAACATACTTGGTGATTGGATCATATTTTGGTGTGTCTTGTTCAGTATGTAATTTGGATTTAATGATTGTGTCTGCAAGCAAAGAATTGGCTTACTCACTAGTTCTCTGTTTAGTGCTCTTCTGATTTGTATTCAGGTGATAAAATTCAGCATTTGCTAGTTTTCCAACTTGATTCCTTTCAAAAATAAAAGGTACAAATCTTCCCTGAGTTGAACAAAATTTTTCAGGCTTATCTCCAAATGGATAGTAATTAGACCCATTGTGCAAGAAATTGACCAAAGAGGTCTTTTACATAATTAATAATATAAATTATAAAACATAAATATAAATTACTACAAATATGAACTATATTACATTAAGTGATCAATAACATATTTGATTTTAGCCATCCTTCCAAAATTTCATTAATCGACATTTATACTTTAGAGATTAACTAAGTTATTTAAAAAATCTATATATAAATTTATGATATAAGATTACTTCTTTTTACAATATATTTATTTAATATGAACAAGAGAACAGTTATTAAGTTAAATGTTATCTTCAATTTTTAGTAAAGCGAGAGTAACGATATATTAAGTTGATATAAATAATGGGAAAGGTTGCATTAAAAGATTCCTAAATAAATTTTTATTTTAGAAGAATTATGAGATTTGAAATTATATAAGATCCATTCTAAATTAAAGTATTTGTAATGATTTTGAAAATGTGAGAAATTAATTCCTTATGCTTTAAGAAAGACCAAGCACAAAAAGATTTATATGAAGGAACATATTTATTATCTTGTAGGTATTTATTATAATGACTTGTAATTCTGAAGCTGTAGAAAATTTTACTTAAGATAGAGAGCCTATTACATTTTAATGGTTATTGCGTCTGGGTCATTTAAATAGATTCATATTTTATTAATAGAAATTTATTTAATTTAGTTGAAAAACAGGATTTTTAACTAATTGAGTGTATAAAGGATGCAGTAATTAGAAAACTTGTGTAAAGAAGACTTATAAGATATATTTCTAATTTAAAAAGGCAAGATTTTGTAGAAATTTGAAATACTCTTGTAAACAATAATAAGCTAAACAACTAATAGGTTTTCTTTAAGATTTTAAAAAGGAGATTCTAAATTTTTCATCCAGTATCTTAGTCTAAAATAAAATCATCGTAGCAAGTATTATAAAATAATTAAGTTAACATCTATGATGGGTTTTTAAATTACTTTAATGTAACAAATTATATACTATGTAATTGATACTATAAAAATATATTACATGAAAATTATATATAGATATATAAGTTTATTCAATCTCCTTTTGGTAGATCTGTTCCTTCTTCTTGAGATTATTTTTAAAAAGAAATTTCAGAATCTTGCTATTTTTATTTTTATTATTTTTTCATTGTTAATTTGGTTTAAATATTCTAATTTTGCAGGATTTATTTAAGTTATTCAAAATCTTCTTCGTCTCCTTCACTTTCTCCTTGTCTTCCTGCTCTATGAGTTTTAATTGTATTATTATTTGATCTAGGTAATTTGCTTAAATCAATTCTTGTGTCTAGTGCAATTTGAGATTTGGATCCTCTGCTTGACATTTATGGTTTCAAGGCAGCTCTATCTGTGTTGTTTCCCATATTCAACTTTTGCTTCAACATGAATTCTTCTATTTATTTATGAACTGGTTTGTTGACATCAAACCATTTAGGCTATTTAATGACATTGTCTCTATCAAAATGTTTACGGTATTTGTAAAGATCTGAAATGGAATTTCTGATTTGAAACAATTATAAGTAGAGTTCATAGAATTAAAGACAAATATGAGTGGCTAGATGTCTATAATAATCTAACAATTATAAGATCTATTTGTTACGGATGTTGATATACTTCTTTACTGAGAAAATTATAGAACACTATGATGTCAGACCAGTAAACTAGGACAATTTCTTTCAACAGCATATCTTCAGGGACCATCTGCAGGGCTTATTTTAAGATTTCCATCTGCCCCAGGCCACTATTAACCTTATAATATTATTTAAAGTCTTACTAGATTACTAATCTTGAAGAGCCAAAGCAATTTAGTTTGGATGTCAATGAATTTTTATCCCTCCTAAAACAAAGGGTATTGTTGCACTTTGCATGCATGGAAGACCTGTATGTTCACAGCCAGCTTTTGAAGATATTGGAAGTAACTTAATTAGATGTTCGCTGAGAGCCATTCTTCTTTCTGGGAGGTAGTTTTAACAAACACAGGAGATTTTTTATCTAATAAAACTGGGAATTTCTAGTTGAGGAAATGATCAGCGAAGTCAATACCTAATTGAAATTCATGCAGCATTAAGTGGCAGGTTAAAAACACTTTGTTTCTAATGATATAGGAGTTGGCATATTCCCTAAAGAGTTATGAATTACTCATTACTATTCGTTAGTTAGTGCAAAGTATTATTCTATGTAATAAGATGGGGATTTGGTTATAAATTCTGAATGGTTATTCTCAAAGCAAGAAATAAGGAACAATAGATCATCCAACAATATCTCATCTGACTAACTCAATAGGGAGGAATTGGCCACTCTCTTTTGAAAGGGTGGTCTATTCTTGAAATACCCCATAAATTTATTGATCATTATTTAATTTATTGTTAATTATATATATCATAAAGATTGAACATCATCACCAAAGGCACAATCAATTATTTGATTAAGGAATTCTTCTAGTTAATCCAATCTTAATGATTAGTTAATGTGAATATTGTCACTTTTGGGTAGCATATTTTTGTCAATTGGGAATTGCATTTGAATTCCATCGGAAACACTCAGTTCAATTCTGAATCTATTCGGATCCTCCTTTTCGGATGATAAATCTTCATACAGCTTAATAACAATATTTGACAGATATTAAAGCATTAAAATTTGTTACAATTGTTTTTATTTGAATTCATCTTCAATTAAATAATGTCCTAATCCATAATATAAGATATTGAACAAGGAGTACAAGTGAGAAGCAGATGTAAAATATAACCTAGTTCTAACATGTCTCCAGGGACTATTCAAATCGCTCTCATCCGTTTATCTGAACTTCCAATAATCCTCCTCCTATTACTAATTTTTTGATTCTGATCTATTCCACCATAGGAGATCCTGTTTGATTTTATTGCATAAAGGACCGACTACACGTTTGGCTATGGTTAGTTTTTGTTTGGTGGTGATTCCATATTCAAATGGAACCATAAAATGACTGAGCAATTCGGCCAAATTATAGAACTCTTTTGAATTTTCATAGAACTATAGTTTATCCTAATTGTGAAGCATATCATATTTGACACTGTCATAAATATCTGGGATTTTAGAAATGTTGAATTTATCCTTTTACAAGAAATCATATTCTAATTTGTACCATCTTTTAAAGAATAAGGTTAGATTTTCTGATTCAAACATAGTTTAAGCTCCCTGTTCCATATCACTTGGAGTAATGTAATAGTTCTTTTCCAAGTGGATGTGAAGTCTAATTAGTTTATTCTAAAATTACCTTATATTTTTGGTTAATTAATTAATGTAGGTGTGTAATTAAATAAGCATAGACTTCGGACATTTAAACTTGCTGATTAAATCGTGTTGAGTTTAAGTCATATTAAAATCTGGAAAGTACTAGTAAATCTAGGTCAACATATCCTCATCACTAGTTAACATTTTTTAGAGAATAGTTTTTATTTCAACTTCCTCCTCAATCTCTAGGTTATTGCAATCCAATAATTCTTGGGCAACTTCGTTCTTTTACACCATCGTGGCTAAGATAGGAGTCACCTCTCCTTCATAACCTAATAATCCTTTTAAAAAGGCTGCTGCTGTATATTGGCATCTGCCTTCATCTGATGAGAATGTCTTTAAGTCATGTCTATATGTGGAATGCAATCTCAGTAGTCCATCCTTCTCTGTTGGGTACATGTCATGTCTAAATACTTAACCTAACCTAACAGCATGTTCTTCACCTAATTAGGTCAACTCCCCACCCCATTTCAAGATTAACAACACTTCAACTGGGAAATCAATGATTGAACCATTTTTCTCTATTTTTTTTGTTTTTAATGGTTTAATCTAGACCTTCCTATTAATCCCTTCGAAATGCCCACCTAATTCAAGAACTGACTTCATTTGAAGTAATTTAATGATATTATCATCCTGACAAGAAGTCTTGGCAATACATTCTCTAGTTAAATTAAGTAATTTTAATAGTTATTTAGGATGCTTCAATTTAATTTCTTTAGATGGATCAGGAACCTCATCAAAAAATGAGAGAAACAATTCATTAGCGGATCTCATCTTCATCTTTTGCTTAGGTGTTCTATCTCCATGTCTAAATACTGCCACAACAGATCTCAATTCAGAATTCTATTCCTTTCCATCCAAGTCTTTTGAACTGGGTCTAAAAGAGTTCTTATAGAATCCCTTAACTAAATTGATATCGGAAATTTATTTCTATAATAAAGTTGGTCTTAATTTAGCCAAAATCATATTCTATAAAATAGTGGCACAATCTTAATAATACTTGGCATTTCCTTTAACAAAGGACCAGCCATTAACATCACAAACATACGACTTATTATTACTTCTCAATAAATCGAATCCGCAAATATTTTATCCAAATATATTCACAATCTTTATGGCCATCATCTTCTCTTCCATCGTCAAACAAACAGGATATCTCATTTCCTTTCCATTTTATGATCTAACAACCTTACCATCCAATACTGGGCTTTTTCTGGCTTCCGCATGTGCATAAAACTCTCCTACAGTATAGACTTTAATATCGAATCCATTTGTTGGCAAGAATACTTCATAGATATAGTTTTCATTATCATTCCTAATACTGATCTAAGTTGGATCAAATATACTACTCTGATTTCCAACCTTTCTAAATAGTTTCTTACATCCCCCTCCATCTCTTGAGTTGTAATAAATGTAGATGTTATGATCTTCGGCATCAAAGGGTTTCTCAACAAATGGCTTAACTAATTTCTACCCATTTATTAATAAATAATCATCGCATTCCTCAATCTTAGTGATCTATAGTTCTTTAGGATCCTTCTTAATATCAATTACAGCTGATAATGATCTAGCATCATAAGATCTCATTCCTTATTTCATTTTATTTTTATTTTTTTCTTCCATTGTGTCTTACCTGGGAGGCAATAGCAATTCCTGTAATTACTTTGCTGTCTAAACTGATTTGATATGCTGGGAGGAGTCTTCATTCTATAAAAAACTTATAACACTGTCAACGTTGTCTTCTTCTTCAATTATTTCCTATTCAGTTTTCCTTGGTTTATATTTCTTTTCAATTTCCTTTCTATTATAGTCGTCTATGATGTATTTATTCGGGTTTTTAAACACAAAGTAATGTTTAGGCACTGGCACTTTATTTTTCTTTAACAACGTATAGACTCTTTCCCTATCCCACAGAAGTTGCTATTTCTTGAGATCATTTATAATGAATGGCTTTCTCAAATCAACATAGGCAATGGCCTTATTCAATGGGAATCCGTCAGAATAAAAACTTATGAGAGTTTCAACAATTGGCCATGATTCGATAGGATCTTCAAGTATCATTTATTCTGAAAATATCTCAATTTTAAAAAACTCTGGGTTTATACGATTAAGTATTTCTTGCATTTCCTTAGATTAAGACTTCTTGGCCATGCAGCAAACACCAATGGTGACTATTTTATCATCCTCTATTTCATCTGTAAATTGTGACTGACTCTCCGTTTTCTCTACAATCAATAGTTTAATTCATACCTCTTTCCACTGAGTGTGATCTTATCTTCCTTTTCACCTCCTGATCCTAATCCATTAAAAACTAAATTAATATACTAAAAATAAATAATGATATATTGGAATTAATTTTCATTTCAATATTAGAATCAACCTTAATTATTGATTATCTTAAAGAATTCAATTGGTGTAATTTCCTTGTGTTCTGGACTGATAATCTCAAAATCCTTTTTTATTCTAGCCTCTACTTATTGTTTCTAATTTTCATTTAGATTCAAGTATTCTGATGTCTCCTTATACAATCTCAAGAAATCTTCAGCACTAAAAGATCCTTTTTTCTGTAAATCGAAAACACTAAAGATTTATGCAAACTCTTCGCTTTTCAAATTGTCCGTATTGATTTGAGGATCCAAGAACAATTATTTGAATTAATCCTTCGATAAAGTAGTCTAAAAATGGTTTCATTATTGAATTACTGATTGCAATTGATCTAATGTTCTAACAACATAATTAAAAAATTGAGTCTCTGATTTGTCAATGTTCAAATAGAGCAGCAATGCCAACAATGTAGATTTCTCAATCTGTTCGACTTACTATCCTTGCTTCTCAACTACAATTTCTTTAATGATGATTACTCTTTAGAGATTCGAATAATTCCTCCAGGTCTTATGTGATGTCTTCTATCGAGCTTCCTATTTTCGGTCCTTGTTACTAATTCTAATGTTGTTGTTGTTGACTGTGCTGTGATATCTAGCTTAGTGACTGCTACGACATTAAATTTAATGAATTTATTTATCAAAAATAATGAGCTTCGATAAACTTATGCTGAATCGACCAAATTATACGGCAAGAAAATTATTATAACCCTTCTTTGCATCATCCAGACCTCAGAATTTCGTACACACTCCTACTATGAATAAAACTGAAAATAAGGATAGACCATAAAATTTTATAGAAACTTAAAGAAAGACTTTTCATTAAAAAAATGATTCCAATAAATCTTAATCTATTAGCATCAAAAAATAAAGGGTTCAAGATGCCTATAACACATTATCCGATTTCAATGATAAAAAATAAATCATAGCATCTCTAAAGACTCTGAACTCTGCCGATGAGAGGTTCATCATTTCTAATAAATTAGAATACAATTGATCGACAAAATATTAGAGAGAAAAGATGAAATGATGATTGCACAATTAAAATTAAAAGCAGTCAAATTAGAACCCATCTTCAATGTTATCAGAAGGAAGTTGCGAAAACAACGTTTAGGAAGTGCTACTCCCAATTAATCAAAGAAAGGAACCATCATTCTGCGCCAGAAAACTTCAGAAGACCTACCTCAAACCATGCCCGATCAAACCAGAGACAGCAAGGAGAAATAGGACCACAGTCTCAACCAATAAGAAACCATCATTGAAGATTAGATCATTGAAAAATTATAGACCAAATTCACTGCAGGAGTAGCATTCTCATGGCTTGCAAATCGACATGACAACAAACAAGGTATTATTAAAATTACTACCAGTTTTAAGTCCAATTAGATCCTGATCCCACTGAACGGCAATACTTGAGGAGATCAACTGCCTTGCAACACGGAAAAAACACCATGAATAGGCTTAAACAATAGGTATCAAAAAAAGTAAGTGAAAACTCGGAAGAACTAATTAGAAGAGGTAACTTTAATACAGAACAGAAAAAAGAGAAATACGATCTGAGTAAAATCAAAGCCAAAGTCGATTCGGGATTAAATAAACCTTAGCAGTCTTCGTTACCTAAGATTAACATTATAAAACGGTAAGAAACTCTGGGATATATAACATCTGAGAGGAAGGAAATTTCTACACTTGGAGAAATCTAAACATTGAGAAGTGACAATAAATTAAGATTCTAAAAACTCTGATTTTAAAATTTGATAAAAAAAGAAATAACTAGTTAGGTTATCGTATCAAAAAACACAAATAACATTAATTTATTGATGTACACTCACTTTAATGCATCGAACATGTTGGCGGATTTAATTGGTTTCTAAGTTTCTTTCTTTTACTTATCATGATGTGAACTAAAATTAAATTCCTTTATTTCATTCTACTGCTAAAATAACTATTTACTTGTTAATTGGCTCTGTAAAACTGTTTTCTTTAAGTCTCTTCCTCTCCCTATTATTTGGTTTCATATCCTTGATTATCTCTATTATGGTAATTCCTCTACTTGTAATGTTCTTTATTAGAGTTTCTATTATTATTATCTTGATCATTATTCTAATAATTTCTATTATTATTTCCATCATTATTATTCTTGTTAAAATTATGTTTATCATTATCGGCTTCATTATCTTTGTCATTTCCTCTATTATTTTTATTGTAATTGTTTCTGTAATTTCCTCTATTATTTTAATAATTTCTTTGACCTCCTCTTTGATTATCTCTTTCCTCTCTATTATTTTAGTCATCTTAATCATGATCATTGTTTTAATTTCTATATTATTGTCTATCTCTATTTCCTTTATAATAATTGTTATGGTTATTTCTGAATTAATTTTAATCATCCCTATTTTATCCCTCCTAATCTTAATTTTGATTATTCTAGTCTCTGTCATAGTTATTGTGTTTATTGTATTATTTATAATTTTGGTTGTAGCCTCTATTTTAATTATCATACCCCTTATAATTATTTCTTTATTGGTTTTGCTCTTATGGAATGTGTTATTAATTGTTTTCTTCTTAGCCAGCAGTCTTATCATCTCTTCTCTCTTACTTTTGGTTTTCCTATTATTAATGATCTCCTTATTGTTATTAAGCGTCAGTTTATTACTATTGTTGTTATTCAGTTTATTATAACTAATAAGATAAATCATATGTTACATTATCGTCAACTTTTGAGGATGTGTTTCTAGAAATTTTAGTAGGTTCAAAATTATTCCTTTTGTTATAGTATTTTTCATCTCTGTTTCTGTTTCCAAAATCATTTTAGTTATCATTATGTTATTATCTTTATTGGTAATTATGTTTCTGATATCCTCCTCTATTGCCGTAATTGTTTTTATCGTGATGATCTGAACCTATTCTCATATAAAGTTTTTGGATTCTACCATCTAATTCCTAATCAATATTTAAAAAACAGATGCAATACAATTTATAATTTGTAAACTTCTAAAAGTTTAAGGGCATTCTCTTTATCAACATCAAATTTAGTTTGATCCTCTGTGAGAATAAAGTTGTTCATTGTAATGTCTTTTAATGTGTCTTTTAATTAATTTTCATCAAGTTTATAATGAAGTAATATATTTATACTATCTCCATTAAAATTGCTTAATTGTTCCTTCTTTTACAAGATTAAACCTAGGTAATTATTTAAAATAAATACCAGCATTATCTCTGTCTTAATGTTATTTTCTTTCATTTCTGTCTTATCTGTCTTATCTATCATTTCTGTCTTATCTATCTTATCTATCATTTCTATCATTTCTATCTTATCTATCATTATAGTTATAATCTCTATTTTTAAAATTCTTCTAATTATCTCTATTTCCTCTATAATTGCCATCTCCTCTGCTTCTCTTATCTCTGTTGTCTCTATTACCTTTTCTTTATTGATTATTCCTTTAATTATAGTTCCCCTATTAATTCGATTATTCAGGATTATTAATATTGTTATCATGTTCATCTCCTTCTTAATTCAAGTTGTCTTATCCCTAAGTTTATTCTTGCCTTTATCTTTATTATCTTCCAGATGCACCTTATTACGATTAATTGTTTCTCTAGTTTTGAGCTCCCTATTAATTTTAGGCTTTAGAATCAACCTAAGGTTTTTCGTTTTCTTCATCGGATGATAAATCTCCCCAATTTTGAACTTGATTGTCTGCCATGCACGATTGTAATTTAAATAAATATTAAAGATATTATTAATTAATTTGTTAATTAGCATTCACAAATAAAACACCATTAATTTCATATGGAGTTTAAATATAATAATATATAAAGGGTTTCAGAGCATCATCTCCACTAACAATATGATCTTTAAGTAGACATCCCAATATCACACAATTAGGCTAAATTTATTCTAAAATAATCCTAAGCCACTTAGTTTATTTCGATGACCATGCTCAAATGCATACTAGTCTTAGTGTGGACCTTATCTTATCAATTTGATCGATTGTTAGTGTTGGTATTTAATCACAAATGATGGAGTCAATAAATCTGAAATGTTAAAAAATATTGATTGTTTATATTGACAATATTAATTAAACATATAATTTGATCTAAAATTATGGATTAAAGGAGTCCCTAAAAGTAGCAGTCGTCGCCAATAAAAATGTCAATCAATAATATAGATAAAATCACTTATGCAATTAAGGATTCTTGGAAGAGTTAAATGGATGAAAATCAGAAACTGTTTGATTAGTTTTTATAATATTGCAAATCCCAATATCCCGTATTCAATATCAAATTCACATGTTCCATCAGTGGAGAATGGCTAGAGTAACCAGTATTTAAATTAATTATCAAAGGTGTCATTTACGCAATGCATAATAGATAAAAAACATCTGAATGATTGCTTTGATCTTAAATAGATATTGAAATATTTGATATAGAATGACAGTAATTTTATGTAAGATGGATATATATAGTGCCCTCTATGCAGATCAAAGAGTCATTTTAAAAAAGATATACCATTAATCCCAAATCTGTTTTTCCAATAACTTAAATAACAAGTATAAATCGAATATTTTGTAGTTAAATGACAAATCGAAGCCAATAACCTACTATTTATCTACTCAAACCCTGATTCCATTCTACCCAGGCTTCCTAGGGAAGGAGCAATTTCAATACAACAACCAAATTTAATAAATATTTGGTCAGTAATAAGATGTTCAACAGAGTTTCTCTACTATTAGAAAGATAACGAAGGGGAACGAATCCTTTAAATATTTTCATGTATGTTTGTTAGGGAACATAAGAATCTAAATTCCAGTGAGAGGAAAACAATGTCGCCACTTAGAATGTTATGATTTTCTATACTTACAATGGTACATGCAACAACGGGATTGTAATAATAATTATATTTTCAGAAAAGTAATTGAAGTGTCTTCTCCTGGGATGTTAGGAGATCATTAATTTGAATGAATTGCAACTGGACTCAGAGTTGTATGAGATAGGATTGAAAAGCTTTAATTTCTCCTCAGACTTTATATTTGATCCATAGTCCTCAACTTTGTTGGACACGTATTCAATCACTAATTACGATCCTCAGATAGCTGCTTATAAGAAGTTGGTTCCTACAACTACAGAAACTATGAATTATATAAAATCTATCTATGATCTCACGGATAGAATTTATTCCTCTACAAAGAATTAGGAACTGACAGATAAGTTTTATGAACATCCTTTGAATGGTGATCTCAATATCATTAAAGATTCAAGTACCAATTGCAAAGTTGAAATACCTTGTAGATGTATAAGATGTGACAAAGTAAATGTTTGCGATCTTAGATTCATGAGTTGCATCTTAAATTAAGTGCAACACCCAGAAAACAGGAATGGAGTCAAGACTTATTCAGTTGCTTGTCCATTGTGTAATAATCCTTTTTCGCCTAAAAAAAGACACAGGGATCAGAGTGTTCACGAATAAGTGTATGTGGATACAAAGATGCTCAATTTCATAACCACAATTAAGAATTTCAATTACTTAAACAAGGAAAAATATCAACTCTTTTTATAAAAAAAGCTGTATCCCACTTTGAGATTTGAAGAATTGGAATCTCCAATTTAAGAACTAGATTAATTTAATCTAAAATTAAGGGTAATACTTATATATATTTAATCAATTATTAGTGTTTGATAACAAATTAGAAGTTAAGAAATCCGATTAGAGGCATCTATTGTCACCATCCTGAAGCTTTCGACGAGAATAGTCTTACTGATTTGTGTTCAACAGGTTAATTGGATTTGAATTTGGCGTAGTGTCCCTTGTGCCAATAAAGTATTCATAAGCTAACTCATGATAATACTTTCAAGGAGCTTTTAGGTTAATTACAAGGAGATTTTGATGAGGTTTAAGTGTTTCCGAAATTGAAATTAATCAAACAATTAAAATGATTATTTATTAAAAATATGACAATATTATTTATTTACGAATAAATTAATGGCTCATCATTAAGAATAGGTATTTGGAGAATTGGAGGATTGTTATCAGGCATTTGTGCCAAAAAAGTCAAAAAGCAAATAGATACCTGAAGCGAATGATTTCATGGAATTATATCATTTGACAGTAGAATAAATTGATTTAGAGTCCAAAGATATTGTGGATAAGAAGTTCCTAAAATTATCAAACTCAATTTTATAATGGATAGAGGAAGAGTTGAAGAACACAACATTTTAAATATTAGAATTGCATAGTCTAAACTAGCAACATCATTATGTGTAAATCAAGTTTGGTTTCCTTTTAGTAGATCAAGCCAATCTATATTCAGTATATTCCTTCTATAGTTCTCTTGTGAAGAAAAAAGAGAGCCATCCAATATTGAATTCCGATTGTGTTGAATTTACAATGGAAGGCGGCAGAATAATTGATCATTCACTCAGCTTTGAATTATTTGATAAGATAGACTATAGTTTACCAGACCTACTAAATTATGTATTGATTCATTGTGCTAAACAATTCAAATCAAATGTGAGAGCACACACATCAATATTTCTAATTTCCAAATATTTTGTCTCCGAAGAACTAAGCGATTTAAAAAAGGCTCTGCTAGAAGAGATTAAACTTCGATATCCAAACACAATTGGAAATATCATATTTGTTTTACCCCTGCAATCTACAGCCACAGAGAATTATGAAATTACAAAAGTCTATAGTTTCAGCGATCCCAAAAAGATGTTTATACACCTGTTGATAAAGCTGATATCCAATCCTCAAATTCCTTTGCTCTCTCAAGAGATATATTCCTTATGGGAAAAAGACTTCAAGATCTACACCTTGAATTATCAATAATAACTCTTCAAAATCAAACAAGCCTATTTCCTCATGTACCAAACCTTACACTTCATGACCTCCTACAACAAGAAGAATACAACCATGAAGGAGTTGCTTGACACCTTGAAGAACTAGCCCAATAACAACATAGTATACAAGCAGTATTTATAAAAAAGAAAACAATTGAGCGATGCCATCCTTGTGTTTAGTAAGTACATTGAGTAATTGAAATCAGAAGTAATAATTCCATAAATTAACTTAGAATCAATAAGACATCAAGGATTTTAAGTAGAAACTCTTTGGATTATTATGTTCCAATCAGGCCAGCAAATGGTTCACTTTAAGTCACGATTGCAAATTGAACAAAGCTAAACAACTGTTCAAAGATCTTGTTTCAATAGGAAATGAACAGAACATAGATTAAGCCATCTTAGTGTACTTAGAAAATGACAACTATGACAACTAGTAAGTGAAGAAAGCAAATGATCGATTCACTCAATTGACTAAGGACAATGAAAAGGTGAAATTTGAAGATTACGTTAATCAATTCTTAAACAAATACATCGTGACGATAATAAATGATATTAAGAAATCATGTTCTTAGTATATATTTAAGGATTTTGACAAATACTTGGAATCTACAAATCCTGACATCTTAAATCATTTGCATACGAATTTAATTGATACTTGTACATCGAATTTCAAATAGACAGGTGAGAACTATGCTAAAATCCAATAGTAATATTAAGTGGCGTTATCGAATTTAATTGAAAAATAAGATATGATAGATTTTTAGACTGCAATAGCCAATCTCAAATTGTTGGGTTTGATTGAAGACACAAAACGGGTAAAGCCTACGATACAAAGGGCTGTCTATGCCAAATAAATGTATATTAACTATAACAATGAATTTTGAAAATAAATAATTTCTATTATTAATATAATATCAAATCGAATGTTAGAAATTCGACTAAGTGCAAAGAATATTGGAGTAATAAGTTAAATAGCTTTAGTATTTAAACTTGGGAATACTTCTCTTAGAAACAATTTGGTATTACTATGAAGGATTCCCTTTGAACAAATTGCTGGCGATATTATCATTCTTTACCAATTTTACACAATTTTCTGTAGTGATCTATCAAGTTTGGTCTATAATAGAAGGATTCGTGTTGAATCAGCAATCTTTGCATTTAAAAAGATTCTAAACGTTTCTCTTCTATGAATGTTTTATGGTAGCAATATCTTTCTGGTCAATTTATTTAATACAGCCTAATGCAGTGATATCCAAAAAGCATCCAATATCAACTTACATATTGTTGACTTTTCATGGAGGGAATTTTCTGTACTTGTAAGATAACATATTAATATTAGATATTTTATATCCATCTACTCCTCTAGTATACAATACTCAGGGGATGCGAAGATAGTAACAATATCCGGATGTTTGTATGTATTCTTTGTATTGTTGAATTACTTGGTTAATGAGAGAGTGCCGTATCCTTTTTTCAGACACATGCATCCTCTATTAGCCATATTAATAATCACATTATTAGTCTTTACGTTGAGCAGTTTATATGTTTATGTCTGCAAGAGATATTCTTAGAGGAAGAGTGTGGAAGAGGAAAACAAAAATAAATTTGATTGAAGTATATAGTTTTTATTAAATATTAAAATTAATGTTTGGATTTGTATCTCTTGTTTATAATGCAGCATAATTGATTGGATGGTCAGCAATATTGGGATTGGTGATATTGGAGTTAGTGAATGGCACTGAAAAAACAGGCTAGATTGTTTGGTTAGTGTAAGTGATGTAGATATCTCAGACCTATGACTTAATTTCTAATATTGTTGGGTATGATATTGGGATTATGGTAGATTGACATCTGGTTCATTGATTAGCAATGTTCTTTAATTAGGAGGTAGACTTGTGGTGGCTTTGTTGTTTATGTATGAGGGAGTATGCTTTTGCTGTTTGATCAATGCAGTGATTGCCTGGTCTTTGGCTGAAATCATTAGATTCTCTTATTACTTATTCAAGAATAATTCATTGTTCAAGACTCTTAGATACAATGCTTTCATGGTCTTGTATCCAGTTGGAATTTTGGGAGAGTTGAGAACTGTGAATCAATCCTTGGCTGTTTATGGTGATATCTAAATTAGGGGATTGTAAACGATTCTGATTTGTAACAATTGACAATTAATTAGAGTGGGAGGATTCTTCATGTATGCCTAGATGTTGAATGCCAAGAGCAAACATTCGAAGTAGACAGCAGTGGATCAAAAGCAGAATGTGAAACAGAGATCGAATAGTCCAGTCAATAGACCAAAGAGAGAATGAGTAGTATTTATATATTAAAGGGATATTTTATGTGATACTTATTATGTGTGTGTCAATCGATCCAGGATTCTTCGACACATTCTTCCACTCTCTTGAAATAGGTGATTTTATCTTCTAAGTACAGTTTGGCAGCCTCGCTATTCGCAGGGGAATCAGGGTTGGGATCGTTGAGGAGAGAACGTATCGAGGTGAGAATTGCCCATACGTCGTAGATGGGGGACCATTGATTTTACAAAATGTCTAAGCAAATCTTGCCATCTGCGTAAACCTTGCATAAATTAATTGGGTTATGGATGATACATTGGGATGGAAGATCTTGGTCTTGAATATGACATTTGGGGGTTTGAGGGGATATTCTTCTGTGAATTCAAGGAGCAACTTGAAGATGCCTCCATCCCAGATGGTTTAATCTGGTCCGAAGATGACAGCTTCCCATAATAAGATGTTATCATCGAAGGGTGCAGCTTAAAATCCTTGTGGAATCATTTACTTGAGTTTTTAAAGATCTCTAACCAATCTCATCCTTGAATTTGTGGACATTATTATTATTATACTTTATAATTATTTATATGATTTTAAGGCATATTTATTAGGTATCAAAAATTTATTTGATATTTAAAAAATGGTTTTACCAAGATTTTTTTTGCTTTGCTTGATCTTCTTCGTGGGGTCGACAATGTTCTGCAATTACTATCCCATGGATGCCAAGGCATGTATCTCAAAAACAGATGGAATTATGTGTATAAATCGGTTTTTAAATAAATTTAGGCGAATTTAGTTAGTTCGAAAATGCATGCCTGGAAACCTCCATAACCAGTTATGGTTGCGAACCTACTTTAAATAAGTTAGCTTGTTTAAATTAATTGAGCAATCCTGACGATTCTGAAGCCACATGTATTCACATTTATATAACGAAGGCATCTTCACTTCTAAGTGCCAGCCTGCCAAAAAATAGCATTTCAAAAATTTGGGGTGCTCAATTAAATATTCCAAATACGGATGCATGAATGCTTTAAAAAAAGATTGTATTTGGAATAATGGATGTTATGAATATGGAAATGAAATCCCCTTGGGAGATGATTGTTCCCAGATTTTCGATGAATCTGTGACTCCATCTTTGTGCCAAAAGATTCAAAATATTTAATGTATTCAATGAAAATCATAATTTCAAGGCATGAGTAGTGGTTTCAAAGGAGATTACTAATGTGTTGCTGTCACCGAATAGCTACTCTCAAAGATCTCTTGTGATTAGCTCGGATTAAACCAACAAGGATGCACATAGATAACCACCAAAGATTAAGCTTGTATGTTTAAATATTAATACTATAGGTATTTTCGAAAATAACCAGTGTAAGAATGTGATTTCAACATACCCGTAAAAGTGTGGTTTATTGCTAAATCGCTTAGGTTGTTTATAAATCATAAACCCAAAATTGAAGTGCCAATGGAAAAACAATGCATGCATGAACTTCATTGACACCAATTAGTCCTGTGAACAAATAACAGAAGTCAACTCAATTGTTTGTTCTGGATTTGATGGAATTTGCTTGTATGATTCAACCAACAAGAAGTGTGTCAACCCTACAAGTAATTAATTGGAGAAGATTAAGTGCAACACTTATGGTCTAACGAAGTAAGCATGTCTCTAAATTAAAAATTAATATTGTACCTTCTTTAAAGGAATCTGTCAAGAGATGTCTCTCTCTGATTTGAAGGTATACTAATGCAAGATGGATTTGAATGAAGATGCCTGTATCAACATTTAGACTCAATTTCAATATTGCAAGTGGGATGGAGTCGAATGCACAAGAATCCAATTAAATCAGGATATCAACTGTCCCTTAGATTCTCTGAATGCAGAATCCAAAGTTAATGGAAATGTGTGTTAATCCATATCCAAACCAGGAGTCACATGCAAATATAATTCGACTACTCATCTGTGTGTCAGAAGTACTGAGAAGGATTATTGCAATTCCTCTTTTCTCAACCTCCAAGGCTGTGTTAGCATTACTACTGCAGGATACTCTTGTTAATGGACGAAGGATGGATGTGTCAATGTCAAAATAGTAGCCAATAAAACCCAATGTGAATCCCTTGGATTTGCCAATGCAATCTCTTGTTCACAAGTCTATGAGAACAATACTCTAGGTTGCTATTATGATCCATCATACTAGTAGTGCAAATCGATTATACTAAAAGAGGAGGAAGTATTCCTAAACACAATCTTTTGTTCTGACACCAAATTCGGTTATAATAAATCAATATGTGCTTCCATTACTACTCCTGGCCAAGTGTGTAGATGGTATTAGAATCAGTGCTCATAAATCAAATCAAAAGAGCAAATAGCCTAAATTTAGTGTATACAACTTTAGTTTGTTAATAAATACGCCTGTGGATTGGTAGAATATGGCAAAGAACCCTGTAGATATTTGGATCTTCAAAAAGGTTGTGTGAATTCCATTGTTGGTAATATGAATTGTTTGACTCCTGGATTGAACTCCTATGCCTGTGCAGTAGCAAGTGGAAGTTGTTATTTTGATACTTCCTCCAATTCATGTTAATATGTTTCAAATCCATATTAATAATAAACACAACTGACTGCTGCTGCTAAAGCTGAATTATTAAGTACTATGACTTGTGATGCCAGTTCTCCAACTATTGATATTTGTGCTTAGATTGTAACTGTAGGGTAAATTTGTAGCTGGTCTTTTAGGACAAATAGATGTCAAAATCAATTTGTTGCTTTCAATTCTCTTTGTTCTAATTTCTCAGGATAAAATGCTGTAGTAAATGCAAATACTTGTGCAGCTATAGAGAATGAATTTCCAGATTATGATCCAATTGGAGGTGCTAAGGTTGATATCAATAGAGCAAATTGTAAATTCAATTCAAAAACATCGAACTGTGAAGTCAACAAAGATAGTTGTTCCACTCCTTGTTGTACAGAACCTGAGAAGATTGGAATAAATGCTCATTCTTGTAGTAAATATTCATCAAAAGATGCCAATACCTATTGCTTTTTTAATAATGATCTTAGATGTCAACAATTAACTGCATTAGACGTTGGAATAGTTAATGCAGACACAGCCAAGATATATTTCAATGCAAATCAATTCAAATGCTCTTAGATGTCTATTAATTCTTGTTTTATGATTACATGGTCATCCAAATAAAGATGCTATTTCAATGGCTCGTCTTGCGTTAATATTAATTATGCAAATTATCCTGATTTTAGCGTGTTTACTACTGCACCTAAATTAATGAATTAATATGCTTGTTTAGGTATAGAAGCAGCAAGGACAACAAAAAATACTAAAAAATATTTTACTTATGATTCAACAGCAAATAAGTGCAATTCATAAGATGCCCCAACTGATAAAGAATCCTGTGAATAAATAATTGGAAACAGAAATTTATGTCTAGCTACTATAATAACTGTAGGTGATGGCTATTGCAAATGGGATCCGACAAATTTAAAATGCATAACAATTCCTAAAGATGAATTCTTATAGATAAATACTTGCAATTACAATTAAAATAAATAGGCATGTATTAACCATGCAAATTTAGGATGTTAATTTAATAATGACACTGATAGATGTATTGATGCTTAAACTGATGTAAGTTGTATATCTTTTGAAGCTACTGGATAGGTGAGTTCATCTGTATGTTTAAATGTATCCAAAGCTAAAGAAATGTGCAAATTTGATGAATCGTTTAAATGTGTTGCTCACGATGTTGATGCAGTAAAATGTGATATCAAAGGAGGCAATTCAATAGCATGCTATTATAAAACAAATTCGAATCAATGCAGATGGGATCCAAAATCATTAAAATGTTATGAAAATAAAACTAGTATTGACCTCTTAGGTTGTAATGATAATTTAAATAAGAATTTATGTCTAAAGGTAACTAAAGAACCATGTGTTTGGGACATATCATAATATAAATGCTTAAAATTAGATGCATTTGACTCATCTTCTTTTAGCAAAATTGAAAGTGGAAGTGAATTCAATAAACAAACATGCATGAGTTTAATAGGAAATTCATACTATCATAATGTAGTGACCGATAGTGATGGTGTAGACTCTCAACTATGCTCAATTTTGTCTTCTTAAATGAGCACATGCAATTAATATTATGCCAACAAGTAATCTTGCCTGTTACAAACCAGAGGAATATCTTGTTTTTATGATGCAAATGAAACTGATCTATCAAAACGATGTAAACCATTTACTGCAGAACAATCATCATGCACGACTGCAACCCTTATCAACATTTAAGTTTGCATGGATATTCCTAAACAATGTCAATTCAATACTACTTCTTTATTATGTTTGAGCACTACTATACAGGAAACTGATTTATGTTCAGATTTAAAAAATAAATCTGGATAATATTATAATAAATTGGCATGTTCATCGATCAATTCTTTAATTTCAGGAACAGATAATAAATCTCAATGTTATGATAAAAAAGATAGCTAATAAACTTGTAATCACGAAAAATATTGTTATTGGAATTCTAATACTTATACATGCGATATTAAAATTTTACATGCTATTTCTATGGGTTCTGAGAAGTAATGTGAGGATCAGACTGTAACAGATCCAGATACTAATGAGACTACTACCACAGAAGTTTGTACCGATGTACCAAAATGCTAGAATGATTAAAATAAAGATGCTCTTTATGTTAAAGAATGCTCATATAGATATTCAAAGGCCCTTTGCTTAGAAATGAGTGATACAAAATGTTACTTTGACTTAGATTAAGGAGGATGCAATCCTCTAACTTAAAACGAAAGGAAATTACCCAGTTGTGACAGTGTTTATAATGTAGCGTAAAATAACTGTTTAGAGAGTCAATCAAGATACGCACTATGTAAAGTAGAAAGTAGTTCTGAAACTTATCCTACAAATTGTAAGACCTTGGAAAGAACTGTAATTAAATGCACATCAAATTCTGTTTTGACATCATCATATAAATGTGCCGATGTGCCTGCATAAAGTATATCAAAAGGTGCATGTGCTAATGCAATAGATATTTGTCGTTATGAGGGTGGTAAATGTGTGACTTCCATTTCCAAAGATGGCAGTTGTACACCTGCTTGTGATTCTAGTTTTAGTAAGAAGATGTGTGTCTATTGTGGATGCGATTTTGATACCTTAGGATATTGTCAAATTGCCCCGATATAACTATTTCCTTAATTAAGTGAAATTAATCTCACCCTTACAAGTGAAAATAATGAAACTGAAGTAAAAACCAATAAGTACTTTTTATGTTATGAAGTCAATTTATTAAATTCAAGTAAAGCTGAATAAGTGTGTGGTAGGGTATCTTAATCTTGCATTTACACAAATATGTGTGTTGATGCAACAGGTTATTCATGTAGTTAATTAGTGGATCAAACAGTAACAGAAAAGGCTTGTGTTAGGTGTGCTGGAGATTTGGTGGTTTATGATTCCAATACATAGAGATGTAAGCTATTATCAGGCAAAAAGTCTTCATCCTGTGATAAACTTAATTAGTTAGCTTGTTTGTAAAGCACAACAGTTGGATGCAAATGGCTTAATTACACTTGTCAATAATTCACAACTGCAGATAACAGTGATTGTTCGATTTACAATACTGTCTCTTGCTCAAATGTTCCTAATTGTTGGGTGAATCCAGATACTAATCTATGTACAACTTATATAGAATCTTTGGGAAACTGTAGTTAATTACCAAACCAAAACCTGTGCAGAATTTCAAATGCTCAGGCTTGCATCTGGGATAGCACATCCAGTTCGTGTAAAGATGCAACAATGGACTCCAATTACACTTGTGATAAAGCCAATAAATATGGTTGTTTAAATAATAAAACATATCCTTGTGGATGGCTAAATAGCAATCAATGTCAAGCAATTACTTTGGATCCTGCTAATTTTGTCAGTTGTTCAGACTTTCTAGGAAGTGATGCGAATCCCCCTTTATACTTTAATGCATAAATATGTAGTTAATTGGTTATTACGACTAAAGATGCAAGTAAATCATGCTTTAGAGATTTAAATTATTAATGTAGAGAACCAATTATTACAGATACCTTTACTTGTACTACTCCTGGATTGAATAAGTATTCTTGTATCAATCTAGCAAACAGCAATTGTAAATATGATAATAATCAATGTTAACCATAGCCAAGCTATGATGTTGGATGTCTAGATAATTTGAGCATTGGTGCTTGTATTAATTAAAAAAAGACTTGTAAATTCACAGAAGGTGTTTGTTCAGATTTTACAGTAGCTAAAATAGATGACTTTTTAAAATCAGATGTAAAATATCCTTATTCAATATCTGTTTGTTCTAAACTTGATAGCAGCAGTGAGACATATAAGGAATCCTTCATCTACAACACAATCTTATAAAGTTGCATTTAAATTACCAATCGAAGTCCTTACATAAGTGATTGCACCCTACCTGGCATCAACAAATTTGCCTGTCTCACTAAAACCAACACTTTTTGTAGTTACGCCAATAACCAATGCTAAAGTCAAACAAAAACTTCACTTCAACAGATTTTAGCATGTTCTGACACTTTGAATTGGTATTCTTGTTCTATGATAGTCACAGATAAAGGCACGTTATGCAAATTTAAAGATAACAAGTGTTAAGATGTAGATGACAAACTAGACACTTGCTAATCCTTATAAGATTAAGGTGCCATTGTAAGTTCAAGTGTTTGTGCATCCAGAACTGATTTGCCTTGCAGATTGAATGCCCAAACCAATTAGTGTAAAGTAATTGCTAATGGTGATGTTTATGTTTGCAAAGAATCAGGATTAAACTTAATTGGATGCCAATTCAAAACATAGGGTTCATTGTGCATCTTTTAGGGCGGTAAATGCTAGAATAGTTTTGGAAATACTAATTGTAAAGATTTGGTCAACAAAGACAAGTGTTTATCTATAAGAACCAAAAAGTAATTTTGCTATTTTGATGACATTCTGGGATGTCAAGATGTTGTAATCAACTCAGATATATCTAAATGTGGTATATATAACAAATAAACTAATCCACTTGTTTGTGCTCTTGCTACTGCCTAAGATTCTACTGCATGCTATTACAATGATAATGAAAAAAAGTGCTAAGAATTTACAACCGAAACAGTAACCGATTGGGCTAATAGGATCTCTTTTAATTCCAAAGCTTGTCAACTCTACGAAGCTGATAGCAAATTAACCTATTGGAAAGATGAGTGTTTAGAAATACCTACATAATAATTATTATATCTTGATTGTGACAGTTAAGCCAATCGATTAGGATGTATAAATATTACTAATCCCAATGCTTAATGTATATTCAATAAGACAACCAAAAAATGCGAAAAAGTCACAGATTTCACATAAGCTTGTGTTAGTTACGAAAATATCAACTCTAGTATAATTTGTGAGAAACCTACTGACAGTGGTTGCTACTTTAGTACTTCTGAATTTAAATGTGTAAAACTCATTCCTGAAGATGAAGTTGATTGTAGTGTGTAAACTAATGGGTACAATAAGATTGCATGTGCAACGAATAAAGGTTGTGTATTCAGTGATCATTGCTATTTAAAAGAGGAGGGTGAATTTTCTGTCTGTTCCGATGCTACCAATAATAAGGCAAATTGTTAGGCTGTAAAATATGAGGCATGCTAGTTTAAAGAGAATAGTTGTACTCTGATTTCAGATACATCCTCAATTAAATGTCAAGATGCTGTTAATATATTTGGTTGCTAAAATGTTACTACAGATGGAGTATATTGCCAATTTATTGATGAGTAGTGCTAGGAGATCAATCCCTTAACTATCAAAGACACAGGTTGTACAGAAGTAGGAATTATCAATAGTTTTATGTTCTGTGAATAAGTATCAGTAGAAGATGAGCAATGCAAATATGATATTAAGAAGAAGTAGTGTGTTCTTACGGAACCAACTGATGAATTCAGTTGCAACAGAGGTTTAAATCCACTTGCATGCTTGAATAAAACAACTTAATCACTCTAGTGTAGATTCTGGAATTATTGTTATGGACCAAATTTTTAGATTTTGAATTGTGATCCCTTATTAGTTGCCGATTGTTGTACCCTTGCTTCAAATTTAGAATCATGTTTATTCTAATCTACATTTAACTGTGTTTGGACTAATAAATGCTAAAAGTATACAGCTAATTAAACTGATTGCAATTTGATTGAAAATGCATCTAGGAATATATGTACATCAATCAATAGCAGTTTTTGCATCTTTGACACCACTATTAAAAAATGTAGATCTATAATTCCTACTAATTGTGATCAGGCATAGACACCATCATAATGTAAGATGATTTAAGGATTGCCATGTTATTGGAATTCAGAAGTAGATCAATGTGAATACAAAGAAAAACAATTATATGATGAGTGTTAGGATATTGAAAGTGCATCTGGTAATATGAGAGCCTGTTTGGATGTGGAGAGACCAGGATAATTATGCTAATTTGTAGATAATTAATGTAAAACATTTAATGAAGTACCAAATTAAAATAATTGTTTAAACAACATTAATAAAGTTTCATGCACTTAATAAATAAAAAATGAATGTTTCTGGGATTTATAAACTATTAAAATTAAAAAAACAACATTAGCCAAACAAGAAACTGAAATAATCATTGGTGAATGTAAAGTGTTCAAAGAGTTCGATACTTGGAATTGTTCAGATCAACTTAGTTATGTGGCTTGTCTTAAGATTACTACAAAAGGCGTGCAATGCTATTGGAATGATGAGCAATGCTAAGCTATTCCAATAATAAAAGGAGATGTAATCACTCCTAATACTTATGTTTTGATTAATAGTAATGCTTGTGCATTAGTAAACAATGGAGATATGGTCAGATATAATTCAGATACTTTGTCATGCATTAAAGAAACCGATTTTAATAATTTAACCTGTTTCCCAATGACTCCAGGCCTCAATAAATAGGCTTGTGTTAAGAATACCTTATAGAAATGCAGTTGGGATGAAAAAAATCGCACTTGTGTATTTGAAGCCAAAAGACTTCTTGTCGAGGAGTAATTATAATCTCATCGACTGTTATAATCAACAACCTGCAAAAGAGATGGATTGGGACCACAACTGTGTTCTCAACTTTCATTACAACTACCATGTGGTTCAGGTGAAATTGGTTGCGATCTTATCGATATCAATACAGCCGTCTGTTCAGATAAGGGACTTAATAAATATGCATGCTTAAATTTAAAGACTGGACCATGTGCTTGGATGGAGGATTCAGACGGTAACTTTGTTTGCCAAGACTACATACCATTTACTTCTTGTGAGTCAGTGCTTATTGATGTTAATTCTTCGGTTTGTTCGTATGTAGTAGACGATGCATGTGTGTATAACTAAACTCTTAATAAATGTCAGATTCCTACTCAAACTTATACTAAATGTGACGTTGATGGAATTAACTCTGTGGCTTGTTCTTCAATAAATGGTTGCATATTTAAAAATCAGAAGTGCCAGTCTCAAGATCCAAACGTAAATGTACTTTGCAATTAAGCCGAATCAGCTAATTATTAAGTATGCACACTTGCTATAGACAGATGCAAATATAGCGATTTAACTCATGGATGTATTAAATCTACGATCACAGACAATTGCAATACGCTAGGCTTAAGTGCTTTAGGCTGTAATGTCTTAGATGAGTGTAAATGGAGTGATTCTAAATGTCAGTGTCTGGCTTATCTTGAGCAGTTCCCTGTATGTTCAACTATTCTTGAATATAATAAATGCGAGAATTTAGACTATTGCTTCTTTGAAGTTTCGGAATCCAAGACCAATAAGGATATTACTTAGTATTTGAAAAACACAAATTATGGTACTTGTAGAGATAAAAAATGTTCAGATATGATTGTAAGTGAGTGTTAAGGAACTGTGATTGGAGATACTACTTGTTATTTAAATACTAAATCACAGTGTTCACCTGCCAATAGTTGCAATGAACTAATTGCAACATCACTTGATTGTTCTACTTATAAAATTAACAACTAAAGATGCAAAAACAAAGCATCATTAACTGGTTGTGAGAATCTGAATTGCAATTATTTAGATTAAACCACTTGTGAACAATTTATCAATGAATGTGTTTTTGTTGGATATTGCAAAATCAGAAGCTGTGAATATATGGGAAAAACATAATGCTTATAGAGTGACTGTGATTGGGATGATTAATAAGAAAAATGTACATTGCAATTGGATTGTTCGTAGATCTCTACCAGTGACAATTGCATTCTTAAAAAATAACAAGGAACTTAATGCGCTTGGATTGCAACTCTTAATAAAGTTGAAGAATGCACGTCCACTGGATGCAGATATTTAGGTATTTCTTAGGGAGATTGCATGGGTACACATATTGGAACTGACGTCTGTGTTTAAATGAATGATTTCTCTTGTGTTTCATGTGAAGAAATCAAAGATTCCTGCATCTGTTTAAATCAATCCTTGTTCTGCTCATATGACAATCTAAATAAGAAGTGTAGATCAAAGAGTTGTCAACATCACAACCAAGATGACTGTCCAAGTACTCATTGCAGATTCAATAATTCATCTAAGGTATTTTTCATGACAATATTAATTAGATTTGCTAACCATTATGCCAATACAATTATAACCAGTTATAATGCAATTAAGCTGATGAATGTGTTTGGGATTCAATCAATAAAATCTGTGCCTCCCATTTAAGCAATGTTGTCGCGCCATAAATCAACTTACCAGCCCCAAATAATGCATATATACTAATGCCCATCTTTCTAACAATTGTAATGAATTTATGATAATTCATTATATTTAGTATCAAAATTCTATTTTCATATTATAATCTTATATTTAAGATATTTACATAACTTATAATACCAGAATTACATTTTGAAGCTCTACTTAAAATAGTTGCCATTAAGATACAATATCAAATTATTAATTTAATTAAAATAGATTTGGTTGAATTTAATGTAATAGAATTAAATTTTATAGCGAAGCATTTTTCTAATTTCTTTTTATATTTTGCCCCAAATATTATTTTTTTGACTCAATGATCTTAATGAATAAATTTAGATAAATATTTTGTACTATAGACAATATTTATAAACCTCATAAGATTTATTATATATTCTAAAAATAATTAAACTATTTTAATGAGAAATTTGCTCTTTAATAGTCTATTGATTTGCTTACTTATGTTTATCAATACTAAACCAGTTAATTCATCAATTACATGTAACATCTACCTTCAATCTCCCCTCTTATGCATAAATAGCACAAGCCTTGTAAGATGTAATTTAATTCAAAAAATTATAGGTAGATATGACTTAGAAGAAAATAGGTGTTTGGAGATAGCTTAAAGAAATTTTGGCTGTTCATCTGACTTAAATAAGGAGGCCTGCATTTATTAATTAACAAACCAATAGGGATAAGGTGTTAATTGTAGAAATATTTATATATTTTAGGTATTTTTCTTGAGAGATGCCGACCAATAAGCGATGTGCAACTTTAGAAGTTAAGTTGCTCTGATAGAATTAACAAACTAGCTTGCATGAATTTACCCTAAAAATTTTGTGTTTGGAACAATAAATGTTAAAATTTAGATGATAGAGCTAACTTAAATTAGTGTTATGCATCCAATTTACCTGTTACTCCCTACACTTGTTAGCAATCACAGTCAGACTTATGTATTATAAGATTACTAAGTAGGCATGAGTAGTTGGAAGCATGGTGGCTTTAGATGTATTGGAGTTGAAATCGATTAATTAAATACAATAACTTGCAATTAGAAAGGGTTGAATGAAAAAGCATGTATTGCTATTAAAACAAGAGATTAATAATGTAAGATACAGGATTTATCTTAGGCATTTTTTAAAATAAACGCTGTAGTTCTATTGAGCCCTCTTAAATCACATCATGTGATCTTAAATTGAACATACATGCCTGTCTTTCTTCAAAACAAAATAATAAATTGCAATGTGAATGGTTTGACTCTTCTTGTAGAGTATTTCAAAGTAAGGAAGATGATTGCCCCTCTAGAAGCTTAGTAAACTCTTCTGTTTGTTCAAACTCTAAGAAGCTCTGCATGTATAATGAAAAAGAGAAAATCTGTTAAAAAATTCATGTAGAGACAAGAAATTCTTTGAATTGTAATACGATTGGATTATCTAAGGGAGGGTGCCTATTAGNTGCATTCTAAATATATATATTTAATACTTGACATTTTAATATCAAAAAAATTACTAGTATTTGAAATTTAAGCAATTTGAATATATAGATTATGAAGGGCTAATAGTTTATAATACAATCAATTGAATAAACTCATCTTTTAAAATTTTTTGTTATGTAAGGTTGAAAGTAAATTAAGGTTTATTGAAGTTTGAAAAATTTGTAACCTGGTCAAATTGTGAACAATATTTAATTGATCAATTTAAGGATTATTAAAGTGAATGAATCTCTTACGTATATATAATTAAGTATTAAACTTCAATCAATCTGAATTTTAGTATTAATTTACAATATTTAATTAGAAATGAATATTATCATTCTGATAATCTATTTGATTTAAACTTCTTTTTCTGAGCTTTTGAATATAAGAGAATGTTAAGAATAACTTCTTTACCCAAAGTTTTGTATAGAATCAACGAAACATTCTCCATGTAAAATAATTTAGATATATTAGGCATTTTTCATGAACGATTGAAATTTTGTCTTCCAATTTAAGATACTAATAAAGGTTGCAGTAATAATTTAAATGAAAAAGCTTGTATAAATTAATTGAGTGATTAATATGGAAAAGAGTGTTAATGTATAGAGTTAACTTAATTTAGGTATTTTTAATTTGAGATGCTAAAAAGCTTCAATAATACAGTTATCTAATTTAGGCTGTTTTGATAAGTTTAACAAGCATGCTTGTATGAATGTTAGAAATCATAGATGCTAATGGGACATTTCTTGCCAGTATGTTTCAAATGAACAAATAGAATTTATATCATGTGATTAGTAATATAAAATGCCTGTGTCTCCTTTGGTTTGTTCATCCATACCGAAATTAGAATGTAATGACAATTTATCATTATTAAGGTATGAACTCTGGTTCATTGGGAGGTTATAAATGTGTTTCAATACAGGAGAAGGATTACTAATAATTAAAATGCTCTGAGTTAGGATTGACTGAGCTGGCTTGCAGAAAGATAATTGCATTTGAAGAAAAATGTATTATTATAATTAATATTAGGTATTTTTTCAAATAATGTTTGCCGACAAGTCTAGAATAATGAAATTGTAAATTGCAATTAAAAGATCAATAAATTAGCTTGCCTTTCAATAAATAATCCCAACCTTAATTGTTATTGGATGAATCATTAATGCTTAGAATTTAAAGTATCAGAAGAAAATTAAGAAATCTTGTCTAATGTAAGTGTAAGTGCTAGCGTATGTGCTAAGCTTTAAGATTCTTATAAATTTGATACCGAAAAATATCAATGCGTACTTATTCCTTTGGAGAATTCTCAAATTTTGGATTGTAATACGATTGGATTATCTAAGAAAGGTTGCCTATTTATAAAAAATAAAAACTGTTCTTTTTATGGAGGGAAATGTTAAGAACTTAATGAATAAGATCTTAAAAGTTATTTATGTGAAATGGATTTGAATGAATAAGCTTGTGTTAATTTAGAAACTGAATTTTAATATTGTAAATGGAATGGAAGTAATTGTAAAAGAATATTTATGAATTAAGATATAAGTTGTCCTTTATAAAATAATAATCATTTAATGAAAGTTAATGGAAATGTTTGTTAAGCTATATCAAAATCAGATGTTTTATGTAAATATGATTAAAAAACAAATTTATGTGTTATCAGTACCAATTATGATAAATGTAATACTCCATTTCTTAATTTTTTTGGTTGCATTGGTATTTAAAATCATCATTAAACATGCCAATGGTATTAAAATAAATGTAGAATAATAACAATTCAATAAAACTCTACTTTATGTGAAACTTTAAAAAATGTAAATCCTTATTCTTGTTCTTAAGTTTATCAAAGTAATTCTATTGGTTGCTATTACGATAAAGATTCATATCAATGCAAATCAATCTTAATTGATTCAGATTCACAGTTATTAAATACAATCTCATGTAAAGACTTATCATTAGGAATTAATAAAGTTTTATGTGCCTCAATCACTACTCCATTTACTCCCTGTAGATGGCATTAAGATTAATGCTCTTATATCAAACACAGAAAAGATATCGCAAATGTTCCCTGCATGAACTTGTAACATGCTAACTATTAAGCTTGTTCTTTAGCATAGTATAACAATGAACCTTGTATATATTCTGAAAAACATCTAGGATGCAATAATATTATTAAACAGGAAACTTAATGTAACGCAAAAGGATTGAATGCTATTGGTTGCATATAAATAAATTAAAATTGTTATTTCGATAAAATCGCTTGCATAAAGAAGTAAGAAATAGATTTTATACCTGGTGGTGCAAAAGCCAATGATTATACAATTATAAGACTTAATTACTATGACTCTGAAGTATGCAAATCAGTCTTTCTAACAAAACTTGCTTGCTCTTCAATAACAACGAAAGGAGAATTGTGCATTTGGTCATTTAAGTTAAATTCTTGCACTTAAACATCAATTAAATATAATGAGAGTTGTCTTACTTATTCTGGTGCATAGTTCATAATAAATCCTAATGTATGTGCATCAATTGTAACATAAGTTCCTGAATTTTGTGCCTTTGATGTAAATACAAAAAATTGCAAAATTCAATACTTTGGTTGTATAACAAAATGTTGTACTGAATATAATATGATTGGAATAAATGCACATTCATGTAGTAGATATTCAAAACAGGCTGAAGGGGTTTATTGTTATTTTCGTGATTAGAGATGCTAAGAACTAAAAGTTGAAACTGTTGATATATCTGATGAGGCTAAAGTTAAAAAATACTACAATGATTTGAAGTTACCTTGCTCATCTATGAATATAAATTCTTGCCATATGATTGAGTGGTCAACTTCTTAACTTTGTTATCACAATGGAGAAGTTTGTAATAATCTCAATTTTTAACTATATCCAAATTTGAAAATTTTTACTGAAGTACCTTCAAAATTGAATAAATTTGCTTGCTTAGCTATAGAAGCTACAGAATCAACTTTCAATAAATTGAAATATTTTACCTACGATTCTATTAATTACAGATGTCAAGAATTCAAAGTTAGTCCTGAATTTACTTATTCTACATGTGAAGATGCGAAAGGCAATAAAAACATATGCACAAGATATACTACAAATAATTGGTGTAAATGGGATCCAGAGAACCAAGAATGTAAGACTATAGAAGATGATGTCTTTGATGAAATTTAAAATTGTAATTCAAATGTAAACAAAAAGGCTTGCTTAGAAAACAAATTTTCGAATTGTTATTTCTCAATTGAAAACGATAGTTGTTTAGAATTTCCATAAGATGTTAAATGTGATTACTTTTATTAAAAGGGTTTTGTAAAATAATCAGTATGCAAGACTATTAATGTATTAGGTGAAAAGTGCACTTATTCTGAAGATAAACAAACCTGCATAAAATCAGAATAAAATTATGAAGATTGTGATATTTCAAGGTTTGACAATAATAGAGTTTGTTATGATAGCACAGGTGGATTATGTAGATGGGATTCAGCTAATTTACTTTGCTATTAAAACGGTACTGAAATTTCAGAATTAAATTGCGATGACTATTTAAATAGATAACTATGTCTAATTGTAACAAAAGAAGCTTGTATGTGGAATGATAAGGAATATTAATGTTAAAGATTTTAATACGATCCAAAGGCATTAAAACATTCATATAATTTAATTAATGAAAAAGCATGCTTATCAATTTAAGATGCTGCATATATTTATCAAAGGGAAACTAATCGATGTTATAGAACCTATCGTAGGTTGTATAATTGTGATTAATTTCAATTGAATTAATATGCTTGCTTATATTTTACAAGAAGAGCTCTCTGTTTTTATGATAGCAACGAGTCAATCCCAAAAAATTTCTGTAAATAATTTAGGGATGAATAATCCATTTGTAATACTGATAACTTAATCAATATTGAAGTTTGTATGAATTTACCTGTTCCATGCCTTTTTGACGAAAGAACTCTTAAATGTGAATCAATTTAGATAAACGAAACTGATACATGCTCGCAATTATTCAATTAATCAATAAATAATAAACATCACAATAAAATTGCTTGTGCATCTGTGCGTGCAAGTTAAACAAAAAATTCCTGTTCTGAATAAAGTTGGACATGTCGTTTTGAAAAAAACTGTTATTGGTCAAATTATACATGTCAAATCTACTAATTTAAGTATAGATATATCGATATCAATTTTAATTATGGCTTTTGGGATGATTTTTATTGTTATTGCAACAACCAGTATAGTTGCTATAGCCAGAATAGTTGCTCTTATGAAAATATTTCTAATGAGTACATTAAAGATTATCCAAAAATAAAAATTGAACTAGAATAATATAATTGGTATGAGTCAAGAGTTGAATATAATTCAGAATAGTTATTTACTTCAGAACAAGACGAATTTGTAATTTGCAAAAGAGTTAATTGCTATTGGTCATTAGATCACTCCTACTACTTCGACAGGATGAACGAGTAGATTTATTCTTATGAAGAGTATGAGGAATTTAGCGATGAAAGTCATGGTACTTCAATTTATCGATTTATCTCCTCACCATATATGGTTATTGAATTTATTTATAATTTTTCTCCTTAGATTTCAAAGAAGATAATAATATAGATATCATATAACAACCTTCTTTCAAAAGCTCTCTGTATGAAATTAAAAGATAAAGGATTTTTTTTTGATATTAATCAAGGAGGTTGCATTTAATCAAAGAATAATGAACATAAGATACCAAATTGCGAAAGTTTATCGAATAATTGTCATGTAAGTTAAAGTAAAAACGCAATTTGTAAAGATGAAGAATAATCAACCAATTAATTTTAAAGACTTTTCTTAGATGAAAGTAATAATTGTAAGACTCTTGAAGTTGATAAATCCATTTACAATTGTGATGAAATTAAAAAAGATTTTTAGCCAATTTTATGTGCAAAAGCCTAGGATAAGTGTAGATTTGATGGGATAAAATGTATTAGTACTGATCCAGAGCCTTGCGAATGTGATAAAAGTTATAGCGAAGAATTATGTGAAAAATGCAAATGTAATTATACATTTTTAGGTTATTGCTAAAAAGAAAGCCAAGTTCCTTAATTAAATAATGATTATTCAAATTAATACTATTTATGTTATGAAGTTACTATGTTTGTGGCAAATAATTAAGAAATAGTTTGTGGTTAAGTTGATTAAGCATGTAAATTCAAAGATAATAAATGTGAGGATGCAACTCATTCTACTTGCGATGAATTAAAAAACCTTATTGTATCTTATTAAGCATGTGTAAGATGTTAAGGTTAAGCAATGAAATATAATAGAAGTACTTATAAATGTGAGCCTGTATCTGAAAATATCAAAGAATGTGAAAATCTAAATAAAAAAGGTTGTTTATCATATTCAAAAGAAGTAAAATGTAAATGGATTGCATCTCCAAGATAAAATAAAAAAAAATTCGACTTTAACTGTTTAAAAATAGATAAATTAGATTTATTAGATTAATTAGATTGTGCTATATTAAATGAAGATGCTTGTAATAAAGAATAAATAAATTTATGTTGGTTTGATTAGGAAACATAATTATGTGTGAAATATAATCCATTTAAAGGAGAATGTACTTCATTTATGAATAATCTAACTTGTATATAATCTATGATTTAATCATGTGTATGGGAAAAGAAATGTTAAATAGCATCAGAACAATAACAATGTGAAGGTCTAAATAAATTTGGATGTTTACATTTGGAAAGTCAATCTTGTGTTTGGTCTGATAATAATCACAAATGTGAATCAGCTATATTCAATGATTAACCTAAAAATTGTAGTGATTTAAATTAATCTGATATTTCACATATGAATGGTTTAACTTGTACATCAATCAATATTCAAAAACCTTGTATTCTAGGTCAAAATTACAAATGCAGAGAAATTATTGAGCCTATGTTATATAAATGTGAAACTATTGGATTAAATAAATATGCTTGTATTTTAAAAACCCAAAACAAATGTGCATTCATAGATTAAAAGTGCGTCCCCATCGATACTGATAAAGTAGGCTGCAAAGATTATTTAAATCAAAATGCTTGCATTAATTAAGAATAATATTGTATATTTTAGAAAGAAAAATGTTAAAGCCGAGATTTTACATATTTTAATTAATTGCTTGACAAAGAATATGAATATGCGACTTACTCCAGCAGATTTTGTAATTAGATTGACAGGGACGCATATGTTTATAGCTAAATTTAAAAAAAGTGCATTAAAGCTGTAAACTTAGATAAAAAATTAACAGATTGCTCATTACCTGGTATTAATAAATAGACTTGTTTAAATTAAATAATAGCTTTTTGCGAATATAAAAATGATAAGTGTTAGTAAATTGATAAGGAAAAAATAGAATCATGCTCTAACAAATTAAATAAATTTGCTTGCACTTAAGTTGATAATATATCATGTAAGTTTGAAAATAATGAATGTCATGAACTTAAAAAAGATGAATAATTTGATTGTAAATCATTGTAATTAGAAGTGAATGAAAAATCTTGTTCTTATTAAAAGTAACCATGCTTTTATGACAGTAAAAAAAGAGTTTGTGGTGAAGTTAACTTTGAGACACAAGAAAAATGTGAAGGGTTAAATAAAAATGCTTGCATATATAATTCAGACTCATTGTTATGCGAATTTAATATAAGTCAAAATAAGTGTGAAAGTTCTTATGGATATTCCTTTTGTGAAGATTTAGTTAACAAAAATAAGTGCTTAGCAATTACAACAAAAGGATAATATTGTATATTCAACGACAAAGTTGGAGATTAAGGATGCGAGAAAATTGATGAAGCCGCTATATTGAAAAAGAAAACGTGTGAGACAGAATTCTAAACTAATCCAATTACATGTTCTAAAATATAAGATACAGTTGCATGCTTTTATGATAAATTTTCAAAAATGTGCAAAAAATATGAATAGTATTGTGAGAATGATTAAAACTGCTCTCCCAATTATGATTATTAACGAATCTACAAGAATTATTAACTGTCCAACATTGATTCCTTTAACAAAAACACTTGTATATAATTTTCAGAGGCAATTTCTTATAATCCTATAGATTCAAAAAGTACACTATTTCCAGTCCTTCTTTTATGGAAAGACGGCTGCACTGAGATAAGAAGCATTCAATTATAGTATTTAAGATGCGATGAAGATATAAACATATATACTTGTGTAAGTATTTTAACTCCAAAATAATACTGTTAATTTCAATATAATAAATGTGTAAATGCTAATTTGAATGATTTCAAAGATAAAAAATGTGATTAAATTAAAGATATCAACTCAGGTGTCTTTTGTGCTATAACTTCTGGAGATCCTTGTCGATTCAATTAATAATTACATAAATGTGAAGTTGTAAACGATAATAAAGTTGAATGTATTGAGGAAAATCCAGAAAAAAAAGGATACAATGAGGAGGCTTGCTAATTGGATGCTGAAAATTGTGTATTTAATGATTAATGTTATAAAGTTAAAAAAGATCAACTATAATTTTGTCTAAATGCTTTCGATCAAGAAAACTGTTCGAAAGTATTAATTGAGGGATGTAGATTTAAAGATAATATTTGTTTGAAAATCTAAGATTCAGAGTATGATCAACTTAAATGCGAAGAAGTTGCAAATCGAATAGGATGTGTGAATATTTAAACCAAAGATCAATATTGCTAATTTTCAGAATCAAAATGTGTTTCGCGCACGATACCTTCAAAGACAAGTACAGAGTGTGAAAATTTTAAAAATATTAATCACTACAGCTTTTGTGAATAAACAACAGATATTGGATGCATTTATGATTTTCAATTAAACTCATGTAAAATTGTACCTGAAGTTTAATATTTAACTTGTTAAAGAGGTATTAATAAAATAGCATGCTTGCAATAAACAGATAAGAATCTTAAATGCTAATTTCTTAATTATTGTTTGGACTCAGATTCTGGAATCTAGAATTGTAAATTATCTGATAAAAACTTATGTTGTAAGTTAGCAGCCACAAAAGAAAATTGTCTAATTTAAAGTATTTATTAATGCCAGTGGTCAAATAATGAATGCTAGAGTTATTAAAAGAACGAAATTACATAGTGTGATTAAATCAAACTCTCGAGTTTATCGGCTTGCACTTCTATTGAGAATATGTTCTGTAAATACGATACGGATAAAGAGACATGCATTTCTATTAATCCGACTTCATGCGAAGAATTATTATCATCAGGTTAATGTAAAAGAATGAGTACTTTACCTTGCATCTGGCTAGATGATAACCAATAATGTATAGAACTGGATAAATAACATATAAGTAAGTTAAGTTGTAAAGATGTAAAAGCATAATCTGGTAGTTAAAGAACTTGTATGAATGTTAATTTGGAGGGATAAATGTGCATTTTTAATGATTTTTAATGTGAAACCTTTTAATAATCTAATGAAAATAATTGCTTAGATAATATTAATATTAATTCATGTAAACAATAAACTAAAAGTGATTGTTATTGGAATCTAGATGATTAATCAAGGATATTGTAAGTAAGCATATCACTAGAAGAAGATAAATTTGTTATGCGCTATGGAAAATGCATAGCTTTTAAAGATATTGATAAAAATGGTTGCCATTCTAATCTTAGTTATACATCTTGTTTGAAAATTTCAATGGAAGGTGCATTTTGCATTTGGAAAAATTAAGAATGCTAGAAAATTGATTCTGATCAGGTAACTGTTTATGAGCCTTCATCTTTTGCATAGATTAATGCTAATGCGTGTGGTTTAATAAATAATGGAGAAAAAGTATAATATGATAAAAATATATATCAATGTGTTAAAGTTCAAGATATTCGAACTTTATCATGTTTAACAGAGGGATTAAATAAAGAAGCATGCATAAACATTGAAAAATAAGATTGTCTTTGGGATGTAAACACTAGAAAATGTATATAGTACGTATTCAAATCAAAATATGAAACTTGTAAAATAGTAAATGCATCTTCTCAATTGTGCACAGACATAGATTTATAGGAGCCATGCGGATTTATAAAAGATGGATGCGATAAAGTTGATTTAAATTAAATTAAATGCAATTCTGATGGATTAAATAAATTTGCTTGCCTTAATGTAACACAATTTCCTTGTATTTGGATTAAAAATATTGATGATGTAAAATATCATTGTTAAGATTTTATTCCATCCACTCCATGTGAATAAATACCAAAGGATGTCAATTCTAAGGTTTGCTCTCTTGTTCAAGAAGATTCATGTTATTATAATATTGATAAATCAAAATGTGAAGTACCAAATAAGGGTTAAACTAATTGTGAATTGGTAGGATTAAACGTTATTGGATGTGTATAAATTGAAAATTGCTTTTTCGATTAAAAATGTTAATTATTGAATAAAAACAAATACAAAAGTTATAAATGTGATGATTTTCCAGTAGCTAATAAATTAATTTGTAAAAATGCCACTGATTCTTGTAAATATAATGAAATTCAGTATGGATGTTCACCAGCTAATGATGAACTATGTTCGAACGATTCATTAAGCGNATTGTCTAATTTAAAGTATTTATTAATGCCAGTGGTCAAATAATGAATGCTAGAGTTATTAAAAGAACGAAATTACATAGTGTGATTAAATCAAACTCTCGAGTTTATCGGCTTGCACTTCTATTGAGAATATGTTCTGTAAATACGATACGGATAAAGAGACATGCATTTCTATTAATCCGACTTCATGCGAAGAATTATTATCATCAGGTTAATGTAAAAGAATGAGTACTTTACCTTGCATCTGGCTAGATGATAACCAATAATGTATAGAACTGGATAAATAACATATAAGTAAGTTAAGTTGTAAAGATGTAAAAGCATAATCTGGTAGTTAAAGAACTTGTATGAATGTTAATTTGGAGGGATAAATGTGCATTTTTAATGATTTTTAATGTGAAACCTTTTAATAATCTAATGAAAATAATTGCTTAGATAATATTAATATTAATTCATGTAAACAATAAACTAAAAGTGATTGTTATTGGAATCTAGATGATTAATCAAGGATATTGTAAGTAAGCATATCACTAGAAGAAGATAAATTTGTTATGCGCTATGGAAAATGCATAGCTTTTAAAGATATTGATAAAAATGGTTGCCATTCTAATCTTAGTTATACATCTTGTTTGAAAATTTCAATGGAAGGTGCATTTTGCATTTGGAAAAATTAAGAATGCTAGAAAATTGATTCTGATCAGGTAACTGTTTATGAGCCTTCATCTTTTGCATAGATTAATGCTAATGCGTGTGGTTTAATAAATAATGGAGAAAAAGTATAATATGATAAAAATATATATCAATGTGTTAAAGTTCAAGATATTCGAACTTTATCATGTTTAACAGAGGGATTAAATAAAGAAGCATGCATAAACATTGAAAAATAAGATTGTCTTTGGGATGTAAACACTAGAAAATGTATATAGTACGTATTCAAATCAAAATATGAAACTTGTAAAATAGTAAATGCATCTTCTCAATTGTGCACAGACATAGATTTATAGGAGCCATGCGGATTTATAAAAGATGGATGCGATAAAGTTGATTTAAATTAAATTAAATGCAATTCTGATGGATTAAATAAATTTGCTTGCCTTAATGTAACACAATTTCCTTGTATTTGGATTAAAAATATTGATGATGTAAAATATCATTGTTAAGATTTTATTCCATCCACTCCATGTGAATAAATACCAAAGGATGTCAATTCTAAGGTTTGCTCTCTTGTTCAAGAAGATTCATGTTATTATAATATTGATAAATCAAAATGTGAAGTACCAAATAAGGGTTAAACTAATTGTGAATTGGTAGGATTAAACGTTATTGGATGTGTATAAATTGAAAATTGCTTTTTCGATTAAAAATGTTAATTATTGAATAAAAACAAATACAAAAGTTATAAATGTGATGATTTTCCAGTAGCTAATAAATTAATTTGTAAAAATGCCACTGATTCTTGTAAATATAATGAAATTCAGTATGGATGTTCACCAGCTAATGATGAACTATGTTCGAACGATTCATTAAGCGATATAGCTTGCTAAAATTAACCACAATGTATACTTTTAGCTTAAAGTTGCCAATGCAGCCTGTTAATTGAGACTTATGATTGCAAATACATTACTGAATCAAATTAATGTGAATAGTTTAGACATTGCAAACTTCAGTCTAATGATGTATATAAAGATCAAATGTGCAGTATTCCAAATACAATTTGTTATTAGAATGATTCTTAATAATGTTTATCTGCATCAAAATGTGAGGAAATAATCAATCCATTATAATAATGTTAAGAATATTCATTTAAGGATTTGCCGTGCTAACAGATGAATGATAATCAAAAGGTTTGCAAAACAAAATAATGCTCTGATTAAACCTATTAATAATGTATTTAGAATGAGTGTAATTGGAATTATTTCAAGGACAGTTGTTAAGATTTAATGGAATGCGAATCAATTTAGAATTAAGGTCTATGCAATCAATAATAATTCTAAAAAAGATAATGCTTATGGGTTGAAGTGAAGGGTAAGCAAGTATGTGTAGAACAAAAATGCAGCTATTTAGAAAAAGACTAAATTTGTGCTGGATCTAGGGTTGCTCAATAAACTTGTGTAGAATTAACAAAAGCAATTTGTGTTTCATGTGAAGAAATTTCTGATTCATGCGAATGTTTAAGATAGTCAGATTATTGTTAATACGACATCGATAATAGGAAATGCACATCTAAGAAATGCGAATCATATTCCAACTAGCTTTAATGTCCCTTTGAATTTTGTATATTTTAGGATTAGGTAAAAATGATAATTATATATAGATATGTTAAACTAAATGTGAAAATATTACAGATGAATTTAATTGTAAATAAGCTCAGCACTGTGAATGGTTAGAATCAAAATATTGTTATAATATAAATTGCATAAATATACAAAATAAAGAAATATGCGATTAAATTTTTCACTGTTAGTGGGATGATGTTGGAAAGTAATGCTAAGACTTTAAGAATGTGCAAGTAACCATTAATATTTTTATTGGATCGATGATGCTTCCAATCTTCGCCTTAATAAGTTTAATTTTAATATGAGAGTGAAATATATAAAAATATTTAGCATTAATAATATTGCATTCTAAATATATATATTTAATACTTGACATTTTAATATCAAAAAAATTACTAGTATTTGAAATTTAAGCAATTTGAATATATAGATTATGAAGGGCTAATAGTTTATAATACAATCAATTGAATAAACTCATCTTTTAAAATTTTTTGTTATGTAAGGTTGAAAGTAAATTAAGGTTTATTGAAGTTTGAAAAATTTGTAACCTGGTCAAATTGTGAACAATATTTAATTGATCAATTTAAGGATTATTAAAGTGAATGAATCTCTTACGTATATATAATTAAGTATTAAACTTCAATCAATCTGAATTTTAGTATTAATTTACAATATTTAATTAGAAATGAATATTATCATTCTGATAATCTATTTGATTTAAACTTCTTTTTCTGAGCTTTTGAATATAAGAGAATGTTAAGAATAACTTCTTTACCCAAAGTTTTGTATAGAATCAACGAAACATTCTCCATGTAAAATAATTTAGATATATTAGGCATTTTTCATGAACGATTGAAATTTTGTCTTCCAATTTAAGATACTAATAAAGGTTGCAGTAATAATTTAAATGAAAAAGCTTGTATAAATTAATTGAGTGATTAATATGGAAAAGAGTGTTAATGTATAGAGTTAACTTAATTTAGGTATTTTTAATTTGAGATGCTAAAAAGCTTCAATAATACAGTTATCTAATTTAGGCTGTTTTGATAAGTTTAACAAGCATGCTTGTATGAATGTTAGAAATCATAGATGCTAATGGGACATTTCTTGCCAGTATGTTTCAAATGAACAAATAGAATTTATATCATGTGATTAGTAATATAAAATGCCTGTGTCTCCTTTGGTTTGTTCATCCATACCGAAATTAGAATGTAATGACAATTTATCATTATTAAGGTATGAACTCTGGTTCATTGGGAGGTTATAAATGTGTTTCAATACAGGAGAAGGATTACTAATAATTAAAATGCTCTGAGTTAGGATTGACTGAGCTGGCTTGCAGAAAGATAATTGCATTTGAAGAAAAATGTATTATTATAATTAATATTAGGTATTTTTTCAAATAATGTTTGCCGACAAGTCTAGAATAATGAAATTGTAAATTGCAATTAAAAGATCAATAAATTAGCTTGCCTTTCAATAAATAATCCCAACCTTAATTGTTATTGGATGAATCATTAATGCTTAGAATTTAAAGTATCAGAAGAAAATTAAGAAATCTTGTCTAATGTAAGTGTAAGTGCTAGCGTATGTGCTAAGCTTTAAGATTCTTATAAATTTGATACCGAAAAATATCAATGCGTACTTATTCCTTTGGAGAATTCTCAAATTTTGGATTGTAATACGATTGGATTATCTAAGAAAGGTTGCCTATTTANGATCGATGATGCTTCCAATCTTCGCCTTAATAAGTTTAATTTTAATATGAGAGTGAAATATATAAAAATATTTAGCATTAATAATATTGCATTCTAAATATATATATTTAATACTTGACATTTTAATATCAAAAAAATTACTAGTATTTGAAATTTAAGCAATTTGAATATATAGATTATGAAGGGCTAATAGTTTATAATACAATCAATTGAATAAACTCATCTTTTAAAATTTTTTGTTATGTAAGGTTGAAAGTAAATTAAGGTTTATTGAAGTTTGAAAAATTTGTAACCTGGTCAAATTGTGAACAATATTTAATTGATCAATTTAAGGATTATTAAAGTGAATGAATCTCTTACGTATATATAATTAAGTATTAAACTTCAATCAATCTGAATTTTAGTATTAATTTACAATATTTAATTAGAAATGAATATTATCATTCTGATAATCTATTTGATTTAAACTTCTTTTTCTGAGCTTTTGAATATAAGAGAATGTTAAGAATAACTTCTTTACCCAAAGTTTTGTATAGAATCAACGAAACATTCTCCATGTAAAATAATTTAGATATATTAGGCATTTTTCATGAACGATTGAAATTTTGTCTTCCAATTTAAGATACTAATAAAGGTTGCAGTAATAATTTAAATGAAAAAGCTTGTATAAATTAATTGAGTGATTAATATGGAAAAGAGTGTTAATGTATAGAGTTAACTTAATTTAGGTATTTTTAATTTGAGATGCTAAAAAGCTTCAATAATACAGTTATCTAATTTAGGCTGTTTTGATAAGTTTAACAAGCATGCTTGTATGAATGTTAGAAATCATAGATGCTAATGGGACATTTCTTGCCAGTATGTTTCAAATGAACAAATAGAATTTATATCATGTGATTAGTAATATAAAATGCCTGTGTCTCCTTTGGTTTGTTCATCCATACCGAAATTAGAATGTAATGACAATTTATCATTATTAAGGTATGAACTCTGGTTCATTGGGAGGTTATAAATGTGTTTCAATACAGGAGAAGGATTACTAATAATTAAAATGCTCTGAGTTAGGATTGACTGAGCTGGCTTGCAGAAAGATAATTGCATTTGAAGAAAAATGTATTATTATAATTAATATTAGGTATTTTTTCAAATAATGTTTGCCGACAAGTCTAGAATAATGAAATTGTAAATTGCAATTAAAAGATCAATAAATTAGCTTGCCTTTCAATAAATAATCCCAACCTTAATTGTTATTGGATGAATCATTAATGCTTAGAATTTAAAGTATCAGAAGAAAATTAAGAAATCTTGTCTAATGTAAGTGTAAGTGCTAGCGTATGTGCTAAGCTTTAAGATTCTTATAAATTTGATACCGAAAAATATCAATGCGTACTTATTCCTTTGGAGAATTCTCAAATTTTGGATTGTAATACGATTGGATTATCTAAGAAAGGTTGCCTATTTATAAAAAATAAAAACTGTTCTTTTTATGGAGGGAAATGTTAAGAACTTAATGAATAAGATCTTAAAAGTTATTTATGTGAAATGGATTTGAATGAATAAGCTTGTGTTAATTTAGAAACTGAATTTTAATATTGTAAATGGAATGGAAGTAATTGTAAAAGAATATTTATGAATTAAGATATAAGTTGTCCTTTATAAAATAATAATCATTTAATGAAAGTTAATGGAAATGTTTGTTAAGCTATATCAAAATCAGATGTTTTATGTAAATATGATTAAAAAACAAATTTATGTGTTATCAGTACCAATTATGATAAATGTAATACTCCATTTCTTAATTTTTTTGGTTGCATTGGTATTTAAAATCATCATTAAACATGCCAATGGTATTAAAATAAATGTAGAATCATAACAATTCAATAAAACTCTACTTTATGTGAAACTTTAAAAAATGTAAATCCTTATTCTTGTTCTTAAGTTTATCAAAGTAATTCTATTGGTTGCTATTACGATAAAGATTCATATCAATGCAAATCAATCTTAATTGATTCAGATTCACAGTTATTAAATACAATCTCATGTAAAGACTTATCATTAGGAATTAATAAAGTTTTATGTGCCTCAATCACTACTCCATTGACTCCATGTAGATGGTATTAAGAATAATGTTCTTTTGTTGAATATGAAACCATAAAAAGCATCCCTTGTTAAAATCATATTTATGCAAATTATTAAGTTTGTGCATAAATTGAATATAATAAAGCAAAATGCTTCTACTCTTAATAAAACAAGCAATGTTTTGAGTTAAAAACAGGTGATGATGTAAAGGCTTGTAATAGTAAGGGATTAAATAAATATGCATGCTCATCAATTGAAGAGTTTTGCTACTTTGAAAACTTTACCTGTAAAGATGCTAAAAACAATTTGAATAATATTTTATGTTAATCAAGCTATCCTTCAAAAAAAGCTTGTCTGGCTATAACGACGAAAGGTTAATTTTGTAAGTGGTCTGATAAGATCAATCAATGTATAGATGTTATTGTAGAAGAAAATCATAAATGTGAAACAAAAGAAATTTAGCTGGTCAACCACTTAGTCTGTGCTAGTGTTATTAATTATGTACATTAGCTTGTATAAGTAAAAGATTTTAAGGGTTATTGCCATTATAATTAAGAATAGAACTTCTGTTAGGTTCCACCCAGAGAAACATATCAATGTACAACAAAGTGTTGTACAGAGGATGTTGGAATAAACGCTCATGCTTGCATTAAATTTTCTAATGAATCCGATAATTGTTACTTTTATGATTTAAGATGCCAAGAATTAACTGAAGATTTAGTTGATATCAATGATCCTAAATAAATCAAATAATATTTTAATGCATTAAATTTACCATGCTCATCTGTGATGAAAAAGTATTGTCATATGATTGATTGGTCTGAAACCCAAAGATGCTTTAGTTATGGAGACATCTGTATCCATTTTAACACAAACTATTATCCCAATATCAAAGAATTGATTGAATTACAAAACCCAGTATTTAATAAATTTGCATGTCTATCAGTGGAAGGAAATTCTCAGGAGAATATTAATTTTAAATATTTAACGTATGATGAGGGAAGGAAAACTTGCTTACTTGCGACTAAAACTTAATATAAGAGTTGTGAAGATGTGAAAGGAAACAGGAATGTTTGTATGAGCCATACTGAAAATTTATATTGTAGATGGAATGCTGATAAACTAAAGTGTGTTACAATTACTAAAGAAGAGCTGTATGAAATACAAAGTTGCTAGCTCAATTAAAACAAAAAAGCTTGTCTTGAAAATAAACATAAAAATTGTTCTTTTGATGGCAAGAACGACAGGTGTTTGAATTTTAGACTTGATGTAATAAATGATGAATAATTAATGGTATAATCTGTATGCGTATAATTAGAGGGAGTACCTTACGAATTTTATTAATCAAAAATTTGTAGTTAAGCAGAGATAAAAGTATTTCCAGGTTGTTTTTAATATAATATCAATAACAAAGCATGTTATAAATATTCTTAAGGATATTGTCGATGGAATTCAGAGTTTTTCTTTTGTTATGAAAATGAGGATGAGATCAACACATTAAGTTGTTCTGATAATTTGAACAAGGTTCTTTGTTTAGTAGTCACAAAAGAAGGATGCGTTTGGAATGAAGAAAAATATTAATGTTAATCTAATAAAGAAATTACATATAATAATTGTGAAAATGAATAAAATGAATTAGCATGTTTATCCATAAAAGAATGCATTTATAATTAAGAAGAGAAAAAATGTAAAAGGCTTTAAGAAAATATTAACTGCTCAGATGCTAAGTAGAATAAAGATGGTTGCCTATTAAATACTAGAGGACATAAATGTCAATATACTGATGGAAATTGTCAGTAGTATTAATCAGATTAAACTATTTGTGATTCTGAAATCGATATCAATATTGAAGTCTGTATGGACATACCTCAACCTTGTTATTTTAATATTAAAACATTAAAATGCGAAAATGTTAAAATTGAAACAAATACAACATGCTAATCTCTATTTATGTAATTACCAAAAAGTAATACGATTGCAGATTAAGAATTCAAAGAAGGAAGATATTACAACAAAATTGCTTGTTCATCTATTAGCATGGATTTAGAATTAGAATATGGAGGAAAATAATGTTTAGAAGGTCCTAATACATAATAATGTAACTATGAGAAATATTGTTTTTGGAATTCCATAAATTATACTTGCAATGTGTATGAATTGGTAAACTCTGCATATGATGAATATTATCATTCAGAAACGACTGAATACCTTTGGAAATCTGAAAATTAAAATGATAATGTTATAATTGTAGAAGATTTTGAAAAATAAGAAAGTAAGGAATGTTTTAAACAAAATAACTCGACAGGTGAAAAGCTAGAATAGAATAATATTTCAATTTGTGAAAATGTAAACAAAAAATGTCAAGCTGACTAAAATTGTAAATCATTCACTCATTATGAAATACCAAAAAACATAGAAGAAGCAAGAGAATAAATAATTAAAGCAGCCGATAAATCAGATGCTAACAGTAATTGTTCTTAGTATTGCTAACCTAATAATAGTTGTTCATAAAACAATCAAGGAAGTAGTCTCCACTTCACAAAAAATGACTTAGAATTAAAAAAGGTTTGCTAGTCTTTTAAATTTTACGTTTCTCATCCTCTATGTTCTAATTTTCCAAATAAGATTACAGATTGTAAGAATATATATTCGAAAGCTCTTTGTTTATAATATATTGAAGAAAATTGCTACTTTGATATCAACTAAGGAGGATGCAGATAACTAAAAGGAAACGAACATAAATTACCAGATTGTTCTGCCATTTCAAATCAATGTAATACAAGCAATTCGAAAAATGCCATATGTTAAGTCAAAGAAACATTACCTAAGTGCTAAATTGTTAAAATTAAAACAACATAGTGCTAAAAGGTTGTCAATCTGAAAAAAATTGCATTTGGTTAAAAATGTTCTGAAATTATGTTGGCTTAGCCAATTTTATGTGCAAAAGCCTAGGATAAGTGTAGATTTGATGGGATAAAATGTATTAGTACTGATCCAGAACCTTGCGAATGTGATAAAAGTTATAGCGAAGAATTATGTGAAAAATGCAAATGTAATTATACATTTTTAGGTTATTGCTAAAAAGAAAGCCAAGTTCCTTAATTAAATGATGATTATTCAAATTAATACTATTTATGTTATGAAGTTACTATGTTTGTGGCAAATAATTAAGAAATGGTTTGTGGTTAAGTTGATTAAGCATGTAAATTCAAAGATAATAAATGTGAGGATGCAACTCATTCTACTTGCGATGAATTAAAAAACCTTATTGTATCTTATTAAGCATGTGTAAGATGTTAAGGTTAAGCAATGAAATATAATAGAAGTACTTATAAATGTGAGCCTGTATCTGAAAATATCAAAGAATGTGAAAATCTAAATAAAAAAGGTTGTTTATCATATTCAAAAGAAGTAAAATGTAAATGGATTGCATCTCCAAGATAAAATGAAAAAAAATTCGACTTTAACTGTTTAAAAATAGATGAAATAGATAAATTAGATTAATTAGATTGTGCTATATTAAATGAAGATGCTTGTAATAAAGAATAAATAAATTTATGTTGGTTTGATTAGGAAACATAATTATGTGTGAAATATAATCCATTTAAAGGAGAATGTACTTCATTTATGAATAATCTAACTTGTATATAATCTATGATTTAATCATGTGTATGGGAAAAGAAATGTTAAATAGCATCAGAATAATAACAATGTGAAGGTCTAAATAAATTTGGATGTTTACATTTGGAAAGTCAATCTTGTGTTTGGTCTGATAATAATCACAAATGTGAATCAGCTATATTCAATGATTAACCTAAAAATTGTAGTGATTTAAATTAATCTGATATTTCACATATGAATGGTTTAACTTGTACATCAATCAATATTCAAAAACCTTGTATTCTAGGTCAAAATTACAAATGCAGAGAAATTATTGAGCCTATGTTATATAAATGTGAAACTATTGGATTAAATTAAAAAGCTTGTATTTTAAATACCCAAAACAAATGTGCATTCATAGATTAAAAGTGCGTCCCCATCGATACTGATAAAGTAGGCTGCAAAGATTATTTAAATCAAAATGCTTGCATTAATTAAAAACAGGGTTGTTATTTTGATGATAGTTGCAAGAAATTTGAAATAGAAAATTATGATTAGTTATCTAAAAGTAGCGATAAGAAATATTCGCCCAACTTTTGTAAGTAATTTGATATGGATTCAAATTTTACAAAAAGTTTAATATATTCTTAAATTTTAGGAAGATGTATAGATATCTCCTAATAAAATGCTTTTGTTTCTGAATGTGGATCTATAGGTATCAATAAATTTGCTTGTTTATCTAAGACTTAAGGTTTGTGCTAATACATAGATTTAGAATGTAAAATCAGTAAGACTAAATAATTTAATGAATGCGACCCTAATTTAAATTGGGTAGCTTGTGTTAACAAAAATTAAAAATGTAAGTTTGTGTAATCTAAATGCTAACCTTTATCAAATGAATCCTGTGTGAGTTTAAAATAAGAAAAAGCTATCATAAATTAAAAGGTTTGTACAAATACTGTTGACAAACCTTGCAAATATGATAGTAATACATTAACTTGCACAGATGATATTGATCAAGACGAACCCTGTTCAGCTTTGGGATTAAATTAAAAAGGTTGCATTTTTAATACAAAATCTTCAAAATGTAAGTTTGAAAATAATGAATGTAAAAGTGATTATCAAACTACTTAAACAGCATAATGCACAGACAAGATTAATGAAAGGAAATGTTTAAGTTTAAAAGCGTAGAATTGTTAATTTTTACCCATTGATGGATGCTAAATTAATATATAAATTTGCAATAACAATACTTGCTCATCAGAATTTTGTTTTTATGATGAAGTAAGTAAAGATTGCAAATAGATTAAATTAAATGGTGATCAATTAATTTTGCCTAATCTGGATTCATTAAACTAGTAAGCTTGTCTGGATATTGAAAATTCAACAACATTTTGGAATGATGGATGTAGGTATGCAACAGAAGAACTCCTTAAAACATTAGAATGCGATGATTAACTTAATAAAGTGGCCTGTCGAAATGTGAAGACTGAATCTCAGTATTGTTTATTTTAAAATGAAAGTTGTAGAGCTTATGATAAAGACTTGAATAATGAATGCGAAAAAATTGGTGATATCAACAATGGAATTATTTGTTCTTAAATTAGAAATCAAGATTGCAAATACGATTCGTCTTAATAGAAATGTGCAATAGTTGATTAAGAAGAATCAAAATAATTGAACTGCGATGAGAAGGCATTATAATTTTATAATAAATAAGCATGCGAATAAGATAATAATTGTATATTTATTGAAAAATGTATATAAAAAAAGGATTGGGATCAAAAAAAAGAACATTGTATAATCTAAAAAATGCCATCTTTTTTGAATGGAGGTGAATGCAAATAAAAAGAAAAACAAATATCTGATTCTTGTTAAGATATTACTGCAATGTCTGGTAACTTAAATGCTTGTATTTAAGTTGAGAAGTTTGGAGAAATGTGTGTTTTTAAAGATTATAAATGCTAAACAATTGACGAGAATGAGGAAAATTACAACAACTGTCCTAATAATATTAATAAAAATGCATGTTTGTAATAAACAAAGTTTAATTGTTTTTGGAATTAAACTGTACATGATAATGCATTAGAATCTTGTGAAATATTTGTAAAACATGATGAAAGTGATTGTGAAAATAATTTGAGTTTTAAAGCATGTTTAAGCATATCAAAGGAAGGGACTTATTGTTAATGGAAGCATGGATAATGTTAGAAAATTTAGGAGAATGAACTAGATTTTAAAGAATTATCAATAAAAAGGTTTGTTAATAGTAACACTTGCCATTTGATAAAAAATGTGGCTGTTAGTTATGATGAAATTGTATATACTTGTGTCTAGATTAAATCAACAGATTATCTATCATGTAGTCCTCCAATCCCTGGGATGAATTACTTAGCATGTCTCTTAGTAAAGCGATAAAATTAACTTTGTACTTGGAATCACTAAAAGAAAGTCTGTTATAACAATTAAGAAGCAAACTTTAAAAATCAAGTGCAAAATTGTTAAATATAAGGCATCAATCCTATATACTGTTCGTAAAGGAAAGTGAAAGGCCCTTGTGGCGGTATAGAAGAAGGTTGCGATTAGGTTGATTTAAATTTAGCCAAATGCAATCAAATAGGATTAAATCGAGAAGCATGTGTTAATTTAAAGAGTTAACCATGTACTTGGGTAGAAGGTCTCGATGATGATATCGATCATTGTGAAGAAAAAATACCAGGAAAATGCGAAGGTAATGATGTGATTGTAAATGCTTTGGTATGTAGTATGGTTGCTGAAAATGAGGCTTGTTCTTATGATTCCTAAAATCATACCTGTAAAAGGCCTGATAATGATTTAACAGATTGCAATGTTCAAGGTATCAATTCATATGGTTGCGTGCAAATCTAAAATTGCTATTTTAAAAATTTAACTTGCATATTGTTTGATTCGAATAGCAATATCTCGTGCAGAGATGCTAATTTTGCTAATGAATCAGTTTGTTCATAAATTAAAGATGGGACTTGTAAATATAACTAATTAGGATTTGGATGCATAGAATCATCATTTGATGATATTTGTTCTACTCCAGGGATAAACATGCATGGATGCAATTAATTAGATTAATGTTAATGGAAGGATAAGAAATGTTAATGCAAAAAGGTAATTATGTAATAAAAGGATTGTTTCGAACATTAAGATCAAGAGAATTGCAATAATTCTAGTAAATGTTATTTTGATATATCTCAAATTGAAGATAGCCAAAGAGTTTGTAAAGAAAAATATTGTGGTTTCGAGAAAGTGTGTAACTATCAATTAGAAAGTGGAAAGGTTTGCTATTAAGATATTAATGGAAAGTGTAATGAAGCTAATTCATGCAATTAAATAATAAACCCGTAATGGGATTGTTCTGAATACCTTTTTGATAACATACCATGTATAAGCGAGGATGAAAATAGGTGTGTATAATTTGAAAGTTGTGAAAAGCTGAACTAAATAGAATGTAGCAAATATACTAGGGAATGTGTTTTATTATTGTCATGTGTAACAAAACAATGTCATCATAATAGGGATAAATAAAGTTGTATCAATTTTAATTGTACTTGGATCGATTACAAGTGTAGAGAATAAATATCATGTTCTGAAATTAAAACAGAATATTATTGTAGTATTAATTATTAGAATGGGATGTAGTGTTCATGGCATAATATTACTGAGAATCATATAAACAATTAATTTTGTACATTTGACGGTTGCAATTCCCTTTAAAAGAATATATTTTGTCATGGTGTTTAAGTACTATAAAGTGTATGTCTCTAAGTTTACACGAATATTTGTCTAACTTGTCAATAAATTTTAGATCCTTGTGAATGTATGAATCATGCAGATCATTGTCAATATGATGTGAAAAGGTAAGTATGTATATCTTTGCCATGTGAGAATTACAATGAGTTATCTTGTCCCCAATCTCGTTGTCAATTCAATTAATAAAACAAAGTATATCTTATCTAATATATATATAGATTTGCATTCCATAATGCTAATTCAATTATAATAAAAAGTAATGTCAACAGTTCGAAATATGTACTTGGGATGATTTATTTACACCACCCTGTTATAAAGTTGAAATCATTGAAGAAATTCCGGAATCTGTTTATTTGACTTATGGTTTAATACTATATCCTGTACTGCCTTTTATAGCTATGCTTCTTTGATTAGATGCAACGATTATTATTTCAATTATTTATATATTTAATATAATTACATACATCAACAATTTAATTATTCAATTTTAAAGAAAAACTGAGAAACTTATTAATATTATATATTTTGTAATAAATAATTAATATTAAAGTTATTCTTTCACTATAATTATGCAAATTATAAATTATTAACTTACTTCATGGATATGTTAGCATTAAAGGGTGAATAATGGAATAAGGTTAAGATTAACTCTTGATATAGAGATAGAGTTAAAACTATTTGTTTTGGTAAGTATTTATAGGTTTATTCAAGTATAAAGATACATACAAAATCATTTACTCTCAGGACTATGATTAAAACTCCTCTTTTTATATATCCTAAGACTCTTATTAAATCATATTTGCTAAATTAGTAAATTCGCTTTGATATTATGTTTTTATTATATTTTCTATTACTGGATTCCTTAATGCTTCAAATAACGCTGTCTTTAATTTTGAATTATCAAATTATAATAATTAAACCTAAAATATTTTTATAGTTTTACCTTCTTATTTATCTTTTCATACTCCTGTTAAAGGGGGCCAATCTTCTCCAAAGCTTCCCTCTTTCTTTTCTATGCTTCTCTTGCGCTATCTCTGTTTCTCTTAACGCACAAACACCTTTTACAATTACAAAACTCATCCTCTTTACTTCTACATTTATTCTTTATTCTTTCTATCAGTTTTGCATAATATTCAAGAGGGTTTTTCTAGGGTTCTTCGGATCTATATCTATTAACAAATAGTACATACATTTTATTTTCCAATACTATTGAAATTATAGAATTCTCTATTCTTACTATATCCACAAACATAAATAAGATTTTTTTGAGTTTTTCCTCAAGTCGATTGGAATTGAATATGAATTACTTGCCATCAATTTGCTATTAATTCATGAATAATCCAGTGATCAATTATTCAATCACTTTAGTTTAATCAGAATTCTAATATATTTTGATTATGCTCAAGTACTAGATTTCAATAATTGAATTATTATACCTTTTCAGCATGATACTCAAAATTTCCATTAATATTAAATTATCCTTAGTTCTCAATAATTTACTCAATTAGATTTGATTGATGAAAATACTAATTGCTTTTTTCGAACATCTTTTCTAAGGCTATCTAACAAGACTATCTAGTCATGGTATTCTTGTCCTCTTCACATAAGAATTTGTATAAGAATTCATCTGATCTATTCTCCTATCCCAATAAATCATTTAAAGTTTAAAAGCTGATCTATTGAGCACTTCCATGCAATTTCTTGAAGATGACCTTCCTTATGATACTGCTAAATAACAAAGATTAGCTAACAATTCCAATTTAAGAATCTATATATAAAATTAGAATCAATACTATTAGTGCAAATTATATCATTGGCTTTGAGACAAACTAACTTTTTACTGATTATCTCACATATTAAATCCCATAGCTTCTAATCAATAACAATCGAATTGGGGTCCTTTATGTAATTCAATGTGACTTCATCATTATCCGATGAGCATTATTTCATTAGATAAATATATATATTAGCTATATATTTGGCTAAAATTGGCATATTAGAAGATGGAATAAAGTCCTTTGTGGAAATCTATACTCCTTTTTCTATAATCTTTTCTGACAATTAAACTGCTTTTTGTTATAAAAGGACATTCTGATTAATAGTGCCACTTTACAATTTCAATAGTTGAGCCTGCATGATCTAATTTTAAGCCTGAATCAGCATATATTATTGCACGTTGTAGACTTGAGACTATATTGTAATGAGATTTTATACCATGTAAGAGATATAGGAATCAATTTTGTCGCTGGGGATGTTTTCATTAACATTGAGTTGTAAGAATGGTTTCATCCAATATCTGTTTTAATTATTGTAAAATTTTTAAACTTATCCAACTATATCAACACATATTAATGCGTATTACTAATAATTTTAATTCAAAACATGAAAAATTTTAAAGATTATTTTTGATTTGTAATCAAATATACAATTAATTTTGTAAAATTTCCAATTAATTTTTATTTATGACATTCTTTATCATAAATTAATATTAGTAGCTCATCTAATTCCTTAAATGTCCTTTGATAACTTATATCTTCAAATTTTATTCATAATTAAAATTGCTATCAAAATTCTTTTACTAAACAATTTTAATAATCATAAATATCATCGTTTATATATCTAAATGATCCATCTAAATTGGATAATGAAATGAAAATAAGAGAAAAATTTCATAAATAATTATAATAGAGCGAAAATAATATTCTATTAAATTATTTTAGAAAATACTCATGCAATCTAAAAATTTCTAAATCAATATGCCCATAACTAGACATCTTCTCAAAAATGTTTGAGATTTGTTGCTTTTAATAAATATTTAAATTGAAAATTGCNTATCCTTAGTTCTCAATAATTTACTCAATTAGATTTGATTGATGAAAATACTAATTGCTTTTTTCGAACATCTTTTCTAAGGCTATCTAACAAGACTATCTAGTCATGGTATTCTTGTCCTCTTCACATAAGAATTTGTATAAGAATTCATCTGATCTATTCTCCTATCCCAATAAATCATTTAAAGTTTAAAAGCTGATCTATTGAGCACTTCCATGCAATTTCTTGAAGATGACCTTCCTTATGATACTGCTAAATAACAAAGATTAGCTAACAATTCCAATTTAAGAATCTATATATAAAATTAGAATCAATACTATTAGTGCAAATTATATCATTGGCTTTGAGACAAACTAACTTTTTACTGATTATCTCACATATTAAATCCCATAGCTTCTAATCAATAACAATCGAATTGGGGTCCTTTATGTAATTCAATGTGACTTCATCATTATCCGATGAGCATTATTTCATTAGATAAATATATATATTAGCTATATATTTGGCTAAAATTGGCATATTAGAAGATGGAATAAAGTCCTTTGTGGAAATCTATACTCCTTTTTCTATAATCTTTTCTGACAATTAAACTGCTTTTTGTTATAAAAGGACATTCTGATTAATAGTGCCACTTTACAATTTCAATAGTTGAGCCTGCATGATCTAATTTTAAGCCTGAATCAGCATATATTATTGCACGTTGTAGACTTGAGACTATATTGTAATGAGATTTTATACCATGTAAGAGATATAGGAATCAATTTTGTCGCTGGGGATGTTTTCATTAACATTGAGTTGTAAGAATGGTTTCATCCAATATCTGTTTTAATTATTGTAAAATTTTTAAACTTATCCAACTATATCAACACATATTAATGCGTATTACTAATAATTTTAATTCAAAACATGAAAAATTTTAAAGATTATTTTTGATTTGTAATCAAATATACAATTAATTTTGTAAAATTTCCAATTAATTTTTATTTATGACATTCTTTATCATAAATTAATATTAGTAGCTCATCTAATTCCTTAAATGTCCTTTGATAACTTATATCTTCAAATTTTATTCATAATTAAAATTGCTATCAAAATTCTTTTACTAAACAATTTTAATAATCATAAATATCATCGTTTATATATCTAAATGATCCATCTAAATTGGATAATGAAATGAAAATAAGAGAAAAATTTCATAAATAATTATAATAGAGCGAAAATAATATTCTATTAAATTATTTTAGAAAATACTCATGCAATCTAAAAATTTCTAAATCAATATGCCCATAACTAGACATCTTCTCAAAAATGTTTGAGATTTGTTGCTTTTAATAAATATTTAAATTGAAAATTGCTTACTTTGAAATTAAATAATAAAATAAAAAATAGATTAATGGGATAGAGTTGGGGAAGCCCTTAAAAAGTACAGGATAACATTATTAGTAATGAAAGATTCTTGTAAGAAGAGGTAGATGCTTAATTAACTCCTTAAAAATGCCCTCATTTAAGACATGTGATAAAATATCACTTTAACTAAAAGAAGATCGAATTTGAATGCTTCCCTGATTTTACTAAATTAAAAAGTCTTGAAGAACTCAGTCTTAATAATGAGCTAGAAAATAAAGATTTGAAGGAAATATTCAAATAACTTATTGAAGGATTATATGAATTGCATAAAAATAATTTCATAGGAAGATGTCTTACTTTAAATTGCATTACTTATGAAAAATAGACCAATAAACTTAATTACGGATCTTATGGGTTTTTTCATTCAGCAGACCAATTGTAATTTCCTCCTGAATGTTTATATAAGATGATAAATACATATGAGTCAGATTTTTGGTCAATAGCTAAAATAATGTGGTAAATATACACCAAAACGAACGATTATTATGGTAAATCAATCCTAGAATTAGGAAAGGATCTATTAGCGTACAAGATAGAAGCCTAAATGATAAATATTAATAAGGAGCCAACAGAATTGGTTTAGTTGATAAATAAGCTGCTTCCTGTATATTGTGGACAAAGAATGACTATTGATGAATTGTTGGAACAAAAATACCTAGACTTTGACTAATAAAAAAGAGAATAAATGAAGAACTTTTATAAGACGTATCAATTTGAACATTATTTCTTAAAACTAATGAAAAAAACACATCTAAGGGATCCTCAAAAAATTTTTGTCTATTATATTGATCTTGATAACCCAATTTGTCAGGAATATAGAAAAGAAATATTTTAAATTCTATTAACCTATATAGCCTTATAATTGTCTTTTCATTACCCAAATAATGATGAAAAGAAAAAAGATAGATATCAAAAACTAGTAAGCACCTTATCGAAATATTTAACTATTAGTTCAAAAATTTTGAAAGATAAACTTGTGCTCCAGGAGAAAGGATTTTTGCAAAATAGAGATGCATTTTTAAAGTTTCGCGATGAGATAGTTAAATCACATGATTTAGCATACAAGTTTGAAAAATTTGTTATAAAAGAGTGGCTGATTAATTTCTAAGAATTAAAAGGCTATGATGATGAAGAGATTCTTAAGATAATTAGTTTTAAATTGTATCAATTCAGAGCCTAAGCAGCTATGCCTAAATCAGTATCTTAAAGGGTCTTATTGAATTTGCTAGGCAATTTAAAGGTGAGTGAGGACACAATGAAAGATTTTAATTCAGGTAATTTAGAAGGGAATTTATTAAAATTCCTTGAAAAAATGAAATCTATAGGGGATGAATTATAAAAATGAGCCAATTAGAAAATTAATAAAATATATTAATCAAAATATGTTCCTTTTTGCTATGTTAATAGGTCTTCTTTATATATCTTGATCTTTCACTAATCCAGCAGTTCTATCAGTTTAGGAATATCCACTGAATGCTGAAAATCTCTATTTTTATTCAATTTGATTGAAAGGTTTCGATGTAATATTTGAGATGTTGGAAACATTGGGTTAATTCGATGAGGCAGCTATTCTTGAATTTTAAACTTAACCCTAATTCATCTAAAATTAATTATGGCTTTATAAATAATCTCCATTTTGTTTTCCGAAGACTATGTGATTTGGTTTATTAGATCCATTCTGCTAATCATGTTTCCAACTAGCTAAAACCACATATTGCATTTGCTCAGTTTCAACATGTTCCTCCTCTGATTATGGTTAACTTTCGTTTTAATAAGGATTATCTGATTAACAGGTACCCATTTTTTATTTAAGAATAAAAGTAAATAAAATTTATCAATTAATTAGTAAATAATGATAATTCTCATAGCAAGGCTTTTAGTTTAGTTATGGCATGATTGAACCAAGGAATCTCTTTCAATATAACTGGTGCCAAAGCATTTCTGAAAGTGAGATCCATAATATTCTGATAAATCACAACTTCAGTATGATTAGATTGTATTGATTTAATTAGAATAAGACTCATTTTTTGACCTAAACTTATTCTTTTGTAAATACCTTTTTGATCACATTTCAATTTGTAATGAATAGGTAATTGCTTATTATTGGGCACAATAGTGATTTGATAAGTGGAATCATTAATTTTAAGAATCTCTTAATCACTAATGAAAGCCATTTTCTTAAAGGTCGACTTGTCTTCCCAAACATAGTATTCTACGATCACACTTCTATAATCATCGACCTTCTCCAAAACATCTTTCTATAACATGCCATGGAACCATTATTGTTTAAGATCAGTGAATATTTGTATGGCTTTATCAATGGGACATTCAATTGGATGAACTGTCTTAATAAATTATCCTTAAAGATGATACATAGTGTGTCTTCCACATTCTCGAATAAATATGAAAAGTTACCTTGAACAAATTTCCAATTTAGGTTCATCTGACTTATTTCAACCAATTATTCAAGTGTAGGTTCTTATTCTAGAATAGCATGTTCAATTGAATTAGATTTAGTAGGCAATAACTCTTACAGGTTTTCATTGCTATCCCTTATTTATTTAACTTCATCATTCATCTTGTTCACTTGCTTTTAAACATAGGAATCATATTCTCGAATAGCTTCATCATCAACTAATAAATAGTTAATCATTTGATTTTTCAATTGATTCTACTGAATGTATTTGTGAAGAATCGTTAATGAATCCTATTTACATAACTTCTGCTATCCACAAATATGTGATTATATTGCCATTGTTCTAAATTACTTAATACTGATTTCAGTAAATAATTTAATTGCCTATTCAGCATCTATTGAATAGTCTTGATTAATTTTACTTGGATTGTAATCGTATTCCAAAATTTTCCGAAAGAACTAGAATCCATTTATGCAACTGATGTGACTTTGCATATCATTAGTTTAAATAGAGAGCATTTGCATGATTCCTTAAAGTTCTCTTTCATCATCTCCAATTAACAATACTTTTAAAAGCAGAGGAGAGATCTACTGAATCTTACCAAAAAAATACTTCTCCATCTTCCTATAATTATAAACTGAATAACTTACTAAAATATTTTGCCTCTTTCATTAACTGTTTCATTTAATTTCCATAAATAATGTAATATCATTTATTCTGCCTAATTATTTGGCTATATTTTTTTTGGACTTGTTTCCAACAGATCACATAAGGCATTTTCATCTTTACTAAATTGATGCATTTTCACATTTTAATCAAACCCCCCTTTTTGGAATTACTCTAGGATTTTTATATATTTTAAAAATACCTTTAATTTTTATAAAGTCCAAAAACAAATATAATGAATGGTCTAAATGATGTAACAAATATTATAAAAATTCTAATTACTATATATTATACTTTCAAGCATTTCTTATCTTTTTGCTATTGTTTTTCTTGAATTTGTTTAAATGACTTTCTTTTAAGGAAATTTGGGCATGTTTTTCTAAGAAATTGGTAACTAAATTTCATTTGATTTATTTACTGAATCGTATAATCTCTCAAATTCAGAATATCTTTTTGGAATTGTATAATCAATATAATCTGTTCTTATTTGGATTACGTAATTCACAATATGATTTTTAAAAATTGATTCTCGATCTTCCTCCTTAAAAACATTTATAATCCCAATCTCTTTAATCATATTGTTATTGACAATTAATGTGTACAAATCTTTTGCATCACATTCTTTCTGATTCCGCTATCTTGGCAATAAATTCGGTCTCTCTGACTGCTATCTAAACAGCATATGTGCTGTTTCTGGTGTAAAACTTTAGGAGAGAATCTATTTCATAAAAATATTAATAAAATTTACAATTATTGCTATTTAAAACTTATTGAACTTTTTGGTTATTTTGAATTATTACATAAAAAGTTTATAATCCATTTTAATATTGTATACGAATATTTGATAACTCAACTGCAAACTCTCTAAATAACTATGGTGGATAAAGACTCTTTTTGGAATCCATAAATTCAATATTACCTGAGATATTATTCTATCATAACTTTATAGTTTTCAGACCTAAAGTTTGTAATGAGTTATGTAAAAATAAATCCAATTTTTATTATATTTAATATCAATTCTATTCCTTAAGTATTCAAATCCTAAGAATTATATTCAAACATAAGGAAATGTATCACTCCTAAAGGAATCTCAAAATATCAATATAGATATATAGTAATTATAATTGGAGGATGTTTAAAAGTTGATTCCTTACCTTAGAATTATCAGATTAACTTATATATTTCTAAGTGCTTCTACTAAGAAGAGCTCCATTACTAAATTTAGTATCAGACAACCAATAATAAAATTTAGATTCAAGTCCATTTGCTATCCTATTTATTTTTAGTAGAATTAGATAACAAATTAAAGGAATAATTACGTTTGAACAAAGAAAGCATTAAATTGAGAAAATATAAGTAGTTGTTCCTTATAAATTTCGAAATAGAATTGAATTTGCTTAAAATGTTATAATTTTAAGTTCACTAAATTACAAGAACAAGAATCAATCGCATGAACCATTTATATGAATTCAAATAATTCTAATCAATGTAAATATTATCTTAGGTGAATTCCATATACAATATTAGTAATTATCAAATGATAGTTTCTAATAATTAAAATTAGTGAATTACTTAATAACATCATTTTATATGTATAGAATCAAATAAATATTTTTAATTCAATCACAATAATAATCTTTGGCTTTTCATCTATTTTCAGTTATAATTTGGATTTAATAAAATAACATATTAAAAAATAAAATCGAAAAAGAAGTGGAAAGGAATACTCATTAATATAAAACAATAAAAATAGCATTCCGAAACTTATCTAACCTAATTTCTTAGTATCATAAATTTCTGCTTAAAATATATCTAAGAAATAGCTTGTTTAAAACTAAATTCTAGCAACATATATAAAATAAGTGCTAAATAAGGATTATTCAATATTATATTTAATGTTATTATACTGATGATCACTTTTTCTTTCCTTTCTTACCACCAGCGGCACCTCCAGCTGCAGCTCCTCCTGCTGGGGCTGCGGCAGCGGCAGCTGCTGCTTTAGCTGCTTGTTATTTTTTAATAGCTTCCAAGTTAGCTTTGATCTAATAATTATTAATAGACTCTTACGGTTGCTTCGTCCATTCTAAATGTTTAATGGCATGTGCCACAATAGTGTCTATCAAAATGCTTAGCCATATATACTCCTTATGGACATTATGGGCATTGTTTGTGAGATCTTTAAACAACACCTTTATTGTCAATGGTATATAGCTTGAGTGTAGCCAATTTGACTTTTCGGTGTCGGTGCTTCTTCTTTTTGGGTTTAGCAAAATTCTTCTTCTTCTTCTTTTTCTTCTTACCTCCTTCTGCATCAACAGTTACATAGTAAATTCCTTCGGTACCTATAATTAATTAGTGGTTGTAATTACCTAAAAATGCAGATGCTGCTACAGCTTCTCCAGAGTTGACTAATGAAACTTCACAACCCAATTCAGATTGAATAAGTTACATCAAATGACCGGCTGAGGTTGAATCAGCCAAATCATATAGTTTAACTTCACCATTAAGGTGACCAACTTTTATGATCATTTTAAAAATTAAAGATTTTAATTTAAAATAAATGGCAAGAAATTTATATTCATTAAATAAATTCTTAATTTCTATGCAGAGACCAAAAACCTTCAATATTATATACTTATAATCAATCAAATAAGATCTTTATAATAATTTGAGTAGTTTCAATAATCTGAAAGAATTTTTAATAACTTTCTAGGCTTCCCTGTTATTTTTTTATAATTGAATCGAAATCCTAATCTTAAATGACCCTCACTTTATCATGCTTGATCGATCCTATCTTTCTTTTCATCAATCAAACCAAAAACCCTTTCTTAAATTGGAAAATAGATATTGTACTTAAAGCATATTGTCAGTTTTATTTTATTTATTGCTATCAAGAACCAATCCTAATATTTAATTTGATCTATTTAATTTATTTATAATCTGATTAGAATGTCTGTCTTGTTATTTTATTGAATTTCTATAAGAATGCCAAACAAAATGATTATCAGAAATTTATTCAGGACTATTATTATATTTGCAATATCTAAATGCAGATGTGATCATTTTCAAAGCCATTCTAAGCCTACTTCTGTAACTATAAAAGCCGTATCTAGTTTAATCCAATAAAGTTTAGAAGTGATATTAATTATTGACTTTCTCCAAATCTCCTGTAACTTTTGAATAGATGACTTCTGCAAAGAATTAATTCTCCATAATTTTAAATTTGACTGGGTTTTTTTTTCAGGACTCTAAATCAATTTAGAAAACTCCTAACAAATTCCAAATCTTATTGTTGAATTTATAAAATTGAGTCGAATAGGGTTCAAAAGTTGAATAAGATATTTCATTTTTAACATCTTATGAAATTCAATATTAAATATTTGGTAGATTCAATATCCATCACATTATATTATTTAATAAACTGCTGATTGCTCAAAGTATCAACTGGTAAAAAAAGTGTTAAATCTATAATTCAGGTAGTTATTCACATTTGAATAATATTAATTTAAAATAACTATATTCTCTACTTTAATTATTTACTCGACATTTCATAATCTATTATCAATAATTAACAGTCTCTAATATTATTTCTGCGTGACTTTTTGAGTATTCAACAAATAGATACCCTAAATGATTTACATACTATTAATTTCTGCCAAAACAATAGTAAAGATTGAAGACATGGGTGTGCCTGATATAAGAATTAATTATACTTATTCTTTCAGTGAAACATTTAAAGGAAAATAAAAGTCTTTTAGTTGTAAAACATAAAACTATGCAACGAAATGAATTTGGAAGATCTATTTGTTTAATATGATGTTAAGTAAAAAATATAAATATTGAAAATTATATCTATTAATGCAACAATCAAATTAGTTACTTTCTACAGTAGCAAATATCTTAGATGAAATAATTAAGGAAACAGATGCTTTAGAAATTGAGTAAGAATCACAATCATATTTTCATGCCAACAAAGCACCTTCAATATCAATTCACAATTACTTGTAAAGAATTGCAAAATATACTCATTGCAGTGAATAATGTTTTGTTATTGCATTAATTTACTTAGATAGGTTATAAGAAAAACATCCTTATTTAGTGCTTAATTCTAAATGTATACATAGGTAGTTTAATTTAAATTATGAAGATTCCTCTTGGTAGCAATTGTAATTGCCATAAAATATCAAGATGATGATTATTATAAAAATGAATATTATGCAAAAGTAGGTGGCATAAGTGTTAGAGAGATATTTATTCTTGAATAAGAATTCTTGGAGTTAATGGACCATTAATTGTTTATAGATGAACAATATTATTTTCTTTATGAAAAGAAATTGCTTGAATACGGAGAGATTGAAATGCCCTGATAATTTTGTTTATTTGTTTATTATTTTGTGTTTTTATTATTGTTTTATTAAATATACTATAAGGTTTGCACTTTTACTTCATGTGTTTACAACAATAGAGACAATCAATTAATTATATAAAATTCCGAATAACGAACTTATGATAATATTTATAAATCTAAAATTTTTTATGAATTTCAAATCAAAAAACACAATCAAGATAACAAAGATTTTCTTGAATTGATCCATATTTGATCTCTATCTGAATGTTTAGTTAATAATAGTAATAAATGAATCTAAATATTAGATGTATATATACTTTTCTTGATTATTTCAATAACTTTCTTATCTCATTATTTTGAGTCTCTAATTTATATTTACTATTTGACCAAGGATTAGCATTATAAAATAATAATAATTAAACTATTTAACTATGCTATTATTAAATAGCATAATAGAGTGGAGACAATCCTTTTAGGTCTTAAGAATCAGGATAAGCCCCACATTATAGCAAACTTTCGGTCGTTTCACAATAACCTAGGATTGAACTTATGTGTAAAGGTGTTTATCCTTATTCATTAATATCAAAAGCATAATATCTACATTTCTGGAGCATAAAGTTTATGAGACTTTAATTATTATTTTCTACAGCTTCAAAAAATTAAAAAGATCCTTGTCTTTCATAAGGTTTCTTTTAAATTACACCATGTTAAAATAACTCCTTTATTGTAAGATTCATTTATTTCATTTTTTTAACACAATCAAGGATTAAATGAAACATTCTTTTAAATATAGTCCTTACCTATCCACTATAAATGGCATTCTACCTTTTTTTATTTATTTAAGATGATTTTATAGATTAAATATAACTTTTTTAAGTTTCTATTTATTATGATTATTATTATTATTATGATTATTATTATTATTATTATTATTATTATGATTATTATTATTATTATTATTATTATTATTATTATTATTATTATTATTATTCAGAAGCCTATTATTATTATTCAGAAATCTATTATTATTATTATTCAGAAGTCTATTAATATTCTTCAATAGATTGTTATTATTAAACTTTCTATTATTTATCTTTTTCTACTTAATGAATGAATCTCTTCAAAAAGGTTGTTGACATTCTCATATTTCCCTTATTTAAATTAATTCTAATAGTTTCCTCTTACAATTTAGTCTACTAAATTTCTTCTTATTTCGCTTTTTCTTCTAAGAATGATTTCTTTTTATAAAAATATTATTGAATAACTGTTTATAGTTTTTTCTCAGGAGCTGTTGATTACTGAAGTGATTCTTCAAGAAATTGTAAATTTCTTGTAAAAGCTTCCCTTTCCTTGTTTCTCTGCCTAATAGGAGTTCGTTTTTCATTAATTGCATGTATCCTTCCAATATGTTCTTTTATATTTAAAGGATGGCAATTCTCTAAGCGCTCATATTATTGAATCTCATTTTCAATTGTTTTCAAAGCTTTAGAGTTATCAAGTGTTTTCTTCCTGAAAAGTTTATTGTCTTAATTTATCAATTCTAATGCTTTTGGAAAAGAATTACAAGTTTGTCCACTCATAATTGCTATCTATTAAACTATTTTGTTAAATAATGTATACATTAAAATTGAGATAATTCATTTGGGGTATGTTAATCGATTTCTTTTAGATTGAGTTTCTTCTATCTGAAATTTCTAATTCATCTTCCAATCTGCTTTCAATTTTACGAATTGCAATTTTTGGAGTATTAGAATTTATTGACGAACTTCTGGGTTTTGGAGATTATTTCATTCGTCTACTTGTTTAAGCTCTCTTTTGACTCTGTTAAATGGTCTCATTCTATCATCATCATAAGCAATCACATACATTAAATTAGGTAATAGGTTCACTCCTTTACATTACACTCTTTCCTTCTTTTAATGAAGTTTTTCTTTTTATAGTGAATGATTTCTCAGTCTTCCCATCCATGTAACTATATTCGAATGTATCAATCGATAAAGGCTTGAAAACATAGTTGAATTTACTCATTTCTATACGATTAAAATTTAAATATTTTATTATTAATACATAATCAAAACTCATAAAACACTCTACAATAATTAATCCAAGTTTACTATCTAGTATTATAGGGTGTCATCATCAACAACATATCAAGCTGCTCTATTATAATTGTATATTTACTCTTCTAGCTATTTTGAGCATCTTTGTTAATATTGGATCATCTGTTTCATAGGTACAACCAGGAAATGACCAAGGATTACATTTGTGTGACAACAATAGTTAGACTAATTCTTTTTGATTATTCATAAGCGCATAATACAGTGGAGTTCTGTTACTGACATCTCGAACATCAGGGTAGGTTCCATGTTGAAATAGCATTTTTGCAATTTATAAATGTCCTTTTCTAGAACATATATGTAAAGCAGTCTAGAAATTTTCATTTACATCAAAAGCATAAAATCTACACTTATCAAGCATCAATTTTACTAAATCTTAGTCATTTTTGGTCACTCCTTTAAAAAATACATAAGAACCCTCTCTTTAATATGGATTTTTTAATATCGTCCTATTTTACATTAACTATTCAGGATCTAGTTTCATAAATCTTAATTTTTTAACACAATCTAATATTAAGGCTCTCATTTTTTCTAATTTCATCCTTACTGATGTGCTGAATACAGCTCCTACCTTCCTTTTCTTTTATGGGTCCTTTTTAGTTTTTATGGCTTTTGCCCAATATTTATAGGATTCCTTTAGTAATTCTGGATCTTGTTTCTCTTTATTCTTTAATTATTAGGATACACCAATAAAGTCCTTGAAAAATCTAGAGGAAATCTTTAAGTCTCTCTCAGCTGAACTAGTGTATAAAATGGATCTTTTTGATACATTAATATCATCCATTCTTTAAGAAAGTCGTTAGAGATGTACACTTTTTCTGGATAAATAATTTTGAACTTTATCTTATATTTGTTATTCTGCATTATTTTATTATGTTTTTGATTAAAATTCTAATTGTTATTATAATTATTGAGCTTTTGGACTCAGTTAAGGACTCTCAACTTTTCTAAAAAGCGCTCCTTAGTCTAACATGGATAAAGCCTGCTTCTTCATCTATTTCTAATGAAATGATTTATGCTATTAAGTGAGAATTTCAGCAAAAGTCTTAATTTTATTTTGTTTTCTCATTAGTTTGTTATCCTATATAATAAGTTATCTGACTCTTTAATTAATATGGCTATTCAAAGGCTTTTCTTTAATCTAATTTCTTCAAATTTATACATTAAACTCAATATATTATTGTATATTAATATCTGAATTTCCTAATTTTTGATTCAATGTCATTTATCTATTTGACTTCTTTTTATTGGTAGTGTGAGTGTCTATATGAAATGACTGACTGGCCACCTTTTATCTAAAGTAAGGATAGTAATCAACTTTTTTTTTTATTGAGAATGATTTCTCTTCACTCCCTTATTAGTATTTATATTAACAAGTTTCTATGAGTAATGGCCTAAAAATCATAATATTATTTATTATTTTTCATTATATTATATTAAACTAAGCCTAATTGTAATACAAAATATTTAAATTTTGAATGTTATAACAAACTTTGTAAATAATTGTAAAGAATCAAAACTTCATCCAAGCAACACTCGATTAAAATTATAATGCATTCATCATCAAAATCATAAAAAAAATTAGTTTTAATCTATTCAACCCAATTCTTATCCTTCCATTGTCAACTGATAAATCTGAATCTTGCAGTATCTCTTTAAAAAATTAAATTGAAACCAGTAAATTGACTTCTTAGAATATTTATCAAATATTAATATTATTAGATATGAACAAATTTAAATACATTACATATAAGATAATGAATTATAAAAACATATCAATTTTCACAAAACTTTTAATTCTCAAAATAAATAAATCAGCAAGCAGCACATTGATATACGCCTTAATCGTAGTCATCTTTATTCAAGACTATGTCTGATTTGTAAGGCTTTTAACACTTTTTACATGTTAATAATTCTAAGTACTAAAAGCTCTTTTTACAAATATAAATCACTTAATCTTTAACCCTCAATTCTTTCAATGTTTTCTAACATTTTCTTAAACAATAAAAACAGCTATCCTTTTGATTAAAGGCACTACAAGTTTTTTTGCAATCTTAACAAATCCCTATTTCACTCTGACATCTTAATTATAGATTTTGAAATGATTAAAAGGGTTCCTCACAACACTTGCAATAACTATTGATAACCTTATCATCAGCACTCTCTTATCTGCATTACTGGCAATTCATACTGTAACTTACAAGATTTTCAGCCTTTTAAGCATCCAAATCAAATTAAAGCATTTGATTACATTTAGCACAAATTCCATATTAATGTGTTTTATCATAAATCAACCATTTTGTTTAGTCTACATTTTCCATATTTTTAATTTAAAATTAATTTCTTGTTAGTTATAATAATTAACAATAATAACTACATTACTTATGTTAGGTTTATAAAAATATTTCAATTCCTTTTTCATAATGATTAGTTTCATCCTAATCTAACGTAGGAATTTCTCCCTTTTTGGTTTATATTGAAGGATCAGATAGAATATTTACGCACCCCTATAAATCTGTGATAACAAAAGTATATCCACTTTCAATAAAAGAGAAATGACTGAAAACTGAATAATAATAATATTTTGGGTCGCTGTGATGGTGATTAGTAGTATACTTCTTGAATTAATGCTAAATGTTAATAAATGTCTCACCATAAACTTTGGTCATCCCATAAAAAGGGTTTTTTAGAGTGTAACAAATAGGTAACACATAAAATAATGGAGGAATTCCTTCAAATTTTGATGTTGTTAGGTTAAAAACGTGAGCCATTTAACAAGCATATATCGAAGAATAGAATCTTGATTCTGCTTATTTTTCAGCCTTTTCAATTGATTAATTATCCAACTTACCTTATTAATGCAAATCTACAATATATTTTGGTACTTTTAAGACTATGTGCATATTATTCATTGTATCAAATGCTTTGAAAACCAAAGTTTAGCAATTTTAATCTTCTGACTAGAGAGATTCAATGATTTGCTTTTAAATTTATAAAGTCGTACCTCCTTATCTTAAATAATTAGCATTCACAAGATTTTTCCAATAATCTACTTTATTATACTGTTAATTTTATATATTCTCATCTATTTTGAATTTTTAAAAATTGGCTTAGATTAAGATTTATTATTATTACATATTTGATTTTATGATTTTTGATTTTGATAACGATTATCTTAATGTAAATAGAACTTGATCACAAATCTCCTTAGGTTCCTTTTTAGTAGTTATTGTTAAAAGAGGAAACACAGCTTACATTTTTTAGAACATTTTGTCTGTTGAATTATTTATTTTAATATTGCATAGAAAATTACACTCTTTGATTTTTTTGAATCTCAATAGAGCATTTTCAAAATAATTTTCTCCAACCTAATCAATCTTATCATCAGATTTAAGGTCATGATATTATCGTCCATGGCAAGGAGCATCAGCAATTAGAAATGTGCATAATAAACTTTCCTCATGTTAAGAGAAATTTAATTCTAAAGCTTTTTCAAATCCAGCCACAACATCTTCAGCCACATCCCCACCACCTTTTGCTTCAAATTTACTTATTTATTTTATGAATTCCTCAATTTCATGTGTGAGATTTATATAAGTGATTTTATCATTCTTATCACATTCATCTCTATATCCAACAAACCCAAACCTCATTTGATATCCTTTATTTGTTGAATCAAATTACTATATTATTTCATAAATGGCCTTATCCATTTCTTCCTTCCAAGGCTTCATAGAACCTGTGAGATCCATAATAAAAACAATGTCAATGATATTAGACTATGATATAGTTTGCTTTAATTTAAGAAACTATGCTTTTTCACATTATAATTAAATGTATTAATCCTATGACAACTATTAATGATGAATCCTAGTACATGGTGTTATACAATTCTCTATAATTGCTTTCGGATTGACATTTTCCCATTAAACATGAATTTTTAAACATTTTTTTTTTGGACAAATTCCTTTGAGATATGGAATGCATAAATTTAATTTAGTTATCCAAGAATAATGCTCGTCGCATTTACAGTTTTATTTATCACATAAATTCTCAGGACAACTGCTTTTAAAATTTGAATAATCCTTTGCAATATATTTAAGTTCTTTCCAATCTTTATGAATAAACACACAGCCCTTGTCTTTCTTTTTACAAGTATTGATAATGTTGGCTATGCATATATTCTTAGCCCACGGTTTATGAATTAATTTACAATAATTTAAAGTGCTTTCATCCTTAGAGGATTCATGTGATGGACAATTTTATATGCCACATAAATTATGAGGAAATAGACCATTAATTGAACTTTATGAAAAAGCCTTAAATTTACTTTAATCTAAATGTTTTAGTCTGCATTCCTAATCACCACAATTTTTATTTGGAAAATCATCATCTGAATCATTCTATACCCATTATTCTTCCATAATTAAAAATCTAATGCAAAGTCCTAAGTAAATTCTAGAATGGTCTAATTAACAATTCTCATTTTTGCAATTAATGGAGTCTTAACAGATTTTAGAGTACATAAAATTTTAATAGAAATCAAAATTAATAATTATTTGAGGGAAGTGTTGTGGTTCAATTTATCAGACATTGTAAAAATTATAAGAAATCCAATAACCATATGATGATAATTAAAATTGAAAGATTAAATTTTCTTATATTCTTAATAATGCTGAATAACCTTTAGGTATGAAAACAATATCACAAATAAAGAATCAATATATTTAAAGCGAATATGTTTACCAACCCCCAAATTTCGACAGGAGGATCCGTTAGAACAACTTTTACCTAGTCTACTTAACACTTTTCATTCCAAGTGCATGTCTTTGTGCTTTTACATAAATTCTCCTCTGAAATATATTGGCATTATGGCACACACTACATAAATATAAAATAGTACGTATTATGAAAAAACACAATGTTCTTTGGGACATTTTGATTATTTAACAAATTTTGAGCAGATTTTGGATTCACATTTCTAAGTATTAAAATTATAATCGCAATATTGATTGTGTTATAGACAAATGCAAGGAAGTGAAATATCCTCACATGATGAACAATTATCAATATCTACTTCAACACAAATTTCGTTAGAAACCTAAACTCCTGAACAACCCAATTTTTTAACCAAGAATCTACAAGGCTAATCAGTACAAAAGGAATTATTTTCTTCTATAATCCAGCTGCATTATCTATCACCATATTTCATTTATTTGCATAAAGTTTAATCTGATATCTAAGAACATTCAACTTAATCCTGACAAGCACCAATTTTTGAATTCCAATAACAAGTATTTGAAGCACAATTAATTTATTTTAGATCATCACATCTAGCAAATCTGCAGAATTCATCAAATTAACAATATTTAGGGTAGTTTTAGCATTATTATTCATCCAGTAGTTCACAATTTACAGGTTTATACAATGAAAAATCTGAATTAAAAATACAAGGCTTATTATTTAAGGTTGGATTCACAGAAGCTGGATTATGAATATCTTCACATTTTTTAGCTGATTTGCATTATTATGAAGTATTTTAATAACAATAGAATTAATTGATCTACTGCTCATCACAATTATTGTATGACATATCCTCACACTATTTCCATTTACATTTCATCGTTCCTTCATTATATATGCACTACTCAAACTAATTGCATTCTTCAACTTCTTTAATAAGATTACAATTCTCTTCCATAAAGCCATTGGTACATTAACATTATTTATTTTCCATTAAGCAGTTACTTTAAATACAGCCTAATTAACTTAATCCTTTAGTATCACATAGTTCTACATTTGATTGCTAACAGCCAAATGTTAATTCATTGAATTTACAATTATCTTATGCATTCGAGCAAACTTGATAATTTGCAAGTGGGAATTCATTACAATTATATAGTTTTTTGGTCACTTTTGTACATATATCTTTGAATGCGCATCCGTCAATCTCAATGCATCCTTTAAGATTTAAGCCTAAAGTATCACAATTTGATAACGATAGTTCTGGAACTTGGCATTTTTGATTGTTGATATCATACGAACAAGCATCTTGATTAACTAATTAACAAACTTTTAGATTCACATTAATAGGTACTGCCTAGCAAGATGTGTAAGGAACATAATCATCACAATAATCATTTGCAGTCTGTTCATTATATTTCCAAATACAAGGATAGTTTTAAATGTTCAGGCATGCATACTTATTTAAGCCTGGATAAGTGCATGTGATGGAATTTAAGTCAACTAAATGGCAACCACCTTCAGAGTATCCACAAGGATGATCAATATCAAGATTTGAACATGAATAGGCATTGAAATTAGGTCTTTCACAAAACTAGGGTGCATCTTAGACATCTGAATAAAAACAGCTCTTCGAAATGCTATTCCAAATACAAGGCTAGTTTTTTATAATCATACAAGCTTCTTTATTTAGCCCAATAATTTGAGGATTACAAGTTAGTTCATTTGGATTGTCAATGATTATACATTTCTTAAACATTTCATCGTACTTTACAATATCTCCTTTATTCACTAAACCACATGCATTTTAATTGACAAGAATCAGTTAATTAGGAGTGTATATTTGCTACTCACTTATTTATTAACATCGAAAGTCTTTCCAGATGCAAAATTGTCCAATCCTGGTTGTTTTCAAACAAGCTGTATAACTAATGTTCTAATAGCAGAATGATTAATGGATGTCAGTGATTGGTTGACATTCACCATATACTATTTCTACTTCAATAGGTGAATTTTAGTATTTAATTACTTTATATACCTATTCAACCCATTAGCAATCATTGATGGTTTATTGCAGACATGCATTCTTATTAATGGAATCCAAACAATTATTAGCATTTTCTTATTATTCAAAGAGTATGCATTTCTCATCCTTGTAAATACACATCTATCCTTATACTTCAACATTCATGCATGCTCTTTGATTTCCAGAATATTAGCTCACTTCATCACAAGTCAGATAAGCAGAGTTTTCTGAATATGTGCATATTTCTTCCTGTGAATTCCATATACAAGAAACTGACTTCATTCTTTTACATTGTTATTTCGTTTATGAAAAACCACATGTAGTGGGTACTTAAGTTTAGCACTTATGATCACTAGGTGCATAAACACAGAGCACATTTTTGATTGCAGCACAAATCAAAAAGCTTTTATTAACGATGTCATTACAATCCTATGTAGTATTTGTAAAAGCTCGACAACCATCTGCTGTCCACTCACACTAATAAATCTTTTAATTTAGACATGTATCAATTTGATCGGCCTCTCTGCAACACAAGTCATTATCATTATGAATGCAATTCAATATTCCATTATTAGGACCATAACAATAATCAAGGAATTTACACATCAAACTCTGTGTTGTTTGATTTAAACAAGCTATCTTATTCAATCCCCTTTCACATGAGAACTCTTCTTATGGATACACATTCCTACACATATTAGTCTTCAGATCAAAAGTGCAAGCGATATCCCTTGTTTATTCACAGAATGAATAATGGTTTATATTCACGATGCTTAAACAACTGATATCTGCATATTCTTTTACATTTTCAAGTTTACATTTATCTCCATCAAATTAGCAAAATTGACCTTGTGTTTGAATATTAACACATCCAAATCTATTACTTGCTTATTCACACTTAATTTTACTATATGTATCATAATAAATCTTCTTACAGATACTTGATTCGATCATACATCCCTCCCCTGTGACTTACTTACATTAAAATGAACTACCCTCTTTATTGACATCCTTACAAAATTGAAATCCACTTTCATTTAATCTATAGCAATTCTCATCGTAAATGCAATTTTTTTTGTCAACCTCACAGGCTGGTTGATTTAATCCTTTCTCCTCTGGATCTTTTTCAACACAACTTACAGTAGTTGTTGTTGTTTTATCAAAGGACTCACATCTAAAGAAGGTCTTATTATATTGACAAGGAGTAGAATTTGTATTTACAGCACAAAACGCTCCAGAATTGACATCCTTAATTGAATCACAACTTACGCTTTTAAAATCTTATAAATTAGCATTAACACATTGATAATTCTTATATTAACAAAACTGAAAAGGTGTCTTGATACTTAAACATGCTATTTTATTCAAAAAAGCACTACACTTTAGATAGATTAATTATGAACTTTTCACAATTGAACAAGTTTCCTACCACATGAGAGCCTTTTCATAATTAAACATTTAACAGGCTCTCTTATTCAATGAATAAATGTTGGATATATTATAATTTTATGGATTTGAATTAATAGATCCAGTTGAATCTATGTATTAAGTACATTATTTAATTGTTTTATCATAAAAGCATTCTACATCTGTGCTTTTTGAACAGGTATTTGGACTTGTACTAAAACCATTTTTTTCACATTTATTGAGATCAACTTTTGTGATGTCAATATTTTTACACCCTGTTAATGAATCAAAATAGCAAAATTGACCTTTGGTAATAATTGACAGGCATTTGTCTTCATTGATATCAGATGCACATCTAGGATTACCAAACGAAGTAATGCACTTGCCTGATTTGAATTCACAATTGTATCCTTAAGTAGCGAATATACAACCCTTTTTATTGAGATCCTTGCAATTTTAGGGTGTTGTAATAACTACACAGTTCTAAGTGCTATCATTGAACATGCAAGGTGTCTTTGGTTCTTTTAAACAAATGTCACTATTTACAATAGCTTATTCCTGAGATAAAGTAGTGCAATCATCTTTCTCATCAAATGGAACACATTTACCCGAAACAAATTTACACGCAACAATCAATTTTGTGCACGAATATTAGTTTAAATTTTCATTACAAGTTTTTAATGTAGCAATTACCTTCTAGTCAACAAATCTACATAGACCATCTTTATATTCACAATAGGTATTTGTCTTTAATAAGCATGAGTACTTGTTCATTCCTGAATAGCTACATTTATTGATTACAATATTTTTATCAGTAATATCTAAGCATCTTTATTGTCCAGCCCCATAAATCAAAGATTTTCCAATATTTATACCTCCTTATTGAACAACTACATTAGCAGTTGAACACACACTTGAAGTATAAGGAAACATAGTTCTAATATCATCCATGGAATTTATAGCATAAGGTTAACAAAATATATCGAATTTACAAGCATCATTCTAATATAGACAAGCTTCTTAGTTCAAATAGTTCTGACAACCCAAGTAAGGATCTTCTGTTTTTTCACATATACTTTATTAAAACTTGCACATTCCTTCACACACCCTTTCGACAAATTTGCACTTTCCTTTGGCCAGCTTTGCACATGCAAATTCGTTTATATTAGAAATTGCAGATACTTCACATGAGATGACATCAAGTGGGATAATCACTCTACATTTATAATATGAGTCATGTATGCATCCTTACTAAACTTTAATTTAAGTACAAGTGTAAGAATTACAACGATTTATAAATGATTGTTATTCACTACTCAGAAAATTAACACATGAAGAAGGTTATGAACTGAATACCAGTTCATAACACTTTTCATATACGTCTGACCATCCACAAGCTATATTCTTCGCATTTAGACATAAATATTGATTCAAATTCTCGCATGTGTAATTAGGAATTATACTGTTCTGAATACATTAGTTTAAATTCCATTTACAATTCTCATACATAGATCTTACACATAGAGATTCTGTTTTTAATAGATCGCATTTGCCTTTATAAGGATCATAGTCCACACATAGGGAAGTTGTTTAATCAATCCAACATATATTGACTTATGAAGTATAACAAGCATCAAAATTTAAAATAGAACATTTAATTACATCACTTTTTTATATTGATATTGTTTAACAACTAAAGTTTTCCCATTTGCATTTGACTCCTCTAGTATTGAGAAGACAAGCAATTTAATTTAGATTATCACATGAATTCTAAACAGTATTGTCGATTTTATTGCACTTCCATGTGTTAACATCATATTTAGTTGCATATTCTTAGCATTTTTGACATGCTTTTAATGAAACTGTATATAACAATAGTTCAGCGCATGTATAATGATTAGCATCTTCACATTTAGAGTCATGATATGCACATGCTTAATCAACCTTTCCACATATTTCCTCTGTGAATGAAGTATTTAATAGATTCACTTCATAACACAGAAAGTATTTATTTGATTTATCTGGTTTTACTAAAGGTACTTATTTCGTTTGTTAGCAATATCCAAGATAATCATAATCACATCCACATTTCACACATATTGATTTACTAAAGCTTTTATCACAAGGATATTTTCCATTTGAATTGAGTGTAGGCATTAGACTTATACACACATTTCCATCGAATCNAATATTTTTATCAGTAATATCTAAGCATCTTTATTGTCCAGCCCCATAAATCAAAGATTTTCCAATATTTATACCTCCTTATTGAACAACTACATTAGCAGTTGAACACACACTTGAAGTATAAGGAAACATAGTTCTAATATCATCCATGGAATTTATAGCATAAGGTTAACAAAATATATCGAATTTACAAGCATCATTCTAATATAGACAAGCTTCTTAGTTCAAATAGTTCTGACAACCCAAGTAAGGATCTTCTGTTTTTTCACATATACTTTATTAAAACTTGCACATTCCTTCACACACCCTTTCGACAAATTTGCACTTTCCTTTGGCCAGCTTTGCACATGCAAATTCGTTTATATTAGAAATTGCAGATACTTCACATGAGATGACATCAAGTGGGATAATCACTCTACATTTATAATATGAGTCATGTATGCATCCTTACTAAACTTTAATTTAAGTACAAGTGTAAGAATTACAACGATTTATAAATGATTGTTATTCACTACTCAGAAAATTAACACATGAAGAAGGTTATGAACTGAATACCAGTTCATAACACTTTTCATATACGTCTGACCATCCACAAGCTATATTCTTCGCATTTAGACATAAATATTGATTCAAATTCTCGCATGTGTAATTAGGAATTATACTGTTCTGAATACATTAGTTTAAATTCCATTTACAATTCTCATACATAGATCTTACACATAGAGATTCTGTTTTTAATAGATCGCATTTGCCTTTATAAGGATCATAGTCCACACATAGGGAAGTTGTTTAATCAATCCAACATATATTGACTTATGAAGTATAACAAGCATCAAAATTTAAAATAGAACATTTAATTACATCACTTTTTTATATTGATATTGTTTAACAACTAAAGTTTTCCCATTTGCATTTGACTCCTCTAGTATTGAGAAGACAAGCAATTTAATTTAGATTATCACATGAATTCTAAACAGTATTGTCGATTTTATTGCACTTCCATGTGTTAACATCATATTTAGTTGCATATTCTTAGCATTTTTGACATGCTTTTAATGAAACTGTATATAACAATAGTTCAGCGCATGTATAATGATTAGCATCTTCACATTTAGAGTCATGATATGCACATGCTTAATCAACCTTTCCACATATTTCCTCTGTGAATGAAGTATTTAATAGATTCACTTCATAACACAGAAAGTATTTATTTGATTTATCTGGTTTTACTAAAGGTACTTATTTCGTTTGTTAGCAATATCCAAGATAATCATAATCACATCCACATTTCACACATATTGATTTACTAAAGCTTTTATCACAAGGATATTTTCCATTTGAATTGAGTGTAGGCATTAGACTTATACACACATTTCCATCGAATCTGCAATCATCGCTAGCTTTAGAACATAAGATTGGTTGAGCATCTTAGCTCAATATATTTGAACAATTGAATGCTGATTGATATGTAAGAAGAGGTACACAAGTGTTATGCTGTTTTTAAACTGTTTTGCATTGATCACCCGGTTTGATACTAGATTATCCATTATGACATATTGCTTTTTAATTTGAACTAATGTAACAGTTATTTGCAATTTAGCCGCAATCTACAATTTTATGTTCATTGCCTGATATGTACTTACAACCTCCTTGATCCCTATCAAAGTAACAATTTTCACTAATATCTAAGCACAATGCTTTCGAAAAAGTGTTTAAACATACATCCACTCTATTTTCTTTCAATTAGCACCAATGATTAAAAATATAGTTTTATTTTGGTAAACAATTTCCCTATATTAAAGTTTCAAATGGATAATCCAGTTCGAGCTGGCAAGTGTTCTGTTATAAACAATCATTTTTGGCAATTTAACACTAATATTCAGAGAATTAAGAGCAATCCAAATTCTCACAAGTATCTCCAGTATCAAGATTAGATCCAATTTAATAAATAGTAGAATCTGGCATATCAGGTGACGCTTCTCCAAATGGAATTATGACTTCTGTAACTTCATCAACATTGCAAAGGTACTCTTCAATTATGGAACACTCTTTTATAGTACAATTTTATGTATTATTTGAAATATAATAATAAGTGTGTTCTCTTGTAAATGTTGTTGAGTGCTTTATACAAGTCTCATTTTCCCAATCCCATGAGCTATCAAGATTTGATTTCCTTTCTTTTCGAAATAATCCGGTAGTATTTCTAACAACTTCATCTTCACATGCATTTATTTCCTCGTACCCCTCACATTCTTTTTTATTTTGCTTTTAAAAATCTTGTGTTGTTTCTACATCATATACTAGGTTGAATATTTCACAAGCATAATTGGTCCATAAGCAATACTTTTCGAATTTACATTATTATTGATGTTATTTATCTTCAAAGCATTATGTTTCCTCTAAAATCTCCTCTAATGTATCAGCAACAGATGAACATACTAGTTTATTAGGGTGTTTAAAATCAACAGATAATAGAGCTAGTTCCGAGCATTTCTTTTATTCACTGTAAGAAGTACATTATAATGTACTAATATCAAAGATGCAAGGTTAGTATATATCCATACAAACTTCAATGTTGATCTACCACTTAGAAGAACATATTGATTGATCTTAAATGAATGGTTTACACTTCTTATTAGGTACAACTTCATCTTCATCATAAAAACAATGATGTGTTCTTGTATAATACAGACAAGCATATTTATTTAATTGATATGTGTCACAATCTACTGTTTGAGATGTCAGTTTTGTACATTTTTGTGTAACTTTATCATAATAGTAGGCATCTCCTGTGATTAATAGACATGCTCTTTCATTAAACTTATGATTTCCAGTCTTATCCAAAATCTCAAAATCTGTTGAATTCTGAGTTATGAACACTTAACAATCATTTGTTATATCGTTCCAAATGCATGCCTCTTTTGTTATCTATTTACATAATTCAATATTGATATTGTCTGAGCATGACAATTGTGAAATATCTTGGTGATTCACAAAGCATTGAAAAGTGGCCGGATCCCATCTGCATAAGCCTTTGGTATTTTTGAAACAAGATCTGTTGTTGGCTAAATAACCATCGCAACTTCCAGAAACTTTAGTCGAATCTACACAATCATAATTGAGGAATTCACACTGTTGTCCAGGTTTATTGATTTATTAACATACTTACCAACTTACTTTACCGAATTATTTAAAGTGATTGCAATCAATATTAAAAACATCAACAACTTAGTTCTTATCCACTTTATAAGCATCCTCACAAATATCCAATTCGATCTAAAAGAGACAACTACTCTTTTTAATATCAGTACATGCTTTAATGTTTAGGTTTTGATTGCATGTTTAAATTTCACCATATTCATCTAAAGGTATAGTAATACATCTGAATAGTTGTTCATCCCATTTACAATAGTTTCTACCGGTGTATCTTTGACAAACATTTCTATTGCTCTTAGCATCTTCACATGTGGCATATGAAAAGTCATCATCTAATAACAGCTCTTTACATCTTTTATTTTCATCGTCATATCCAATATATTTGAGTGTGTTCTATGCTGTTATTCTCCCGTCAATTGCAAAACAGGCATTCTCATTCAAGACAGAGGGTTCCTAAATGAAAATACGATTATCCTTATAATAAACATAATTGATATTCAAACAGGTTATTCCATTATAATAACAGCGTTGATCCAATGACCAATCAATCATATGACAAGAGTTCTTACTCATTGAAGTGCATGGCAATTTATTTTCATTAAAAAACAATTTGATTTAATCTGGATTTGATGTGTCCACGATATCATCTGTCAATTCTGTACATTTTAAATCTTTAAAGTAGCAATAGACTCCAGGTTCATTACTTGAGAATTTAATACAAGAATGCGCATTTATTCCTATATTTTCAATTTCAGTACAACACTTAGTGTTACAGAATTCCTTTTTGATTTAGCATTGGGATATTTGTTTATTATAATAGCAATATCCTCTGTTTTTATCCGCTTAAACTCCTTTTGCAAAGTCATAATCAGGAAAATCACTAATAATGGATGCACACACATTAGAATTAACAAAAATATCAGATCCCCCGTAATCAAGGCAATGCGAAATTTATTTAATTTCTACAGTCTCACAAGCACTCTTCGATTTAGTCCATTTGCACAACAAGGAAGCAAAAGACAAACACACAGCCTTAGTAGGTGACGTTATTTCGCATGTTAACGGAGACTGTGGAGTTGTTTCTACTTCACTTGCAGTCGATTATACAGGTTAAGGGTTTGTTGAAACTCCTTCAGATTGTATACATTGATTATCAATATATTAACAAGAACCTTCAGCCTTAGAGCATCCAAATGAATTTAAGCCTAACTCATTGCATTGCATATTCTTGGTTATAGAATTAATGCATCCCTTAGCCAATGAAGAGTATCTACAAACTTCCCCGCCATATAAGACATAAGAACAGGCTTTATAATTGGCATACACTAGATTCAAACATGGAATTGTTTGGATGTCTTTTGGATTTTCTATCTAAACACATTAATCTCTACTCCATCTACAAGCTACTCCTATTGTTGTGATAGATGAACAGGCTATTTTATTTAATCCTAAGGCCACATCATTACAAGATATAGTTCTCAATTTTTCCAAATCCTTTTGCTTCTATATTATTTCCTCTTTAGTGGCATATGGACCAACTTCAATGTTTAATACTACACATTTTTGTTATTGTTAATCAAAATAACAACCTACCTTCTCGTTAGATTCTAATACTTAAGAACAAGCAATTGGATTGGCACTCCCCAAATTATTGCATGTAGTTACCTGTTTTATCACCTCAACATTCCTACAACCTTGCATTGTCCATAAACATGCTTCATCCTTTTTTATGATACTGAGACAACCAAATTTATTTATAAAGGGAGTATTGCATCCATCAGTTATCGAACTCTCTATACATAAATTAGTCTATGCATTGTATTTGCATTTCTTCTAATAATAAGAGATGGCCTAACAAACATTTCCGTTTACTCTTATTTTACTATTCTCTATTTTTAATGGACATTCGTAATCTTAATTCATCACCCTTCTTTCACAATTATTTCCATTCCAAAAACAATACTAGAAATGAGTCTTAATATTAACACAAGCCTGTTTGTTCAGATCCATGTGACATTAAAAATAGTTAAGATCTAATTCAGATAACTCCTAGCATTTTCCATGTACAAATGTGCAATTTTAGTTAATAACTTATAAACAAGCTAGCTTTGACAATCCTGGCGTATTACATTAAAGATTGCTTAAATGATATTTTTCAATATTCACACATTTAGATTGGCTCACATCATATTAACATAATCCAGTTGATTTTTAACAAACAGAGATATTTACCTGATTTTTTGTTACACACACTTATCCTGTTTCAAATTTAAAGGTCCTACATTGTTTGCCGAACCATTCACATTACAAATCATTGTTTTTAATAGACAGACATGCAGATTTACTTAGCTTCTAATCGCAGGATTTGATCTCTGATAAATTTAACTCTTAACATTTTCCATTCTTGAAAGTACCTAATTTTCATTATTTAAATACAATATTGATCTTGCTTATTGAGTGCATAACAGCCTTCCTCATTTAAACCTATTTCATTGCATGATAATTATGATAATTGCTCGGATCGTAATTCTATACATTCGAAATCTCCGCCACTCATACCTATCTTAATAGAACTACTTACATTTAGCTGAAGGTATCTAAGAACATGTGTGAGGATTCACTGGTGTTTAGAAGTTATTACATATTTAAGAGTCACCCTAATCAATTCCATTTGTTTATTTGCATCTTTAATTCTCCCAAGTGCAGGAATCATTCTCAACTTTTAAGCAAGCGTATTTATTGAACATTTCTTAGCATCCATATTTTTACAATTGTATCTCATTTGAATTCATACATTTCTCTTGGAATAAACCTATTATATAATTTCACAATATATCTACAATACACTCTATTATTAAGATAATCTGTCAATTGATTTACACAGGCCTCCATATTCAATTATTCTGAACAACCGAAGTTCGTTTGTGAGTTCTCTTAACACTTATTGTTGAAATAATCATATTAGCCTATCATATCAAAGGTGGATTACATCGAATATTTTTTGTGTCTTAAATACAACCTTTAAGAGAGTTGTGATAAATATTGCATTTATCATTTGACTGAACGCATAAAGATAAAATAGCAATCATTATCATTATATTAAATAGATTGGTTTTCTTCTCTCCCATTTTTATTACTAATAATTAATGATTCAAAAATTATATAAATTATTTATCATTTAAATTCCTATCATTACTTGTTTTAAAGAAGATAAATATATAGATCTAATGTGACCTATATTATCTTTAATGAATATTGTTAGTTTTCAATAAAGTTTAAATATTACAAACTATATTATTATTTAAGATATTTCTATATTCAAATATTATGGATTAATTTAATTATGAATTCACAGAATTATTCAGATATATTTTTGAGGAGATTATATTAAAAATATAAGAATTTATTTTATATCTTCATTATGAGATTTTGAGTAATTTATATCTAATTTTAGTTTTGAAAGAACTTAAAATTAAAAGCTAAACTTTATGCTTAGATTAATTTCTTAAATGTACTTTAATTAAGATCATCTTGAATAGTACTAAAATCAACTCTGATACTTTATTTCCAAGAATACTATTTCCTTTATTCTTTTATACTCTAAAATACCAATACTGGAAGTGAAACTGCAGGTGATTATTTTGATTATAATACTTTTAACTGAGTTAGATAATATTTCTTATATGATTTAGACTGATAAATGAAATAAATAATATTTATAATACTTAATCATTAATTATTTTTATTTAATGCCTTACAGAATCCCTTTGATACACAATAACAACAAGCCCAATCTGGCTTGACTTGTTACCGATATATGGACAATTGATGTCCTTAATGACAAAAGTCCTTACATACTTAGCACACCCAATGTATTTTACATTATAGACAACTATAATAATCTACTAATCTATCTTTATTAAATTTAAATGTAATGCATTCCTGAGGTTATTAGCTCTTTAAACTGATGTCACTAATAACAACAATAATCGAGCCTTGCTTAACCTGACCTAAAGATGCCAAAAATATCTCACTATTCATAGGATAAATTTGATATTATTGAGATATAACATCAAGATCCTTATTTAATACTGACTGGCTAATCTTGTAAAGATCTTAGGGTTTGCAGAATATAATTTTTAATTTGGAAGGATCGAAGTTCTGGATGGGATCATTTTTTTTATCAAAGTGTTGGAAAATTACTTCAGCGATTGAACTAATTCTATTGTTAACTTTAAATGGCCAAGGAAATTATGCGTTCTGTTTTGGTAACACAATTTAAATTAGAATCTGAACAGTTAATACAATTCTTACATCAATTTATTCGCATTTAAATTACTCTAATGATTTATACACACAGTCTGCATAATAATCCTTGAGTTATTTAAAGCTGGTTTCAATTTGTTTGACTGCCTCTTTGTAATTATTGGTGATTTATTCTTTGACATGATCCTATTTTTATGACTCTAAGTAGATTACTTCCATGGCTGCATCTAACCTTTGTGTATAATCAATTTTAAGTTCCTGCTATCGAGCTTTGTATTCATCAATCGCATCAATATACTTACTCTCATATACATTGTACATTTGCTAGACTGCATTTTTAAACATCTCATTTATTTTATTGATTTACCTCTGATATCATTTTATAATCAGGCAAGAAAGCATTTGCATTTTACTCTCCAAACACATTGCTCACTTTATGGTTTAATTATTATTTTTTCTGCTCCTCAATAATTTCTAATGTGAATCAAGAAAGTACATTTGATTTGATTAATTTGATTATTCTTATAGAGATCTGTTTTATTTAAGTCTAAGTTGCACAAAGGGCATTTATGGTATCTGTTGATGACTTCTTCGATGCAATTCTTTTTTAAATGTTTCAATTCATACATAACAAAAGCTATGACCACATTTTGTTAGGAATGGGTTATTGAATTCATTGATGCACACAGCACATTGGAGTTGTTTGATAATTAAATCAGCCTAAGAGAAGAATTTATATATACATTGATCATGAGATCACCTTAGTGTTACATATTAATTAAATATATTAGTCAAAATCAAAAAACTCTTTGATTTTCCATTTTGATCATATCTTCATCGCTATATTCAAAGTCATACAAAGAATAGTCTAATTAATACCAGATTATGATAACTATTTTAAATAGATATTATTACATTTGATTCATCTTATTGATGTCTCTTCAAAGGCGTTTCAAATAGATTTAAAGTATTTCTCCCAGTTCTAACACTTCCATCTGGTTTGACAAATATTATAATATGATCAACCAATAATTTCATTTTCTCACGTAATCATTGTAGTATTGGCTCCACCTTAGGAGGCATTCTTTTCAACCACTTAAAATCAAGATAAATAGTCTATATCAACAAAGAGCATACTTTTCTAGAACTCATGGCTTGTTCTTGAAAGTTACAAAACAATTCTATATTCTTCGTTGAATTCAATCAAATTGATCTGACAGCTTTTTGTTACTGATTCCTTTTAATTAAGGCTCAGTCTCAATAAGTGGAAATGGATTAGATTCTACATTTTAACCTGGATTAGAACTACTAGGATCATGAATAGTAGTATTAAATGCTAGTGGTTATCCACTTGGATCCAACATTAAATGATAATCAGTTAATGCTGCACACATGACTCTCATAAATTATTGTTATTTTGAATGAAATGTATCTATACTCGAAACTCTTTCTTCGTGTCGCCTCATAAGACATATTATTTAGTTTAAGGAGTGAGATTTTTTTGTTTCCAAACACTGCTACTTCCTCAGTTACTTTATAATTTTAGCCATTTAAACCGAATTCCCCATTATGTTTATTGCTTTATTCCTTTCCTTCAATGTCAGCTTCTTAATTTCTATCAAATAAGCTTCTCAAATGAATATATGGGATATTGTATCCCATGGCAGTTTATTCTGGATAAATTGATCTGAGTTATCCTAAATCTTCATCATATGGATATGTGATTACCAACCATTTGGAATAGGTTCTAATTTTGCAATATTTTCAATTGTAATATTAGCATCTGTATGTCCTTTGTAAATGGACACATGAATTTCCCTCTTTTCAATTGTCTTTATTAATCAAATAAATCAATCTATGTCCATCCATATGATTGAGTCTTACCAATATTCTCTTCCAATCTCTTACTGACAGGTAATTGCACTTCCACTATTAAGAAAACTTATGGATGAGCTGGTAATTAGTATAATTGGTTATTAACTTTGGTTGATTTAATTATTGAATATTACTAAAAACTGCAAAAATAAATTATGGTAGCTTTGTTTTCCTTGGTAATCCCAATACATAATCCTAATGGATTACTAACCCTTCAGCTGGATCATATAAGTGACTCTCCTTTCTGACTTCTCCAAAATCATTAATCTATTTTCTATAATACATTTTCTTTAATCATCAACCCATTTATTGTTCTCAAATTCCTTATCTTTTTCTCTTCTTTTCTTCTCAAAATTCCTTCTCACTCTTTACAATCGTTGCTCTTAAATAATCTTTTCCATTTCTGCTCTCATTGTAGACAATTCTTTATATTATTCCATCTTAAATCTATAAATTTCAGTTCCTATGGGAAATCTAGAAATCATTCTCAAAGAGTCTACTTCTTATGCTTATAAATTCATCAATATTTATTCTTCTCTTGTTAAATCAACTCCTCTTACCTTATTTTAGAAGAAAAACTCATTCTTTCTTGAAAATTATTACAATGGAATTTATTTAAATTACCATATTCAGAATTAATGCAAAACTACAATCCATTTATGTTTTAATACTCTTTTAACATGATTAGCTAATTATTCACTTGATTCAAAAGTCATTTTACAATCCTTGCATATATTCTCATTCATTAAAGGTAATGAAAATATAATTAAATTTTATTTGATAATGAATCAATAATTAGATGACTCAAAAGAAAGTGTCAAATCACAGTCACTAGAAAGATATCTCTAAATTGAATCTACTAAAAACTCCTTGTCTCCAGTCAGATAAGTATTCACTGCCAGAAACACTTCTGACTCTTCAATACTAAAGTTGCAAAATGGGAAATTTTCTAATTCCTAAGCAGTGTTTCAAGATGCTCTTAATAAGAAGAAATGTGAACTCACAAAGAAGCCATAAAAGCCAGTCATCGAAATGCCTAAGAAACAATTTCCGTAACCACAAAAACAAGTGAAAAGTATATATGCATCTATAATATAGAATTTGATAAAGTGTAGTAAAATATCAAGTAATCACAATTAAAGTCAGAGGAAGTCAAAAAGAAAAAAGAGGAATAAAAACAAAAAGAGCAGGAGAAGTAGAAGAATGAAGCAGTCTTAGAATCCGATGAAGGTAATACTTCAAATATATAATATGACAGCATTTTTAGAGACTGTGAATAGATTGTATGATTTTGAGAAAAGAAGAACAAAGTAATTATAGAAGATGGTGGATGAAGAAAAAAACAAAGAGAAACAACAAACTATAGCAAGACCATTTATCAACTAGAAAAGTTGTATTCTATTGGACAGAAAACTAAAATAGTTGATTGAAGAAGACGAATCATATAAATAGATATGTCAATTTAAGGATATGGCTGTTTAAGCTGATTTATTACCGAATCTTCCGAAAATAAAAGATTTTAAAATTATTAAGTATTGTATCACATTTATGAAAGCCAAAAGAATATTAATCTTACCAAATCATAATAATAGATTGTGATTGTTATGGATTAAGAATTAAAGGAAGAAGCAGAAGTGGCTGAAGATGTATAATATAAAGAGGATCAAAGTCACAAGGTTGTTTAAACTAAGGAGATAAAATACAAAGTCAGTGATACTATCAAGAAATAGGAATAGGGATAATAGCCAGCAGAAACAAAACAATTTTAAGAGAAGGAAACACCAAAAAAATAGAAAGTTAATAATTAACGATAGAAGAGACAAGAAATCATGGAAACTTAAGAATAGAGAATTAAAACTGAATGTGAATACTATGTGCCTATTCATATCAGATAACAATAAATAATTTAGAAAAAACAAGAATGGGTCAAGTAATAATAGGAAATGAAGAAACACCATGAGGAAGAATAAGAGAAATAGTTTTAAGAATAATGGGAAAAGGAGAAGGAGAAATTTAAGAAAAATAGTGTTGCTGAAATAAATGTGGAGGAATTTGTTAATTAACAAATCAGTTGGTTAGAAAAGAGAAATGATCATATCTTAACTGAACAGATAAAGAAGGATAAAGAGACTGTCCAATAATTGACATTTAAGCCATAAATTAAGAGAAGAGCAAATAACAATAATGAAAAAAATGATAAAGTAGAGTTGAGATTATTGGATTATCAACAGAAAAAACAAGAAAACTTAATGAAATTAGAGAACAAGTACTTACCGACATTTAAGCCTAATTTGACACAAAAATCTGTAATCATATATGTTATTCTTAGTTATTAAGCATGGATTGGGCTTCCAAAAGCTTTACCAATGCTTCGTTTAACAATCTTTGGTCGTGAATGTATATATTAATTTAATTAATATTATTCATTTCTTATATAATTGATTCTTGAATATTCACATTTAAAATTGTTTACTTCTCTATTTTATTATAAGAATTACTCCTGAAATATCTCAAGAGACTAAAATAATCTAGTTAGATTTCTAAAATTATTAAAATAATAAAAAGAGATTGTAAAAATCTAAAATGGCTGATAAAGAGCAAATAACAATGCCGAATTTAAATTTTAGTATAAAATCACCAAATAATATATTAAGCATTTCAAAATATGTAGAATATTAAATTTAGCGAACATTTGACTCTATAAAAACACAGATCCATGGAATAATTATTAAAATCTCCTGGAATTCAAGAACTTATCAAAGATTCTATACAATCAGTTTTAAATAATCCTAATCATATTACATCCTATAGATATCAACATCAAGAGAGATCTGAAAGTCCAATCCCTTCTTCGTAATTGCCTAAACTAGAAAGGTACAATAATACAAATGTTTTGAAGTAAATCCATTATCTTAAAAAGAAGAAGAGTATATAATTTACTAATAATAGATGGCAATTCTCCTAAAACTACTAAAAAATCTTACAACCTTCATTAGAAGTTTAAGTAAGGTCGTTTTCTATAGATGTTTCCATAAGTTGATGGTTAGAATACCTTGAAAATATAATCAAAGCCTATCCACGTGATAAGTATTATTGAAAGTAACATTAGAGAGGATTAAATTGTAGGAAGCCTTTCTAAATAATTCTTTGGACTCTAAAGCAGAGAGAGACATTATTGAAAAGCTGAAATAGAAGATGGAAATGGACAAACAGAACAGATTAAATGAAATTGAAACAGTAAAGGCCTTGAAATTAATAGAGCCTCGTAAAAATTCTTAGTTGCTTAAGACATCTAGAAATTCCAAATATGAAAACATCTCTAATATGTCTGGCTTTTCTTTATCACAATAGATGCCATAATTGGCAGGTCCTGTTTTATTATAACCATTATAATAATAATTATAAGGGTAAAAATAAAAAATAAAAAAATAAAAAAAGTTTGATGGCATTTACTTTATTGATCCAAAATATCCTTAAGATGTTGTATTCTAAGAAAAATATGCCTCGATGAGACACTATTTTAATATTTTGAATCTTTCAAATTGCATATTTGTTTAACCAACAGTAAACATTTATAAGGCATATGTTGGAAAAGGAAATAACGGTATGCTGGTGAGATAAATATTAAAATCTCGATGGTGGTGGAGTATATAAGATGAAATGGAAGCATGTCATTTTGTATGGACCCAATTAAAAGTGAATTCGATTCATGAGAATATGAGGTCATTGATCCGAAATCCAAATGAATAAAATACTTGTTAAAGTGCTTCCTCCTCAATTACTACAATAGGTTCATTGGGATTAAATAAATAAGATGATTAAAGTGATAATGAATAACAAATTAAAAATAATAAAATAGACCACTCTCTATGGAACAAATTTTTATCTCTTAATGAGATAAGATAATTTAGTCAAATATTGAATGCTTTAGGAAGATCTTCAAAATTATTAACTATAGAATAAGCTTAAAATATAAAGATGAAATTGGCTATATATAATGAGCCAATAAAAATGCATAATCATTTGGAAAATAATTTTCATTTGGGTAATAAGAAAGCCTTGTTTTACAACATGAAGGCTTATTATGAATCATAAAATATCAACGCATTCGACAATTTGCCAGTCACTTATCATATTAAAAGTTAGGATGGTCCAGAATATTAATAATTTTTAGAGGCCTACAGGGAACGATAATAATTGATAACTTTAGAATAGGACAAACGAAGAAACATTTGGATAATAAAACCAGGAGAAATTACAAACAGAGGCAATGGAATAAAGATTTCAGAGGATTTGAATGAAATATAGTCTATATTAAATTCAAAGGAAGTTCACAAAAATGGAAGCTATAAGACATTCATAGTGTAATTGTATATTGATCGCCCCTTACTTTACAATAAACGAAAGTTTGATATCAGATGTTACAGTTTATATGTTTCTATAAATGGAAATCAAAAGGGTTATTGGTATACTGAAGGATATGTCAGAACATCAAGTAAGGAATTCTCAATGAAAAATCTGACAAACAAAATGATTCATCTCACTAATGATGCTGTATAAAAGAAAGGAGAGGATTATGGCAAATATGAAAAAGGTAACAAAGTGAGTTTTGAAGAGTTCGCAGTGTATATTGAGAATTTAGGAGGGGATTTTACAAAAATTTATTAAAAAATGAAAGTATAACTTTTTTGTAGTTTATATTTTAGTAAATGGCAACTGATTAATTTAGAGCTGTTTATGGTAAAATGGACTAGAATAAAAAAGAGAATACTTTCGAAATATTTGGATTAGATTTTATGATTGATGAATCATTTAAAGTTTTAATGATCGAGGCAAATACTAATCCGTCCATTGAAATTTGCTGTCCGCTTTTGTCAAAGTTGATTCCTCAAATGCTAGATAATGCGTTCAAGTATTAAATGATTTAACTGAAAGAATATGTTTAGATCCAATATTTCCACCTCCTAATTTTTACAATCCTAAAAAGATAGTGTGTGATAATTATCTAGATAATAAGTTCGAATTGGTTTTTGATGAGGTTACTGATGCACCACTTTTAAATTAGAGTTAATAATATTGTAATATCATATTTGTTTATTGTTAAAGATGATATTGGTCTAATTGAAGAGGAATCTGAAGAGGAAGAAGAACCTTAATGATTAAAATAATATTAATTTTAAATTATTACTTGAAATGGGAAATTGCTGCCATATGAAGGTTACAGAATATGCAGATACGGAGCCTCATTCGTAAACTGTCTATTAATTCAACTTCAATTCTTTGAAAGCCAAAGAAATAAGATCTAAATTTCTGAGAAGGAAACATAAGTTTGAAACAGACCTAATAAATATATCAGATAAAAATGAGTAAATTCAGACTATTACCAACTCCAAATAATCTATCAAATCTAACAAAACAATTACTTACAAAATTAAGAAATCAATAAATTCATCTATCCATACCAAAACTTTTTTATTTGAGGATGATGACTACTGATAATCAAATTACTAAATTACCTAACATTTAATTTACATTCTCGTCTTCATTATTATTATATTTATTTTAATTATGTATAACAACAATACAGAAAAGAGCATTTACAGTCCTGACAATCCATAATTCAAATAAAAGGTTTACGAACTCCAACTTATCATGGATCAATGCAAATATACCAAAAAGTACCTTCTCTTTATATCCAATATAGAAATAAAGTCATAGATGATGCTAAAATCGTTCTATTAAATTATAAGGAATTGAACCCAACTTTGACTGCCCTTAATATTACTATGCTAGAATTATAAGGAAACAGTATTTATTGTTTTATATTCAGTTCCCATTCCATACAATAATAGCATCTTCTCAATCTTTATACATTTAAGATTTCAAACCTCTCATCCTGAAGTCTAACCCTTCATTTTCCTCAAAAATGTGGATCGTACTTAAATATTTATATTTTAGCTAATAAATTCGATGCTAACCCTTTATATAAGTCGGCAGAAATACAAAATGGATTGTATATTACTTTTAATAATTTCATTCCTTCCATCAAGAATTGGAATAAGAATTATAAAATTGTATCAATTCTATGCTAATTAGATCAATTTTATGTTGGAAGTACAATAAGCCTTGTCCAGGAATTTTCCTTTTTTCCTCAAAACTAATGTTTACAATTAGAATCAATCTTAATACTAATATAACCCTTAATAGATGATGAGTTAAGTGAATTAATCATAATTTAATAACTATGGGCTTTGGCAATCTTAAATGTAATAACCACAATATGTTTAACAATAATAATAGTAATAGCCTCAATAAAATCCTTATTCTTAAATATAATAAATTCCATAATCACAACTGCAATAATAATAATAGTCGCAATATATTTAATAGCAGGACTAACCAAAAAAAAAGTAGTAATAAGAAGAACCAGGAATGGCTAATAAATTGATATCAATAAGTGCATCTGTTTTTGAATTTGGAAAGGAATTGTTTATGAGTTAAGAAGCAAAAGAGGAGAAAATAAAAACTGAAATCAAATCCAAAGTTGATATTGAATTACTAAACCAATCTAAAAAACTCATGGATTCAATCAGATAGTAAAAATAGCTAACTGATGTTTTGACAGAATAGTATTAACAACAAACAAAAATTATGAGGGAGATTTAATTAAAGGATCAAGAGATTAATACCAGTATCCATGAATTAGATTAATAGATGATCTAAATGGAACACAAAATAGAGGCTTGCGTAACCGCAATAAGCAAATTAGAATAAAACAATATTGAAGAGTAATTATAATTAAATATACACAGATTAATGTAGACAGATCCACTTAGTAATTAGATTATAGAGTTGACAAGTGAGATTCAAGCATAAAAGGAAGGGTTGTATTATGTGTAGAAGAAATTCAGACATTAAAATTTGGATTATGATTAGTTAATTAAAATAACTAGATAAATGAGTTAGTAGATGTTCGATCAATATTTATTATTGAAAAAATGTGTTACTAGTAAATAATGAATAATTTTATAAATTATAATTATTTAATATATGATAAATCATAGACATGATTTTTATAATAAAATTACTTTTTAGAATATTTGTTTATATTCATTTAATAATAATAAAAAGTATAATATTAATGATACTATTTTTAGAATTATCTAAAAAATAAGTATAAAAGTTGTTTTTTAAGTCAAATTAAAATAATTTAAACTGAATAGATTTTATTTATTAGAGCCATATATATTATAGAATGAATTGAATATATTATGTTATTTTTGATAATAATATCATCATAAATAATAGAATGATGATCTTAATTTATTTATTGGTTCTGTTTAGAGGATCTCTACTAAGAATTTGATCATTTTTTAACAATTCTTTACAATTGCAGGTAATTTAATAGATCCTGTCCAATTTTAATAATTGTAACATTAGCCATAAACGAAGTCCTATAAACTCTAAAACTTTGACATACTTATAATTATTCCATAGGTATTTTAATTGTATCATAAATGACACGATACAATATTGGTCTTGGACATCCTCTAGAACTGTAAACAGGAACCAAGATAAATTCATAGTTTTTTGTTGTTATTTCACTATCAACAACTGTTCCAGCAGGTGCATTATAATATTGGTCTCTCTCTTCTCTAAACAGTTTAGTGATATTTGTATTTTGAATATTAATAATAATGATTTAATCTCCAAATTAGCATAACTAGTTTGCAGCCAAAACAATTTCTCTAGTTTCATATTATAATAAATGAGATATTGATTCTTCACTTAAACCATCTCTAAAGTATATGATTTTTTGAGGGAAACAACCATTTTCTTATTTGTATTGCAAAAAAGATTATTTCATCATATCCCCAATATCTTTAATTAAACATTTTTCAACAATTTTAGTACTCATTTAACTGTAGTATCTTGAGTATGTTTTATCAAGACTTGACAACATACCAGCAAATTTACCTTTTTCGATGATAACACTCACAATCATAATATTATCAGGCCATTTCTAATATAATTTACACAGATACCTAAGGTAATTAAACAGTCCATAAACAATTACCAACTTTATCCATCATTTAAATTGCTAATTTTTGAATTATCGAAAACAATCCCTTTTTTTATTTTGAAATAGAATCACTGGATACCATTTAAGTAAGAACACCGAATTTTTCAGACATGCACATTTTCTTTAGGGGAGCATAGCAATTTTTCATGTATCTATTCAGTACAATAACAATCATATTAGTTGTATGTGGTACATTTCTCATAATTGTTTATTCGATTTCAGCAATATAGTTTTATCTTTGTCCACTTAAATAATGACATTTAGTTTGCACACCCATTTTGATTCCATATTTTTATATTAATTCATGAATATTCTAGGTGAATTCCTCACAATCAAAATCGTAAGGTGATATTATTGCAATTCTAACTTCATATCTCTTAATAAAAGCAGATTGATTGTTACAATTAAATGAAAAGTTTTCTTTATCTCCTTAAGGCATCAAATTTTGATTTCCAAATACTATATTAGGTGGTCTAAGTTATTTTGCTTTTACATATTAAGGAGTACTATTGATATCAATACCAAATTCTTCTTTTAATTTTTACATGGTTAGTCCTATTGAAGGTTATCTATTAATTAAATCAAATAGCATTTTCTTTATTTTTTCAAATCTATCTTTTGGATTTGTCTAACACTCTTTTTATATCTGTTTTCTTGTGAATTCATTTAAATTATCTGGAACACCTGCCATGATACATAATTCGGCCACCAAATAGACTTTTCTATTGGTTTTTGTGTCTTCAATCGTCAATAAAGGTGCTTTCTTATTCTTGATATCATAATTATATCTTTATTTAAAATATTGGTCCATCGTTATAAATTATTGCTTCCCTTTTGGGTCTGCTAATTCAATAGAAAATTCAGCTGTATTTTAGTCAAATAATAAATTGTCAACTGAATAAGTTCTGTATGTTCCATAATTGGCAAGTACCATTTGTTTGGTCATTACATGTGTGACATACTTTCTTAGCTCCTCTTTTGGTAATCTAATTCTATAACTCTTTGCATTACTTATTCGATTGTTCCTTCCAAATTTAATCAATATATTATAACACAGTGGTTGTTCTGATAATTCTATGACTGATATCAATTTTAAAACTAAATCCTTATTCATTAGTTTAAAAATTGACAGCAAAACCAGGTATTACTGACAATTCTGTTTCTGGAATAGGTGATCTTCTGGATATATCCTTGATAATAAGTAGATTTCATTACATGAAATTTTCTAGTTTTGCCATGTTCTTAATATTTTAAATTTTTGAAGAAATCTTTAATCAAGTAGTTAAAAAACATCAATGGTTTATCAGCTTCTATTGGATTGGGATTTTCTAAATCTTGCATATTAATAACTTTGACCTTTTTGATTTCTAAATAGTAATCATAACTATTTAAAAATACAAATATAAACTTACTCCTCAAATTTGATAGGCTTTTCCAATTTAAAATTAAATGTTGAAGATTCTTTGCCTCCTATTATCGTATTGCTATAGTAGACAAAAGGTCCTAAATATTCTCTCAAGGCTTCTTCTTAACTTTTGATAATCTCTCTTTTTAGATTGTTATTTTATCTAAAATCTAATTTAAAATTGTTACGGATCAATAAATGGCAAGAATTTCACTGAATAAACAACTATGACTCCGTTTCTTTTGGACCGAACACTAAAGTTATTGGTTACCAAATTGATTTCCCTAAATTACTATGGATAATTTGGACATTTGGGAGGTCTTTTAGGCAAATCTTTAATATAAGTTAACTTTCGACATTAAATTTTGTTTACTTATCTCTTCCCTCTGGCTATTTGAGGTAAGTTGGACTCAATCTTGACATTCTAATCACTTCCCTATTTGTCATCTGTTGATTCTGTCTTTTCTGTCTTCCTATCTCGTCTTTGACTGTTCGATCTTGATCTAGATCTTAGTTTACTAATAAAATAAGAATAAATTCTGATATTTACGAAGAACTACGAGAACTATTGGAACTTGTAGTATGTTTTTAAGAGCTTTTTTCAATATTCATATGAATGGAACATTTTTAGATTGATTTTCACTTTATACTACAATAGTACNTTTCTTATTCTTGATATCATAATTATATCTTTATTTAAAATATTGGTCCATCGTTATAAATTATTGCTTCCCTTTTGGGTCTGCTAATTCAATAGAAAATTCAGCTGTATTTTAGTCAAATAATAAATTGTCAACTGAATAAGTTCTGTATGTTCCATAATTGGCAAGTACCATTTGTTTGGTCATTACATGTGTGACATACTTTCTTAGCTCCTCTTTTGGTAATCTAATTCTATAACTCTTTGCATTACTTATTCGATTGTTCCTTCCAAATTTAATCAATATATTATAACACAGTGGTTGTTCTGATAATTCTATGACTGATATCAATTTTAAAACTAAATCCTTATTCATTAGTTTAAAAATTGACAGCAAAACCAGGTATTACTGACAATTCTGTTTCTGGAATAGGTGATCTTCTGGATATATCCTTGATAATAAGTAGATTTCATTACATGAAATTTTCTAGTTTTGCCATGTTCTTAATATTTTAAATTTTTGAAGAAATCTTTAATCAAGTAGTTAAAAAACATCAATGGTTTATCAGCTTCTATTGGATTGGGATTTTCTAAATCTTGCATATTAATAACTTTGACCTTTTTGATTTCTAAATAGTAATCATAACTATTTAAAAATACAAATATAAACTTACTCCTCAAATTTGATAGGCTTTTCCAATTTAAAATTAAATGTTGAAGATTCTTTGCCTCCTATTATCGTATTGCTATAGTAGACAAAAGGTCCTAAATATTCTCTCAAGGCTTCTTCTTAACTTTTGATAATCTCTCTTTTTAGATTGTTATTTTATCTAAAATCTAATTTAAAATTGTTACGGATCAATAAATGGCAAGAATTTCACTGAATAAACAACTATGACTCCGTTTCTTTTGGACCGAACACTAAAGTTATTGGTTACCAAATTGATTTCCCTAAATTACTATGGATAATTTGGACATTTGGGAGGTCTTTTAGGCAAATCTTTAATATAAGTTAACTTTCGACATTAAATTTTGTTTACTTATCTCTTCCCTCTGGCTATTTGAGGTAAGTTGGACTCAATCTTGACATTCTAATCACTTCCCTATTTGTCATCTGTTGATTCTGTCTTTTCTGTCTTCCTATCTCGTCTTTGACTGTTCGATCTTGATCTAGATCTTAGTTTACTAATAAAATAAGAATAAATTCTGATATTTACGAAGAACTACGAGAACTATTGGAACTTGTAGTATGTTTTTAAGAGCTTTTTTCAATATTCATATGAATGGAACATTTTTAGATTGATTTTCACTTTATACTACAATAGTACTAAATATTTAGAAGATTATTTAAGAAGCGAATTTTATATATATGCTGTGTGAACGAATAAAATATCATCATTTATCCACACTATCCCTTATAATGGTAATAGTATTATAGCTAATTTAGTCTTTCTTATTGATTCTCTTCATCAGGAATTCTAATTATTATTTAATTGGTTCATTTATTTCTATCTTTTATTCATTGTGCATCAAAAATACAGTTTATATCAATGACTTAGGAACAATATCATAAATATACTTACAATTAATTAAGCATCAATCAAGAATTATTTATTCTTTAAGTCTTGGTAGAATGAAGAATTAAAAAACTCAACTACATTTTCAGTATCCTTCTCATCAAAATCTCTTACATCTGTTTATGAACATTTATCAACCATCTCAGTAGGACAATCTGTTTGTGTGAATTTCTCTTATGGTAGATCTTGCAATATTTGATGATCAATAATCTAATCTTTCGAAGTCAATAATGAGAATGATGAAATTGGTTGGTTCTCTTCGTAATCTAGGATATGAATCTTTGAAACTGGAAAATCTGTTTAATATTAATTATTCTAAATTTATTGATTTGCATATTCCGTCACCATTTGATTTAATCTCACATTTTATTAGTGACTTTAATTCCATTTGATAATAATATCTTCAAATTCTAGTTCATCTTCTTTATTTTCAAAACGTATTTTATTGCGTAAATTAAGATATTTACTTTTAATTATTGGGTTAATATCATCGTGATTCATACTAGGATTTTCTATAAAAGAATCAAAAACACTTAGTTATCGATATTTCTAAATATATTACTTTTCATACATGAAGTTAACTAATAACAGTATTCTAAACCTAATATTCAATGTTCTAAAGGCCTGAGAGTAGAAATGACTCATTTTGAGGAATTATCATTATGAAGTGAGTAAAATTTAAATATTACTATAAAATTTATCATAGTTTTTATATGAAATTGATTACAATTATTCATAAAATAAACTAGAATTCTTTTAGTCTATAAAACAATATATTAAATATAATAGAAAGTTATGAGCTTGTATTTAATGGGTCCAAAGCTTTCAAGTATAGATATTCGACAATTTATATGTCATTTATTGCAATGTATTTGAAAACTTATAGGTGATTATATAAATTATTATTATATTAAACTAACGAATTAATGAGTTAACATAATAGTAGAATAGATCATCATTTTCTCTCACAACAATATGGTACTAATTAATATTTAGATATTAGAATCATTCAATTAGTTAAATAAAGAAAATATATTTAATGAAGTCAATAGGATGATCGAATTATATAAAAGTCAGAATGAACTAAAAAGTAATTGTGATTATGTATTTCAGTAGAAATCAAATAGTAGAAACACTTATCACCTTAGAAATTGATCCATTCACTGTTGACCAGAACTAACACAAAAAATAAAAATAAAGTTAGTCTATCATAAAATATTGGATAAAAGAAGTTGACTCAATCCCCTATTTCCATTAAATAAAAATCATTGCCATAATAGTCTTTGCAATGCTCATTTCATTAACCAAAAAAAGTAAGCATTCTATTAAATGGAGGCTTAATTTTTTGATTCTAATTTGAGAAATCAAAATAAAATTAATTGTTAAGAATTTTCCATCCTGAATTGCAAGAATAGTCAAAAGGCGAACGTCAATCACCACAAGAATTCTCTTACAGAAAATCTATCCATTAATTAGCCCAATTATAAATCATTATGTGAAGATGCCTTCTCCATAGAGTACGATGAAAATAATGAAAATTAATATAAACAACAATAGTTAGATAATTTTTAGTAGGCCATCAAATCCTTATTGAATGAATGCAATAATATAGTTTCAAAATCTCAAAGCAACGATTATGAAATAAAATACAATGGTTTACAATATTAATTGGAATAAATGTTAACATCAATCAATAAAAAATCATTGAAACTTGCTAATTAGTTATAATTTAATGAAAAAGCATAGTAACTCTCTGATGTTCAGGAAGAGTTAAATTCAATATAGGTTGACATTACTTAGAATGAATAAAACATTTTGACCAATATGTAGATTAAACCTTTTAAGTATTTAATAATTGATATCATTCTAGGTATATAATGAGAAAATACAAAGATAAATTATCTAGATATCATTAAATTATTAAAAGTAATGAATTTAATCAATAGAAATAATTCATAGATGAAAGATTAAAATAATTAAGTAAAATTAAGACAATGCTAAATAATTATTTCAATTATTAGAATCAATTGGATTCAATATCTTAATCATAATAATTAAGTTCTCGAAGAAAAATTAAAAATAGTAATGTGTATATTAGTTTTGAAAACAAAGAAATGTTTTAGATAGCAGCCTAAAGTGAATAAGGATATTTATTGGAGTCTCCGAATTTTATTCAAATCTGATTATGACTATCATTACAACTAAATTTTATAATAATAAATATTTACTTAATATTGAACTTAGTACAAATTTTATAATAATTTATAATTTGATTATGGTTTTATATTTACTAAGCAAATAAATAATTATAAAATTATAAGACAATGTATTAAAATCAGTAGATTGGATAAGTATGAAAGAGACTAATAAATAATATATTTGTAACACGTGCAATTAATTATAAAATAATTATATAAATTAAAAATACCATTATTTATGGAATAAGAGAGCTAAGAAATCAGATCTGCATTCCCAGAATATCTCACAAATACCCAAGAAGACGGTGAACATGTAGCGATTAATACATAATTGTAAGCTCGACTAGTGTTTGTAATAATTCGAAACGTTGATCAATAATTACAAAGATGAACAAAATATCTTATCTGCGATAGAATCAAAGATTACTATGGTTATTAATTAAACTCCATTGTAATCAATAGTTGATTGTTATGTTAACATTGCTAAAGACTATAATTTATAAGTAATGATTAATTTGAAAATAGACTAAAATGTATAGAGTATCAAAATTCCATGATTAAAAATATTTGCCTCAAATTCCAATATTAAATCAATATCTGGAAAACAAGATTAATAGTCTGCCTTGGCCAGTTATTGGTGATGTAAATTCTAATCAATTATAAGAATAATTGATTAAACTCTATAATTTTAACTATGGGAGAATAGCATAGCATGAATTATTGTTATTATGGTTTCCATCATTGATAAAACCATATTTTAATGTGCTAGATGGTTTATTAAATACTCAAACAAAATTATCATAAGATGAGAAATACTACTTTGCAATCATGGTAATCAGTTTATGATAACTTCAATAGGGAGCTGCTGCATCAGGAAGTGATTAGTTATATGATTTATTAGTCTAGTAGTTTTATTTGAATGAAGGAGACAAAAATTGGGTTGATATGGGGTATGAGAGTGTTGATGACAAGATCAAATCCCTAAATACCATTTGCAAAATCTTGGTTTAGAAACCATGGGAATAATCTCTCAAAAATACATTGTAATAGATAATGAAAAATAATAAGTGGAACAAAAGAGAATTGATTCAAGCAATAATGATATTCATCTTTTATAATAATATTGGATGCTTCTCATAAGGCAATGGCATACTAAAGGAAATTGATTATACTCTCAATTTATAATCAGGTAATACTAGTATTAGTTTTACATTACCTTAAGAACAATAATAATATTAGCAAATTGATTTAACATAAAATGAATATATCATTTAAGAATTAAAGAATTAGGCACTTTTAGATAATCAAAATTGCTCATCAGATAAAAATATCTAAGTCAAATCCAAATAATAATCGATTGATGAAGCTTAAGAAATATCTGATTTGGATGAAGAACAATTAATATTGAAATTCAAAGAGAAATTTTAAAAATATTTCACAATTGATGAAATCAAGGACTCCACTGGATATTAAATATTGAGATTTTCTGTACTCATTATTATATTATTTAGGAATATAATTTTTAAATGAATAGTTATCCTGTGTTAAAATCATTATATCCTGAAGGGGCGTAGAAAATGCACGATTTTTTATTGGAAGTTAAATAAATGACTAGAAATACATTTGGCAAAGAATAATAGATCACTACTGCTGCTTTCCGAAAAGCGATAAGAGTTTATGCTTAGAATATATATCGATATTAACATGATGATATTGATTATTCAACTTAGGTATATTATTTATCCAATTATGGAGATGAATAAATTATTACCTAAAGAATTGAAGGCTTTCATTAAGATTGTGAGTTTGACACCAAATCTATTATAAAAGAAACATCTAGAGTTTATCCCTCTGAAATTAAGTGCTGATGAATTATGTCATATCACGTTGTTGACGATTGCTGCCAAAATTGAAGTGCAATTGATATATTTATCTAAAGCTTTAGTAGATTGTATGTGAACATTTAATAAACATTTTTAAATATTTTTATTAATTAATGCACGGTCCTGATATTAGCGATTTAGATTTACCAGATCTTACATTATACCCTTCAACTACTGGATATTCGGAATAAAAGCGTTGTTTCAAATAATGTGTAAAGGATATGGCAATCCCTTATTTAAACATTGAAGAAGAATCCTGTTCAAGTATGTAAATTTGGTAATTTAGAAAATTGCTTATCTAAATATTTGCAAGCCCAAATATTCTTATCATAAAAGATGACTAACACTTTGACTCAACTTGTAACTTAGGATCCATCCATTAAAATTGCATTTAAAAAACCATATAAATTACCAGAATAATGAATATTTTTATGATATATATTTATTATTAATAACTCATGGCGATGGTATACCTAGCAAATCTAAATACTTTCTTCCCATGTGTTTTTTTCCTTCATAACTGACCATATACATAGATTGCCCATCAATTCCCATATCAGTTTCATCAAAATTACCTAGAATATGAATTGATATTACTATCTTTTGTATTTAAGGCAGGATCTGTAAAATAATTTCCAACTCCTTGAACGTCATTAACCATATAATTGAAATTTGAAATGAAATATGTATAATAGGTATATGCCTAAGCCAAATTATTGATATCTGAGTTTTCATCTGAAATGAAACCATAGTTATTATTATACTTAACGAATTCACCAGTGAAGTATCTTTCTGCAATCCAAAATGAATCTAAATATAATTATAATATTCATACTTGACCTTTCCAAATCCTTCAAAATCAAAAAGTCTGAATATTACACTTCAGGAATCTTAATGGATCTATCAGTTTTATCTCTTGCCTCCTATAATTCCCGAATAAACTTCTTCATTAAGCATTTAGAAATGAGATGAGATCTGCATTCTACAACAGCTTATTCTTGACTGGAGTATGTTAAATCTCCAATTGGCATTTTTATCACATATAATTCATTTTAATTGTTCTATCTTTTCATCAAAAACACCTGTTTCATTTAACCTTAGGCAAAGAATTTCTCAGTTCTAATGCAATCCCATTATCCTTCCTAATAAACGCTATAATCCCTATTGATATCAAGTCTCTTGAGGTTTTCTATGTTGGCTTCAAAGGAATCCTACTTCAATTCAACTCGATAAACACCAAACTTAACTGGGATTATGGTAACTCCAGGTAATTTATCAAATTAAAATGGATCTTTAATCTATTTGCAAAGTGCTTCCATAGCGCCAGATTAAGATCGTTTATTCGCCTAGTTATTTTTTGATCTAGTTCCTTTATTGTTTGTTTGAGTTGCTCTTTATGATGCTTAAGAGACCAAATCAACAAGCTCCTACCAAATTCTGCCTTATTCAGTGTTTTCTAAATCTGCAAATAATAATAATTCCTCTCTATCTGCACGTTGATACATCTTCTTGATTTCTTCAAACATTGGTAATGTAACTTTATTAAATAGGATAGCAACAAATAAAATATTATTATCTATGAGTAAATTAATAGCATCTTCAATATCTTCATTTGGGTATCTATCGCTCACTCCACCATTATATCTCTTACCATGAGTGGGAGCATCACAAATCAAAAGAGCAATTTTGAATGTTTTACTCCAATGCAAATTCTTTATCATTTGCATTATGCCTCCTCTAATATCTTCTGCTGCATCTCCACCTCCAGCACAGGGAATCTCTGCCAAATATTCTTCTATTTCTTTAGGGTTCGGAGTGAAATTTAGTTATTTGTATAATCCTCCCAATTATTTCAATTCTCCAAAATCTTAATATGCCACAGTTGCCCATAAAGCATCCCTGTTTGTCTTTATTTTGATATTTTTCATACTCTCCTTAATACATTTCATCGCCTACTCTTTATATGGGTCCATTGATCCTGTCACATCTATCAAAAAGCAAACTTCAATCTTACCATGACTTTCCAACATCTATTTCTTCAAAACTAAAATATTTACACAAAATACATTAAGCTGTCTTTTGTCTTTGTTCTTTACCTTTCTACATCAAATCAAAGTATTATTATTATTCCTATCTTAATTTTTCTTATCTGCCTTGCAATTCCTCCTATCTTTATTATTCTAATCGTCTTTGATCCTTATTTCTTTACTCTTCTCTTAACTTTAATTTTTCTTCTACTTTTAATGCCTCGCTATCAATCTCTAACACTTTTTTTGGATCTGCTTATTAGGCGATCTATTTGAAATCACTTAAATTCTTTTAATATATCAACATATCCTTCTTTGTTTCTTCCAATTCACCATTTAACTATTTTATTGTTTGGTCTCTTTCCTTTATTCCTCTATCCTTCTCCTTTAATAAATATGTAAGACTTTCCACACTCTTCTCCAATTCCATAATCTTCTTCTCACTATCAAAACATTGCTTCTTTGCTGCAGATAGACATTATTAACTCTCATTAAATGATTGTTGGCTTGACCTAAGTTCTGCATTTAATTTTGTAATTTATAACTCATAACCCTATTGTTATAACAATTCTATTACTTAAATCTTTTCAGCAGATGCAAAATCAGTTCCCTTTATTGAACTTCTCATCTCTTCTTAACTTCTATTCTACAATAATCTCACTTGATCATTTAAACTTATCACTTGAGCTTTGTATTCAGCTATTCTTTTCTCTAATTGAGTATTTTATGATTATAATTCATTCATTTTTTCTATCTGTTAAGAATCAAGATGAATTTTCATTTCTTATTTAACCTTTTCTACTTCTAATTCTTGATTTTTTGTCTTAACTTCCTCTAATTGTTATTCCAATTTCCTAATAGTTTAATTATTGTTCATACTTTATTTATTATTTTGAGAAATCTAGTTCTCTATTTATTTCATCCTTTGTTTGACTTCCTCGACTATTAGCAAATTCCAAATCCTTTTATAATCCTTTTATTTCAAATGTCTTAACTATCAAGTCCTCCTTCAATTTTTAATAATCTTCAACTTTCTTTTGTAAATCTAACTTCTCTTATTTGAAATATGCAATCTATGAATTCAATTCTGTTCTTTCCATATCAAATCTGCTAACAATTGCTTTTTAAGTGGCGAGTTCTAATTCCAAATTTTTCAAATCATTTCCCAGAAATGATGATTAGGATGTTTAGAATTATTAGGAATCTGCGCTTTAAGCATTTTTTTTTAATTATTAATCAAGCTATGTTTTAACCTAATTGAAGTCCCTTTAAATTGCTTCCTTCTCCTATTGATACCTATGCTTTCAATAATATTTTTACTAATCTTTTTAGGTCAAAGCTTCTTTCAATGCATCTTACAATTATTCCTTTTATGCTCCTTCTTCTCCAAATTTTTATTGCCATCTCTGTACTTCATTTTCGAGCGCATCTTTTGAATAATATTTTATGAAATACCTAATTTCTATTTATAATTTTTGGTTAGTGTTTCTGCTGTTTCTGCCTCAAGTTTTGCTTCTTTGTCAATTCCATATTATTTCAAAAAATAATCGTTTTTCAAGATCTCCTCTTTGAAAACTAAAACAATGTCCTCTAATCTCAACCCTGATTTTTCCATCACCTTCTATTTGACATCATTCACTCTGGTCTTCTCTAACTAAACATCTATGAGTATAGTTTTTCCATTTGGCATCTACACATAGATTTACATGAATTATATAAATTATTGTGTTCAAAATCATTTGAAAAATAGCTTTAGAATCAGAATAATAACTATTATTAATGAAATTATAAAAAGAAGAAAATGAATATTATAAAGATTGTATTTCTTCATTAATCAATTTATAAATACATATAATCTAGTTTTATTTGTAATATTAACTAAATTTGCTCATTTATTTAAACAGATTCAAGTCAGAATCTACTTTATTTGGGTTAGAGATGGAAAATTATTTTATGATAAAATGATTTTTTTAACAGAAAATATTAAAGATAGATGTAAATCCTTAATGGTATCTAGAGTTTAACTAAAAATTAATTTACAATATTAAATATTCAAAATATTTTGCAATTTCTTTCTTTAATTTATTTTTGCTCTTCTGTAATTGTGAAATACTTCAAGTTGATTATTCATCGCCATTTTTAAACTTTATAGATGATATAGTTCTCTTGCCATTTTTGCCATTCTCACCTTTTTATTACTTTTTATTTCACAATAAAAAAAAATCAAATTTTTCACTATTTTAAATTTTCTCTACTACTTTTAGATTTAATTGATATAATCTAAAATAGATTTCTGCGTTTATAGTCGTTTAAAAAGAATTGAATTTTGGAGAATTTATATGTTATCTCTTTCATTTTAATCAATAAAACATTAGCTAGTTTTGATCCCTTACTATTTTTTAAAATTTGTAAAGCATCTCACTCTCAAATTTATTTAATTATGATCACTTAAGTGACTCAAATAGCAAGAATAACTTCCCCTAAAAATAATTACAAATTGAATGAATTTTTATTAATATATTTCATGTAATTTAATGAAAGAAGAAGATTGAAAAGACAACTTGGTTATCAAATTAAAAAATCAAAGAATTCAAAAATTTTAACCCTAAAACAGTTTATAAATCGAAATAATTCAACAACAAAATAAACACAAAAATTGATATCAATTGTAATCTTTTTATTATCCAAGAAAATTTGACTATCGTCCTCTATACTTAGTGTCACATTCATTTAAGTAAGTATTATTTAATTTTTGATTCAATCCTTACTTCCTCTAATTTTCTTCTCAATAATTTCTTTAACCCTCTCATTTTATTGTTTGTTTTCTCTTCAGTAACTTTTATTTAGTTTATTTATATTATGTTCAAAAAATTCTAATAATCAAAGGGAATGATACTCTTATTCATTCTTTGAAAGCCCAAACACAGAAACATTTTAACCAACTAATTTAAAGCAATTCTAGTTTAATGTGCAAAGCAAATTTATAAACCATTTCTTATCTGAAAACTTATCTTGTTCATTCTAAAGTTAATTTCTATGAGATTTAATATTTTGATAATTCTATATATAACTATATTTTCTTTAAGTTTTTCAAAACCAAACCTAATTTTACTGCTCTAACCTAATTCTGTACCCTTATTAAAGCTACTCCTAATAAATATTTGGATGTAATTAGGGCGATTTTTGTCTGATAGATAGAAACTTTAATACAAAGCATTCTATGTAGAATCTATTACGCTCAATATTTGATTAACCTCTGCTAGAGAAATAAAGGATGGATTCTAAAAAATTTTTTATAATATGTTTCCAAATTGTGAATTTGTTTTTTAAGGCTAAGGATGAGAAATGAGGTTTCAAAAATTACATAGTTTAAATAATTTTAAATTGATTAATTTTTGAAACAAGTTTTAACTGATTTTTTGGTTAACTAATGAAATAATATTCTTAGATAAAATGTATTAATTTGTTTTTTTGTGATATTTGATAGATTATTTATTGAAATTTCATAGATAAAATTCTTATACTACTAAAAAATAAAATATCATAGTTTTTTTTAATGAAAATGAGATAATGATCCTTGTTTAACATGAGAGATTATTAATTTTATTTAGATGCATATATAATTTTCAATTAAAATTCCCTAAATTTAATTCAAATTACTTTAACTTTTGTTTTTTCTATTTACTAATAAAACTTTAAGGCTATTCCACATTTTTCTAATGGATTGAGTTATGGAGTATAAGGAGGTAAAAATTGTATTTACTATCTGTATAATTATGTACCTATTTACTTTTGTGAATAGGACTATTGTCCAATATCAAAACAATACTTTTTGATGTTAAAGTTCTTTAATCAACTCAATTAGATTTTTATGTAGATATATCATATTTGACGTAGCCTTATATTACTTAATATGCTAAACAGTCATCAGTAGCGACTGCCCTGATGATACAAATATTTTCTTAACTTTTTTTATGATTGAAAATCTTTGATTTGTGTACAAAAATACAAAGTTTTATTACCAACAGCATATGGCTTAAGTAAACTATTAAGTATTAATATTTTTTTCTCGTAACTAATTTGTGTTTCCTCTCTTATCCTTTTTTATATGGTAATCTTGAATTAGCATTACAATAACTTTTAATCAAAGTTTAAACCTATTTTGACATACTGAACGGTCAAATTTATTAAAAAATGCTCTAAAAATTTTTGACAGAAAATTTCACCTCCTACAATTACGTGAGTCTGATAAATTGATTGTTTACTATCTCCTTATAAAAGGATTTTATTGAAGTTAAAAAATTTGATTAATCTTATTTCATTTAGATTAAGTACTTCACTTAAGATGGTGTTATTTTTAAGATAGCAACTATAGGATATGTGGTGTTCCATTATTTTTCCGAATTTTTAAGGTTTTGTAACTATTCAAAATTAACAACTCCTTTTTTACCAAATTAATTGGGTTAGTACTTCAACCTTCGATTTTTGTCCAATGTGAGTCTTAATCTTTTTTATTTTAATAATAATTATTGTCTTTGACAATCATCATTAGGTATTTCTATAACATCTTCTATTGTATGAGATTAAAGTCGTTGTTTTATTAACGACAGGGTTAGAAAAGTCTATATTCAATGAAAAAACGCTTATGTCTTAAATTTATATTTATGGAAGAATCTTAGAATCTTTGTCAAGAAAAAACTTCCTTAGATCATTCCTTAAACGAAAATACAAGTAATTATATCTGGAATACAATCTACATGGACTTGTTTTTTCATTTGTAATATTGGATTTACATAAGAGAAAATCTATGAAATAAAAAGACACCTCAATTGCAGATAAGAAATCATTGAATTTTTTAAGAGAACTCCTTCCTAAATTGCTCAAAGAAGAGTATTTTTTTGTTAAATCAGACACTAATTATATTACCAAAAAATTAAAAAAAAAGAGGATGGATTCAAAATTGAATAATAATTAAGACATTATTAAATAAAATTAACATATATAAAGAGCATAGCTTTGACTAAAACTGAGAATGAACAGCAAAATTAAAAAAAAATAAGCATTGAAATGAACATTTATCAGTATAATAACAAATATTCTAAAAAATGAACTAATTGGATTGATTTTGGTCATTTATAAATATCATAAATTATTTAAAGTATGTAAAAATAGCTTAAGGTAGTATTTAGCGAGGAATTACAATAATATATTGATTTTTTCTGAAGTATATATGTGAAGCTTATAATCCTATTAGGCTGCTAATAGTTTGTTCTTAAGATCTAAATCAGCATCTCTATTTTTTCAACCAATAAAAATGACTCTATTTGAAAGAATAATAATTTGGGTAGGTATATTAGTATTTAAAAACTCGAAATATAAATATCTAGAATTTCTATCTAAATTTTTTAAAATTGAAATATTCCAAACTACAAGACTATAATTATTTTTATAAAAAATAACAAAAAGAAAATTGTTGGTAAAGTAGCTCTATTTAGAATTACAGTATAAAAAACACGATAAGAAATAAAGTTTTTAGCATTAAATCCGATATTCAACCAATAACATTATAAAAATAATATTCATTTGAAATTTCTTCTCATTCTAATTATTTGTAGTTTATGGTCCTTCCGATCGATACGGTGGAGTTGTCATAAAGAATTACAATCAAAATGTCAGTTAATAAACATAAATTATATTGCTTATGCTAATGACTTATTATTCTGGATAGAACACATTCTTACAAAAAGTTTGAAGAAATTTTAGAGGAAGAGTATAAAAATTGGAACTTGTGTATCAATAAGTCAAATTCAGCAAATATTTACATAAAGAATCACTCAAAAACTATATCATCTGAAATTTTAGGCTTCCCATTTTAACAAGATATTGCTGTCTTGATATTGAGTTCGAGAATAATGGAAAAATCAATTCGAATTACAAATTTAGTCAAAAAGCTAATTTGGATTCGTAGTGAAATGAAAATATAGGATAAAATTGCATTTTGGTATTGATTTATAATTCATTACTTCGATATTCAGAAACTAGTGTAGAACTAAATATGTTTAAGACTATTAAAACAGATTTTATAAAAATTAGAAGACCATCTTTTTAAACCGTAATCGTATAACTAGGATAACTGTTTAAAAATGAACGGAAATTTGTTCACTACATAATGTATTAGAATCTTTTTAGATCAGATTGCTTCTTAAATTTTTAAAGATTTCAGCAGAAAAAATGATTGATATAATAACAGGTAAAAAAAAGATAGGATAATGATTTAAAAAATATATAGAGCAAGTCTTTCTAAGAAACCTTTAAATGTTCAATACAATCAAAGAGGAAATATTTAGACATGCTAAATTGAATTAATATCAACATTTAAAAAATCAACAAATATAAATATAATAAGAGTATATAGCTCAGATACCCAAGAGGAACGGTTTCTTTTGTAAAAAATGTAAAAAAGGACTATACAGTTCCTTTTAAACCTATAAAATACACTCTAAAAAATGTCAGTAGGGGAAAATAAATGATAAATAAGAGAAGAAATGAAGATTTTTAAAAGGAGAGAAATGAAACATTGATACCAAAAATAAATTATAACCCACCACGAATATCACACGTGAATAAATTTAAATGAATTTTATAACGTGGAATATAGGTTCATATAAAAATAAAAGAATAAAAACGCCCTTATTATACGCTTATCAG